GTATTGTATGTTTGAGCTTATAATTGTTTCTGCATTTCCACGTAGTATATGTACATTAGAAGGAGAGGCATCAAACATTGCAGAGTTTTCTCTTTTTCTACTTCCCATTTGCTCACAATTTCTTATTTCCTCAACCTATCGTTAAATATTTTCTTAGTTAAAATGCTTTATGTTCTCGAATTAAAACTCGAAGACCTATGTAACAAGTGAAAGTTAGCAGCTATGACACTTACTAATCTGTATTATTTCTTGATTCAAGGACGTAAGGACACCATTTCAAGAACAGCAGAGCTTGAAGCATTTAACATGAATTTGTTTTCTCTTCCAATTACCTGGTAGTTTTTCTTGTACAATCTAGCAGCCGACGCATGAGATAACAAGATATTATGCGTTGCCAAGTACGGTTCTGTTGAGGAGTTACCCCTAGAGCAGTTGAGACCAAATGGAATTGAACATCGTTGTGGTGGAAGAAATCCAGCATCATAACCCCCAAGTACAAAAACATTAGGTTCATTCATAGTAGTCCAATGCAACACTCTATCCCCGAAATTTTTGAAGCACACATCTGCATATGCAGTGAAGTCCTTTCTGGAACCACAAAATTGTTCCATCATGATCTTTCCCCTTTTTCTCCTGACGCATTGAAATTACGCAAAATAAAAAAAATAGGGTTAAGAAACCTTACACAATCTTTCGGCTAACCCATCCTCCATACTCATCATCAAGCGCCTGTGGGAGATCACTATGGTGTAGAGTAACATGTGGTTGGATTCCTGCTTGAAAGTTAGAGCACTTAGACATCAAATTACAGAATTTTTAGATTGGTGGAAGTGGTACATGTTTCTTAAGGCATGTTTATTAGGAATGGGTATTGGAATTACTCAATTCATGTCTTCCCCCGAGTTTACTAACACAGAAGCAATCCAAAATTATATGGGTTGCATGCTAAACTCGCAAATATCCTCAAAAATAGTAATCGGATCAGCTACCTAGTTGATCTGATTCCAATTCCTCAATTTAGTTCCACGGTTCATGACTTCCTCCATTCCTAAGTAAACATGCCCTAAGAGTATAACCACTCCCCAAATTCGAAGGAAAATATATAATGTAGTATCATAAGGTAGATAGTAACCATGGCTGATTAGTTGATCAATAAGATTGTTGTAATATTGTAGACCCTTTGGATTGACAGGTCCTTTTCCATCTGAAATAAAGAAACTGGATATTTGAGTGCGTGAAAACTTAAGCCTTGTTTGTTTAATATGAGTAACAATTGGATGTTCATGCATACTTGGGATAAGTCTTGACCATGAGATGGAAAATCTATATGCCTCTAATCCAGTATCTGCCATTAGTTGAACATCTTCCTGCAACAGTTTGAATGAACATTATATATCATGCATAAACGATATATGATATGATGTATATCAAATAGCATCAACATGTTCCTAATTAGTTATTTAGGCAATAAATCGTGTGATTACGGAACATATAGTATGTTATATTGCCTCCCAAAAACTATAAAAACCTCTCGAATACTAGCTAGTCTTGATATAGTATGAATCTCGTGATTGCATAATTGTAACATATATGTGAATAACTACTAGTCCTGGAACCTCTGAACTAAAAGAAAAAGATTGTTAGCAATAACTAGATTGAATTTCGCGAATTATATACCTTATACTTGTGATACGCGTCACACGCTACATCTCCAGTGGCTCCATGAAAATGACCTGAAAAATTGAGTTAAGCAATGAACTAACAAGGATCATATATGCAAGTTATCATGTTAGTTTGAACAATCCACTTTATCTAAATGTTTTTAAATTTAAAAATAAATAAATAAAACCAATACCTAATTAAGTAACCATAACTTTACTCTAGAGTACGTGATAAAACCGTAATTTACAATAATAATGTGACACATGACACTGTCATGCATTTTTTTAATTAATTGCATAGTTTGTCTCCAAAAAAAAAAATTCAACAAAAAAAACGAAAGTGTGCCAATAGAATATGTGAATTACTATTTTGCACCTGATCGCTTGTCTTTAAGAATAACTTTTTCTTCATGCGGTTTTGAATCTATTTCGATCAGGTTTCGGGCATGAGTTTTTTTCGTACGGTTTTGAATCTATTTCTTCATACTTTTTCTTCATGCCGATCACTTTTTTGGTTGTGTATTTATGACTGCCGACTGACATTGTTTGGACGGACACGAATTTAACGTCATAGATGACAGTGGTTTTGGGGTCATGGGCCCCTTCCAATATAACATTGAATCTAGCACAAGAAAACAACCAAGACTTTTCTTGCTTTAGGAATACCAATCACTACAATAATAGTATTGATTAATCAATATTATTTAAAAATCAATATATTATACCAAATTGTCACATTCCAAGATTGGTTCCACCGTAGCACGATATTATTCACTTTTTGCCCCCCTTTCAGCCCTCACAGTTTTTTTTTCTGGGAACTCACGAGTACATTCCTAGTGGGTCACTCATCTTGGGATTGTTCTAGCCCTAACTCGCTTAACTTCGGAATTTCCACGACTCCGAAGTTAGTGAGTTTCCAAAAGACCTCGTGCTAGATGGAGGTAGGCATGTACATATAAGGCACATCAACCTCTCTCCGTTGGTCGATGTGGGATGTTACAATTCACCTCTCTTATGAGCCCGACGTCTTCGTTGAAGGATCCACTAGTGTAATAATTTGAAATAATTGTTTTACCAAACAAAGTTCTGGGTTTAAGTTCTAGCATCCGTATAGTGTGTGTGAATTTAGTGTATTATCACATTTCTTAATAAATAAAAATCCTTTAAAAAAAAATATATATCTATAGCTACATCCTTTATTGACTTTTTCGAACTGAATTGAGATGTTGGTTATATAACATTTTTAAAACTAATTAATTCTTGGAAAAATTTAATCGAACTAATCAAAAACTCTAATTTATTAATGAAGAGGTTAAATTTTTTTTTAATAAAAATAAAAACTGAAAAAACAAATACAAAATAAAAGCATAAAAACTAGTATTGCTACAATCTAACCTGACCTCGCCAACCAACAAACAAAAATGAAAAAAGAGAGAAAAAAAGGAGGAGGAAAATGCGATATGAAAGTAGTGGGAAGCTAACCAGCTTGCGCATATGTGTCCAAGATGCTCGGGGTCCTGCCATCTTCGGCTGCAGCACCTTCCACCTTTTGTCATGTGGATTTTTTAATCAACCCAGGTAATAATACAAATGAAAAGAAATTAGAGAGAGAAAAAGAAAATTGAAAAGAAATTGAGAAAACCTGATAAGCAGAGGAGGAGGCACCAAACACAAAGGCCGGTGCCGGTGGGAAGTCATCTCTGCAAAAGTTATCAGTGCTTGAAGAAACACTTTTTATAGTAAGAAGAAAACACAGCAGAAGTGAAACTCTCAACATTAATTATGGAAAAGACGAAAGTACAGCAAGAGTTTGGAGATTCTGGTTTCTGAACTTATAGAAAGCAAAACTTAGAATGAGATTGAATGGTCACCCTCCTTTAGTTATCCTTACTTCAGCTTACCCTAAAGCTCCACGTCGATAAAGCTAGAAGACTCCAAATTACTTTAGAAAGGTGTTGTGTGTTGAATTGAAGACTTTTTCATTTGTCTAGTGCGGAAACTTGTCAAAACAGACGAAAACTTGTCTAATTATTTAAAATAAAAACAAGTAATTAATTGATAAAGGTTGTGCAAAGCCCCACTGCGATGATTGGCTTGAAGTGAAGAGCCCTTGCTCCTCCCAGCGGCGTAGGAATTCTCCCAAAGAAAGTCAACATTATTAGCTTGAGAAAATTGTGAATATTAATATAACATATTTTTTTAATTGTATAATTTAGGGAAATAGCACTTAATGCCACCAATTTTTTAATTTTAATTGGAAATACCGCCGGTTGACGCAGAAAAATAGTTCGGCACTTTCCCGCGCAACTTAGTGATGTTAGGCCTTCGGTATGCTCTGGGCTTTGGTAGAGCGCGTGATCTGCAAGATAACAAACGCTCGGTAAGACCTAGGGCACCGGTGTGGTACTGGCCGAAGGCTCTCCGATGCTTAAGTAAGTACGAATTTAGTAAAGTTGAACCACATATCAATAGGCAGTATGCCGTGAGTTCTGATTACCTCCATTTTGGGGAATTGTGCTTCTTTTATAGACCTTGGGAGGTATGCAAGTTGTGTAGAATTTCGATGTGGGACTGTAGACATCGATTGTGGGCTTGCCACGTGTCCTAGGAGAGGAGGTTGCCCTAATCGTTGGATCGGTAGGATGGGTGCCGAAGCAAGGTGCCAAAGACTACCATAGACCCAATCTTGTCCATGCGTCTGATTCTCATTGGCTGTTCATTTTGGTATAAACAGTAGTCCCCCAAGTTCTCTTTCAAGAGTTCTTGAAAGGGGACTTGATATTCTCTTCGGCTAGGAAATGGTATCCTACCGTTCGGTAACTCGGTGGATGGAGGGGCTCAATCTTGGCACTTCCGTGCGTTCCCTTTCGGAAGCTGACGTCGGGGGAGTCAGAAGGTTGCGTCGGGGGCTCAATCTTGGCACTCATTAGGTGCGGCGCATTAATGCGCCGTTTGGTTTTTCAAGGAGTACCATTGCGAACCCTCGCCCTATAAATAAGGGTGACTCCGGAAGAGAGGATCACTTTGCATTTGTGAGAGACGTGAGAGCTCAGTTGAGGCGATTTCTGACGAGTGCTAACGGCAATCAAGGCGATTTCTGGCAAGAGCAAACGGCAATCAAGGCGATTTCCGGCATAGCAAACGACAATCAGAGGTACCGTTCAGCACTCTCATTTAACTCTCTTATTTAATATTGTTGTTCGTCATACGTCCTTCCTTTGCATGAATTAGACTGACCATAGGGTTCCGTTCGGTAGTCTAGTTGCCATAGGTAGTGATGTAGGGATCGGTAGCCTAGTCTTCTGCATGGCCCTTAGTTTCCTTTTTCCTGTTTTGTAGATGTCCCATAGCGAGTCACTCTTCGAAAGTGAGCCTAATGCTTTCAAGGGGGAGTCATCGGACGGTCTGTTCGATTCAGATAGTGAGGCCATAGGCCCCGTTGTCGAGGATGGAGAAGATACCGATGTTGAGATACTCGGTGAAGGCCCGAGCTCCATTCCTACTCACGGCATCGGGAAGGGGCTCATGACTCGGCAGCCCACGCCATTGGCTGTGGTCTATCGTGACGGTAGGCATTTCGGCTTAGATCAGCACTGTGAGTCCAGCGCTGGTTAGCAGCCGCAGGCCTCCACATCTGGTCGTGGGGAAGCACCTAATGAACCGTCTCCCCATTCGAGGGTATCGATAGTCTTCCCCAGCAACCCTAGGGTACCGATAGGGGTGCCGAAGGAGCATCTGTTCAGTGTAGACTACTTAGAGCCAAATAAGATCACCGAACGGGAGATAGCTAAATATCGTGCTGAATACCTTATCCCGGATTCGGTAAGGATGAGGATCCCGACGCCTACCGAATCCCTCAGCAAGCCGAAGGACGGCGAGGTCATTTTCTTCACCAACGTGCTTCTCCAAGTAGTTCGGTTGCCGCTGTAGCCGGCGGTGCAGAGAATATTGGCGCAGATCGGCTGTGCGCTAGATCAATACAACCCTAACTTATGGGTGGCGCTGATGGGGGTAATCGCCGCGTTCGGCATTGCCGAGGAGGGAGAACCTTCCTACGAACAGTTCTCTTACCTCTACAGCATTACTAGGTCGAAGAGTACTGACCATGGTGGCTGGGTTCAGGCCAATTGCTTGAAGGCTTCCGAATGCAGCCATTTTGTCAGTGCCGTGCCGACCTCTCAGAAGTCGTGGAGGAATCGGCGGGTGCTCCTTTCTGGCGACTGGGAGTCGCCGTCGGGACAGCCTGTCCGCTTCCACATCCCCACTACCTTCCAAATAGCGGGTAGGTTGACGTACCGTTCGGTAAGTAGATTGCCGTTTCTTTCTTGTGAGATCTCCACCGTTGTGTTTCTTTTGCAGGAAAATTGAAGCAGCCGAGTCCTACGCAGTCTGAGATTCGGCAGATCGACAGGGTGAAGTTGAAGGTCCCTGCCGTCGAGAGGGTGTACCCCCAGTTTCTCTTCACCGCGAATTTGGTTGAAGCCAAACTTGCGAATCCTACCGAAAGTAAGTGGACATCGTCTTTGCGTCGTCATTCATATATTGCTGATGCCTTACCGATTCTTTTCTCATGCAGTGACGAAAAAGAAGAAAGCTGCCGAGTCGAGAAGAATGAACGAATCCTTCAAGGGGCGCCTAATGATGGGACTGCAAGGGAAAAAGGCGAAACGGCAGGCAGAGGCAGTGCATGTTCCGTCGGCGGGGGTTGATCCGAAAGATCAAACCCTTGCCGATTGCCTGAGACAACTCAACACCGGGACAACGTCTGTTGGTGCGGCAGCGGTCGGCTCTACGCCGAGGCGGGGGCAGACTACCGACGCCTCCTTCTCCAAGGCTGAAGGTAAAAGGCCGATGACGGTGGATATGGAGGCGGAGCTGGTGCCCAAGTGGAGTTGGCAGGAGGAGGTGCCGAGGGTTACCCTTGCCGCCAAGGATGATGAGAACCCGGCGGAGCCAATCACGATTGCGTGTCCGTCGAAGGCAGTCCAGTTTGCGAACCACATGATCCTTGGTTCGCAAATTGAGCTGTCCGAGATCGAGGAGCTACCGAAGAAGCTCCTACGGGAGGAAGCAGGGCGTGCCTCTCCGTCTCCAAGCCTTCGGTTTGTTTCTCTTCTTTTCTCTTTTTTTCTTTTTTTTTTTTTTAAAAAAAAAACCGTTCAACACCATACTGACTTCTCTTTGTCTTTCAGGCTTCGATGGACATGTGGTTGTGCATGCGGCGGGCCATCAATGCTGCTGAGCGCGCCAAGAAAGCCTACGAGGATGGCCGGGCCAAGGTTGCTGAGGTTGGCAAAGCTCTCCAAGACCACGCTCATCTCGTCAAGGATATGCAGGCTGCCGAACGGCAAGTCAAAGCTTACGAAGCCAAGTTTGCTGAGATGACGGCGGCTCTGGAGGGTGCATAGCTGGTGGCTAAGGAGGCCTAGGAGGCAAAGGAGGCGGTTCATGTGGCCTTGGAGGAATTAGAGCGAGACAAGGCTTTGGAGATCGATGCTGCCGTCCAGGAGGCGATTAGAAGCTATCGTTTGTCGACCGAGTTCTCCGTCCTGCTGGAAAAGGAGGTGGGCTCGGAGATGGCGGATCTGCTTTACCGTTTCAAGCGGTACAATCCTGGGCGGAAGCTAAACCTTAACTTCATCGCCGATCTTCCTCCTCAACCGGAAGGTCTCACCGAGGAGATGATTGAAGACTATGAAGGGGAGGACGCCCCGGAAGAGGTCCCTGCCGCCGAAAGCTCTGCCCATGCCGAAGAAGTTCATGCCGATGCTGATCTTTAATAATTTATTTAATGTATTTTTGTACTTGACATGAGACAGTATTTCCGAACACCTTGATGCCGAGGGCATCTTTTTATTTAATGTTTTAACTTCTATACATTTGTTTGTGTGGTTTCACTATCGGTAGTTGTTAATTTAACTGTCTTAGTTGCCGAGGGCTCAATAAAGGTTAACTGCCGAAAGACTAGTTGAAACTAAAAACTCAAGTAAGCCTGCAATCGGTAAGTCACTTAAGACTTAACCATTTTAAATGCCGAGGGCTAAATAAACTAAATGTTTTAACTTGTCGAGGGAAAAATAAAAACTTATTAGCCGAAGGCTAGTCAACGAATAAATCCAAAGTGAACTTTGAATCGATAGGAAGCTGAAAATTAATCAAATTATTTGCCGAGGGCTAAATGATTGGTTAACTGCCGAAGACTAGTAAAAGAACAACTCCCAAGTGAACCTTTAATCGGTAGGATACTGGACTTAAGTGTTTAATTGTCGAAGGTTAGAAAGTGTTTATAAGAGTAGTATGCTGTGACCGATGGTCCCTACCGTATCTCTTTATTTAATGAAATAAATAAACACATTGAAGGTTGCGAATATATATGCCAAAGGATTTTTTTTCATTAAATATTGCTGAAGGCAAAGATAAGTTCAGAGTTCGTTTTACAATTAAAACCTGCCGTAGGCTAGGGAACTACTTGAAATAATACTTCAGATGTTCGACTTCCAAGGATGACTGAGGGTCTTGCCGTTGGAGTCTCTAAGGCGATAGGTTCCCGATCGGAGGATGCCGATGATCTCGTAAGGTCCTTCCCAGGAAGGTCCGAGGGTTCCTTCCGTGGGGTTCTTAGTTGCCACCGAGACTTTTTGCATAACCCAGTCCCCGATTCGGAAAGAGCGGGATCTGACTCTTGAGTCGTAGTACCGAGAGACGCACTGTTTGTAAGCTTCGTTCCCAAGGTTGGCTTACGCTCAGCGTTCTTCGATTAGGTCAAGGCTTAATACAAGTGCTTCCTCGTTCGCCTTTGGAGCAAAGGTTTCCGTTCGGTAGGTAGGCTCGCTGATCTCCACAGGGACTACCGCTTCTGAACTGAAGGCGAGAGAAAACTAGGTTTCCCCTATTGCCGTTCGGTAGGATGTCTGAATAGCCCATAATGCTTCTGGAAGCTTCTCCGGCCAAGCTCCTTTGGCTTTGTCAAGCTGCCGTTTTAGTAGTTTCTTGATGATTTTGTTTATTGCTTCGACTTGACCGTTCGACTAGGGGTGGGCTAGCGAAGCAAAGAACATATTGATCTTGAGGCGAGTGCAAAACTGCCTGAAGGATTCCGAATCAAACTGCCTGCCGAAACGACAGCAAATGTGGGTCCAGATGAAGTCCTCCATTCTGGTTGCCGTTATAGTTGCTAGAGCTTCGGCTTCCCATTTGGTGAAGTAATCCACGGCAACTACGGCGTATTTGACCTAGCCTTTGCCTTGCGGCATCGGACCGATCAAGTCTAGTCCCTATTGGGCAAAAGGTCATGGGCTTATGATCGACGTTAAGGGTTCGGCAGGGACTTGAGCTACATTACGGAACCGTTGGCATTTGTCGCACTTCTTCACTAACGCGTTCGCATCTTGGTGCAAAGTCGGCCAGTAATACCCTTGCCGAAATACCTTATGTGCTAGCGATCGGGAACCAGAATGATCACCGCATACTCCACTGTGGATTTCCCGAAGGACATAGTCCCCTTGTCCGGCAGTGATACATTTCAGGTATGGTGTGGTATAGCCTCGTTTGTACAAGACATCATTGATGACTGTGTATCTTGCCGATCGGTACCGTAGCTTCCGGGCTTGAGACTTATCGATGGGCATATTTCCAGTCATTAAGAAAGCATAGATTGGAGACATCTATGTGTCTTCGTACCGTACGGTACATACTTCAGCAGCTGCCGTGCTTGGTTGGGATAATATCTCCACCGGCACCTTCCTTCCGACCTTGTCGCTTGGCGTCGGCGTGACTGTTTTCTGATCTGGAGATCTGCCAAATCTGGTAGGCCTGGAATTTTTGTAGGAGTTGGTGGGCTGCCGATAGGTAGGCTAACATAGAGGCATCCTTGGCTGCGAAGTCTGCCGTTATCTGATTCACTATGAGCTGGGAGTCACTGTGAATGCTGATTTGTTTTGCGCTCATGCTCTTGGCTAGCCAAAGGCCGACCAAGAGATCCTCATACTTTGCCTCATTGTTGGAGGTTCTGAAGTTGAATCGAAGGGCATACTCGACCTTGGCTCCGTCTGGAGTAGTCAACACCAGACCAGCCCCACAACCTTGTTGATTTGAAGAGCCATCGACATGCAGAATCCATACAGGAACGGAAGAATCAAGGCATTCGGTATTCTGCCTTTCTGGTTTTCCGGCATCAGCATCTGAAATGGCAGGTTCTAATGGTACCGTAGGTGTAAGCTCAGAAATGAAATCGGCAACAGATTGACCCTTCTCTGTAGGCCTGGGCTTGAATTGTATGTCAAATTCTCTGAGCTCAATCGCCCATTTTACCAATTGGCCGGATGTTTCTGGCTTTTGGAGTACCTGCCGAAGGGGTTGATTGGTTAGAACCGTGATCTCGTGCGCTTGGAAGTATGGGCGGAGCCTTCGAGCTGAGACGACGAGGGCTAGAGCTAGCTGTTCCAAGGGGGGGATACCGAAGCTCTGCAGCGCCTTGCTGACATAGAAGATCGGTAGTTCTGCCTTCTCTGGCTTTCGTATCAACACTGAGCTAACGACAGTGCTGGATACCGAAAGGTAGAGAAGGAGAACTTCTCCAGGAAGTGTTTTTGACAATAGCGGTGCTTTACTCATGTAGTTCATTAGGTCTTGAAATGCCTTGTTGCATTCGGCGGTCCACGTAATATTCTGTTTGCCCCCTTTCAAGGCTTTAAAGAACGGTACGCATTTATCGGTAGCCTTGGAGATGAAGCGGGTTAAGGCAGCGACACGCCCGGTAAGGTTCTGAATGTCCTTCTGCGTTTTTGGCCTCTCCATGTAGATTATGACCTTGATTTTCTTGGGATTTTATTCCATCCCTCTCTAACTGATCATGAACCCAAGAAACTTACTCGCAGACACACTGATGCCTTCTCCAGATGCTCCTCTGCCGTTCCGCTTTTCACCAACATATCGTCGACATACACCTCCATGATGCTGCCGATGTGTTTAGCGAAAATTCGATTGACAAGCCTTTGATATGTTGCCCCTGCGTTTTTCAGGCCGAACGACATGACGTTGTAACAATACAATCCACGGTCAGTGATGAATGCCGTATGCTCGCTGTTGGGAGGGTGCATGAATATCTGGTTGTATCCTGAATAGTCGTCCATGAAGCTGAGCAGTTCGTAACCTGCCGTCGCATCAACGAGCTGGTCAATCCTAGGTAACGGGAAGCTATCCTTCGGACAGGCCTTGTTTAGGTCTGTGTAGTCTTGGCACATTCACCATCCACCCTTGGGCAGACTGACACTACCGACTGGCTGGACCAGATCCCCGAAGAAACTAAGTAAAGGTGTTATCTGCCGATTGACCATGCTGTCGGCAATTTCCAATGAAACGACCTGACCCAATTTCCACTTTGGAATCCGGGTCGAAACCTATTTAAAACTGACACCTGGTAACCATGGGTCGCAAATGACCAAAATGCCCTGAACACAGTAACATAAACCCTAAGCCCTTAACTCGTGGCTGCGCCTGATAACTGTAGGCTGCCTACGTACCCTTTCTGAGGGATCAAGCCACACATAGTTCTTTGTTCTGTTCCTGATCTATAACTGAACTGTTTACTGTAAACCTGGTTCTCAGGTTGGCATTCCTGGAGTATCCGGGACTCCGTTTTATGATCCGTCAAACACTATACAATCCTAGCCAAGTCTAGATTACCATATCCGAAAATGGTTACGATCCAACGGTTCGAAACTATTGAACCCGGAAATCACACAATATGCGAGATCCGTTCGGGGTTCAAACGTTAACCAAATTGAGATCCGCGAATTCCTACGTGCTCGTGATGACCCAAGGATCATTCTAGAACTGAAAGTGGTCTCTACCAATCTGCCCACGCGCCGGCACCGCGTGGGTGGCTTGATCAATTCCTGGCAGTCTGAAAAACTCCAAACCACCGGCCCAAACTCCTAACTTAGGTAAAATACTCCATTTGGAACAACTTTTGTTCTTGGACATACCCCAAAAACTGGCCGAAAGTGGCCGAAACAGTGACCCGAAAATCTGCTGAAACCTAACTTAAACAATCGAATGATCTACGCTTGAAATCTTTGAAATCCTACACAACCAGCAGCTAGAGCATGAAAAATAGCTTGAAAACCATACCTCACTCGTCCGATTTGGTGGCCGGACGACGAAGAACGAAAGGTTGGAATTTCTGTCAAAAACTGTCCAGCACCGCCTGTTTCGTGGCTGTTTTCGGTGACTATGGCGACGGATCGAGGCAGTAAAGGGCTGGGGCTGGAAGAGGGAAGTTTCATGGTTCATTTGGCACTGAGAGAAAACAGCTCCCAAAGTCGGCTGGTCGTGCCCCTGAATCCAGAAATTTCTGCGTTTATATAAACTGAAGTTCGAAATATTTATGGTTATGCCACTGAACTTCTTTTAATCGTAACTCCTTCTTTACAACTCCAATTTGAGTCCACTACGTGTCTACAGACTCATCTCGCTGCGCTATACGCAACGGTATAACTGAAATCCCAAAATTCCTTCTCGGTCAAAAAGTTAACTTTTATACTATTAAAATATTCTAGGGGTATAGTGGTATTTTATTGGAATAAATTAATAATTAAATATTAATTAAGGACCGGGTTGTTACACCCAATCCTCTGAAGGCATCAGAAAAAATTACATTTACCGAGCTTCCAGTGTCGATCAATAACCTTCCAACATCGTAATCAGCGATTTCAAGTCAAATGATCATCGGGTCGTCATGGGGGTAAAGGATCCCTTCTTCCTCCTCTTCAAAAAACGTGATGGGCTCCCATCCTACCTTTGGAACTTTGCGGTGTCGGTCGACGTCTATGCCGAAGACTTGAGGGTAGTGCACATCCCGTACATATTGCTTTACCGATCAGTTAGATGGTCCGGCCAGAGTGGGGCTTCTGCTGATGGTGCTGATCATGTTTATCTGCCAATTCGCATTCGGGACCGGCGCATGCAGTGGTTTGGCGATGTACTGATACAATTTCCCCTCCCGAATCAGTCGTTTGACGATCTTCCTCAGACTTATGCAGTCTTCGGTGTTATGGCTGTTATACTGGTGGTATCGGTAGAATTTGCTGGTATCCCAATTATCCTGCCGATTGGGCTTTCGGTGAGTCGGCTTCGGTATGATTTCTTGCTCGTTCATCAATACGGCTTCGATGGTGGTATTCAGCAAGGTGAATACTTCCTGAGCACGGTCTTGATTCTGCAGTGGCGCACGGTGGTTGTTGCGACCGTATTTTCCTCGTTCTTTCTTAGAGCCACCCTGCCGATTATCACAGTCGTCCTTCCGTTTGTGTCCTGCCGATGGTTCGTCAGTTCTCCTAGGGGTGTACGGTGATCCTTGCCCAGGATAGCTATTCGTGGCTGGTTCCTCCTACCGAGCCGAAGGCCCGGACTTTGAGTTGAAATATTCAGCCTTGGCGTGAATTGCCACTTGCTTCATCAGTTCGTCATAGGTGCGTCAGTTGCTACTGTGCACGTGGTACCGAAAGTGTGAGGATCGAAGGCCACTCTTGAAGGCGCCGTAAGCTACCCTATCGTCTGTTTCCAGACATCTCGAGTATTCGTGACTGAAGTGTGCAACGTATTCTCGTAAGGGCTCATCTTCTCTCTGCGAATCGTGTACAGATCATCGACAGAGTACAGACGATCTGTTTGGATCATAAAGTGATTGAGGAAAATATGTTTTTGTTCGTTGAAGGAGTCCACCGTTTATGGTTCCAATCGGAAGAACCAATTCAATGCCGCCCCTGTAAGTGCCGATGGAAATAGCAAGCATTACCCTTCAACACTGAGCCCCTTGCATCCTATTGCCGATTGGAAGGAGTGAAGATGCGTTAAGGGGTCTTCCACCCCTATGTAGAATGGTATACGTAGAGGTTGTATGTCTCTAACCTGCCGTGATCGCTTGATATGTTCGGTAAATGGTCCGGCCGAAGCTTTCCCCAGTCTGGTTCTTGAGAGCGAACTCGGTCGTTTTCCATTGTTTGTAATTTCTGGAAGAGAAGTCGGACGATGGGATCTCGACTCAGGATTTCCTCGGAACTGTAGTCTTCCAAAAGTTTTTGGGGGCTTACGGGCCCAGCCTTCGAGTACCTCGTTGGCGTTGCCGAACGGTATGTGGAACTAGTCTTGGAAGGGACATACTCGGAATCTAACTCTTCAGTGGATTGTAAGCCCCGAGCCTTCCAAATCGGTGACTTATTTCCCAGGGCTTTCAATCGTGAGTCTCGGAGTTTTGCGTTGATTGGCTTGAAGTGAAAAGCCTTTGCTTCCTCCCAGCGGCGTAGGAATTCTCCCAAAGAAAGTCAACATTATTAGCTTGAGAAAATCGTTAATATTAACATAATATATATTTTTAATTGTATAATTTAGGGAAATAGCACTTAATTCCACCAGTTTTTTAATTTTAACTGGAAATACTGCATGTTTATGCAGAAAAATAGTTCGGCACTTTCCCGCGCATGATCTGCAAGATAACAAACGCTCGGTAAGACCTAGGGCACCGGTGTGGTACAGGCCGAAGGCTCTCCGATGCTTAAGTAAGTACGGATTTAGTAAAGTTGAACTACAGATCAATAGGCAATATGCCGTGAGTTCTGATTACCTCCATTTTGGGGAATTGTGCTTCTTTTATAGACCTTGGGAGGTGTGCAAGTTGTGTAGAATTTCGATGTATGATTGTAGACATCGATTGTGGGCTTGCCACATGTCCTAGGAGAGGAGGTTGCCCTAATCGTTGGATCGGGCAAGATGGGTGCCGAAGCAAGGTGCCGAAGGCTACCAAAGACTCAATCTTGTCCACGCGTCCGATTCTCATTGGCTGTTCATTTTGGTATAAACACCGCCTTTCTCCACAAATTTTGCAAATATCACCTATAAATATATATTTATTGTCCACTTATTGTACACATAACACTTTTTTCTGAAATTTAGTTTTCTCTCCCAACTCTCTTGGCTCCGTGTCTCTCTGTCGCTCAGCTCTCACTCTCTCTTCACTCTGTCTCTCTGTCGCTTAGCTCTCACTCTCTCTTCACTCTTTCTCTATCGCGTGCTGCTCTCTCTCTCTCTCTCTCTCTCTCTCTCTCTCTCTCTCTCTCTGACGCAATGCTCTTCCTCCACCAGCGGTGTCTGTTCATCGAAGCTCAACTTCATCGTTCACCTCCAAAAGGTACTGTTCATCATCATTTTCTTAGGATTTAGGGGTTTCTCTAAAGTTGGTTTAAGGTTTATGAGTTTCTATGAAATTGGTTTAGGGGTTTCTTCGAAATTGGTTTAGAGTTTAGGGTTTTCTTTTAAATTGGTTTAAGGTTAAGTGGTTTCTCTGAAATTGGTTTAGGGGTTCTCTGAAATTGGCTTATTTACTGTAGTGCCCCTTGAATTTATAGTCAAATCTCATTTTACCTCCTGAAAGTTAAAGTGACCCAGAATACCCCCTTGACCAACGATTAGTGGTTCACTCTGCTCCCCACTATTAACTCTGTTAAAAATGCTGATGTGTGTCACCTAAAGTGAAAAAAAAATATAAAAAAAAATTTAAATAACAAAAAAAAAAAAAAAAAAAAAAAAATTACATTCTCTCTTCTCTCTCCCTCTTTCTTTCTCTCTACCTGAGTCTCGACCTTCTCCCCCCACCAACAAATAGGTAAACGTTAATGGTAAAGAAAAGCAGCAAAGCACATGTCATTACAGAAATTCTTGTGTTTGAATTTTATTTACTGAAATTATGTGCTTGAATTTTAAGTAGCAAAGCACATTCCCAAATCGAAAGGCAAACCCATTCAAACATCATACAAATCAAGCAGGATAATACCCAAAACCATTCAAGAAATCAAAACCAAGAGGGCTGGGGCGCTCTTTTTGTTTAAAAATTAAATTTTGTTTTTGTTTTATGGTTTAGAAAATATTTGGATTTTTTGGGTTCTGTTTGGTTGGCAAGAAAATTTCAACAGGAAGTTGAGATTTTGGAGGTGGATTTCGTTGGGGAAGGAGTGGTTTTGAGGATTTTTAGGGTTTCGTTCAAATTCAATATGAAATGGTCAATATATCGCGATATTATCGATAATATCGCGATATTAAACTGAAAAAGACAAGAAAAATGTTGAAAAGCCTCCATCTTGCGCATAGAGAGTTTCAAACCCCCTCCCTTTCTCATCAAAGCCAGCACCTTATCCAACTCAGCTGCGGCTGAGTTTGTGCATATATCTTCAACTTGTAATATTTATAAGGTCTTTAAAAATGTCTGCAAGCTAATATTATCTAAGATAAATTTCCATATTAAAAAAATTCCCTAAGAATAAAGTTAAGCATATATTTAATGTTATTTATTATTTTATAATGGAGTAGTATTTTGTGGTTATTATATATTATGGAGTTTTATTATTATTCACTTCGAGTTTTAATATTGTTCATTATATGTGATACTAAGTTTGAATTTTAATAATTATTTCTATGTGGTACTAAGTTACTCATACATTTTATCTTTGTTTTTTTGATTAAGCTCATATATTTTATCATATGTATCAAGTGTAATATATTGAAGTACATTATTATAACTAAAAAATTATGGTGTGTTTAATTTTCTTTCATTAATTACTACATATTTTCTAAAGTCACAGTGTTTGTCAGGTCGCTACATAATCAACTTAACTCACTCAAACCCACCATGCCATGCATTTCCTTCCAATTTTTTGTGATAAAATAATAGACAATTACTAAGTAAACACCCTCTAAAGTTTCCATAAAAATTTCCAAGTTTTTCTCAAAATTTCCATGATTTTTATTCAATTTTTATCGATATCGATATTTCCTCGATATTTCCATCGATATATCCGTGTTTTTGGACCACCGATATTTCCGAAACTCCCGATACTTTAGACCTTGGTGATGACTACCCTAAGTGGGTTGGTTGGGGGAGGGAGTCAAGTACAGAGAAAGAAAGAGGGGGAGAGAAGAGAGAAGGGAAGAGAGAAGTAATGTAATTTTATAATTTTTTTTTCAAATAAAATATTGTATTATATTTTTCACATGTGACACTTACATGGCATATATTTTAACAAAAGAAAAGACCCTATTTGAGTCACATCAGCATTTTTAATAGAATTTTTGACAGAGTTAACAGTGGGAGGCAAAGTGAGCCACAAAATCTTGGTTAATGGGGTACTCTGGGTCACTTTAACTTTCATAAGGTAAAGTGAGATTTGACTATAGTTTCAAGAGGCACTACAATAAATAAGCCTAAAAAAATTCAAATATCATATTGGGTTAGGAATTGAAAACACAAGGAGCCCTATTTCATTGTTTCTCTTGTCAAAGGGCTTTTTTTTTTCAAAAAGTGAAGTAGACGACATAGAAGCACAATGTCCTGCCCTAAACCAAGAATGCAAAAACAAAAAAACATATTAGATGCATCTTTCTTTACACTCCATCGTTAATTAACAATGTATAGTGAAATCTACTGAACGCGATCATGGGAAAGGGATTTAATAAACCCGTCTAAGCTGATGACGTTCTTTCTCTTTAAAAACTGGGAGTACCAGTGAGCAGAGAGTTTGGGTTGTCTTCTTAAATCGGGGTCATCCAAATCGATGTAGTAGAGGCCGTAGCTCGATTCATAGCCGTCCAACAGCTCAAGGGAATCCAAGAAGGACCATACAAAATAGCCTCTGACGTTTGATCCATTCCTTCCAAAGTAAATATTTCATAGCATCCATTAGTAATTTTAAAACAGGTATTATATCTTTCCGCATCTCATAAACACCTTTATTTGGGCATGGCCAGTTAGCCTTTACAAAATGGGGAGAACATGATAAATCATATAACCCTCGGCTTAAATTATAATCGACAGAAAATAGGAATACCTTACAGCTTCAAGCAAAGCTTAGATGTGTCCGTCCAAATATTTCACCCTTGGCCAATCCTCTAATGATGAATTGCGTCGAGTTCGTTGACCTAAAATATATTGGATGCCAGATTTTTTCATTAAATTTCACCATTCTGAAGAGTTTATTTGTTTTTATCTTTTTGCTGCGTTATGTTTTCTCACATTATATATGTCTTCATATAAATGCACTCTAGCAGTACTTTGATTAAAATTCCAGCAGTTTAGGGGGGAGAGAGAGAGAGAGAGAGAGAGAGAGAGAGAGAGAGAGAGACCATTTTCATGGATATATATTGGAGGATTTCCATAGTTTTGCTTGACATATTCCAGCAGTCGTTGCAGGCCCCAGGGAGTTATTGGAAACTGAAATCAAAGAAACCGATCGGTATTAAGGCTCTGAAATTAACCCCATAAGCAGTGAATTGATTACGTTCAAGCTTCTACCTCAAATGTTGTATCATTTTGTAGACCTGCACGTGAAATTAAAGAAAGTTTGAAAGCTATCACATGAACAATGCACAAATATTCCTTGCGCATGCATGAGCAATGAACAAAAAGAAAAAAATGAACGATGCACAAACAAACATCACAAACACAAAAAATGAACATTGTGATTTCGAAATATCTTCATACAGGCTAATTTTGTTTATGATATGCTTTAGCATATTTCGGTCATTCATATCATATTTGGGACTACACACTCCTTGCCTATGCAGTGTCTGCTTGAAATGCTGAGTTTTCTAGGGTTTGCGTTGTACTTTTATTTTTAGTAAAAAAGGAAAAGGAAAAGAAAAAGAAAAAGAAAAAGGCATCAGCATGGTACAGAAAATTTACAAATTTGAACAGAAAAAGGCATCTGTATACATACTACATCAGTTTTCTCCCTGCACAACATGCATCCTTTAAAGAAAGGACATCCCAGTAAAATATTTCTAACATAATATCTCTTTATTTTTTCTATCAACGCTACTGGCACATTCTAGGGGACAAGGTGTCATGCAAGTGCTTGCATTTATTGAATGGAGAAAGCAGTGTCCAAGAATTTAATCACACTCTAATCTCCTTAATTCCTAAGGTGCAGACACCCTCCAGAGTGACTGAATTTAGACCAAAAAGCCTATGTACAGCGATTTACAAAATTATTGCAAAGGCTTTTGCAAATAGACTCAAGTATTTATTGCCTTCCGTTATCTCAGAGTCGCAAAGTGCTTTTGTACCCCCAACATCTAATTCTTGATAATGTGATGGTAGCCTTTGAGACAATTCATTTTCTGAAAGGTTTAAAGAAGGGGCAACAAACAAAGATGGCCATTAAACTTGACATGGCTAAGGCCTATGATTGAGTAGAGTGGTCTTTTTTGCAAGCAATGATTTTGAGATTGGGTTTTGATTCAGAGTGGGTAAAACGGATAATGGACTGCTTAACAATAGTCACTTTTTCGATGCTTTGGAAAGGTAATCCATTCGGGCATGTTATTCCTCAGAGAGGGTTAAGACAAGGGTGCCCCCTTTCACCATACCTATTTTTAATGTGTGCTGAAGGCTTTTCAAGGATGTTGCAAGATAAAAAATGGCATGGAAGGGTCCTCGGTACAAGATAAAAAATTGTTATGGAAAAAATTGTGGAGTTTGCAGGTGCCTAATAAGATCAAATTCTTTCTATGGAGATGTATATGGGGGTTTTTTCCGTAGCAAACAAAATCTTTACTATAGGAAGATCTTGAATTCTCCTAGTGTCAAATGTGCTTGGTTGATTATGGTACAAACAGTAGTCCCTCAAGTTGCCAATCAGAGGTACCGTCGTACCAATTTGCAGGGGAAAATGATCCTGGCACAAGTCGTGTGTGAGCCCCCTACACTATCGGCACGGAGCCTGCCGATCGGTAGGGTTGACATCATGCACGAGTAGTGCGTGAGTCCCATACCTGATCGGCACAGAGCCTGTCGATCGGTAGGGTTGACGTCATGCACGAGTCGCGCTCGAGTGTTGCCATGTATGTATTAGTCTAAGTAGTGGGAGTCGAACAAGCTTCGTTGGTGTGGAAATCGAGATGTTAGTGCGAGCAGTTGAGATGTAATAATGGCGACGGTTCGTAAGTTGAGGCGTCGGTATGGCTGGCACCTATAAAATGGCTTCAAGGGGAAGGAGTACTTAACATTTGAGAGTCATTTGGAGAGAATAGGAATAAGCAATTTCCAGTGAGATTTTGAGTGAGGAAAGGCGAGGTGATTTCCTGCGAATTCTACAGTGGCAATAACAAGGTATTTTCGATTTGCTTCCCTCTTTTTTAATTGAAATGCACATTTTAGGTGAAGTTTTGCATGAACCTTTGAAATTATGCATGAACATTTGAAGATCGTCCTTAGAGTAAAATCCTAGGCATTCCAACCGTTAGGTATTTTGCTTCGAACTTTGGCCTATCGTTTAGTATCGTTCATTTATGTTTGTAGATGTCTGATAGTTCTGATAAAGAAGTGAAAAATCCTCAAGCCTTTGGTGGGGAAGAAACGAAAAGTGAGGGGCGTACCATTACTGAAGGTGCTAGTAATGCAAGCATCGAATATGAAGTTATTGTGGAGGGTTTGGTAGAAGATGGTAGGGTGGTGGTGGATAGGGTTGGGGTAGAAAAGCAATCGGTAAGCTATAGGGGTGAAGCTTATAAGGAGATGCTAAGGAATTATGTTACACTACAGGCGATGGCCAATCGAGTTCTTGAAATGCCTCATACACCTGAAGTGGGGTCAAGCAACCAGGCGGGACCATCTGGGTCTTGTAATGTGGTGGTAGCTTCTACGCTAGCTGGAGTGGATGTTCCAGTGGGGGTTCCACTACCGAAGAGAAACAAGATGAACTTATATGAGTTGGAAGAGCTCAAAACAGATTTTCTCAGCAATGTACAAATATAGGATCAGGTTGTCGTTACATCCCTGGGTGCAGATGATGTTGGCAAAGTTGGGTTATGCGCCAGGGCAATATAACCCCAAACATGTATTCCGTCTCCAGACAAAAGGGAAATTTTGGATGGGTTCAGGCTAATTGTTGAAAGGCGAAAAAGAGAGGTTACTTAATAGGGTGCATGATTTCGTCTCAGAAGTCATGGAGGAATCGGTTGTTCCTTACCTTCAACGATTGGGAGTCCTTTATAAGAGGAAGACCATTAACACACATGTGCCTACCCATTTCCAATCTATAAGTTCTAATTTTGTTGCTTGCATGTGCTTGTATGAATTGCCATGCTGCCGATTGGTATAAGTGATGATGGGCTAGTTTTAGCAGCCTTAGATAAGAAGAAAAAGGGCTTAGAAGCTGCCATAAAGGATGTCATGGGTAACGAGCCAGGGCTGCCTCCGTTCGACTTGGAGCCCCTTCCCCCCCTCCATCGCGGAAACTTCCACTCGGCATGGAGGAGTTGTTCTCTAAAGATGCCGAAGATATTTACTTTGCAGCGGTTCGGCGGCAGAAGAAAGAGGTGACGTTGGCCATGCATAGTCAGCCGGTGCCCCTGGTAAACGCCTTCCTCATTGGGGTGAAGATTGATGTTGGGGAGCTGGCTCATACTAAAGCTACCAGCTTCTCAAATCGTGTGCAAAAGACAGTCCTGTCTTCGGCCAATGTAAGCACCGAAACTATTTGTTATTGTTTGCTAACAACAATTGTTTTCTGACAACTGTGCGGTAATCTGCAGGCTTTTGGGGTAATGTATTTGACCCTAGCTAGGGCAGATAAGGAGGTGGCGATGGCGAGGCGTCAGACGGAGGCAGTGAAGGCTAATGCTGCCGAAGCCCAAGGCTCAATTCGTGAGAAAAGAACCCCTTGCAGCTAAAGACCAATAGGTTTGAAAGGGAGTTCAAGGAGCGAAGAATCTGGGGGTGGCAGAGGAGGCTGTGGTCGAAGCCGACGAAAGTGGAGGAGGTCACTGCTACTCATACCGAGGTAGTGAAGGAGTACAAGGCTACGGATGATTTCAATAACCTTGTACTCGATAGGATGGTAAAGAAGCAATTTGGTTGGGATAAGCTTATGGCGAGGTTCAATCCTACGATGGAGATAAACTTTGATGCCAGCAGCGTTCCTCCTCCCATCCCTCTTGGCAAGGAATGGATGTTTGCTTCCCCATTATTTGCCGATACAGGTATTTCGCCCAATCATGAAGCTAATGCTGGTGTCGAAGGTAGAGGTGGTGGCGAGACCAAACACATCGAGCAGATTACTGAAGAGGTCCGGGGCATGGATGCCGAAGCCTAAGGGCTTGTATGTTTTGTTTGTGTATGTAACATGTAATTTATTTAAACAATTTGAGAGTGTCAATAATACTCATTTTTGTATGGATATGTTGCCCTGCCATAAGGCGAGGTTATTTTGGTATAAATTGTCGTATAGTTTAACAAATGTCTTGTTTAAATGATAATCGTACGTGTGTGTCGAAGGCAATTGTATTAGTCGAAATGAGTCAAGGTCAGGCGGTTCATTAAGTAGATGCCAAAAGGCATAAGTATATAAGAAGTTTGTTAAAGCGTAAAACATAAGTGTCAAAGGTAAGATCCTTGGAGTATTTATTGGTAATAATACTTAAGATAATCAGCATTCCATGGGTGAGGTAAGGGCTTACCGTTGGAACCACGAAGCTGGTAAGTGCCGGGGTGGCATACATTAATGAGTTCATAGGGTTCTTCCCAAGTTGGGCCAAAGTTACTTTCAGCAGAGTTCTTAGTTGCCAATGAAACCTTGCACATGACCCAGGTTGAGAGGCAACTGCTTTTCATTGGCTTCGGCGTCATATGCTGACGTTCGATAGGAAACCCGGCTGATTTCTACTAGGACCACCGCATTAGTGCCAAAGGAAAGAGAGAAGGGTGTTTCTCCAGTAGAAGTGTGAAAAGTTATTCAGTACGACCATAAGGCCTCTAGGAGTAGTTTAGGCCAACCACCTTTGACTTTGTCAAGCTTTGTCTTCAAAGTCTTCTTGATGATCTTGTTAATTGCTTCGACCTGGCCATTAGATGGGAGATGGGTAGGAGAGGCGAAGCAAAGGTGGATCTTGAGATTTGAGCAGAAGTTGGCATTATCAAATTGCTTACCGTTGTCAGTGAAGATTGCCTAGGGTATACCAAAGCGACAGATGATATTTTGCCAAACGAAGTTTTCAATAGGAGCTGCTGTGCTAGTAGCTAGGGCTTCAGCTTCAGCCCACTTGGTAAAATAGTCCACAACAACAATGTCCAATGAGGTCGAGTCCCCACTGTGTGAATGGTCATGTCATTGGTGTTAACGATTCAGCAGGGAGCTGAGGGATGGCAAAACTTTGGCATTTGTCACATTTCTGGGTGAAGACTTGGGCATCAGTATGGACAATAGGTCAAAAATATCTTTGCCTAATGACCTTGTGAGCGAGAGATCGGGCACCAAAATAGTTGCTACAGATGCCCTTATGGATCTCCCAAAGGACATAGTTGTCTTCTTCTAGTGTGAGGCACCGAAGGTAGAAGAGGCTGAAATTGCACTTGTATAAGGCGCCATTAATGATTAGGTATCGGGCTGAAAGATATCGAATGCGATGTGCTTCAGCAAAGTCGCAGGCAACGTTTGATTCTGTAGGAATTGGAATGTGGGATCCATTTATGTTGCACTGTGGTTAATGGTGCAGATGGCAACCGTTTGTGTGCTGGGTGCCTCTATGAATTCAATGTGGATCTTACAAACGAGGCTTCGGTCCGTGGACGAAGCCAACCTTGCCAAGACATCAACGTGGTTGTTCTCATAGTGTGGGATCTGACTGATGCGATAAGCGTTGAAGGTTTACAGCAACTGGTGGGCATACTGGAGGTATGTTGTTATGAAGGTGTCTTTGGCAAGGAAGTCACGATTGACTTGATGAATAACCAGCTGAGAGTCGTTGAATATCTGAAACTATCTAGCTCTCATGTCTTTGGCTAGCTAAAGACCGGCTAATAGTGCTTCATATTCTGCCACGTTGTTGGTGGTCTGAAAGTTGAAGGGTGTATCCCAAAACCTCCTTATCTAGAGAGGTGAGGACTAAGCCAACCCCACAAGCTTGGGAGTTAGAAGATCCATCGACATGAAGGGTCCATAATGGCTCACTGAGGTCAAAGTTGCTTGCAGCAACAAGATGGACGAGATTCGAGGTTAGCGTAGGTTCGGCAATATTAGTGGTCGTCTTTAACAAAGAAAATCACTATATAATATACACATATATAAGCAAAAACTTACGCATAATCTTTGCTGCTAAGTCTGCATTAAAGTCTCTCTTTTCCGTCTTCAAGATGCTAGAGTAGTCCTTGGCGTATAATGTGTTATAATAATTAATTCCCAGGAAGTCACATGAACCCTTCACAATTTGGGACTCCAAACTAGTAAAGGCAGGAAGTCTAGAGCCTGCGTTCTTTTTCATTACATCAGGGTAATCTCCAAACACCAAGGGATTCAAAATCCTACAACACAAAACAGATACATGAGAATTACACTTTGGATGATATCGCATTTGAAGACAACTAATAAATTATCAATATCCATTGAGGGGCCCCTTAAATAAGCTTATTTGAGGGACATCCTTGCAGGGCCCATTCCGCATTGTATTTCACTAATCCAAACCGTCTATTTTCTAGATATTCATTCAAAGATCTCTACAAAAAAATCACTTGAATCCAATATCATTTAACCATTCAATTAAATTATTGAAATTTAAGTACTTTCTTTAAGCAACGTGTTCATTGATTTTGTTGGTCTCGATTAAATGACTTAATGATTTTCAATTTGCATGATTTTTTGCAAGGATGATCTCTAAATGAATATGTGAAAAATAGATGGTTTGGATCGTTGAAAAAAAAATTTGTAGGCGACCCTAAAGGGTGTCTCTCAAATAACAATATTTTAGGAACACCATGTTAGGCCCCATTTCACATTATATTTCAAACAAGCATGTATGTAGATTAGAAGATAACTGTTACATATATATATGTATATATATAGAGAGAGAGAGAGAGAGAGAGAGAGAGAGAGAGAGAGGTGGAATTCCACAATTCCACTTTTTATGTAAGTTTCAGACTTACCAACCAGAATAAAAGTCGAAGGCTCTTTGGGCCGCAAGTTTATCTTCAATTGTTTTTGTTAGAGGAACATACCAATAGGCAAATACATTGATTCCTACAAATCCACGTTGCTTGTCCTGCATCCCAAAAATTTCATTACATTGATCAAACTTTATTTTTTTGTGAGAAGTCTTCTTTTATTAGGAGCCTTAATGTTACTAGTAGTCTTTGTTTTATTGGGTCTGGTATCTTTCAGTTTCTTTATCTTTTAGTTTATGCTCGTCTGTATTGTTTGCTTTTTGAATGATCTTATCTTTTTCACTACATAGTATAAGTAGGAGGGCAACAATCTATTGCAGAGTTTTCACTTCTTATATATGTTTTTTCTAGGACCTTTTCTATTGAGAGGGGCAATAGCATACTTAACTCACACACACTACACGGATGCTAAAACTCGAACCCAGGACCTTCTGGGAGGAGCATTTGCTCTAAATCACTACAATAGTGGGTTCTTTGCTTCTTTTATATGTTTTTAACTGAAAGGAAACTATTGTAGATAAATTATGATGTAGAGTAGGGATACAAAAAGAATTGCCAAAATAGTTGTGAAGTCTTGTCTACTATTTGTCTCTTGATATTCCCATTTACCCTCAATTTGTTTTTGTTTTTTTGGCTTCTAACTATAGTCTTACTTGTAAAGGTTTGATGTTCTTAAAATAAAATCGAAAGGCCTAAGTGACAGTAGCCGTGAAACTTTTGTACAACCATTGGATTTCAGGACATAAAACATTTGAGGATTGTATTCTCACTATCACAAAGATAAAAGGTTTTATAATTACCTGGTACTTTTTCTTGTACAATCTAGCTGCCGATGCATGAGATAGCAATAGATGATGAGCTACAATGTATGGCTCTACTGAAGAGTTACCCCTAGAACAATTCACACCAAATGGAGCTGAACACCGTTGTGGCGGAAGAATTCCAATATCATAACCCCCAAGTGAAAAAATATTAGGTTCATTCATGGTAGTCCAATACAGAACTCTGTCGCCAAAAATTTTGAAGCATACATCTGCATATGCTGTGAAGTCTTTTCTGCAGCCATAAAATTGTTTAATCACATTCGTTTTGTTTCGTCTTGATGCATTAAATTTACAAACAAAAGGTAAGAAACTATACACAATCTCTCGACCAACCCATCCTCCATACTCATCTTCAAGTGCTTGTGGGAGATCACTGTGGTGTAAAGTAACATGTGGCTGAATTCCTGCTTGAAATAAAGAATACGTAGATCAGTGCTTTGGAAGTGGCATTTTTGTTTTTAAACCCCAAGGAAATTGTAAAATTAATGCAGATAGTAACCATTGCTGATTAGTTCATCAATAAGATTGTTATAATACTGTACACCCTTCGGGTTGACAGGTCCTTTTCCATCTGAAAGAAAAAGAAAATTTAATACTCAAGTGCGACAATAATAAAAGAACCTTAAGAACCGGAAATCGCTTCTTGTATGTTTAAAATGAGTATCAATTGGATGGTCATACTTGGGATAAGTCTTGACCATGATATTTGTTGATGCTCTTTTTCGGAGAGGGTCAACTTAGAGAAAAAAGGGGTTTGCCTTCAGCAGGGAAAGGGTCTGGGCCTTCAATAAAGGCTAGCCTGCAGAAGACAAAAATAGGGGAAGCAGTCGTCAAGCTCCGGGCACCGGTGTGGTGCCGGCCGAAGGCTCTCCGATGCTTAAGTCAGCTAAGAAGGGTAACTTTTGCAGAGTAATAGTAAAAGGCAGAAAAGTAGTTACCCCTCTTACTAGGGTATTGTTCCCTTTTTATAGGGGAGTGAAAGTGGGAGGTTGGTGTAGATTTCCGATGTGGGACTCTGTGCAAGTTGCCGCGGTGGTGACACGTGTCATGAGAATTAGGTTTAACAGTTTGTGAGCTTTTGGCAGTCGGGAGTTTCGGCAGGTGCTTGGCACCTCGGAAGAGTGTCTTCCTTCGGTAGGAGAGAAGGCGTGTCTGCCTTGGTGCTAGTTGTTTTGAGACTGGATATGCTCGGTTGATTATGGTGTAAACAGTAGTCCCCCAAGTTCGCGGTCAAGAAGTGACTTTTGGGTTGGGAACTTGTAAGCTTTTGTGTGATCATGACCGAGCATTCCAGGTTCAGTGGGAGCCGTAGGGCAGTCCTTAGTCCCCCAAGTTGTCAAGCTAGAAGTGGCGTTAACACTTGGAAGGTATAAGAAAAGCTGTGTTAGCCTCAGTGTTTGTTGGTAGCTGGGTACCTTTAAAAGAAAAGTAGACTTGGGTTTTTGAAGCTTCAGTAAGAAAATCTGTGGGCCTTAGTGTTTATGACCCGGGTCCTGCCGTTTGGTAACTAAGTGATGATTTTGAGTAGAAAAGGCCTGGGTCCCAAAAGATTGGGCTGAAGCTTGAAAGAGAAAAGAATATGGGCTTCCATTTTTCCATTTTCCTAGCCCCCTTGCCATTCGGGGCCCTTTTTTTTTTTCGAATGGCCAAGTGGTATGGGCTTGGGTAATTGGGGTTGGGCCATTGAGGCATCTGAAATTAGGGGCTGCCATGTAAAAAGTGGCCCAAGGTGAGCTGGGGCTTCGGCAAAAAGAGAAAAAGGGTAACAAGGGGTTGAGCCCGTGAGTTTAGTTGTGAGGCCTTGGCTATAGTAGGGTGCTAGGTTGAGATGAGGATTGGTGTGCCTCCTGTATTTAGTTTTTATGAAACCTGCCGTTCGGCAAGCAGTAGCTAGGACCTTTGTGGAGCAAAAAGGCTGGGCTGTTTTGTTGGCTTAGGTAAGTGAAACGCTAGGTTTAGATTTTGTGGGGAAAGTATAAATGAGTTTCACTAGCCCTTGCCGTTCGGCAAGCAGTAGCTAGGACCTTTGTGGAGCAAAAAGGGGCTAGGCAAAAAGGCTGGGCAGCTCACGGTTTCAAGGGGATTTTTGAGCAAATCTTGGAGCATCCATTTTTAGTCCCCCATTTTCCTTCCACACAGCCCTTGCCGTTCGGCAAGGGTGTGTTTTGTTCTTGAGCTGGCTCTTGAGAGTTGAGTCTTGGGAGGAAGAGATCGGGGCTGGTACCGTCCGGCAAGGAGGAGCCTGGAGGGAGGCTGGTTTCATCTTGTTCACCCCTCCGCTGGTGAGCTCAGAGTTCGGCAAGGGTGTGTTGCCGGGCCGTGGCTTCACATCAACCATTTCGGCAGGTGAGACTTGGCCTTCTAGCTTCGGCAAGAGTGGAGCTGGGTTCGGAGTTGGTTCTTGGAAGGAAAAAAATCGGAGCTGGGCCCTTGGCCAGTTGAGGCTACACGAGCTGGATCTCTTCGAGTCTCTGGTCTTTGGCAGTGCTTAGGTAGGTTCCTGTTGAATTCACCTCTTGATTTGCTGAACCCTTGCCGAACGGCAAGGGTGGTGTGAGTGGGTTTTTGTGGTGGTCCTCAAAAGTTGGGTGGGCTGAGTCACATGAGCTGGTCGTGACTTGGAGCTAGGCATCTTGGCAAGAGGGGCCGGTCCAATTTCGGCTCAGAGTTAGTGAGGCTGCGGCCACCTTGGCTCGGGTCGAGGTGAATATTTTAGTGAGTTTGTGAGCCTCCAAAAACCTGTTCACGGAGCCTGCCGTTCGGCAGGTTCCTTTTGGTTTGGCTCCTAGAAGGAGGATTGGAGCTGGTCTTTCGAAATAGAGCTGGGTTTGTTGGGGTGGGTGTCTGTGAGCATGTTTCTTCTTTGAACTTCTCTTTCTTTTTTGTTGTTTTTTGTTTTTTTGAATCCTTGTAGGAATCGGCTGAGCTGTTGGTGTTTTCTTTGGCAGATTTGTCGTGACTTTTGGAGCTGAAACTTAGAGCTGGGTCTTTATTGCAGCTTGGGTGTCTTGATCAGTTTGGAGCTGGGACCCGTTGCAACCTTTTGGGTGTCTAGAGCAAATCATGGCTCCTCTGTCTTGAGTTGGTTCCAAGTCTTGAGCAGTTTTTACAGAAATTGTCGTTCGGCAAGCGCTTGGGTTTCAGCTCAACCAAGCTTCGGCAAGCAAGGCAAGGTTCAGCTGACAAGGACTTGGTTTGGTGACCTGGAATCGTGACCTTGGTGAGCTGTTCTTCAGTTTGTGTTGCGGCTCTTGCCGTTTGGCAAGTGTAGAGAGGAAGGGAAGAAAATTGGAGCTAGGTCCGAGGTATTGGTGTTGTGGTTTCCCGGGATTCTCGAGCTTGGGCTTCTATCTTGGGTGCTGGCAGATTCAGCAAGTAGGGAGGAGCTGGGCACCGAGGGTCTAGGCCCTTAGTGGTTCGGCATCTTTGCGTTTTGGGTGTCTTGAGCAAATCGGAGCAGGGGCTGGGTGATTAAGCGAGTCGGGACCTCTTTGTGCACGGGTATGTAGCTTGGGTCACGTTCGATAGCTGAGCTCTTGGGCTTGGCCTTTGGTGAGCTTAGGAACTTGCGGTTGTCTTTTTGTTTTTAAGCTCAGCCGGATCCGCTTGGTGCTGGAGCATTCGGCAAGCAGAGATTTGAAGGTGCCTTGAGCACTTTGGTTGAGCTGGGCACTCGGGTCTCTTGAAGTCATTTTTACAAATTTGGAGCTAGGCTCCTTGAGAGTTTTGGGGCTGAAGCGCTGATCTCTGGGTCCTTGCAGCTGGGCTGTTTGGGCAGATTTGGCTAGTGGGTGCCTTGAGTAGTTTTGAGGTGTGATTTTGTTCAATTTTTTTTTTTGCCTCCATTTCGTTGCTGCCCATCCCTTGCCGTTCGGCAAGTTGGCTAAGGCTCTATGTTTTGTAGGTGTCGGCAAAGTGGCTGAGGCACGGATCACCTAGAGCTGGGTCTTGAAAGTAAAACCGGATATTTAGAGAGGCTGGGCCCTTCCTTTGTGAAGCAGAGCTGGGCCTTGCGTGGCTGGGCTTTCTTTGAGAGATTTGGTGAGCCCTCGGATTTTGTTTTTTTTTGTGATTTTTCGTTAAAATCCCCATTTGGTTTTGGATAGCCTTGGTGAGCTTGGGCTTCCAAGTAATAGTGTCGGGCTTAGGCATAAATAAAAATGATGGGGTTTGGGCCTTTTAGACCTAAGGCATGGATTGGGTTAGCTCGGGAGGCTGGGTGCCTTGATCAAATTTTTTGGGTTGGGCAACCTGGAAAATTGTGATGACCTTCTTGTGCTTATGCCCGGGCCTTTGCCGTTCGGCAAGGTCCTTGGCCCAGCTTTTCTCCCCTTGAAATTGCAAATGCTGTGTAGGTACTCTTGTAACCCTAGGTCCTAGGGTTTGGGAGGGAAGGTGAAAGGGTGCTAGGGTTTCTCTTGTAACCCTAGGGCCTTATAAATAGGAACTTGGAGTGACGTAGGCATCATACTTGGAGATTTTTGAGAAAGATTGTCAGAAAGTGAGAAGGAGAAAAAGATTTCTGGTGAGATTTTGGTGGTGGTGCAAACAAGGTTAGACCTCATTTCCCTTGAATTCTTGAAATGAAATTCAACTTTTTGTATGAACATGTTGAAGAGTATGATGAACACCTTGAGCATGAGTATGAACATGTTGAATGTATGCATCTAGATCAAAAAGCATGTAGAGGCTGTCCAATTTTGTGTTTTTGTGCTTAGATCCTCTTTGCATGTGCATTAGTTCCTTTTTCTTGTTTCTGCATGTTGTAGATGTCTGAGAGTGAAGAGGCCAGTGAGTATGTTTGTTCTGAAGAGGAGAGTTCCCCAGACAGATAGTTTTGTAGAAGGGCTTATAGAAGCTAGGATGGGAGTTCATGAGGGTGAGATGGCTGGGCCATCAGTAGAGTCTGGGTCAGAGGCATATAGGAAGATGCAGAAGAAGTATAAAGTGTTAGAAGCCAGTGTTGATCGGGTTCTAGCCTTGGCACATACACCGGAGGTGGGCTCGAGCAATCAGACATCACCATCAGAGTCTGTGGGTATAGCCATGGTTTCAGCTTCAGAGGGGGTGGACATCCGGGTTGGTGTCCCGTTGGGAAATCGGAATACACTCACAGAAGCCAAGTTGGTTGAGCTTCGGACAGATTATAGTGTGCCATCCTATGTGGGCCTGAGGTTACCTAGTGCTGCGGATGTAGTGAGATATCCTCCGGAGGGTTCAGTGATGATATTCACCGATATGTACCAGCATGGTCTCAGACTACCGTTTCATCCTTGGGTACAGATGATGCTGGCCAAGTTGGGGTATGCGCCGGGGCAATACAATCCCAACTTTTGGCTACTTCTTCATGGAGTTTACATTGCTTGGTGGTTGGTTGGGTTGGGGGAGCCAACATTTGAGCAGTTTATGTACTTGTATTCGATCTCCAAGCAACAGGGGACCTTTGGCTGGGTACAAGCCAATTGCCGGAAGGCAAAGGAGAGAGGTTACTTTATTGGGCATAAGCCGAGTACGCAGAAGTCTTGGCGGAACAGGTGGTGCTTGGCCTATGGTGATTGGGAGTGTCCTCCAGGGAAGACCGTCTCCAGACATATTCCAACCCACTTCCAGTCGATAGGTCCTTAGCCCCATCCTTTAAGACTAGTTGTGTTGTAGTGTTTTGACGCTTGGGTCTTTATTTATGTTTTTATGTTTTGCTTGTGCAAGCATAAATGGCTAAGTTGATATCTGAACTGTGGTGCAGGTTCGGTGAAGTGGGGACCGATCTCCAAGGAGCGAGAAGACGAGGTTGAGAGAGTGAGGTCACTGTTGTCGGAGACCCAGCGTGAGCGTAGAAACTTAGTCACCCAGAAGAACCTGTACGAGTCCGGACTCTTGCAAGGGAGTAAGTACCTGGGTCACTGTTGTTGTTTGTCTTATGATTCATTTTGTAGTTGAAACTGACTTGGCTTTTGATGTGCAGTGGCAGGGATCATAAGGGGGAGCACGAAGGTGGCCATGGATCTGGATGATCCCGAGATGCAGAAACGGCTGAGGGAGTCTCGGGCCAAGAAGGCAGAGAAGGGAGGTGCCCAACAGGCTGCTGGGAGGCGTTCCAGAGATGAGGAGGGCCTAGTCTCTGATGTGCTGGGAAAGAAGAGAGCGCTGGAGGAAGCTCACCGGAGCGTGATGGGGACAGGGCCGAGGCTTCCTCCCTTTGACCCGCAGGCGCCGCCGAAGCTCCCCTTTGGTATGGATGATGTTTACGCCGAGGGGGTAGAGAAGGTGGACTTCTCTGGACTGCGTCGGCAGAAGAAGGAGGTGAACCTGGCCATGCATCGGCAGGAGGTTCCCTTGGTGAACGTCTTCCTGGAAGGCGTGAAGAGTGACCCAGAGGTTCTGGCGAGGACCCCGGCTACCTCCTATGCAGATCGGGCCCAGAAGACGCTCCTGACCCAGGCCTATGTAAGTTGGCTTGCCTTAAGACTTTGTTCATATAATTCGAATTTGCCTTGAACTGATAATGTTGTGTGTTGCAGGCTTATGGTGAGATGTACGTGAATATGGCCAAGGCAGATAAAGAGATCCAGAGGTTGAAGAGGCGCAATGAGATGGCCAAGGATAAGGTAGCGGAGGCGCAGGAGGCCATCCGAGAGAAGAACACCCTGGTGCTGCAGAAAGCGGCGATGGCCAAGGAGATGGAAGAGCTGAAGCGGTCGAGGGCCGAGGAGGTAGCTGCTGCCCGGTCGAAGCGATCGAGTCGTTTCGGGGTTCGGATGAGCTGAGGAACTACATCATGGATCAGATGGTGGCGATGCAGCTGGGTTGGGAGGAGAGGGTGGCGATGTTCAACCCTTCAGTGGAGATTAACTTTGACACGAGTGGCGAGCCTCCCTCATCTAGTCGTACCACTGATGTCGTTCCAGAGCCAGAGCCAGAGCCAGCCATTACGGATGCTCCATCGACTGAGTCCTGAAGGCGTTGCCTTCTTTATGTATTCTAGCTTTTTAGTTTAAACACTTGATGTTTATTTTGGTTATGTATGAACATTTTGCCTTGCCTGGGGCAAGGTTATTTTGATGTGCTATGATATGAGACTTGTTGTCATTTGATATCAATTGTGCTTAGCAAAATGGGAACCATGTGATTGATGAAAATGAGCCAGGGTCGGGCGTTCATTAAATATGTGCCGGAAGGCAAAAAGTACAAGAGTTGGTTGAGTCAAGGCTCGAGACCAAAGTAAGAGAAAACATAATAGCCTAGAGTCTAGGTATGTTTACTTATAGTAGTACTTGAGGTGATCAGCATTCCAAGGATGAGGCAAGGTCTTGCCCTTGGTGTCACGAAGCTGATAAGTGCCGGGGGCGGCAGACTTTGGTAACCTCATAAGGACCTTCCCATGTTGGGCCCAAGGTACCTTCAGTGGGATTCTTGGTGGCCAAGGAAACCTTGCGCATGACCCAGTCCCCAAGTTTGAAAGCACGGGCTTTGACTCGGGAGTCGTAGTACTTAGCGATGCGCTGTTTGTACGCGACATTGCGCATGTTGGACTGGTCACGAAGCTCGTCAATGAAGTCGAGGTTCAGGGCTAGCTGCTCGTCATTGGCCTCGGCCTCATAGGTGGAGGTGCGGTATGTGGGCTGGCCAATCTCCACTGGTGCCACTGCTTCGGTACCAAAGGAGAGAGAGAAAGGTGTTTCTCCTGTTGAGGTCCGGAAGGTGGTGCGATAAGACCAGAGAACCTCTGGGAGTAGCTCCGGCCAGCAACCCTTAGCTTTGTCAAGCTTAGTTTTTTAGAGTTTTCTTGATGATCTTGTTCACAGCTTCCACCTGGCCATTAGATTGAGGATGGGCTGGGGAGGCGAAGCAAAGCTTTATCTTGAGGTTGGAACAAAATTGCTTGAACTTTGCGTTGTCAAATTGCCGGCCATTGTCTGTGACGATGGTGTTGGGGATGCCAAAGCGACAGACGATGTTTTGCCAAACAAAAGTTTCAATGCGGGCTGCGGTGATGGTGGCTAAGGCCTCAGCTTCAACCCACTTGGTGAAGTAGTCCACAGCTACAAACTGCATACTTGACTTGGCCCTTGCCCTCAGGCATAGGTCCAATGAGGTCAAGTCCCCATTGGGCGAATGGCCAAGGACTGACCATGGCTGTCAATGGCTCAGCTGGAAGTTGTGGGATGTTGGCAAATCGCTGACACTTATCGCACTTCTGGGTGAAGGTCTGGGCATCAGTGTGAAGTGATGGCCAAAAGTATCCCTGCCGAATGATCTTGTGTGCTAGGGAGCGAGCGCCTGAGTGGTTGCCACAGATACCCTCATGAATCTCTCTCAGGACATAGGTACCTTCCTCTGGGGTCAAGCACCGAAGGTAGGGGAGGCTGAAGCCGCGCTTGTATAGGGCACCATTGATGATCAAGTATCGGGCGGAACGATAGCGAACACGCCGCGCTTCAGCAGGATCAGCAGGTAGTGTCTGGTTCTGCAAGAACTGAGTGATGGGGTCCATCCATGTAGGGCTTTGATCAATGACACAAATGAGTGGTGCCCGTGTACTGGGCTGGTCCAAGAACTCGATGTGGATGTTTCGACCTATGCCCTGCTCCATCGCCGAGGCTAGCCTTGCCAATGCATCAGCATGACTGTTCTCAGAGCGTGGCACCTGGCCTATGAGATAAGCATTGAAAGTTGTAAGCAGGTGGCGGTATGTTGGAGGTAGGCTGTCATGGAGATGTCCTTGGCCGTGAAGTCCTGGTTGACTTGGTGGACAACAAGCTGCGAGTCGCTGAATATTTGGATTTGCTTGGCGCCCATTTCCTTGGCTAGGCGAAGGCCGGCTAAGAGTGCTTCATATTCAGCCTCATTGTTGGAGGCGTGGAATTTGAAGCGGAGGGCGTACTCAAGGGCAACCTTGTCTGGGGATATGAGAACGAGGCCAGCTCCACATCCCTGGGCATTGGAAGAGCCATCCACATACAAGGTCCACAAGGGCTGAGTTAAGTCTAGGGAGCCGTTGCTGGCGACATGGACCTGGTTCGAGGTAGGAGTAGGCGTGATTGCAATCTGAGGACTGGCCAAAGTATGGGGTTCGGTGAATTCAGATATGAAATCAGCCACGGCTTGGCCCTTTGCGGCTTGGCGGGGTTTGTAGTGGATATCAAACTCACCAAGTTCAATGGCCCACTTGACTAACCTCCCAAAAGTCTCTGGCTTCTGCAACACTTGCCTGAGTGGTTGGTTGGTTAGGACATGGATGGTGTGAGCTTGAAAGTATGGCCGGAGGCGTCTAGCCGAAACCACCAGGGCGAAAGCAAGTTTCTCAATGTCTGGGTATCGAAATCTTCGCATCTTGCAATCCTTTGCTCACATAGTGCACCGGATGCTCAGCACCTTCATGTGGTCGAATGAGCACTGAGCTAACCGCCGTAGCCGAGACAGAAAGGTAGATGGTGAGGACGTCCCCAGACTCAGGGGTTGACAATAAAGGGGCTCGGCTCATGTATGCCTTGAGCTCGCCGAATGCCTGGTCACATTCTGCAGTCCAGGTGATGTTGCGCTTGCTACCCTTAAGTGCCTTGAAGAATGGGGCGCAACGATCAGTGGCCTTAGAGATAAATCTGGTCAGGCTGCGACACGCCCAGTAAGGCTCTGAATGTCCTTGACCGTCTTGGGTATCGTCATGTCCAAAATAACCTGGATCTTCTCTGGGTTGGCCTCAATACCTCTTTGGCTGATCATGAAGCCAAGGAATTTGCCGGAGGCCACCCCAAATGCACACTTGGTGGGGTTGAGCCGCATCCTATACTGCTTCAAAATGGTGAACGTGGCAGAGAGGTTGGGGATGTGCTGGTCGGCAGTGCGACTCTTGACCAGCATGTCATCAACATAAACCTCCATGGTGTTGCCAATGAGTGGAGCGAAGATGCTATTCACCAGACGCTGATATGTAGCCCCGGCGTTCTTGAGGCCGAATGGCATAACTTTGTAGCAGTAAAGGCCACGGTCGGTGATGAAGGATGTATGAGCTTGGTCCTCAGGATGCATGAAGATTTGGTTGTACCCTGAGTAAGCATCCATGAAGCTGAGGAGGGCTTGGCCAGCTGTGGCGTCAACTAGCTGGTCAATGCGGGGTAGGGGGAAACTATCCTTTGGGCAGGCCCGGTTGAGATTTGTGTAGTCTACGCACATGCGCCAACCCTTCTTTAGTTTACGTACCATTACCACATTGGCTAGCCAGGTGGGATAATCCACCTCCTTGATGAAACCAATGGTGCTCAGCTTATCCACCTCCGCCTTCATGGCCTCATACCGCTCTGGGTCATAAGCACGACGCTTCTGCCGAACGGGTCGGACGACAGGATTAATGCTTAGCCTATGGGAGATGACGTCAGGTGATATGCCCGGCATGTCGTTGTAAGACCAAGCAAAGACTTCAGAGTTGAGGCGGAGGAAGGCAATAAGATCAGAGCGAAGCTCTTGTGAGAGGGAGGTGCCGATCCTGACCTGTCGGTCCGGGATATCCTCATGGAGAGTGACCAGTTCAAGGTCCTCCACAGGTTCGGCCTGTTGGGTGGCAGATTCCTCCCTGGGGTCCTCTGGGCGCTCAGTGCCAGCTCGAGGTGGGGCTAGGGCCTGGGTTACTGCTAGGGCCTCACCCCTATGTTGGCGATTAGTAGACTTTACTGCTGAAGCATAGCAGCTTCGGGCGCCCAGTTGATCACCGCGCGCAGTTCCCGTGCCATAGGGGGTAGGAAATTTCAACAGTAACATATGTGTGGAAATGAAGACCTTCATCTGGGCCATGGCAGGGCGTCCCAGGATAACGTTGTAGGCTGTGGGGCAGTCAATGATGAGGAAGGGAGTGGTGACCGTCGTTCGCTGGGGAACTGCTCCAATAGAGATAGGGAGATGAATGCTCCCAATAGGCTGGACCACATCACCCGAAAAGCTCACCAGGGGTGTGACGCTTCGGTCGAGCAAATGAGATGGAACCTGGAGCTCATTGAAGGCATCAGCAAACATCACACTGACTGAGCTGCCAGTGTCTACCAATATGCGCCCAACGTCAAAGTTAGATATGTCGGCGCGGATAATGATTGGGTCATCATGAGGGAGGATAACGCCGCGCTCCTCCTCCTCGCAGAAGGTAATGGGGGCCCAGCCTGTTTTTTGTGTCTTTGGCAAGCGTCCCTGCTCAGTACTGAAGACCTGGTGCGCATAAGTAGAGCGGACATAATGTTTGATGGAGTTGTTGGAGGTGCCAGCCATGGTTGGGCCACCGCTGATGGTTGAGATCATGTTGATCTGCCGTTGGTGAGGGTTAGGTGGGAGGTTGTGCACGTATTTATCCAGCTTCCCCTCGCGAATAAGTCCCTCAATGATGTTGCGCAAGGCAACACAAGATTCGGTATCATGGCCACCGAACTGATGAAAGCGACAGAAGACTCCCGTGTTAGGCATAGGCTTGCTGCCTGGTTTCCGGGGTGGAGGCTGAGGTATGATAGGTGCCTCGTGCACTAGGACATTCTCATAGGTAGTGTTGAGGGTGGTGAAGACCTCGAACCTGGGTTTGGGTGAGAATGGGAGTGGGGCCCGGTCATTTGTCCTGGGGGGGTTGCTTCCACTAGACTGGTGGTGGTTCCCATGTCTGCCCCGCTTGTTATTGTTGAAGGTATGCTGGTAGCTATCCTTCCTCTTGGGGTGTTGGGCACCCTGGGTGCTTGGTGCAGGGGCAGAATGTTGGGGTGGAGCTGGGATGGGTACCGAAGCAGGTGGAGGATCAGCAAAAGGATTATGCGCCGGGATGGCTGGGCTGCGCTTGGAGTTGAAGTACTCAGCCTTGGCATGAACTGCTGCTTGCTTCATCAGCTCGGCATATGTGTTCCAAGGGTTGCTGTGGACCAGGTACCGGAAGTTAGACTCTCGGAGGCCACTCTTGAAAGCACCGAAGGCGGCACGATCATCAGTATCTGGGCAGCGGGAGTATTCGTGGCTGAACCTGGCTGCATACTCCCGAAGGGGCTCATCCTCACCCTGTCTAAGCATGTATAGGTCGTCCGCGGAGTAGAGGCGATCGGTCTGGATCATGAAATGGTCCAGGAAAGCCTGTTTCAGACTGTCAAATGTATTGATAGTGCGGGGGTTCAACCTGTAAAACCAGTTCAGGGCCGCGCCACTGAGAGTGGAAGGGAAGAGGAGACACATGCCTTCGTCAGTGAGGCCCTTGCACCCCAAGGCAGACTGGAAAGAATGTATGTGGGTGAGAGGATCCTCTGTGCCAGTGTAGAAGGCAATGCGGAGTGGCTGGATGTCCTTCTCCTGGTGGTAATTAAGGATGCGTTCGGTAAAGGGCCCAGGTCGTGGCTTTGCCCAGAGAGGTTGGTGGTTGCGCTGATGTTCGCTCTCCAGGCGCCGGACTTTCTCGAAGAGAAGCCTCATTGCCGGGTCGGTATGAGGGAGAGTCTCGGGTGCTGGGGTCTGGTGTGTGGGTGGCCATGGGCTGGGTAGAATTCTTCGAACGCCTCGGTGTGATAAGACTCGTAGTCTTCTGAGTAACCCTGGCCCCAGTTCTCTGAGTCCCCTATACCTTCTCCAAGGGGTAGTTGGGTAGGCTTTGGCGGGGGGCCCAGGTGTTTCATCTTTGGGTCTTGGAGATTAACAGAGATAAGATGAGGTTCCGTTTGACGGTCCAGGATACGGTCCCTGCAATCCCGGTAGACCTTTGTTGGTTCATGAGGCCGGTTCCTTGGTGGGGAGATGCGGAGAAGCCGCGACTTGGTCGTGTCCGGATAGAGGGGGCCTTTACCCTTGCTGGGCCTAGGCTGGGTTGGGACATTGTGGTGGGAGTGCTCCGGCTGGTTTGGCTGTGTACGCTCAGGTACCTGGGTAGGGCTGTGTTGGGAGCCTTGGGTCTGATTCATCTCCCAGTTACGCTTCAGTGTGCGGTAGTCATGCTCGAGCTCGACGTTCTTAGCATGAAGATGGTCATATTTTTCAGACATCCTAGTGACACTGGCGTGGTCGTGGGTTCGATTCCCACAGACGGCGCCAAACTGTTGATGCTCTTTTTCGGAGAGGGTCAACTTAGAGAAAAAAGGGGTTTGCCTTCAGCAGGGAAAGGGTCTGGGCCTTCAATAAAGGCTAGCCTGCAGAAGACAAAAATAGGGGAAGCAGTCGTCAAGCTCCGGGCACCGGTGTGGTGCCGGCCGAAGGCTCTCCGATGCTTAAGTCAGCTAAAAAGGGTAACTTTTGCAGAGTAATAGTAAAAGGCAGAAAAGTAGTTACCCCTCTTACTAGGGTACTGTTCCCTTTTTATAGGGGAGTGAAAGTGGGAGGTTGGTGTAGATTTCCGATGTGGGACTCTGTGCAAGTTGCCGCGGTGGTGACACGTGTCATGAGAATTAGGTTTAACAGTTTGTGAGCTTTTGGCAGTCGGAGTTTCGGCAGGTGCTTGGCACCTCGGAAGAGTGTCTTCCTTCGGTAGGAGAGAAGGCGTGTCTGCCTTGGTGCTAGTTGTTTTGAGACTGGATATGCTCGGTTGATTATGGTGTAAACAATATTGAAAATCTATATGCCTCTAAACCAGTATCCGCCATTAGTTTGACATCTTCCTGCAATTGTTTGAAAGAACTTGATCATGTGATGTGTATTAGTTAGCATCAATGCCTTTTTGATTAGCCGTTTTGGTAATGAATCTTGTGATTGCATAATTGTAACACATATAGGATGATATGGTTTCGTGCAAAAAGAAAAGAAGAAAAACAGTTGACTAGTAAATGAAAGGATTGCCAACAAAAACTAAATTCAATTTCATTAGTTATATACCTTGTATTTGTGATACTCATCGCAAGCGACATCTCCAGTGGCTCCATCAAAATTCCCTGAAAATTTCAGTTAAGAAATGTCACTTGGCTTGCAAACTGAGAAAATTACATATGAGCTAAAAAGCTAGCTAACCAGCACGAGCAAATGTGTCGAAGATGCTTGGGGTCCTCCCATCTTCGTCTGCAGCACCTTCCACCTTTTTTCATGTAGATTTTTGAACCAACCCAACCCCATTACTTGATCAGCTTCTTCACTTGATCTCGTTTCAATTGATTAAAAAAAATAAAAAATTAAAGGAAATTAAGAAAATTCACCTGATAAGCAGAGGAGGAAGCACCAAAAACAAAGCCCGGTGGGAAGTCATCTCTGCTAAAGTCATCTGTGCCTGAAGAAAGATTTATGAGAAGAAAACACAGCAGAAGTGAAACTTTCAACATTAATTCCAACTGCCAAACCCACTGCTTATTGCTTAAGCCAAGTTCAACTTATTAGTAGGATATGGAAAATCTTTTGACAAAATTATAAGGCAAACTTACACTTAGAAAAAGATATTTGAGTGGCCACCTTTTACCTCTATCCTTACTTCAGTTGACCATAACGTTCCACGTCGATATTCCAATAAACTCTAAATCTGCTTTTTGTTTTTATTTTTTCTTGGAATGTCACGAGACTCCAATTTTTTATTTTTTTTCTCCCAAATCTTGTTCCTCGACAGTCCTGGTCCCCATTTTTTTCTTGGGGATCATTTCACAATTATACAAATTCCGAATTCTAGAATTTGTTGGCTTTTTAAGTGGAACTAACTACATTGTTTGGCTTTTATTGAAATTATTTAATGACAAATGAGACAAATTGTTCCCGTTGGTGGAAGTTTGAAAGTAAATTATCCTACATCGGAGGAAACAAATAGTTTTATGCTTTATAAGTGTGATACTTTTACACCAATTAAAAAAGATTGGTAGGCTGATGGGCTTGATAGTAAAGGCTATACATGGTTGGCTTAATTAATAATATTTAATTAATCAAGACTTGAGCCTTGAACTCTCTGGAAAAACTACTAAAGACACTTAGTCTGAAAATAAATTATTTTATTTTTTAGGGTTTCTTATAGCAAAAGTTAAATTCAAACTAGAAGTCTTATCCTTTCGTTGGAATTTGAACAAGTATAAGATATACAAGAGCTAAAAATAAGATGGCAGCTATTGCAAGAGCCAAAAATAAGATATACAATGGCACATCAAGGCATATGAGGCGAAGACATAACACTATTAAGTAGTTCCTCAAAGATGGAATAATCTCATTAGATTATGTAAAGTCCAAGGAAAACATAACTGATCATTTGACAAAAGGCCTACCTAGAGAGCAAATTAAATATGCATTGAGGGAATGGATTTAATGTCAATTTCACAATGAGCTAAACTGATGGAACCCTAACCTAGCTAATTGGGGATCCCATGGTGTAGGTTCAATAGGCAAACTGGTTGGCAACGGCTCAAGGTATGAACACATTATTTACTCATTCTTATGACCAAAGTGTGTTGTCTACAAAAGTTTATAGGGTATGTTTCGTACAAGCATTTAATAACGTTAATATTTTGATATTCAAAAGACGTATGGCAGAATACTTTTAATTAACGTTACCTATATAGGAGTAAATGTGGGGTTGCATTTATGAGAATTACATGACTATATTCTCTAAAGCTCCTATTAAACCGGGATTTGTTCATGACCAAAATCAACACAACCGCATGAACTTAAGTGAGTGTGTATAGATTTAATGCATGTGTGGCGTATTGTCTCTGTTTACTACAAAACGATGAATAGTTCAAGGTTATGAATTCCATTTATTCATTAAGTAGATCTGATACGTCTACACTAGGGAAAGTTCAAGTCCAAAAGACACTTATCCTGATGTGTATTTTATCTAATTTGTTCTCCAGTTTTTGAGTTTGCGTATATTTTTAAAAATTTGCATTTCAAATGTAGCAGAAGTCAAATTCAAACTAGAAGTCTTATCCTTTCGTTTGAATTTGAACATGTTGTTGAGACCCAAAAATTCATAGTTGGGCCCGAATAAATTATCAGGCCCAAAATGACATTCTACTAAAAAGAGGTGTAAAGCGGAGTACACAAAAACCCACCACATGCGAATTACAGTTCACGTGCCACGCTAAATAAATAAGTTGTCATGCTAGGAGTCGAGATAAAGTATACCGGCTCTACAAGCCCATGCCGAAATTAAACATCGCAGTTCTTCCCAAGGATGATAAAATTAAAACATGCCAAGTGATATGTCATGCCAAGCACGAAATCGTTATTTCGCATCCAATCACACTACAAGCCTAAGTGGGCCCAAGCCACTCAAATGCCCGGGGCTTGCTTGAGTGGGTTGTGGTATGGATGGTAATAAATCAACATGAGGCCCATTGATGGGCCGAGAAATGGAAAGTCTAGGGTTGCTTGGGAGCCTCGGGACTCAAGCTCATTTCTTAGGCCCAAATATGTGGATGAGCACAAGGGAGAAGAAATAGCCCAAATAGCCCAAGCAAAACAGCCTAAAAAGCCCAATGTTTAGTAAAATAGCCCACTTATTTAATGAACCACCTTGGCCCACACAAAAACTTCATAATAAGCCACAAAAGCCTCAACCCCTTGCTAGAAAAATAGAAGCCACGTAGAGAGGGTTAGAAGATTCATTGAACAAAGGCTGCTGGGAGGTTCCAGCACATGGGGGAGCAAGTTTCAAAGCCAAAACATTCAAGAAACCAAGGGATATTAGCATGTAAGCTGCCAGGAGGAGGAGCACCCTTCAAACCAGCATGTACACCCATTTCCTTTCCTTCATCAGATTTGGCCAGGGAAAGAAGAAGAAAAGTAGATAAGAATGGAGCTTCCCACTGAACAACTGCAGGAAAGGGGGCCTTCAGCTCCCAAAATTCCTGATTTTGTGCAAATAGATAGAGGAAATCTTACCAAGATAGGAAAGTCAAGAGATGAGAGGAGAAAGGGAGGAAAGGCTTGGCCAAGTTGGGAAGAAACCATTAGGGTTTCTTGGGAAAGAATAGTTTCCCGCAGCTATAAAATGGGGCCTCTTCTACCCAACGAAACCAACTCAGAGTCAGAGAGCAAGCTTTCTCTCTAACTTGCAAAAACCCAGTAATCTCATGCACTATTCACCCTCTTCTCCATTCTTCTCTTCTGGCAGACAGAACATCTGTCAAGCTGCAGGAAGAACATTATTCCTTATTTCACCCTTTCTTAGCCAAATCTCTCACAAACCTCTCATTTCTCACCTTAACATTTTCCTTTTTCCCCCAAGAAAGCCCAAATTTCCCCTCAGTGCTAAACTCATGTTGATTTTGCTTCCACATGCCTCTCATGCCAAGCTCAAAAGTTTATCTGTAAGCATGAAGAAGGTAACCAAAATACTTCATAAGGCTCTGCTGCCCTTTCGAAGCATTTTTGGGGCTTAATTTTCGAACTCAGACAAAGGGGTTCATCAGTCTGCCTTTTACGGCAGCCCAGCCCATTTACAGCTGCCGGAAGAAAAAGTCCCCTACACATTTATAACTGATACTAACTGCTATTTTGAAGAGGTGCAATTGTGTTATAAAACCACAAGTGAGAATATATTAAACAAAGCAATTAACACTACTACAAAAATGGAAATAGATGACGGGGAAATACCGCCGTCTTTATGCTTTGAAAAAAGTCGTTTTATCGACTACCATTTGAACGTTAAACTACAATGGTTTTTCACCATCGTCTTTAATCTTTAAAGATGATGATTTTTTATATAAAAAAAGGTCGTTGATAGATGTAAAGACAATGGTGTTTGTAATAGAACCGTCGTTAATTATCAGTAAAGATGACAGGTTTTAGAAGGAACCGTTATAATTTTTGCTAGCGGTAGCTCCTTTTAAAACACAACGATTTTAGATGGAACCATCATGGTTTTTCGTGGTTTATAAAAACACGACACTTATTAGTTTTACCATTGTCAAATAGGCATTGTGGTTTCCATTTTTGTAGTAGTGCAAGTTGGGACTGATCATCATTTGGAATTCAAACCAACATAGAGTGCAGGAAGGGAAAATAAACAAAAGGATTTTTCAGGAGTTGTCGACTGAAAATTAAAGAGTGAAAGAAAGAAGGTTGTTGAGAAACATGATACCATGTCGATAAAGTTGAAATCTGTTTGAGAGATTGAGCGTGTCTACTGTTTTCACCCTCGATTTTCTAATAACATAGTGTCACTTGATGGCATAGTGACAACAAGATAGTAGCTTGACCTACTAGGGAATAACATCTCATCAACCCTTGCTGAAATTAAGCAAGCAATATTGTCTTCAAAATTATGAAGATAAGCAAATTATCCAGCTGTTTGAGCGGGATTTGATATGGTCTTAGACCTTAACTCTGAAGAGCATTTAGTGCTCTATCTAACATTGTCCTTCCAAGCCAAACCCAAGTGAGAAATGGAGGCAAAATCCCTTTCTTACCCACGTGGCCATTTTTTAGCTCTCTATTGGGCATTTAATTTCGCACTTGAACCACTTTTCTTTTGAAAACAAAGCTGCATGCCCATTTTGCCACTAATTTCTTCTTAAAGCACCTCCACCCCAAAGAGCAAAGGCAAGATAAAGATAAAGCAAGATTTGTCACTATTCACATGAATAGTGACAGCCTTGCCTTTTTTTGTTCTACCCCAAAGGGCAAACACTATTCACTTTAATTTATTTTCTATTTGTTATACTTAAACCATTAATTTTGATAAGTTTTTCGAATAATATTTTCGGTTGCCACGTGTCACTATTTATTATAAAACTTTCACCTAAAATTTCGAATAAAATTTTTGAATAAGATTTTCGGTTGCCACGTGTCCATCAAATTTCAAATAAGATTTTCGGATGAGATTCTTGGTTGCCACGTGTCTCATTTCAAATAAGATTTTCTGATATTTATTAAAAAATTATAATCTCAAATTTCAAATAAGATTTTCACCTTCTAAAATTGCGCCACGTGTCACATGTCATATAAGATTTTCGAATATTTATTAAAAAAATTATAATCTCATATTTCAGATAAGATTTTCACCCTCTAAAATTGCTCCACATGTCATCTCTATCTTCTAAATCCCTCTATAAAACTACACCATCAAATCATACCTCTCACACTATATCTTATCTATTCTTTCATTTCTCAGATTTTACAAAACACATTCTACTCTTAATGTCTAACTTGAGGAGGGTGTTGGAGAGGCAAGAGCGAGAAGAGGAAGAAATCAGGCACAAACATGCTGAAGAAGATCATGAGTTAGATGAAGTGGAGGAAGAAATGGTTGTAACGGTGTGTATGCTCAATGAATCAAGGCAACACCATCGTCATCTTGCCCCGAACATGGACAGACATAGGCACTCTCGGGGTAAGAATCTCTTGGAAGATTATTTTATCCCAAATTCGTTATATCATGTTTCTCATTTTCGAGAGAGATATAGGATGCTGCCTCATTTGTTCCAAAAAAATCATGCATGATATTTGCAATTACGACACATATTTCGTTCAGAAGTATGATGTTGTTGGGGGTTCGGGTCTTCTTCCTGAGCAAAAACTTACATCTACTTTGCGGATGCTTGCGTATGGGGCATTTGCAGAGCAGGTGGATGAGATTGCTAGGATGGGGAAATCAACTATCCTAAAGTGCTTGGTTAAATTTTGTGATGCAATAGAAAATCCCTACAGTAGGGAGTACCTCCGCAAACCTACGGCTAGGGACCTCCGAAGGCTTGTACAAAAAGCCGAGGCTCGAGGTTTCGCAGGCATGATTGGAAGCATCGACTGCATGCACTGGCAGTGGAAGAATTGCCCAACTGCTTGGCAAGGAGATTATGGGAATAGAAAGGACCAAAAAAGTATAATTATGGAGGCTGTGGCTTCATTCGACACTTGGGTTTGGCATTCCTTCTTCGGAGTTATCGGATCTCAGAATGACCTCAATGTGCTTAGTTAATTCCCGGTATTCAACGATATCTTGAGAGGTCATTCCCCCCACGTCACATACCGAATCAACAATACCGTCTATTCGAGTGCGTACTACCTCACCGACGGAATTTATCCGAAGTGGACGACATTCGTGAAAACAATTTTGAATCCTCAATTCGATAAGGAAAAAAGCTTTGCTGCGAATCGTTAGGCAATTATTAGGGGTGCTGCTCGGATGCTTGATGAGGAGGTGCTGCAGAGCATTATGATGACTTGCATTATCCTCCATAACATGAGAGGATGAGTATGATGATGATGCTCCAGAGGTGTTCGAACCCGATCCCATGAACACGGCATTGACAAGAATTTATGAAAGGCTGATGAGAGCAAATGGACAACCAATGGAGCACAAACCGTTAATTCGGAATGGTCGATACAACAACCCCATGATTGACCGTTATCAGGAAATGCAATCTTCGTATGTTCATGAGAAATGTCAAGTTGACTTGATCGAGCACTTATGGGAGATGGAAATCACAGTGGATGAAGTTAAGTTTAATGCTTTATTTGGAATTATGCTTTGTTTTGTGTGTGGTTTGATTGGAATTATGCTTTGTTTTGTATGTGGTTTGTAATGAATTCAGGTTTGTTTTTAATTAAGCTTTGTTTTGTGTGTGGTTTGTAGTGAATTAAGGTTTGTTTTAATTATGCGATGTTTTGATGTATGAAATGTTTTTCATAAATAGCTATATTATTTAATGCTTTTTTATTGAATAATAAAGAAACAATACAGCAAATTAATACATATTGAATAAAAGGGAAACAATATAACAAATTAATACATATGGCAACTCTTTCAATACAACCTAATGGTTTTGCTCATTTAACCAATCCATGTTGCTGGGTCCATCATCATGGAAAAGCTTTCTTCTCATAACATCCCTTCGTTTTAGCTTCCAATAGGACTTCGTTTCAGGAGAAATAGGGCTCGTATCCATGGCCATGATTTTCATCTCTCTGTCCTCCATGTCTTGTTCTTGTGTCTGCTCCCTTTGAATTGCAAATGCTTCATGTCGTGCCTTGTCCACTTCTTCTCTTTTCAAGTCTTTCTCAATTCTCAGTGCACTGTTTCTAGCAATTTGCTCCAAAAATTGTTCACATTCATTGTTCGAAGTGCTCCCTCTCTTGGCCTTTGCCACCTTTCTTCCAATAGGTCTTGGCCCACGTTGGATTGGTGAGTCTCAATCCATTGGGGAGTCCAATGGAGAATCAATTGCCGGTGAATTGTGGAGCGGCGTCTCATTCTAGACTACCGTTGGACCAGTGGAAATAACTTTGAATATCGGACAATTTTTCACAACATCCCAACATTGGCGATTCATGAAACTCTTTTTTCCTTGGCCCATGGCACCGAACCACATTTGTGCTTGTATAATCTATTTAAAAAATGGAAATGCAAGAAAATAGAAACAAATTGGAAATGAAAAAAAAAGCAAGAAAATATAAACAAATTAGAAATGCAAGAAAATATAAACAAATTGGAAATGCAAGGAAAAAAAATGAATATGCAAGAAAAAAAAATTATAAATATTTTACCCCTTCGGGAAGATTTTGACCGCTTCGAATGTTGTCCATTTCCCTAACTCTTTATTCAAAATTTTCCACCTACTACCCAAGGCCATTTCCGTCCGAGGCGAACTTGATCTTCACAAAATTCTGCATGAATTTTTCTCCACATATGATAGAACTTCATCTCATTGCCCGTGACTGGGCAATGACCAACTTTCACCCAACACTCACACAACACAAAATCTTCTTGAGTTGTCCACGCGCCTCCTACTTCACAGGAAGATGCCATTTGTTTTTTTGATACAAAAGGAAAGTAGTAGAAAAATGTGAGTGGAAAGTAAAAAATATTGGAAGGAGAAGAGTTTGTATGAAGATTTGGTGTGGAAAGTGAATAAAATTGTTAGGTATTTATAGGGAAAAAATCCATAATTTTTTGGTGATATTTTTTGCCTAAAAAAATCACAACCGTTGGATTTCTGGAAAAAAAAATAGATCGGAGCGTCCAGGAAGTGCCACATGGCTTCTTCCCGTTGGTGGCTGTTAGCACTGGCGGCAACCGTTATGTCAACAGCTGAAATCAAATTTTTTTTTACTGTTGAGGAGTGAATTTCACGCGCCAACGGTATAAAAAAAAATTCCCATGTTGACGTCAGCGTGACGTCACGACTGACGTCAGCGCCTTCGGGCAAGAGCCCAGTCCAGATTTCCCCGTGGACTTGCCCAGGCTGGTGGGTCCCATGCCTTGCCTGGGCTAAACTTCGTGCACTGGAGTTGGTTTCGGGCCTCTAGCTCCTTTTGCCCGGTTCGGGCCCCTGCGCTAAAGGTGCTATTAAAGCCATGAAATTGGCCCAAAGTCAATTTTTACCCAAACATAAACATAAACACTGTATTAAAGTCACACTCATTCTTGGGAAGAAAAAGAAAAAAAAAGGTTGTACTCATTTGGGGTTTGCTTGATTGAATTCTTAGGTTTTAGCTTGCTTAAATTTTTTTGTTGCTGCAAAGCATTCATTTTTGTCATCATAATCACAGACATGCAATATAATCATAGAACTAAGCTTTTGGGTTTTAGATTTTGGCTTGTCAACAAACACATGGATAACAGACTATAACTACGGGCCTATTTGGATGAGAGATTTGGGTTTTCATGGGATTTAAAAATTCTTATGAACCAATTACTTTGTTTGGAAGGCCCACCAAGAGGATTCAGAAAAACCCTTAGGATTTGAAGGAGGGATTTTGTAAAGCCCAAATCCCCCCTTGAAGTATCGAGTGCTTCTATAGTGAGTGGAAAGTTATAAGGGCTTTTTTTGAGGGGTATGTAAGAGCCGTTGGATTTCATCCAACGGTGAGTTTTTAAAAGAGGGTGCATGTAGAACCGGGTTGAAATCTGACCCATTTGGAAACCCAACTTCAGCTGAAGATTTTTCCCTCTCTGTGAAAAACTCAAGAACACAATCCTCTCTTTTTTAATGTAATGCAAATCCACAATTAGAAAGATCCAAAGCTCCCAAACTCTATAATCGCTCCATTGTCATCAGCTCCTTGGGAGGCCTGCGATCTATGGTATCCTCGGTATGACGATTAATGGCTTTTACCTAGCTATTGCCCTGTTTTTATTCTATGATTGAAGTGAAAACCCCTTCTCTTTTTCGTTCAGCAGAAGAGATTCCAGATGAAAGCAAAGTAGCATATCTCTTTTTCGTGCTGCTGCAGTTGTTCCTGCATTTTGGTAGAGATGGAGTCTCCACTACGAAAGAATCCTCTCTAATGTCCACCACATTCTTTGAAGTTGACTGACTTCGGAGCTCCCGATTGACTTTGAGAGGTAAGTTCACTCTTGCTGGATTGATTTTGTTGGGTTTGATTTGTTTTTTGTGAGGGTGAGAAATTTGTCATTTGTGGCATCAATAATGCGTCATTTGCTCTGCTATCAATAATGCGTCATTTGACTTTGAGAGGTAAGTTCACTCTTGCTGGATTGATTTTGCTGGGTTTGATTTGTTTTTTGTGAGGGTGAGAAATTTGTCATTTGTGGCATCAATAATGCGTCATTTGCTCTGCTATCAATAATGCGTCATTTGCTCCGCTATCAATAATGCGTCATTTGCTCTGCTATCAATAATGCGTCATTTGCTCTGCTATCAATAATGCGTCATTTCCTTATGAATATTCAATATACTTAGTTGATTATTTTTGTTTGGAGGGGGGTTGGAAAATTATGAAATGTAGGTAAAAGATCCTAAACTTAGTCTTAATGGCATTAGAAGTAAGCATTTGGAGAGGATATTGGGTGAAGTTCTGTAATTGCTGGTTTGAATTACATTTGAGTTCTTAGTTGAACATGTTGGTTCTAATGTTATTTTTTCCAGATTATTTCACAAGGGATGACGTAACTATTATTAAATTTTGCTTGTGTTTTGTGTAATCAGAATCCAACAAGCTAGGCTATGCGTGTATTGTGTCAATTTGGGCAATGTTTTGTGTAAGTGGAATGCATTGATAAGTTGTGATGCAGTAATGATTGATTAATGAATTAACATTTTCTATGCAGTAATATAGAAGTAGATCAATAATATACGTGGATAAAATGTCTGGGGGCTCAGAGAGTGATGACTCTGTAACAGCTAATGGGAGGGTTTACATTCCTGAAGTAAGAAATGAGGAAACACCAGCAGTTGGGATGAAGTTCGACTCGCTTGACCTCGTTTATAATTTCTATAATAGATATGCATTCTTGGCTGGCTTTGGTATTCGACTTCATTCCAGCTTTTGGGGGAAAAATAAGAAAGAGATTCTGAGAAAAGAATTTGTATGTTGCAAACAAGGTGCATACCGGAATGATGAAACTCGGGAGAGAAAAAGACAGCGGGGAATAAGTAGATGCAATTGCAAAGCTAAGATTGTGGTTGTGAAGACACATGGGAGCAAGAAGTATACCATCTCTCTTTTTGCAGAGGGACACAATCATAAGATGACACCCTCAGGAAGAATGCATTTACTAAGATCACACCGTCGTATTTCAGATTCTACAAAAGTACTTACAAAACAGTTGGGTTCGGTTAATATTCCCATTAATCAGAAGGTAAGTATTTTCGAGGTGCAATCCGGAGGAATGGATAAAATCGGTTTTATCAAAAAGGATATGTACAATCTTGAATGTAGTGTGAATGGGAAGCTGAGGAACCACGATGTTGAACTAGTGACCGAGTATTTTATGGCTGAACAAAAAAAAATGAGGCTTTTTATTTCAAGATTGAGGGAGATGGCGATAACAGGTTTAGTCGATGTTTTTGGGCAGATGCAACTTCTAGACGGGCGTACGGGTTTTATGGAGATGTTGTTGTATTCGATACCACATTCAACACGAATAGATACGACTTGACATTTGCACCAATGTTGGGAGTTAATAACCATGGTCAAACAATTGTCCTAGCATGCGCATTTTTGAGCAAGGAAACGACTGAGTCGTTTATTTGGATGTTTGAGGAGTTTAAGAAAGCCATGCCAGGTGGCGAACCTAAAACGATCATCACAGATCAAGATGCGGCAATGAGCAGAGCGATTTCAATAGCCTTCCCGACTACATTTCATCGACTTTGCATATGGCACATCACATCAAAGTTCTCTGTTAAGTTACCACATTCTGCTTATAAGGAGTATTGGGGTGAATTCCAGAAAGCCATATGGGATACTGACAATAAGGATGAGTTTGATGCAAAATGGAATTGTGGTTACAAAGGCTGGTTTGACTGACCATCCATGGCTAAGTTCAATGTTTGATTTAAGGGAATCTTGGGTTCCAGCCTACGCACGACACTTTTTTGCCGCTGGAATGTCAAGCAACCAAAGAGCGAAATGTTCTCATGGTTTCTTCAAGCAATACATATCAAGGAGAAATTCGTTGATGGATTTCATAATAAGATTTGAGAGGGCACTTTCTCATCAACGTCAAAAAGAGTTAGTTGCTGATCACGTAGATGCATTTGAAGTGGCTCAATGTATTCTACCGATGCCAATGAACAAACAAATGGCTACCTTGTACACAAGGACAATGTTTCAAAAATTTGAGCAAGAACTAATACAAAGTACAGCATGTTTCTTAGAGCTGAAAACAGAGGATGCTTCTAAAGTTGTCTTTAATGTGAGCGAAAGGAAAAATTGGGAAACAAGAGTGGCAGAAGTCGTATATGTCAAAGATTCTGACCACGCATCGTGTAGCTGCAAAAGATTTGAATTTGTTGGAATTATTTGCAAGCACATCCTAGCATTGTTCAGAAGGGACCAGATTGAATGTATGCCCGATAAATACATTTTGAAGAGGTGGAAGAAAACTGCGAAATTTGAATTGGTGTCAGATGCAAATGGCAACGAAATTAAAGACTCTGCAGATCCTGGTCTTTTAATAAAGCGGAGTACAATGTCCCGACTTGCTTCAGATGTGGTTGAGGATGCATTAATGTGTGAAGAAGGATGTGAGCTATTGTCAGAGACTCTAAAAAGTTTGCAGGTGAAGTTGAAGTTGTTGAAGGATGGACCAAGTAATAACGAAGTTGGAGGGTCCAGCTCTCAAACACAATATATGAAAGACCCTAAGAGAGTAAGGTGCAATGGAGGGTCGAAACGAGTAACGGGAGCAAAGGAAAAGGCAATGAAGCGAGGGATTAGACACTGTCGGGAGTGTGGACACATTGGTCATGATAGAAGACAATGCCCAAGAAATTTGAACACACCGTAAGATGTTAACACTATTTATAATAAGACCTAAAATTTGAATAGGTAAAGTTCTTATGTGCTTCTGTTTGATGTTTATGCAGGACATCACCGTCGAACAATGACGAATCAACTCCAATAGATCTTAGTGACCCATTATTTGACGAATTTTACAGGATGCACGGACCAACTAAATGATTTAGGTTTCTATTATACGAAGCCCGGTTATTATGAAGACTAATGATCAGGTGAAGTTTTCTAGATGCAGTTTTATTATTATTATTTTTTTGTTCATGTCCACCGATGAGCTCTTACTATGTCCATTGATAATTGAAATGAAAATTTGCTTGGTTTCATTCTTGCATGAAATTTGGACACATGTTAATTTTACGTCTTCTCCCTATTTAGAAATTTTCATAGACATTAGATAAAGCATCAAATTTTGATTTATGTGAAGAAGCAATGACTTTTACCTTGTAAAATGGGTAGTTTATGGTGAATTATGTTTGAATAGAGATTTATTGATTATATGACAGGCTAATGCAGCATTTCCAGCAGCCAGCTATGTTTCCATTACCAATAATGATTTCCAGCAGCACGCATCATTTGTAGCAGCACCCACTTTTTGCGAATGTTATGTTCTAGTGTTTTACTGGTGATTAAGATCTGAGCTGGACTGTTTATTAGGTGCACGATTTTGCAAACATTCGTAGCTGAAGGATACTTGAAGCACTTTGTTGGAACAGAAAGATTAGAAAGCAACGTGTAAAAAAGTACATTGCAGCTAATCACATTTCGAATGGTTGGGTAATATTAAAGGGTACACTAACATTTGAACTACTCATAATTCCACACACAAAAGAAAATTTGATTGCAAAGCATTTTATGTGCTCCCTCTTAGCAATACCACGATCTCCCCAATAAACTGAACAACGGTAGCCACAATCACTAGGTCGTATTGGTCAGCTTCTTCTTAGCAGGTCTCACGTGCTTATGGTCACTCATGTCCCCAATGATTTAGACAAAATAAATATTCAGCAATATTTGGAATTTTATTATATATACATAAACCATAAACCATTCACTACACAATGTATAGCACATGGTATTTTACTTATGACTCACGTGTCATGATAATGGGGCTTTACTGATTCCCAATGTGTTGTGATATTGACTGCTTATTGAATAATATTTCCATATTTGCAAAATATAATGTTAGACAGAAGGAACACATGATGACTTGCAAGACATAGTCCCAATAATTATATATGAAGCAAATGAAACTGATATTTGTATTATTTTATATTAGATAATGACATTAAGGGAATATAGTTCTAATTTGTGCAATACCACGATCACCCCCAACCAACAAAACAGCTGTAGCCGCAATCACTTAGTCGTATCGGTCGGCTTCTTCCGAGCAGCTTTGACGTGCTTATGCTCATTCATGTCACCACCATCGTCTAGTATCTCTCTCACAGCATCAGGGGACACATAGTCCCAATTATAACTTGTATGAGTAGTTGCCGCGAATGCTCGGAATTTTTCGAATCCTTCGTTGAATGCCAACTCCAGTTCACTGTGGTGCTCTTTGCATCGCATATGGTTCATCAAACAACCTTTAATTTCATCATTCATTACTGCATCCAACTCCTCAGCTTTCAGCTTCCTTTTATGACTCAGCTTCAAGTACTTGTTCTTTTGGGAGAACGCTTTGTTCACTCTAATGTTAAGATCAGCCAAAATGGCCTCGTCTTCAACACATTTCTCATGCCATGAATTGATCAGTCTGGAATTATAATCCAGCTTGGTACTGACTGCATGTATTGCCTCTAATGGATCATCGGAGTCCCCCTCACTCCCAAATGATGTTGAAAATGGAAAGGGTCGGCGAGTACAACGTGGAAACGGAACCTGCGACTCCAATTTTTCATCTTCGATTGTGTTGTTGGCGCCTAAAGAGGTTGACATACTTGAATAATCCTATTTGTTTTAGCGGATGAGGATTGCAGATGCAATTTCGTTTGAGAAATGGAACATAGCTTTATAGACCAACATACCAAAGCTTGCGTGTAGTCAACATATCTACTTTATTTCAATTTTAAAAAAAGAGGTGTCAGGTTTTGCTTTTCAAGCATGTCAACCTCACACTCTCCTTACACCACTGTTAGTGGTTGAAAGAAACTCAATGGAAGTGACATCTAGTTAGTGAACCCAACCAAACTAAACAAACTAGTTAGGATTAAACTTAGATTGTATGAGACCTTTTTTCATTTATACATTGTCAACCAAATGTTTTTTTTTGCGGGAACCCTTTTTTATTGGTATTACTATCACCCCCTTCATAAAATTCTCCCTCCACAAAAACTCACTCCTCCACCGAATCTGTCTCCATCTACTGAAACTCTCTCCTCCACAGAAACTCTCTCCCCCCATTGAATGGATTTACTAACCAAGTTTGATGTGAGCATAATAAACACCCCTCCAAACAAAGACCGCCTTCGAAACGCAAGTGAGTCACCAGACAAGCAATGTCACTTTCCTAGACAGAATGACCATTTTGTTGGAAGTTTTGAGTCTGAAAGAGTTCTTGCTTTCTGGAAGGAGAGGCATCTTCAACTTGGTGATGAAATCCAAAGGGCAAGGGTACATTTGGAATTTGTTGAAGGCCAAATTGAAGATGACAAAAGGCAGGCCAATCTGGATAGGGCGAAGTTGTAGCGCTTGAAGCGTAGACACAAACGACTTCGGAGTGTAGCTGTTTAAAAATACAAGAACTCATCTAATGCAAAGGAGTCAAAGAAGCGTGTGATGCAAGCTGGATTCGACTACTTCCGGTCCTATGCAAAACTCGTCGTACCCGGGTTTGATTGGTCATCTATTACCGTTTCCGACGTTAACAAATATACTCAGCAAAGGAAGTAACCATTTTGGTTATCGTGTTTGAGTAGAGGCAAATCAGAGGAACTGGAATTTTCGTTAAACTCTGCTTCAAACCTATTTTGATGCTTACTACTATAGAAGATTTCAACCTTCATATTTTGATGTCTTTAATTACGATAACACGATGCAAAGTGCCCATCTACTTCAGTCATATGTTGCTGCCATGTCCATTTTTTTGTGATCACGTATCAGATTTGGACATGGTTGCATCATATGCAATGTTGCCTTTATGTATTATATGTTAGGGTAAGGTTTATGGAAAAGCATGTGTGAGTGGTTTTGTGACAAGGTTATGGCATTATTTTGTACCAGTTATATATTGTTTTTTGTACTGGTTCATCTCCTACTATTGCTTTATTTCTTTATATTATATGTTTATGCGATTGGACATGATCGAAAATATATTACGGATTCCCAATGCGGCGTCATAAGGACAACTTATTGAATACCGCCGACGTGTTGAAAACTCTAGGTGCAGGTGCATATGGACAACTTATTGACTATCTCTGACGTCTTCAAAGCTCTAGGCGCATGCGCAGTTCCAATGATGGCTTCGAAGTAGTGGTGCATTTATTATATATGTACATTATTATAACCAAAACAGATAATTTTACATCCTTATATATGAAAGGAAACTAATTCTTGTATTAGTACAAATTATATAACGAATATTAAGGAAATATACTTGTTAAAGTGACAAGCATATATACTTAGGGTTAAGAGGAAAGTGAGTTATGTAAATCATTTTTGAATTTTTAATTGCGAAATGGATGATTTATGGGTTCCCCTCGTTTTATAACGTCACACGGAGGCCGGAGTATTTTTCGGGGCATTTTTAGGATTTTTCTACTATTTATTGCATTTTTTCAAAGATTTTTGCACTAAAAAAGCCAAAATAATTGCCAAATGGACACCTGGCGCGATCTCAGCCCCTCACCTTTCACCCCTTGACAAGTGTGCGTCAGTCAACATGGCCACATCCTTACCTTTTACCCTAAATTATTATTTTATGACTTTTTCTTAGAAAATTCATAACTAAATACACAAAAATCAGAAAAATGATCCGAAAATTGCTACGACCTCATTGAGACTCCATCTCCCTTGCTGAATTCCCCGATTAGTGGTTACGCATTTTAAAAAACAATTCCGAACATTAACGGGAGATGCTTGTTGAAGTAGGTTATTGAAGTTAAAAGTGAACAACATATATACTTAGGGTTAAGAGGAAAGTGAGTTATGTAAATCATTTTTGAATTTTTAATTGCGAAATGGATGATCTATGGGTTCCCCTCGTTTTATAACGTCACACGGAGGCCGGAGTATTTTTCGGGGCATTTTTAGGATTTTTCTACTATTTATTGCATTTTTTCAAAGATTTTTGCACTAAAAAAAGCCAAAATAATTGCCAAATGGACACCTGGCGTGATCTCAGCCCCTCACCTTTCACCCCTTGACAAGTGTGCGTCAGTCAACATGGCCACATCCTTACCTTTTACCCCTAAATTATTATTTTATGACTTTTTCTTAGAAAATTCATAACTAAATACACAAAAATCACAATAATGTTCCGAAAATTGCTACGACCTCATTGAGACTTCATCTTCCTCCTGAATTCCCTGTTTCATGGTTACGCTACATTAGTATTTTATTATTATTTATCCAAAATTATTTTTATTATTATTGTTATATTACTTGTTAGCTTGTACATTTGTTAATTATATTTACTCCAAATTTTTATTTTTATTTTTATTTTCCGTGTGAATAGACCATTTCTGGTGCTAATCAGTTTCTCTCTTCTTCAATTTGTTAATGTTTTTTCTTTTTAGGTTTAAAGGGTGTTTTCAAACATAAAATGGAAATATACAAGCCATCCATTCTACAACATCAGGAAATAATTATTCAAAGTCTTTCACTGTTCAAGTTTTGCTTAAGAAACGTGTAACCCAATCATTTGGGATATGCTAAGTGGGAAAATGTCATTCCCAAGAACCGGTGAAAAGACACATACTCACTTCATGCATGCGTTTTCGTTTACCAAATATTAAGATTGCAGTTGTGCAAAATATCTGTGTCAGTAAAATGTCATTCGTAACCGTCAATTATGTCAGTAATAATTCCACTATATAGCAAATATTATACATTTATATATAAAACGGTTTAGGACAGCACAAACACCAGACAAAATAGATTAAAACATGAAATAGAAAACAACATGTGTAGAACATAGACACGCATAAAAACCGTAGAAACATACTCCAACTAATTATAAGGGTATGGATTCCCTGGCACAACATAGACACGCATCACCTTGAACCAAAAAACACTCTCACGGTGCCATTTGCATCGATTGCAACAAGTCCAGAAGGCAGGATTGATCTTTTCTTCACTAGGACAGCCTGGAATAACAAAACACCAGTCGTTGTTGTTACAAGCGCTGCACTGATTGAACTTAATCTTCCCATAGTGAAAACATATCTACGATATGTCTTCCAACAGAGAAAATTCCGCTTAATCGTCGTCTCAAAGCATCCCTGGTTCCTTTCATATCAATGTTGTTACGTTGATTCAAAGAACACAAGAATTCTAATGCATCCTCTTTTGACTGACCAATTCCGGACATGCCAAGTAGTCCAACTAGATATGACGCTTCCATATGGCCTGCCGTGGCTGCAACGCGCATCCCAGACAATGCTTCCACATTACCCTGCCTGAAAAACATGTCGAACGCTTCTCTAAATATCGCCTCAGGGTTCTGGCAAGCCCTGCATTGGTCCACGAAATGCCGGACCTGCGTTGAGGCATAGTACCAGTTAGGATGGTCTTGGTACTTTTCCATTGAAATTGTGTTCCACACTTGTGGAGTGTTTGCCAACGTATTGAACAATGGGCACACAGATGCCATACGAAAGAGATCTTCCGAGGATTGGGTTGCCACGTATAACATCACTTTAAACCAAGCTAATTCCGGGATGAAGGCTTGAGGCACATCCAGATGGAGATGCTTCCTTCTCTTTCCTCCGACTGTAGTGTAATGTTTCGAATTCATTGAAATATTTTTGGAATGGAACGATTTGAGGACTGCAAGAGGGGAGAAATGAGAATATACGGGGTTTTGGGTTTGTTTTAGCCTCTGTTTGCACTGTTTTGAAAAGGTGTTTCCTTGGGGTTTTTCCAAGTTGACCCTTTTTAAAGAAACTGAACTCAACACCCAAACATAAGACAGGCGAAGGGAAAACGTCATCAAAATGCAAAGGGAGTCAGACCGTCCCAAAAGTCAATTAATAACCTATTTCCATAGCCATTGTTAGGCTTTTCCCGCCATTAAATTCATTGATACAAATGTGATGGATTACTGACTAGTGACAGAAGGTCCCATCAGATACTTTTTCATTTTCCCACACCACACTACCCCTAGTAAATGACGGATTCTTATCCAACTAGTTGCCTTAATGAAATATAAAGAAAATAATATATTTAAAGCAGTGTCCCCCTCAATTGTAAGATTAATTGGTAGTGAAATAGTATATCGCTTTTCGGAGTAAATGTGTCACAATTCTGACGGTACAGGTGTCCAGATCGTGACCAACCCACCCACACACAGAAAAGAAGGATATAATTCGATTTGGGCAGAGATGAGAGAGAGCTGAGTGAGAAGTTTAGGGTTATGACTTATGAGTGAAGGGGTATAACTGAGAAGGTATGAGTCCGAAGAGGTTTTAGTGAGAAGATCTGAGTGAGAAGAGGTACAAGTGATAAGATTCAACATGTCTTCGTCTTCATCTCCCGCTCAAACAAAGAGGTGTCAGTATTGTGGAGCTGCAATGGTGCTTCGGGTTTCAAAATCAGATAAAAATCGAGGGAAGCCATTTTGGAAGTGTCTAACCTCCTATGTAAGTTCTCATTTCCAGAATATGTATGTGGGTGAAAAAAAAACCTAGGTCTAACTCTGACAGAATTATTTTGCATATATGATGCCTGCAATTAGGGAGCCACCAGTTGCAATGGATTCGAATGGGTTGATGTAACCTCCGCTGAAGCAGATCAGCAAGCTGACACGTATGATGCTACAGTGCTTAATATGCTGAAGTCCATTAAGGACTTGGTATTAGTTTTATTAGTTGTATCAATTGTCATATTATTTGTTCTTTTAATGACCAATTAAGTGCACGGTTTCAAGGATTGTAAAAGTTCTCCCCAAAAACACATGTTGCACGCACCACCAATGACTTTTCAAACCCAATTTGTAATTTTTGTTATTCAAATAGGTGGATTAGCATTGAGTTTAAATTATTGTTTGAAACAAAAGCATTTATTTGTCAGAAACCCAGTAAAAACTTTCCTAGACTTACTTTACAAAAATAAAGTCATACGAAGACGATAAAATGACAATACAGGGCCAATACGATGCAATAATAAGACAATACCTTTTTTTTGAAGATTGCATAATTATTCAGTGTATATAGATTGTTTATTGATTGTTTACTGCATGTAAATCGCATGATATTGACTGTTTATTGAAGGTTTATTAACTGCATGTATTTCGCATGTTATTACTCCGATATTGAGTGTTTATTGAAGGTTTATTGATTGTTTACATGTTTCGTGAAGGTTTCATGATTGTTAACTGCATGTATTTCGCATGTTATTGAACCGATATTGAAGGTTTATTGAAAGTTGATTGAGTGTTTACTGCATGTATATCGCATGTTATTGCTCCAATATTGCATGTTTATTGGGGGCAAAAGTAGGACTCCAGTTAGATTTAAGGGGGGAAACGGTCCTTATTCTTTGTTTTAGTAGGAAGAACAATTGTTAAGTAGAATTTCCTATTCAATACGACTTCCTTATGGTTGATGTAATTGGGGACTGATGTATATTGCATGTCTATTGCGTGTATATTTTATGTCTATTGCGTGTATATTGCTTGTCTGTTGCCTGTGTATTGTTATTTATTTCCTTCGTAAGCAATACAAATCAATACAGACGTAATAAATGTAAGATATGCACGCAATAGACAAGCAATATAGACCCAACAGACATGCAATATAGACGCACTAATATACATTACTGTTATGTTACTCAGCTGCCCAAAACCAATAAAATAAAGAAAATCAACCAATTTATTAACCGATTATAAAGGAGAGAGGGATTCAAACCCGAGGGGCAGTGCGGAACCAATAGGGAGTTTTTAGAGCATTGCACCTGGGGACATTTTTCATGTGTTTCTATAAGGAGGGCATGGTTGAATAAAATATTGGAGGCGAGGCCATAGCCGCCTATCCCCCTTACAGAATTACCTTATTAAGATGCAACCCATTGCGATTAAGTCAAGGCATGTTGAACGGCTTAAAGATTGGGATCTGATATTTGGAATGGTGGCTTGGATAAATGATGACATATCACTTTGCAATGATGTAATACACTTAAAAAGCCATCAGTCCCTATGTGAATGCATTCTTCAAATCCCAATTCACATATGCAGTCTTCAAATCCCAATTCAATGCAGTTTGGTTGAGGTTAGGTAAATGTCGTGAAGGAGTTAGGCCAATATTACACCGATGTTTGTTTCATTACATCAAAAAAAACTTTACACTCCATATGCACATTCTATGTATGGGAATGGCATGTGTCTAACTTCAAAAACGCATCTGCCTATCCATTTAGATTGCCCACGTGCAATAGATTTACAGATCCATTTACTTTTCTCCTCACCAACCCTCAGCATCTCCATTTCAGATTCTTCATTTTTCTATGCTCTGCAACCAGCTCCATATACATTTCGCACAATATGAGAATAAACATAGCGTAATATCACACTAATCAAAATGAAAGCATGCATCCGCTATAATATTTGCCACTATTTTGGTTCTAATTGTTATTGTCCAGTAACTTAAATCTAAATTTCTGTACACAAATACACTAAGATTGGGAAAGACGAAGAAGAATTCAGGAGCAGAGGTGGAATTCGAAAAGGACCCATGGGTCTCTATTGTGTATTTACATGACTTTGAAATTTGACATTCCCAAAACCTATTTCATCATCATGTGCCTAAACCAAGTTCAACCGATATCATGGCATGTAAGCATCTCCCCGTGCAATTTCTGCAGCCAACTTCAACCGAAAAAATGGCATGTTCTGCGAGGTGCAAGTAGCTAAGGAAATCTCAGCACTCAACAGCTCAATGTACTTCAACACGAACATACCACAATCGCCTCTGAAGCAAAACAAGAACTCGATCAATTCAACTAATGACATTCTAACGTAATTGACAAATTAAAGTAATAAAATTAAATAAAAAGTTGTGCTCACTGATTAGCCTGTTGTGGAACATCCACACGATGTATTGGCCATGGACACCACCAATCTCGGGTGCACTCGTTCGCGTAAACACCTTCTTCATAAAAGTCAAGGGTGTGCAGAAGATTTGGAATCGTAATTGACAGGGGGCCGAGTTCTTCCTTTAAGCTCTGATCTGGAATGAGTGAAACCATTGAATCGTAGACTTTGATTTCACACTGAATCAGATCAATCTCTAGAGCCACCCAATGCTTATATTTTTGTAACATACAAGGTACATACACCTTATACGTGTTCTGCCAATCCAATCCACAAGCCGGAACCTTGCCATTTACAACGTTCACTAAACTGGTTCTAATTTTCCACCCAACTTGCTCTTTTTTCCTTTTATTATCCACAAAGCAAGTATGGATGTGATTATGTGAAATAGAAAACAATCAATGGTTAAACACCTCCACAAAGCAAGTATGGATAATTTGTAATTATTAACTGCACTTGGTCAAGGCCTATGCCATACTGATGTAGCATAGCCCTGGGTGTGTTAGTTTAAACATAACAGATAAGAAAAGCTGGAGGGAAGAAAATGTAGAAGGCAGGCAGAAATCAGAGAGTTTAAAGGAATGTTTAATCAATATTCAAATCTGAATTGTAAAGACTACATAGGGGTATTTATAGCAAACTAAAACCTAGAGACAATAGAATTAAAATCCCCAGGTAAAACAGAAATCCTATTCCTAATAAAATAGGAAACTTAGAAATCCTAATAGGATTTGGAAAACTAACTTAGAAATCCTACTAGGATTAGGAAAACTAAAGAATATAGGAAACTAAACACATTTAGGTCCTATGCCTCCTGCATCACATACCATAAAAATACATCGGTCGTTGTCCAATCCGATATTTCTACTTCCTCCAACTGTTGTTGTCGCTTCCGGATGAGATACAAGCCCAAATCAATGTGCTGCACATGTTTTCCTTGTCAATCTCATTATCTATGCACATTCAAACAAATGCATAATCAATTAAACTTACATCTCCTTTCAGCCAACCGTCAGCTTTGACGAGGGAAGCGAAGAATTCAATCTCAGCTTCCCGTTGCCAAATTGCATCACCAAACTATGAATATAAAAAAGTTTTAGAACACAACAATTAAAAATATATACACTCATGCCTTCTATCTCAAAAAACAAAGGACTTACTTTGGGTTATGGCGCCATTCCGAACAAAGTTTCAGCAATTTCACCATATCATCATGCGAAATCGCCTTCATTGGGTCTAACGTCCGAAGTCCGGTTGTCTTTGGCAAATTTTTTTGAACCACTTCACTAGCTTCAACGATCTTCCACATAGGAATAATCCTCTTCCTCTTCCGTAATTGGACCCCTCGTTCCACACCTTGACCTTCATCATTCAACCAAACGTTCAACTGAGATAACACAGCTGTAGGTTGATCCAAATCAATGTCCCCGAGAGTAACCTCAACCTTTGTCCCCTCCGTGCTCTCGCCAATGTCATCGCCAACCAACATAACTTCATCATCCTCTTCCTCACATTGGTTTCTTTGCACTTCCTTTTCCTCACTTCTCTGTCTTTTCACTTCCTTGCCCTTTTTTTTTTTTTTTCGGATCCTCTCCCTCACTGCTTTTTCTTTGCAGTTCTTCCTCTCCCTCAATGCTCTTTCTTTGCGCTTCCTCTCCTTTGCTGCTTTTTATTTCACTTGCTCTCCCTCACTTCTTTTCCTTTGAGCTTCCTCTACCTCCCTTGGTTTTCTTTGCACTTCACCCTCCTTCAATCCCCTCCTTTTCCTTTTCCTCTCCCTCATTTCTCTTACTTGGCACTTCACCCCTTCAATCCCCTCCTCTTCCTTTTCCTCTCCCTCATTTGTCTTACTTTGCCCCTTCACCCCTTTCAATCCCCTCCTCTTCCTTGTCCTCTCCCTCATTTCTGTTATTTGGCCCTTCACCCCCTTCAATGTCCTCCTCTTCATTTTCCTCTCCTTCATTTCTATTACTTGGCCCTTCATCCCATTGCATGCCATCCACTTCCTCATATCCCTTAAATAGATGTGACACGACACAACGATTCGTCCTCTTTTTCAATAAAGCTATGTCCCTTCTCACTTCCTGCTCAAAATGAGGACCTAAACAGTGGCCCAAAATTTTTTCCATCCGTATGACCTTTAACTCAAGGACGTCCTTTTCCCGCTTTACTTGAAACAACTCGGACCTCAACAAGCTTACCGCCTTGTTTCAACTCATCAAGGTCAGCACATGAAGAAGGAATTGACTCTGCCGAGACAACAGCAGGGCGACCCTGTGGCCAACTCCAATATGGTTGTCTCATTTCCTCTTCACTTGGACATAGCGCCCGCAACTGAACTGACTGTTTCAGAAAACAGACAAGAGTCATATGCAATCATTCTACTTCATAATTTCATTGAATCTTATAAATAGTTCCAAGGGCTGCAAACCAAACCTCTTTGCTCTGGAAAAAAATAATTGTTCAACTTTCTCATCTCGGGAACAGACGTAGTAGTTCTCCATCGCAAAATACGCGGGAGAGCTGTCGGATCAACAACCTTGCAGTAATTCAGGTCCGCCATTCTAGGAATTAATTCATATACCCAAATCTACACAATTCACAGGACACAAGTTATTATTTAAGTTTTAAAGTCAACAAAACATAACGACATAAACATTATTACCATGTACCTAAAGCATACGTGAAACCTTTAAAACTCCAGCCACCCCTTTGCACTTCACCATGGTTATCCTTCTTGCCCTTCTCATTTCTCCGGCTTGTTCCGGTTACCTTACATTTCCCCTTCCCTCTTCCCTCTTCATTTTCAAAGCTTTTCACATACTTTGTTGGTGCAGAAAACAGACTGTCTTGGGTTTTGTCAAACGACACCGAACCCCATGGAAACCTGTTGAACGCATCCAAGTCCTCTACAAGGGTCAGGTAATTTAGATTGATGTTCAAATGTTTGTCCCTTCCCAAAACCACTAACTTAGCAAAGTAAACAAGAGCTAGCTTGTAGACGTCATCTTCCTCTGTGCACCTCACAAATGCTTCTTCTAAAGCATTACATGTAATTCCTTCGTCTATAAAATATCTTTTCTGAAGTCTAATTTCATCACTTTCTCCACTGGAAACTTCAGGCACTTCCCCAAAACGAAGCCCTGAGATCAAACAGAAATCCTGACGAGTGAACTGAGCAACGTCGCACCCTATTAAGAAAACTCAGTCCATCCAAGTCTTTCACACCCTGCCCCGCTACTCTACGCAACACAACCCCATGCACAATCTGCCCGCTAAACTGAATCTTATCTATATTCAGAAGATGGCCAAAGCATGATGTCTTGAATTGTTCTAATTGTTCGGCACTCAACTTCGCTCGAATTACAGCTAGGGATGAATTTGCATGTGAGCAGTTGTTCACCTGTGAGGAATATGCCTCTGACTCTGGCCATACCAGCTCAACGTTGGATCCCATTTCCTGAAATACAAGATGAAATAACGTGAACACATATACTACCACGTATTTGCACAATCACATTGGTATTTACACAACTAGTCAACCAGCACATTACAAATTTTACAAAGTACATGCGCATAGGGATTACTGATCACAGGCTTTAACATCATCAAAGCAATATGACATATTTTGTGCAAATACCTGTTAATGCAATGATTCTGTGAATTACAAGCAATAACATGTGTTTTATTTATGGATCCAAACTCCAATCAATGGTTGATGCATGAGTGATTGTGAGTGCAATCTAGGCAAGTTCTGCACTTCACACACATGACAATTATTGTCATCTCATACACAACACAAAATAAATAAATAAATAAGAAAGATGGTGGAAGAAAGCAAAGCAAAGCATCTGCTCTGCTATCTGCTCGCTAAGCCATTGCCACATCCTTCTTTCTTTCTAGCTTTTTCTTCAGTCAGCCATAATCGTCATAGATCAACCTTTTTCCAAATGCTTTGCACTTTTATTCATGAGTTTTATTATTATCTGTTCTCATTTTTAACAGGCAAATTTAGTAACGGAAATAATATTTATTTCAAAAATTATATATATTCTAGCTCCAGAGAGATAATCTGCACTCTGCACTGCTTCAAATGTGGAAGGTTTTGAGGGCCTCCTCCAATTCAACACCATTACCTTATTCATATCATTATTGACATGTTATTGACTTTATTTTCATTCGTTTTTTAACATATACCCAAGCAAAAATTAACATGCAAGTGAAGCACAAAGAAGAGATGCCAAATCTAACAACATTCATGGTACAAATTGGGGAAAACGGTTACTCTAACCCTAAACTCAAATTCCATAAATTACTCACCAAATGCTGGTTATTGAACAATCGCAAGGTGTCTGTGTTGGGTCTTTGTGCGGCTTTGCTCCACAAATGGAACCTATCACTTCCAACGAATACGGCTTCTCTCCTTCCCCTTCCACTGCTTCGTCTTTTCACTGTTTCAGAATCCACGCCTTTGCTCCTTCCACTCAAAATAAATACTTTTTCACGGTTTAGATAGTGGAGTTGCGTTCAACCGTCGTTAACCTTTGCCTTCAACCGTCGTTGCCCGTTGCCTTCAACCGTTTCTCAGAGCTTAGCGGTTTCTCTCAGCTATGAGTTTGAGATCAATGGGTTTTTTTCTGTTCAAACTTCGAACTTGCCTCTCTTTTTTTTTTGTTGGGACCAACTTCATTGCTGGATATTAAATTCGGGTTTGGGTTCCTCACCTACCCGATTGCACAACTTTATCCCAATTCTCCCCAGCCCTTGGATTGATCCAATGACTATAAAGTGAACCCCTTATAACTTACCCCTCATTATAGTCTGGCCGGAAGTATCAAGTATAGGTCTTGTTTTGGATTGGCACGACATAATTTTGGTTTCGGTTTGAGGTCTAGGTTTAGGACTTAGCACATTACATCCCAATCATACAAGATTTCAGTTTTTGTCTTGGGTTGGAATTAGAGACACATAAACAAATAGAAGCACACTTGGCAACACAAATATACACACTACACAGTTTTTAAGTCGAAAGGTGGAAGAAAAATTCAAAGCATAACACCTAAACTAGGTCGAATTTCACTGTAATATTTCTGCAATCAACAACATCATTCAAGAGGATAAAGACGACAAGGAGTATTTTTTTAGGCATATTCACTCTTTCACCCCCTGGAACTTGAGCTCGCTCTCACTTAACAACCCAGAACTCAAATTTCCTCATTTTACCCTTTGAATCTTTAAAAATTGCTGAAATTTTTTCACTTTACCACTTTCGTCCATTTCCATCCACAAAATTTTAGTAATTTTAGCCCCTCTATCTTCTCTTTTCTCTTTGCCTCTCTCTCTCTCTCTCTCTCTCTCTCTCTCTCTCTCTCTCTCTCTCTCTCTCTCTCTCTCTCTCTCTCTCTCTCTCTCTCCCATCCCCTACCCAAACACAACCCCAAGGGCACCCAACCCCCTTCCCTCCCTTTGTGAAAAGATGGGAAGTGATTGTTGAGGAGAATGTTTTTATATAAATAAAAAATAAAAAAATTTGTGGTTTGGGTGTGTTGAGTAATTCCATGGAGGGTTAGGTCTGGGGTAGGGGTTGGGCATAGGGTGGAGAGAGAGAGAGAGGCAAAGGGAAGGAAGGGGTGGGGTGCGATGGTGGTGCGCTAGGGGTTGGGTTTGGTGAGGGGATGAGAGAGAAGATAGAAGAGAGGGAAGGGGTGGGTGCGATGGGGGTTGGATTCGGTAGGGGAGAGAGAGAAAAGTCATTTAATGGGAAATTGAGACAGCATTGAGAGGAGGGGGTAACATTTGAGACAAAGTGGGAGAATGGGAGGGGTAAAGTGAGGAAATTTGAGTTCCGGGTGGTTAGTAAGAGTGAGCTCGAGTTCCAGGGGTGAAACAGTAAATAATCCTTCTTCTAATTTTTTATTTAGACATAGGGGGGGGTGGGGGGGGGGGGGGGGGGGGGGGGTGGGTGGAACAAGACCTAGGGTATAGGGTAACTGCTCTTAATCACTCGAGCTACAAGCACCTTGCTAGACAAAGAGTATTTCAAATATTAAAAGACAATACAACATTTTCAGTATTTAAAACTGTGACTATAATGCGTGGTGCAAAAGTACCAAATTTGACAACATATCAAATGAAATCCAACTAGAATCTAGAAGCTAAAACACAATGAAGGTACTAAACAACTTTAAAAGGAGAGATTATATATAATTTTAAAAGGCTAGAAAAATTTCCACTAGTTGAATATATGAATAAAACACAAATTTTTATTATTATTGAGCTATATAAAATTATTCTCTTATCCAGCACGTTATTATTGTGCGGATGCCATTGTAAACAGAGAGAAAAGCAAGGAAGGGTAGTAAATAATACATGGCGTCTGTACAATAATAACGTCTAGACGTCCGCATAGGAGAATTTCTGGAGACATATTTATATATGCTCTCCTAGGGCCTTTTGGTTTGTAAATTGTTTTCTTGTATTGGGCTGTGTCCCTTTTCTTTAGTTCATATACTATTCGTTTACTCAAAGAAAAAAAAATCTGTTCACTTTAGGGGAAAGGAAAAGTGGAGATTCATCAATCTATCAGAACAAATATAACAACAATGTGTCGTAATCTTTTCGTATACCAAATCCCTAGAAAGCACATTTGTACTACACACACACGCACATATATTTATGTATATTTGTAAGAAAGTTGCTTCTGCAAATGAGGAAAATAAAACTCATTCCAATTTTGTGTTTGAATTTGTTATCCTGTGAGGATGGTTCAAATGCTTGGCCCCATGATGCTCTGTTTTATGTGGTTGAGTTCGTAATGTGTTCTTTGGGTGGAGGCGTTCCAATGTGGCTAGAACATCAATCATGAGTGGCCTGTACTTTGGGTCTGTATGAAGGCACTGTAAAGTAAGTTCAGCTGCAGTTTGTGCTGCTTTCTTGGGGTATTGACCTCCCAACCTTGTGTCCATGATTCTTAAGACTCGTTTTGTATCACTTAAGAATGGCTTTGCCCAATCCACCAATGTTTCCTCAACACTCCCAGCCCTCTCATCATCCATTGCTCGTCTTCCTGTTAGTAGCTCTAACAACACAACCCCGAAGCTATACACATCACTCTTTGGTGTCAAGTGACCTGCAGCTCGTTTTGAGCCGTAAAACAAAGAGGAACGACAATTTCATTCAGTAAATACATTATGATTTCCATAACAAACAAAAAATTGTATTAAGTGGATAAAACTTATGTAGTTTAAGTTTTCAGTCTTCAGGTACCATTTCATTTCTTTTGTTTCTCCTTCTTATGAGCATCTTTATAATCTCTCTTTAAGTTCACCAGCATTTCTTTATGTTTGTTCTCGTTTTTATGTAATCCGGTTTAGTAATTATGAAGTAAAACATCAAGCCTTTCCTTTTTCTTTTTTGTTAAAATCCAGAAAGTTTTTAATCATCATTTCATTTGTCGTGAGTCTATTGGTACACAAGTTAAATCGCAGTTCCTCAAGAATTTTGATGTCAGTGAATAAGAAATCCAACATGCAATGTATGATTGATATCATTTCCTAGTAGTTTTCTCATCCTATGAAAATTAATAACTCAATTGTTCTCTGTGGTTGAGGGCGTCTTCTATTCTTTTTGTAGCTCAATTTTATTTGCTGGTTCTCTCTTTTCCAGGATTATCGGTGAAAATATTATGGATGCAGTTGAACAATAACACTAACCTGTAGCAACATATTCTGGTGCAGCATAGCCTCGAGTTCCGACCACCCTGGTTGAAACATGAGTGTTGTCTCCAGTAGGACCATCTCTTGCTAACCCAAAATCCGAAAGCCTAGCATTGAAATCCTGCATACATCACATGAAAACTCTCTCAGGCTTGTGATTACAATTCAGCAATCGTTCACAAACTGGAGCTTTTGATGTCTAAGCATACCGAATCAAGTAGAACGTTTGAAGCTTTCAAGTCACGATAGATAACATTAGCATTTAAACTATGTAGGAAGGACAACCCCCTTGCCACATCAATTGCAATATTCATCCGCACAGCCCAACTGATGGGTTGAACACCTTCTGCAGAAGAATAAACAAAAACAAGGTAACGATTTGGTACTTTACTAGCAAAAAACAATGTTTATTTGACAACAGCTTCCTATTTTGCGGTTGATGCAATATAGTCTTCCGCTGATGGATCAAAGAGTAGCAGAAGGGATCACTGTTCTAAAATTAGAAAGAAAGTCTAAACAGAGGAACAGAAACGTGCAATTATCTCCACCATTCTAAATGCTAAGAACACATCAATGCATTTGCCACATAGGTCCCTTGGCTAAATGGATCCTTATATAGCTTTCAAACTGGGATCATTTACCAGGAATAGTTATGAAAGCAGTAATAATCGAGAATGTCAAAATATCTTTCGGATTTCCATTGAGCAAATTTTATGGTGCCCAAACTGGTCAAGATATGTTCTTCATTTCTATCTTCATAAGAAATGAAGAAAATGGTGTCTGTTTCTCTTAACTGTGGCTACCAATATTTTTGGTCCACAAACCTGTTCAAGTTCTAGCCGGATTACGGGTCATGGTTAAAGGAAAGACAGCAGGTCATCTCATCAGCCTAGAAGTCTCTACAAAAATTTCATCAAAGAACATAAATTTGTTCAAATTCGGCTACTTCTTTACAAAGGATGCTACCCAACTGTATGCAAGAAAATCTATCTACTTGTTATTAAAAACTAAAAAATTAACTGGAGGGATATTAATGGGGATTGAGCAAAGGTTGTTAGTAAAAATCTGAAACAGAATAACATAAGCTCATAGTTATTAGTGAAACACCATTTCACAAAGTGCAGAGTAGAATTCGGCAAGTGCAGGTTATCTTAAGATCAAGTATTAGACAAGAATGAACTGAAAAAATTATAGGCATCAAGTTCATAAGTATGAGCTCGCTAGCAGCTACTGTCTACTGAGATTGATCCAGAATCAACAGTCCTTGGCGTTAAATTATTGTATCCATTTGTTTGACAAGAGTATTTAGCCAGGAAGACATCAATCTATATGTAAAATTACCAAGTAACAAACTTATAGGTGAATTGGTGAGAAGCAATAGCATATAACAATTCAAAAAAATACGACGAAAGGGTATGTACTTGTACTCACTTCTAAACAAATGATTCTCCAAGCTTCCCTTAGGCATGAACTCGTAAACTAGAAGTCTATTGTCAGATTCTGAGCAATACCCTATGAGTTTCACAAGATTTCCATGGTGAAGCTGACCAAGATAGTTAACTTCTGCCTGAAAAATTGAAAAGTGATACAAATTCAGATTCAGAAAAGCAAGGTTAAAATGGAAAGTAAAACGGTCCAGATTCTACATACGAGCCACTCCTTGTGGCCTTGAAAGCTTTCTCGCTTGAGTCTCTTGATAGCCACCACTAATCCTGTTCCAGGTTTAGTGGGAGCAAAGGTGTTTGCATCAATCCATCCTTTGAAAACCCACCCAAACCCTCCCTCTCCGAGCAGACTCTCTGACCGGAAGTTCTTAGTAGCATTCTTGAGATCACTGAAACTGAAGGACTTGAGGCTGCTAGGGACAGATGTATCAGCCTTGGCCACTATTAAAGATTTGTTCAAACCTCCTGATGGTGTTTCTTGGATGGAGGAGGTTGTATCCAGCTGTCCCTTGCCATTAGACTTTGTACTTCCTAAAAGATGAAAGAGGTAAGCAGCTACAAAGATTGACCTTCAAATTACTATGCAGAAAATACTGGTCATAAAACTATGTTAATGGAAAACCATAGAAATATGAAACGAAGCATGTATGTGTTTCATTTATTTTCACGTTGCAGCAATGCTTGAACAAACAATATGGAGTAAACGAAAACGAGAAGGCACTAGAACATAATATGCAGAATAAGTTACAAATAAAATCAACTAAACTCTAGTGATAAAATGGTCTCGGATACTAAGAACATCAATTTAGAATAAGATCAGCACGCACTAGAAAAAACAGAGATGAAACTTAATTCGTTGATAGATTCAGAAGCAGATCATCTTCATATATCAAAATTAAAGAGGATACAAAAACTCTGACAGTCAATTTCTTTTCGTTGATGGAATTCATATTGGAGGAGGAAGGAATCGAGCACATCGCCTCGCGTGCTTGAATGATTAATCTTAACCAATTCAGCTACAAGACCCATGCAACAGTGTTCCTTGGACAGTCAGATTATTGATGGATTTATGTTTCTTAAAAAAACCAGAGAGGGAACCAAAGTTAAACACACACACAAAAACCTACAAATTCATAGTATTTAATTTATCTGATTTAAAATAGCATAACATGAAGTGAAACCCACCATGAAGGAGTGTAAACAGGACAAAAATAATTAAAAGCAAAATTCAAGACCAAAATGAAAGAAGCTGCAGATTATTACCAGAGAAGTTGATGGAAGAAGCATGAGCACACTTGGCAGATTTTCTGCAGCAGTTTCCCATCACGAAGGAGGAGACTGTTTGTGCCTCAGAACTCAGAACCAAACCTCAATGCTTGACTGGCCATGGCATGCCCATATATTTGAAACATTTGGCAAATTCATCAAACAAATGTGGAAACCCACTTTGTACACGATTAATTGGACTGTAGCAGTAGGTATGGAAGACCAAGGAAAACAGAGAAATTTGGAAGCAAGAGAGAGAAGAGTCCATTGACATTTGACGGGAAGCAGCTGCTCAAAGCTTTTGGTCAATGGAAGAAACCAGCCGTTGTACGCACGAAAAGTTCTTGCATTGAAAAGTATTTACAATATCTAGTATTTTGGTGTTCAACTTTGAAGAAATTGTTTTTGGCCCCACTCTGATATTAATAGGGTTTTGACTCAGTGGCCACCTGTCTCTATTGAATTTCTTTATCGTTGAAATTTCTGACCGAAAGAGTTTTATGTCAAATTGCTAACTTGGTTTTTTTTTTCTTTTACGGTTTTATTATTATGTACGGGTAAAGCGCACGGCCCCAATCAGAGCAAGTGACGACATCCGCTGGATCGCAAAGTTTGATTTTTTCTTCATTCTAAATTTTATTTTGGACCTACCACTTTTTTTTAGACCCAACAGATATATTAAATATCAGTTGTCCATTTTACACTAATATAAAATTATCATTCATCTTCCCTTAAAAAAGAAAATTATCTTCACTTGTTTCCACGGTCTCGTCACTTATTTTCTTGTTAGTCTCTTTACTTCGGTCCTTAGGCTTGATTTTGGGTTGCCGTGCTTCTTGTAGAAACCTTTAAAAAAAAAAAATTTTAATCTTTTTTATTATAGAAAATTTAGATTTTAGTGAAAAGAATCTTACTAATGAGGATTTGATACATAGAGTACTTATGTTTGAGTTTTGATACATAAGAATCAAATTTTGTTTTGGATTTGCCACAAAGAGGCCTAGACTTGTTGGCCCAACTTAAATTAATCACTGAAAAGACAATTGTACATTTTTTCTTTAAAAGTCTGGCCCAACTTTAAAACTTGCAAAGTAAATGTCCCTTTTAACCCTGTGTGTTTAAAGTATGCTCGATTTGAAATTTGGCGTTCTGATTCGGTCGCTCTTTTACGTGGTGGAGCTCTAGTTCTTCAGTTGCAATTGGAGCTCTGATCTTCTAGTTCGATTTCATTCACTTTTTTTCATTTTTCTCTTTGATTTTGATCATGTTTTGTGGTATGATTTTTAGTAACTTTTCTTTTGCATGCATAATCAAGGTTAGTTTTGGTGTTCGATCTGATATGTGCGATTCTGAGCTTTGGTGTGATTTTGCTTATTTTAGTTGAGCTAAGTCTTTTTCATTTTAACTCGAGTATCTTATGATCTAGTCTCTTTGAGCACAAAATAGATAGAGAAATGGATAAGATTTTACCATTGATGACTATTTCTTGGACAAGCCAAGAATGAACACCTTTGTAAGAAAATGCCTTCTTTTCTTCCTCTTCTAACAAGCTCCTCAACCCAAAATTCCAAGAGTGAAGTCCTCTACCTCCCCACACTAAATGGACTAGAGATGGAGAGAAATCAACTTAGAGAACTTAGATGCTAGACTTTCTTTAGGTTGAATTGATTTTTGGCTAAAGAAAATGAGAGTGAGGATGTCTCACCTACACATCAAAAACCCAAGAGTGGAATGTGTTAGTAGTATGTCCTTAAAACTAACTAATTATATGATAATTAATGTTAAGGACATCTTATGTAATAACTTATTAAGTTATTCATGGGCAAGACCAGTTGTTTTCAACCATGATATTTGGTATATTATCATAACAGTAAAACAACTATAGTCCTAGGATATATAAGTGGGCATGAGAACTATGTAATGAGATTGTATACATCGAGGCTTATCATGGTCCCTAATCCTAAATATGTTCCTGGTCATAGGAGTATCAATTGGGCGTTGATATTCCACCAAGACCAATACACAAAATATCTTCTCTATATGTAGACAATGACGAGGTCTCAAGTCATTGAGTGTATCGACACAAATTGTATACATCGAGGCTTATCATGGTCCCTAATCCTAAATATGTTCCTGGTCATAGGAGTATCAATTGGGCGTTGATATTCCACCAAGACCAATACACAAAATATCTTCTCTATATGTAGACAATGACGAGGTCTCAAGTCATCGAGTGTATCGACACAAAGATATCTGTGCAGCTGCTTGCATGAGAACAAGTACACTGAAGCGATCAAATACATGAGTTCTAGAATGGAAGTTTTTACTCACATGTCAAACTAGAACTCATAAATTGCAATGGTGTAAACTAATCCTTAAACATGAGACATGATAGATGTCTTGTGGCTATGTTGTTTGTCTTTGAGGGCCCCATACAGTTGTGTTACATAAGACATGACCTAAAGGTGTTCATCAGGACTCTTAATAAAGTCATGTAGGCAAATGAATATATAGCAAGGAATCTCTATTTTCACTAAGGAGAGAGAATACTCCAAGGATATGATTGATCAAATCTCTGCGTAGAGTAGTGGATAAGATTTGAAAGAAGTGATAACTCCATATTTGTGCTTTTTTTCCTATGCCCTATTCCTATGATTTGCATTAGTTGCTTTTGTGAAATTGGTTGTTTTGATGTGTTTAGTATCAGTTTTGTAGGAAATCATCCCTAGGCTTGAGTTGGCGCTAAAAGGAGCAAAATATGTTGAAAATGAGTAAAGAATACGAAAAATTGGAATTAGCAACTTGCAAGTCAAGAAACTGCCTATGCATATAGATCTACTTTACGGTTCATGATTTTGAGTTTTCTAGAGAAAGTTACATCAGTTTTCGTACAAGTGGTTCAGGCTGCAAATTGTGTGACTACGTTCTGGCGCTCAAGCGGAAGTTGCAAGCGATCGAGTGGCAGAGAGTTGATTTTTTGCCCAGTTTCTAACGCTCGAGCGGATAGCGCGAATCCAGTGCCGAATTTTTAACCTTTTTGGCTAGTTTTTCCTAAGGTTTTTGGGAGTTTTAAGTTTCCTAATCCTTGTATGATTGGAGAAAATTTCTAGGGGTTTAAAAGATGTAGAGAGTTTGTAAAATATTTAGAACATCTAAGATTTTGAGAGAGACGAAGTTTCTCCAGCAAAAAAATTTGGCACCTTTTTTGGTAAAAAAATTTAGTTTTTTTTTCTTTCAATGTTTTAGGAAAGTGATATAGCTTCGACAACATGTGCTACATGTTGCACACCTAAACATACAACAAACGCCAAGGGTGTGTTGTAAAAAAATCTCAAGCGTGTTGTAAAAAAACTCTAAATTTCTTTTCAACAACGTGTAGTAAATACACGTTGTAAAAATCTATATACTATAATGCGTTGTTTCAGCATGTTATGAAAAGTGTACTTCCACAACACACAACCTATGAACGTTGTTGTTTGGGCCAAAAATAAATCTAAAAGCACCAGCCCATATTCGCAAGGAAAGGCCCACAAAACAGAAAGGAACCAGGGACTAAGCTTTGATTACCAAGAAGAAAGAAAGCCCAATCCACGACAAAAGCCCACGTCTTTTTTTGAAAGGACAGAGTTGTAAAAAACGCCACATTAAATGGCGGTTACAACTAAGCATATCGACAAAAGAATTAAATTGGGCACAATCTCTAAAACCAAAAAAATAAATCAAAGACAAAACTCAAATGATCACTTGATCTCAAAAGCCTTCAAAAAAACTAAAGCAACCAAATCTCATTGAGCCACAAGAAATAAGCCAGCTACAAATCAAAATCTCCAACTTCAGTTCAGACTTAAAGAAATAAGTCATTCAAAACGAGATTTTTCTTGTTACAAATTTGGTTTAGCATAAGCCAAATCAAGCAGAGTTCGGGTTTTTACAAATATGAAAACCTCAACAAATTTATGGAGAGCCCTGATCAAGCAGAACAGGTACCACAGTGCAGTTCCAGCTCAGTGATCAAGTCCAGCCACTTCTGCCCCTTCCAGACTGAAGAGGTCCCAATTTTGCCCGTTCAAAAAGCCTTACAGGGCTTGAAATAGATTGAAGCTCTGCCAAACTCGAACGTTGGTATCGATTTACAACAGTTGAAGTGTTGGTAGTCCAGTCCAGCACAGGCATATCCAGTCTAGCCCGGATCAGAAGCATCTATCCAGGCAGAAATGGAAGTCCAGCCTTCTTTTTGTCATTCTAGAGTTGGATTTTCCTTTTTGAGTTTTGCAAAAGGCAGTTCTGCCTAAAAATAGTTCACTTTCTTATTATTTATTCTGGCCAAAACTACAAATTTTGTACTGTGAAAAATTGTGAAGTCCTCACCAGGTTGAGGCAAGAAAAGAACTTACTTGGAGATATTCCTCACCCAAATTCACAATCGCTTGTTTAGAAATCAGTAACTTAGGGCGCAAGTTATCTATTTTTAAGAAATCTGCTAGGATTTCTCATTGCTAGCAGTGGCACGATCGCACACTAAAGAAAGTTGACTTGTTGACCAGTCAATGGTTTTCAAGGCAATGGGGAACTTTACCCTACCATGACAAGAACAAACAAAAAACAGGTGAACAGTTGTTAATGACATGTTGTTGTATGGTATTTTCTTGACAAAACGACACTTGTAGTCCCTATGATTTCCAAGTTTTATTGCTAAGGTCCCTGTGGTTTCAATTTCTTCACTTTTGCCACTGTGGTTTAAGATTCCAAGCGATTAGAGGACATTTCTCAATTTCTGTCAGATTCCTTTTAGTTTTGTTAGGGCCTGAGCACGTGCCCCTCACATGGAGAAGCATTACAGTCAAATCAAGCCATGTTATAAACCTAAAACAATGGCTCAGCCTTACCCATTCAAATTAGGCGATTTTGGGGGAAGTTTGGGAGATGTTGAACTCTGGCCAAGCTCCAAGGTGTCAATTATGTAATGGCAAAATGAGAATGGGAATCTCCAAAACAAATAGGACTCATGGGAGATATTTCTAGAAATGCACTAGATCTTATGTAAGTGCAAATTTATTTTTGTCAAGTTTTGGGTATAAATGGTGAATCTGATTTTTGTGTTATTAATTTTGGAATTGTGCTATGCATGGAACACTTTATTGTGCTCGATTTATTTGGGAATATGGACCAATTAGATTCAATCAAGCAAGCAAACAGAATGAAGCAGTGAGAGGAGGTGAAGGCATTAATGGCTGCTTGGAAGATGAATTGCAGAAGCCCAAACAGTTGTAAGCCTCTACTGTAAATTCCCTAAATGGAATTAGGGATTTGTTGCTGTTGATTTATGTATTTCTAGTATTAATTTATGTGTTGTTGATCATGATTGTGGTTATGAAGTTGGTAAAAAATTGAATGTTGGCACCATTCCCATCTGTTATGTGTTCGGAATGTTGTAGTTCTTTTGGTTTCGAAATTTACAAGGAATGTGGAATGAAAGCTTTATTTTGATTCAGATTGCCTTATTGAATTGACATTTGTTTCAATAGCAAAACTTGACAAATAAGCGATGGCTATTCTGGAAAACAATATTTTTGTTTCAACAGAGATACTGGAAGAATAGCTTCTTCAATCATTATCATAGTGGTGATAGAAATAAAGGAAATTCTGCAGCAACACAAATCTTGTTACAGATCTCTCAAGGTTAATATCAAGAAAGCTCACCTATATATAACACTTAAAAAAGAACAAAAATGCCACCTATTAACCCAATCACACAATACATACATGATACAGGGGCAAGCAACCAAAGATAGTAAGTAGGGAACTTCCCAAACAATAAAACAACAATTTAGTATGCAAATTCAATATGGGCCAGCACATTGCTGAACACTATCAAGTGAAAGGATAGAAGTTTGAAAAGAGCAAACTTCCTAGAAGAATGTAGGCCGCAGAGTATGCCCAAACTATATATCCCCATCTCTTAACATTTCTCACATATTGCTAACTTAATATTGTTTAACAAATTAAGGAATTTAGGAGGAAATAAAGTCAAACCTGCACATGCATGACAAAAAATGCTATGGCTACCATAAATCCCAAATGTAGAATACATGGAAGTACAACAACTAAAAACCTTCAAATGTTCTAGCAACTAAAAAACTTCATAATGTTAACAAGTTGCTGCTCCCATTCAATTTCAAAACAAGTCACTTTCAATTCTAAAACAACTTCAAAATGTTATTACATAACAAATGTTCCAGCAACTAAAAAACTTCATAATGTTAACAAGTGATGTCATATTCAAAACATGCAGCAATTCTGTTGGCTGCGCAAATCTCACGGCCGGGTGCTCCGGGCCGAGGGGATGTGCGTTAACACGTGACGTCCTTCTTTTGGATGCAGTGCGGTTGTGCACGGGCGTGCCAGCACAGTCTACCGTGCGTCGAGATGGTGATGAGGTTTGGGTAGAAGATGGTTAAATGATGCGTCTGTTTTGAGTTCGACTCCTAATCAAACGATTGTGGCTGAGAGAGGAACTAATCTCGACCGTCAGGTTCACGACATGAGCTACAAAGCCGTTTAGTGGTGGTGTTGGTGGCGGGTTTTAGGCGGTGCTCCGGCGCGTTGCTCAGAGAGCGACGGTCGTATGATATATGGGGTGAATGAGATGATAACAGAGATGGTGCTCCTACGCCTTGAAAATCAAGGGTCGTATGATATATTGATGAATGGATTTTACTTACAGAGATGGTGCTTCTACCACTACTCCTAGGAAAGCAAATAAAGGTATTGAAAGTGCATTACAGGAAAATATAATTTGCTCAGTGGGAGGCTTTTGGTTTGGTGTTTGAACCCTTTGAATGTAGTCTTGAGCTTAGTATTTATAGGGGGAGTCGTGGAGGGACAATCGAGGCTTGAAAAGATCTGCGTGGTGGAGCCTGATCGGGGCAAGTGGGTAGTCAAATTGGCATTTGGGATCGTGAAGCATGGTGGTGTGACCCCCATAAATCCCGGTAAATCTCGACCACCGCCCTGATCGTGGGTTCTGCCCCCTTGGCCGTGGGAACGCATTTAATGCCCTGGTCTGGTGGTTGGTGATCTGACCTCAAGTTGTAAGAATACTTGTGAGAATGTTTGCGCCTAACCACTCTGATTTCCATCACCAAATCCTGACTTCAGTCACTTCCCTTCTTCCCTCATGCATTAAATGCTTCTTGCGACTAGTGGGTTCGCTGCGATAGTCAGAGGCATTACTTTATTAAATGAGGCGTGGGACCCTGAGGCCACGTGGTGATTTAACCACAGTATCTTCGGCCGTGTCTTTTACGGCCTTTGGCTTCGGCCTATAATACTGCGGTCGCGAGGCCGAGAGGATTCTGCCTTTGCAGCTTTTCTTTTGTTTTTAGGAAGGCGAAATGCCTAACGAAATGTGGCCGTTTCAGTTCATGAGTGGGAGCTAGGGCCGAGAGGAAGTCCCTTCAGTCAGTTTATGACCGTGATTTATTAGGCACAAACATTGCCCCCACATCCCTGGATTCTTCGGTCGCGGCCTGGGCAGAGGCCGAATGGATTCCAAGGGATGGACCCTTTGCATTCCTCCTGAAGTGATTGACAGTTGGCGCCTTAAATGCGTAGGTCGGTCGGCGCATTAAATGTGCAAGCACGTCGTGCAGGCCATTATTGCCCAGACTTACGTGAGGCGTTGCTTCGTCTCATCAAATGAAGCGACGGCCTCTGGGCTTCCGACACGTCATCGCGCTCTTTGAACACTGTCAGATCGTTACGTCTCTCGAGAGAGCCACGCCCTTTCGTTTCGAATTCTAGCGCCAATATAAAAAGCCTTGCCTTCTTCTTTTTTCTTTACTCTGTCCCCTCCATTATAACCTGCTCTGATGGCCACCCCTGTAGCTTCTCCAAAACCGAGGTCGAGCCATATCCGCTGATCCTCGCGTCGTGGCCTGATCCAGATGGTTTTTCCTCTTCTGCTGTCCACCAACTATCCTTCGTCTTGGAAAGTCGACGTGGACCAAGGCCATGGTGTGGCCGAGATTCCTTCCCGGCCGTGGGGGAGGATGACCTTCCTCCTTATGAGGCCATGGAGAAACTGTAATGCGATTGATGAAGATGGGAGGGCCTGGTATGATGATTCCAACTTGGCCACGTTCGTTTGGCTTAGCACCTTGGTTGCACCCATGGCCGGAGTGACGGCCCTGGTTTCACCCAGCCACATTTGTGCCCAGAATGACGGCCCTGGCCATGGCCGGAGTGACAGCCTAGGCCATGTTGTGAGTGACGGCCTTGATTTCAACCTGGTTTCACCCATGTCCAGAGTGACGGCCTCGGCAATGGCCTGAGTGACGGCCTTGGCTTCAACCCGACTGCACCCATGGCCAGAGTGACGGCCTTGCCCATGGCAGCGGTCAGTGAAGATGTGGGTGGTGGAGGCACCGCCTAGGGAAGAATCATCTGCCTGCTCTAACGAAGGGATCAAGAAGCGGCCGTTAATAGATTTAGAATGTACTCTATTTTTCGCACATGTATGTTGATATGTTTCATTCGGCCATGATCGACCGTTCTTTTTGTAACCGCGACCCCTTTCTTTTAATCTAAATAAAGTATAACCCCCTTTTTTCTTCTGACCGAATGTATGTTTTTCTTTCATCTTTATCGTGTTGTAAACCTCATAACCCATTCTTGGTCGTCTCCCATAATGACGGGGTATATTTCTTCAAATACTGGCCGTTTATTGGCAAGTTGTGTCATTCTCCATCCCTATCTCTCAACTGAAATGCACTTCGGCCAAGAATTCGTTCGATAATAAACGGCTCTTCCCAATTGGGTGAGAATTTGCCGAACCAAGGGTCCTTAGTCCCGATAGGAAGCATGACACGCCATACCAAGTCGCCTTTGGCGAAAGTCTTTTGCTTCACCTTCCTGTTGTAGGCCTTCGCCGCGATCTGCTTTTGTGCCTGCATTAGGTTATAAGCATCGAGTTTGGATTGCTCCAAATCTTCTAATTCATGAGCCATGGCTTGCGCATAGTCCTTCTCTTTCTGCCCAGGTTGTTCGGCCACACGGAGAGACTGAACCTTTAACTCCATCGGAACGATGACGTCATGGCCGTAGGTTAAGGCATAAGGGGATGTGCCAGTAGCCGATCGTTTTGAGACTCGGTAAGCCCAAAGGGCTTCAGGGAGTAAGTCGTGCCACGCCCTAGGTTTTCCTCAATCATTTTCTCGAGGATGCCCTTGATTACCTTGTTGCTCGCCTCGGCCTGTCTGTTAGACTGTGGGTAGCAAGGTGTCGAGTGGACCAATTTGATCCCTATCCTTTCGGCATATTCTCGAGTCTCGGCTGATGCGAAAACTGGGCCGTTATCGGCCGTGATGGTTTCGGGTATACCGAATCTATGGACGATGTGATTTTCGAAGAATTTGACTACCTGTGTGCTAGAAATGGACCGATAGGACTCTGCCTCGACCCATTTAGTGAAATAGTCAGTTGCCACCAAAATCCAAGCGTGCTGGTTAGACGCTGCTGGGTAGATTTTGCCGATGATATCCATGGCCCATCCTCTGAACGGCCATGGTTTAGTAACCGGGTGGAGGGCTTCAGCCGGTACCCTTTGTATGGGGCCGTAGATTTGACACTTGATACACCCTTTCGCATATTCTATGCAGTTCTTTAAAATGGTTGGCCAATAATATCCGTGCCTCCGGACCAACCATCTCATCTTGGCGCTAGACTAGTGTGTGCCGCAAATCCCTTTGTGGGATTCGGTCATGATAACCTTAATATCTTCGGTGCTGGGGCATAGGAGCAATAAGCCGTCTGATCCTTTTCGATACAGCTCGTTCTGATAAATCAAATAACATCGAACTCGGAAACGAGTAGTCCTTTCATGGTTGCCGGAGGCATCGCGCAGATACTTTACTATGGGGTAGCGCTAGTCGGCTTCGGCCATTTCGACCTCGTCGATAATTTCGGCCAATGATACTTGCGTCATCATTCCTCGCTCGGCCAAAGCCGGCAGGGTACGCTTCTCTATTCTTATCACGCAGTCGTGGTCGCTGTCCGGAATGTTCACACCTGACGCTACCTGGGCCATCTCATTGGCCTCATGGTTTTCGGTGCGCGGCACGTGAACGAAGGAGATCCTAGAAAACTCGTCGGCCGCATTGAGGGCCGTTACATAATACATGGTTAAATTCTCGCTCGTGCACTAGTATTCCCCGGTCAGTTGGTTAATTACTAGCTGAGAATCTCCGTAGACCAGGACACGGGTTGCCTTCATTTCTTTTAGAATTTCAAGACCGATGATGAGCGCTTCATATTCGGCCTGATTATTGGTGCATTTGAAATCAAGTTGGAACACAAATTGCCACATTTGTCCTTGGGGGACTCGATCACGACCCCCGGCCCAGATCGAAGTACATGGTCCAGTAGTTCTTCTCCATGCGGGCCATGCCGATCTCGACCTCCAACTCTTCTTCCTACCCCTGAGCCGGATGGTGGGCCAAGAAATCGGCCAATGCCTGACCTTTGACCGATTTCTAAGCCACATATTGGAAGGTGAATTCGGACAATGCCATCGTCCACTTCCCGATTCGGCCGCATATGATCGGCCGAGTGAGCATGTATTTGATGAGGTCGGTCTTGGAGATGATCTGAACGATCGAAGGAAGCATATAATGGCGCAACTTGGTAGCCGCGAAATAAAGTGTCAAGCATAATTTCTCGATCGGTGAATAGTTTAGCTCGGCCATGTTAAGGGTGCGGCTCAGATAGTGCACTGCTTGTTCTCGCTCAGACTCGTTGTTCTGAGCCAGCAAACAACCGATAGAGCCCTCTGAAGCCGAAATGTAAAGCCTCAAGGGTTTCCCTCTTTTCGGCGGCATAAGGACCGGTGGTTGAGATAAATATTTCTTGATGTCGTCGAAGGTCGTTTGATGTTCTGCCCCCCACACGAACCGTTCTGTGTCTTTCAGTTTGAGCAGAGGAGTCAGCGGCCAGATTTTCCCTGCCAAATTGGATATGAACCGTCTTAAAAAGTTGACCTTACCGAGGAAGGACTGGAGTTCCTTCTTGGTCCTTGGCGGAGGTGCTGCCATAATGGCCGTGGCTTTATTTTTATCTACCTCGATCCCTCGTTGGTGAACCAAGAAACCGAGAAAGTTCCCAGCGGTGACGCCGAAAGCACATTTCTTAGGGTTCATCTTTAGGCCGTGTGCTCGCATTCGATTGAAAGCCTGTCGGAGATGCCCTACGTGGTCGGCTTTGGATGGGGATTTTACAACAACGTCGTCGATGTAGACTTCAACGATTCGGCCAATCAGGTCGTGGAAAATAAGGTTCATAGCTCGTTGGTACGTCGTGCCGGCGTTCTTCAGGCCGAAAGGCATGACCAACCATTCATAAGTCCCGATTGCGCCTGGACATCTGAACGCCATCTTGTGGACATCTTCCTCGGCTATGAAGATTTGGTTGTAACCAGCGTGGCCGTCCATAAAAGACAGTAGCTCGTGCTTCGCGGCTCCGTCCTTGGGGGTCGCGAGGTTTAGATTTCTGTAGTCGGTGTAAACCCTCAAAGCCCCAGTCTTTTTCAAAACTGGTACGATGTTAGCCAACCACTCAACGTACCGAGCCGTGCAGATGAAGCCGGCTTTAAGGAGCTGTTCAATTTCCTCTTTGACCTTAAGCTGTACTTCAGTCGAGAATCGTCTCGGCGACTGTTGGAAAAGCCTAAACCCCTCCCTAATCTTTAGTTCATGCTCGACCAAACTTCTTGGTAATCCAGGCATCTCATGATAATCCCAAGCAAAACAATCCTTATATTCATGGAGCAGGCCGATAATCTCGGCTGCTAATAACGGGTCCTGGACCTCGGGGTAGTCATCCTCCATCTCGGCGGGCGTCGTTTCCAAGTCGTCAAAGGCTAAAGTGTCCGCCTCATCTGATTCGTGGAGGAATTCGATTAGGTTGATCAGCAAGTTTGGCTGTAAGGATTCCTCCGCCCAATGTTCCAGCAGTCCTTCCAGCAGGTCGGTCATCTAAAGGCTAGTGAGGTCGATCAATACTTCACGCACCGAATCCTATCGAACATTCTCGGCACCTAACTCCAGCACTTTCTGGGCCGTTGTCCTGGTTGGTCGGTCGCTTGCATCGTGGCTGGTGAGGACAACCCATCCAACGTCGTCGTCGTAAATCCGTGCTTGCACGGTGTTGGTTTCGAAGGGTTTTTCATCGGCCAGGTGTATGGATACCCTCTGGCCGCCCCAAAAGAACAACAGTTGGAAGTGGGAGGACGGTATGCATCCGGACTGATGGATCCAGTCAAAACCGAACAACATATTGTAGTCTACATTGGATTCGACTATGTAGAAGGCCGCGACTCTTACTGGTCGGTCACAGTGATTTTTAACAGCAATACCCTGATGGTCTTAGATTTATCGCTGGGACCCTGAGTCCACGTGGCGATTTAACCACAGTATCTTCGGCCGTGTCTTTTACGGCCTTTGGCTTCAGCCTATAATACCGCGGTCGCGAGGCCAAGAGGATTCTACCTTTGCAGCTTTTCTTTTGTTTTCAAGAAGGCGAAATGCCTAACGAAACGTGGTCGTTTCAGTTCATGAGTAGGTGCTAGGGCCGAGAGGAAGTCCCTTTAGTCAGATTATGACCGTGATTTATTAGGCATAAACAAATTCAAAATACTTTAACATTCAAAAGGTGCAACAATTGAAAGGTCCATCACTTCAAATTCATAAGGTCTAGTAACTAAAAGGTCCAGCACTTCAAAATACTTATATATTCCTAACTTCAAATTATATTCCCAACTTCATTACTTCACAAAATAGTCAAATTTCTACTTCATTCACTTCCTTGGTGCTTTCCCAGGTGGTTTCCATGGAGCACTACTGCTAGCTCCCAATAGTCTTGGACCTTGCCTTGTAGTTTGATGCACCAGAAGCAGATGGATTCACAGAGGCAGATGCAAATAGATTCACAAAGGCAAAAGTAGATGGGTTCACAGAGGCAGAGGTAGATAGATTCACAAAACTCGATACACCTTGCTGCAAAGTTGCATTTGATGAGCTTTTCCGGATTTGCATTGAAAAAAATAAGTTTACCAATCATATGGTGGCCTTTTTGAAAACATCTAATGCAAGTAACAATCCCTTTTCTTCTCAAATTTACACCTATGGCATTAGCTGTCTTCTACATCTCATGGTCTTTTTTTTCTGCTTCTCCTTGGTCTCCCTGGTTGTTTTCTAACAAGTGGAGGTGACAATGGTGTTTGGTTTGATCTTGGCCACATGTGAAAGCCTTTGACAGGATGAATTATTGACTCATAAGCCTTTAAATAAGTGTCTTTGTGATAACATGTGGCAACATAATCTTCTGGATGTCTTCTATATAGATATATAGCAGAAACAACATGAATGCAAGGGATACCATTAAGATCCCATCTCCTACATCTACATGTCATCTCAGCTATATTTACCACATGTTGATCATGTAAATATTCTCCTACTTGGAATTCATAAGGTCCAACTTGAGCTGGCATACAAGTCCTAGCTGAGATATATTTTATCTTCAACTTCTTTTGAATTTTAGGGCAAATGACCTCCTCATGTTTTGACATTGTTTCCCTCTTCATTTGAAACCTTTTCATAATATTACACCTTATCATTTCTAGCATGGTTAGTGTGGGTTTATCTCGGGCAATCAAAATATAGCTATTAAAGGTTTCACACAAGTTATTTAACATGTCACATTTATGGGCAATACTAAACTTATGTCTGGCCTACTTATCTAGATCTTTTGACATCAACCAATGATATGCAGCTCCATTCATATCTTTTAGCTTATTCATTTCAACCTCAAATTCATACATATTTGATGCCCTAGCTGCACTCCATAACAGATCCTTTAGGCCTTTGCCCTTGAACTTGTCCTTGAAGTTCCCATACATGTGCCTAACACAACATCTATGCTGGGCTTGAGGCACCACAAAGTCAAATGCTCTATCCAGTCCTTATAATCGTAAACAATAAGTTATTAAGCTTTAAAGAAACTGAAACAAAATGAAGCAAAATAAAAAGTAACAAACAATGAAGTCACCTTTTGTTGATCAGATATAAATATCCAACCATGGTCACTTACAGGACCAAGATCATCAATCAACAACTCCAAAAATCAACCCTAAGTCTCTTTTGTTTCCAACTCCACTGTAGCATCTGCAATGGGATATGTGTTATCATTAGCATCAACCCCCACTGCAGCTAACAATTGACCTGGAAAAAAAAATTTGAAGTTAACAACTAACAAAGTGAAGGAAAAGAAATTGAAACAACTAAATTTTTTATTTATTTTTAAACAACTAGGCTTTACCTAAGAAAGGACCCTTCAAGTAGCACCTATCTACTCCAATAATGGGTCTGTAACCAGCAAGAAAATCCTTTTTGCATGCATCAAGGCATACATAAAGCCTTTGAAAATGTGGAGGAGGCTCCAACCTTATCTTCATTGTGCTTCCAACATTAATTGCTCTAACCTCATCACAATACTCTCGTAACCTTGAGTATTGCTCTTCTATTATCTCCTTGGCCTTGTTCTTAGCTCTTGCACATTGACTATCAGACACATTATACCCTAAGTCCCTCTTCACTGCCATCCTCAAATGCTTACACTTTATATCAAGCTCATCCATGATACGATCTAAGTACTTATGAGCAATGAACACACAGTTTACATATGGGTTAGTAGGGTTTTGATGACAAATGTGCTTATCAATAAACATCTTGATTTGCAGGGTTTGCTCAAGCTACATAAAAGAAGCATGCATTTTCCACGTGCAATTTTTACATTGTGCAGTTATCCTCCTCTTATCATTTTTCACAAATTTAATATGATAATTGCCTTGCACTGCATAATTTTTCACAGCTTTTTTCAAGACTTCCTTGCTTCCAAATAACATTCTCTTCTCGAATTTAGGGTTATCCAAATCAGACTTACTAAACTCTGGAAATTTTCTCCTTCTTTCACCTTCCTCATTCGAAGAGTAATTAGGATAGTCAAATCATTTCTCAGAGTTTGTATCATTGTCTTCTTCACAATCAACAACCACAAAATCTTTAGGGAGATAAGTATTTCCTACTCTTCAAATTTGATGTTGTCATCTAGAGCATCATCATTGTCACTCTCATAAGTCTCCTTATCTGATTCATCAACACCATCTTCAAATTCTAATCTTCTTATTCTACCATTAATATCAGTGTCTTCTTCCGTACTCTATTCTTCATTACCCTCTTCATTGATGACATTCCCAACCAGCTCTACAGGAACCTCTACAGTTCCTATAGTTCCTATATTAGGCACTTGTTCTACATATCCTTGGGTCAACTGTGACTCATAATTAAAAACCTCTTCAAAAAATGCATATGGAACGTCATCAAATGCTGCATTATAAAGCAATTGGGGTGGCCCAACTTGTGGAAAATTTTAGCATGACCAAATAAGAACAAAACAAAAAGATGCATTGTTTAAGTTGACAATTCACTTGGAAAACATATTGTATGTGTATGATATAACGAACATTGCACAGAACAGTTCAAGCAGAAAAGCGAACGGGGAAAAAAACATAAATGCAAACCATACATATTGAATACTTTATGCAAATAAATAGGGACACTATTCTTCCAAAAGCCTTTGGTAGTGAAAACATGCACGGGACCACTGCCTTTACTTCCTATTCCACAAAAAAAAAACAAAACCTTTACTTTCTAAAGTCTTTACTTTTCCACCAACTATTCCACTAAGGGACAAACTCAACCCAGTACAAAAGACTACAAATCAGGGATAAGAAATAACACATGCAGACAATCAAAAAACAAAGCATTGAAAACAACAAACACTTTAACTATTGAGAGCCCCTATATCAAATTGAAACTAAGTTAAGGCTACAAATCAGGGATAAGAAAAAACACATGCAGACAATCGAAAAAAATAAGGGAAATAGCTCAAAATGCCACCCTTTTTATAATTTTTTTTTAAATACCACCCGTTCCCATTTTTTTTTTGCCACTATCACCTATAAATATATATTTATTGTCCACTTATTGCACACATATCACATTTTCAGAAATTTTGTTCTCTCTCACCTCGCTTAGCCCCCTTTTCTCTCTCTGTCTCTCTCTTTGCTCTCTCTCTAGCGTGGCTCTCTGTCTCTCTCATTTCTCTAGTGCAGATCTCTCTCTCTCTCTCTCTCTCTCTCTCTCTCCTCTCTCTCTCCTCTCTCTCTCTCTCTCTCTCTCTCTCTCTCCCCCTATTTGCTCTCTCACACAGCTCTGTCTCGCAATCTATTCTGAATCACGAACCCCTCCCTCAGCCCCATATTTTAGGTATGTCTTCTGAATAGTTGCTTGCAACCTTGAAGCTCTACTGGATCGCCGACCTCGAATAGGTAGTGTTGATGGTTATTTTCTTAATATTTTTGGATGATGTGAAATTGGTTTTATTTTGATTGCTTGGGTTTCTGTTAAATTGGTTTTGGCTGTAATTGCTTTGGGTTAGGTTTTTTGAATCTTCATGCTCATCCATCTAGGTTTTTACCAATTGCATTAGATTGCTCTGGATATGTCAATCTTGAAAGTTTGGATTTTCCATTTGATGTAGTGGATTTGTATAGTGTGATTGTGATGAATCCTTGTTCACTTTTGTGTTAGTGTTGTATTGCTGTTGTGTTCCTGTTATTTTGTTGGGCTATTGCTGTTATATTGCCGTTATATTGTTGTTATATTGACGTTATATTGCCATTGTATTGCATGGTTATTGTGGGTGTATTGTGCTAATGAAATAATTTTGTTCATGGTCAGAAATGGAGACAATTATTATTCTGGTTTGCTACAATAGAAAATGGGTAACCTCAAAGAAGAAGTACAAATATGAAGGGGGTGACTCAAAAGGCTTAATAGTTCCACGGACCATCACATTTGCTGAACTGTTGGATTGTGTGGATCAGATTGGTAATACAAACAGCAGGGAAGACAAGGTTTACTTAAAGTTCTCAGTTTTGGTGGCCTCGAATGAGTGGAAGCACATAAAGATTGAGGACGATGATGATGTCAAATTTTTTATGAAGTACAATTGTGAGGTAACACCTTCAAAACTAGCTCCCTTACTCGTGAGTATAGAAGATAATAGACTAACAAATGATGTAGTTGATAGTACGCATATCACGACAGATAGTAGTCGGATGGGTCGTTCTTTAGCTGCGATTGTTGAAAGCAATGAAGTAACTCGGAATAATACAAATGTCGCTGATGTGGGAGGTGATGTTGGGATAGATTTTATGGACATGATTGATTTTAGCGAGGTGGAGGAGATGCATGGTGGTGATAATGGTACTGAAAGAAATAAAGTGTCAGTGTACTCTGCCCCTCCTATTTTGGGCCCCTTGAACACATCTGGCCAATTGAGAATAATGCGTTTAGGAGGAGAATTTGAACCCATTCGTGAACATTATTTGAGTCAAATGGGTGAACAGAACCGGTACAATGTGGCCGGTGTAAATTATGGAGAAGCATATTTGGACACAGGGTATTCGCGAAGTGATTGGAATCCGAAAAATTATAGTTGGTCAAATTTTCTCTAGTAAGGGAGCATTGTTGGCTGAGTTACGGTTGACGGCATTGAGAGGCCACTTTGAATTTAAGGTGCAATTCTCTTGCACTAAGAGGTTGCTTGTGGTTTGTTGTCAACGTCCAGGTCCATGGTGGGTCCGAGCATCGAGAATTGGAGAATACAACTTTATGATTGTGAGGTGTACAGCTGTCCATGAATGTGATTTAAGGTTCGTACATGACGACCATCATCAAGCAACCGCAGCACTTGTAGCCACTTCATTTAAAAGGAAGTTGAAGGATTCTCAGACAATATACACACCAAGTGACATAATGAGAGATGTGAAACACAACTTTAGTTTTTCCATCCATTATTCAAAAGCTTGGAAAGCAAGGGAGTTAGCTCTATTGTCCATTAGAGGATTAGCTGAGGAGGCTTATTATATCCTTCCAGCCTATTGCTTTGAATTGAGCGTATGAATCCCGACACAAAGACACACATCCAAACTGATGAGAACAATCACTTTGTGTATTTATTTATGGAAGTTGGAGCATGCATTAAAGGGTTTCGTTCTTCCAAGCTCCTAGTGATAGTCGTGGATGCCACTCATTTAAAATCCAAGTACAAGGGTGTTATGTTTGTAGCAAATGCATTTGATGACAATTTAATATATATCCTCTTGCTTTTAGGATCGGGGATTTGGAGACGGATGAATCATGGCATTGGTTTTTCACTAAACTTCTTGAAGTCATTAGTGAGTGTCGCAATCTTGTTATCATTTCTGATCGCAATGTTAGCATAGAGAATGTGTGGAACAAAGTTTTTCCAACGGCGCAACATGGCATATGCTTTTGTCATATGAAAGGGAACATGAAACGCACTTGCAAGTTGAAAAAGCATGATCAAATACTTATGCACTTTGAGCAGGCTACGAAATCTTATTCCATTTCTGAGTTTGATTGTCATTTTCAAAATATCAAGAGAAAGGAACATGTTGCTCAATATCTTGAACATGCAGGGTTACATAAGTGGTCTAGAGCTCACATGGATGGACGCCGCTGCAATGTAATGACAACAAATATTGCGGAGTCAACAAACTTAGTCCTTGGGTTTGCAAGGATGCTGCCAGTGGTTCATTTGATAGGAGAAATTATTAATCTCCTTGTGAAATGGTTCATCGAATGTCATCAGTTGGCTATGAATTGCACAACAACATTTTGCCCTAATTTTGGCGAGAAGAAGTTGAGGAATAGGTTGGAGGATGCTACAAGGATGAATGTCATTAAACTAAATAATGTACAGTTTAATGTTTTGGATAGTGATATGGACGGCCTCGTGGATTTGACGAACAATAGTTGTAGTTGTAGAAAGTTTCAGCTTGAGCAGCTACCTTGCAAGTATGTAGTTGCAGTTTGCCGCTTCTTAAAACTAAATGTATACTCGAAGGCTTCTCAGTATTACACTTGGAATACCTAGTTGGATGATGAATGTCATTAAACTAAATAATGTACAGTTTAATGTTTTGGATAGTGATATGGACGGCCTCGTGGATTTGACGAACAACAGTTGTAGTTGTAGAAAGTTTCAGCTTGAGCAGCTACCTTGCAAGCATGTAGTTGCAGTTTGCCGCTTCTTAGAACTAAATGTATACTCGAAGGCTTCTCAGTATTACACTTGGAATACCTGGTTGGATGCTTATTCAAATATCATATACCCAGTACAGCCTCACAAAATGTGGGTTATTCCTGAACATGTTCGAAGTCGAGTTGTGCTGCTTCCTATGGCAAAGGTCATGCTAGGCAGATGGAAGAAGCTAAGAATTCCCTTGCAAGGAGAGGGCACCATTACAAGAAAGTGCTCAAGGTGCGGTTTCACAAGCCACAATAAAACCACCTGTAAAAACAATATTCCACTGCGCAATGTATCTTAGACAACATGATTTATGTTGCTTTGTTAGGTAATGTCAACTTTAATTTTATTTGTGGTGGGTTTCGTGTTTGTTGAATGTGAATTGTTTTAAATTTGCATAATTTGGGTTGCATTGCTATACAGCATGCTGTGTTCCCTATTTATTGCGACAATATCGGTATCATATTGTAATTTTATTGCCTTCAAATTGTATTATATTGTACTTTTATTGTACTGGTATTGCTATTGCAATGTGAACTGTGAGTACGAAATTAAAGGGCATGGAATGTAACTCCAAATCGATCCAAAATATTAAGGTTCTTAGAATTCCATTATTACACTATTACCATGATACTCCTACTACGCCTTCTTTTCTGATTACAAATTCAGCCGATACATGGGGCAAATGGGGAGCAAATACAAGGTCAAATGTCTTATATTTTTGACTAGATATAGTTGCTGAAGGAGCATTACGACTGTTAACCCCAACAATTGCGCATGTCTTGCCAAGAACACCTTTGAATTTATGCAATGTGCCCAAGCTAGGCCCAAAGCTAGACTCACCCATCTGCCTGATGTATGCAGGCACTCCAAGTTTCCCAACCTCAACCCATTCACTCCATCATGTGCCCCAATAAAATCCACCACTTGGTTGGTGACAACCACCGCCAACCCAAACTTATTTGCTAAAGCCTTCCCAGATATCTTGAAGAACATTTCATACCACCGTTTCAAATCTTCCGGTGTCGTCTAATACTGTGATATGAAAAATGTAGCAATGGAATCAATGACAATGAGTTTCATAGGTAACCGGGTGTGATCAATGGCAATAAATGCTTGTATGTCTCGAAGGACATGGATGAGTTGTTGAGCAGCATGAACTCCATGAACATATATGTCTTCCAATGGCTCCATCCCTATTAAGTTGGGGTACGATGCATGATAAAGGTTGTCTAGTTGTTGCAATCGACGAAACGAGAAGTTGAATTTTGTGAATATGTAGAGGGAGGAGCCCCCTAGTCCACCATGTGAGGGTGGGAGTTAAGCTCTAATCGTAAGTTGGATACAAAGTTGCGTCTTTCAGGAACCGCTCTCCCCTACCAACTCTGGAGTTGCAGGGTATCCCACCGCCCAAGCAACCATCTAGTATTGGGCATCCAATGGATAACTTAGGGGTTGAAAGAGGAAGGAGCATGAGGTTTTGTGGTGTCATGTTTCTGTAATTTAGGGGGGGATGTGATGGTGATGCAAGGCATGATTTGTATATATAGAGTCCCATATTGAAGGTGTGTAATGTACGACATGATGTGATGTAATGTATACTTCATCCCTTTTCCAATTTTTAATTTAATTTTGGTTTACTTTTTGGTAATTTTTTCGTTTAAGATATTTTAAAAACATGTTGATGCAGTACCTACTGCAATAGGATCGTATTGTAACTCTATTGTACTCTTATTGACATCATATTGCCATTGTACACATGCTTATTGTGGAGTTATTGCCTCTATATCGCCATTGAACTGGACATGGATAAACTGTATACATAGAAATACAAAAAAAGGCATCATAATTCCATAAAATCTAATTTTGAAACTTACATAATACAACAAGAGGCCACCCCATAGTTACATAATACAAAAAGAGGCCACCTGAACATGATTCCATTTTACATGTTGTTTCCACTACATTTTACTACCAGTCCAAAATCATATTAAAGTGTCACAAATTTCCTACTGTTGACACATTCGAAGTTGCATACTCTTCAATTGCGGCGACCGCAACCCATGAAATTCATGACCCCGCCCACAGTGATGTTGTCTCAATTTCCTTATGGATCCACTATATTTGCAAACTTACGAAATAGTTCGAATCCGGTTTCCACTTGTTGTTGCTTCAACTAGGCCATTTCATTAGATGCCTTGAATACCATAATTGTAGTGGCAAGGCAATTTCAATTTTGGCTTTCATACCCTTTATATGGAGGAGATGCATGCGGGCATGATAACGAGAGCGAATTGTGCTTTTTTATGACACCCCACCTAGCTTGGCCCTCCACAATTTTTGAAAGCATTGCTGGACATTGCTGCATGCCATGGACCAAGTCTGCAGTGAGATAATTGGGTGACTTGGCTTGTGTTTCAGTCTCCCTTTCTTCAATAATTGAAAGCGTTGGGTTTGGTGTGAGGTTGTGGTCCATGGTTTTGGATATTTATTGTATGCTAGTGTAGGACTTAATTGGAGAAAAGCGGGACTAAATGCAATGTGAGTGAAATCAGTGTGAAAGGTAATGGCTGCAAGGAGTTAATGTCATGCAAGTTTTCCCTTCAAACAACTTTTTTTTTAGTCGAAATCCCTTCATACAGCTGGGTTGATTAATATAGGTAGGCATTAATGATGTGGAGTAAATCAGAGAGTAATTGGTGGGAGAGATTGGGGGGAGTAATTGGCAAGAGGAGGGAGTGGCGGGAGTCTTTGGCGAGAGTTAATGCCCAGTAGGCAGTATGCCTTTTTGTTAATATATTTCTATTTTGGATCTTCCGAATTTGGTAAATTTCCAATGATGTAATTGAAATAATTTGCCTAATTCACCAACTAATACAAATTGTCCAATATGGTAATTTTCTTATTTCCCATTTCCGCAATTTCAATTCGCTTCCAATTTTCCATTTTTCCAATTTTCCAAATTTCCAAGTTTCCAATTTTTCATTTTCCAATTTTCCTATTTTCCTATTTTGCAAGTTTCCCTTTTTCCTATTTCCAATTTTCGTATTTTCCAAGTTTCCCTTTTTTCCTATTTCCAATTTTCCAATTTTCCTTTTTTCCTATTTCCAATTTTCCAAGTTTCCTTTTTTCCTATTTCCATTTTTTCCAATTTCCCAATTTCCCAATTTCCTATTTTCCAAGTTTCCTATTTTCCTATTTCCAATTTTCCAATTTTCCAAGTTTCCTTTTTTCCTATTTCCATTTTTCCAATTTTCCAATTTTTCAAGTTTCCTTTTTTCCTATTTCCAATTTTCTAGTGTTCCAGTTTTCCAATTTTCCAAGTTTCCATTTCTCCTATTTCCAATTTTCCAATTTTCTAGTGTTCCAGTTTTCCAATTTTCCAATTTTCCAATTTTCCAAGTTTCCTTTTCTCCTATTTCCAATTTTCCAAGTTTCCTTTCGTCCTATTTCCAATTGTTCACGCTAAAACTAAACATATAGAGATAAGGCTAACTTACAAGTGATGTGGATGGTTTGGACACGAGAAGCCTTCGGTCCATGGCTCCCTTTCTTGAGGCGTAGTGCTAGATTCGGCTTGAGGAAAGAAATGGCAGGTGAGGTCTAAAGCACCGGTGTGGTGCCGGCCGAAGACCTTTCGATGCCAAAGTTAGTGACTAAGAGCAACTTCATTGACAGTGTGAAAGGACAAGTTAAGTAAACAGTCTTACCTTTTGGCTGGGCCAATGGGCTTTATTTATAGAGGGTGTTGGCTGATCACTTAGTACTTAATTTCGATGTGGGACTTGTGGGAGAGTCTTCGATGGTCGACACATGCCCTGACAAGCCTTGGCGGGAGTTCCGAGTTTTATTTGGCAGAATCGGTTGGGTGTGATGACTGGTCATTCGGCATCAGGTGCCGAAGATCTGTCCAAGGGAGTTCATTGGGAGAACTTGCTGATTTGGCGAATATGTGTGAATCGGTGGTGTATGCCGATTACCTATTCAATGTGGCTCGTAGGGTTGGTCTCAACCTCGTTCACTTTCCACGTGTCATGATGTGATTAGGGGGTCAAATATGGTACAAACAGGAGTCCCCCAAGTTTCCAATTGAGAAGGGACTTCTTGGTTGGGGACTTGCTTGTCTTCGATCTTCGACGTTATGACCCGGGTATGAGCATCTTCTGTGGTATGTCGATGGTAATCATGTAGTCCCCCAAGTCCTCGAGTAAGGGGGAGCTTGGAAGATTGGAAGGGAACGGCAGTAAGGGCCAAAGGTGTGAAAGGTTTTGAGGAAAACTCGACCAATGTGTGCCTGTCGTTCGGCACAAGGTGAGTGAACACTCGACCATTGTGTGCCTGCCGTTCGACATGAGAAGTGAGTGAAAACTTGGCCAGCGTGTGCCTGCCGTTCGGCACGAGGTGAGTGAAAACTCGACCAATGTGTGTCTGTCGTTTGGCACGAGGTGAGTGAAAACTCGACCATTGTGTACTTACCGTATGCTGGTGCAGTTCACGCTTGAAAAAATTTGGGAATTCAAGCGTTCAAGTTGGATGCTGGGACTCTTAGGCTTCTCTATGCATGTGTGACACGTGTTGGGAAGGCTACGAGGAGTCGCGTAGTTTCATTTCCTGATTTTAGGTTCGTCCTAAAAATGAATCGAAGCGACGGTAAAAGGGGTACTTGAAATTTTTTTAAGAGCAACCAGAGCTTGTGAGAGGCGATTTCTGGGGAGGTTTTTAAGGCAGAGGCGATTTCCAGTGATTTCCAACCACTGAGTGAACAAGGTATACTGCCGTGTTTTCTTTCAAATTGAATCAAATTCTTCAAGTGTTGCATGAACATGTATGAGCATAGATGAACGTAGATGAACATGAGCTCTTGGGCTTTAGGATAGTAGTTTGATTCTGGCATGGCATTTAGTTTCCTTTTGCTTTTGTTTGTAGATGTCAGATACCAAATCAGACTATAGTGATAGCCCAAGAGCATGTGAGGGAGAATCGGCTTCGGAGAGCTCGACTGCAGAGCTTGAGAGTGCCGATTTTGAGGGCACTGAGGTGAGAGGGGGGATAGAGGTGTCTACCGATTCTAGGAGCACTTCAAGCCTAGTGGTAGTTGAAGTGGATGGCTCTCAGTCGTCGACATCCGATCGCCGATGTCGGTTGCCGATCATGGAGAAGGCGTTCAGACTATTGTTACCGGTCGACAGTGGGTGTCGATGGTGAAGCCAAAAGGTCCCTTTTTTTGTGTGGATTTCCTAGAGCTGAACGCTTTGAAAGAGGCAGAGTTGGCAAAAATTAGGGTTGAGTATCACATGCCAGATTTGGTAATGATGCGGATCCCTGGGCTATTGGAGTCCTTGAGCGATCCAGAGGGTGAGGTGGTCTTCTTCACCGATGTTTTCAAACATGGGCTTTGGCTACCATTGAGACATACGGTGCAGAAGATCCTAGCCCAGATCGGCTATAGCCCTAGGCAATTTAATCTGAACTTCTAGATTATGCTACTTGGGACGATCACGGCGTTCGACATAGCTAGCCCATATGTACAGCATGAAGAGGGCGAAGAGCACTGACCAAGGAGGGTGGGTTTAGTCGAACTGTCTGTCTGTGGGTCAGTGTGGACATTTCGTGGTGGGGGTGCCAAGCTCGCAGAAGACGTGGCATCGGCGTTGGGTGCTGGTTTCCTAAGCTTGGGAATCGGCACCAGGGGTGATTATGCAGAGGCACATCCCCACGAGCTTTCAAACAATCGGTAGGCTATAGGATGCCGTTCGGTAGTGTTGTATGTCTTTTTTTTATGTAGCCCGCCGAAGCTTACTTGGGTTGCATATTTTCTTCTATTTCAGTGTCTTTGAAATGGCCCATGACGTCAAGGAGGGACGTTGAGGCGATCGAGAGGGTATGGGTGAAGATTGCTGAAGAAGATCGCTTTTTCAAGACCTTGCTTGATTTTGGCAATCTGCACAAGGCGGGCTTAATTTCTGAGGCCAAACATGCCCGAAGGAAGAAGGAGAAAGAGGTGGAAGAGATGAGGAACAGTAACTGATGTTGTTCGACATGTATCGTATCGTTTCTATTTCTTCACGCCGTTCATTCTTTAACTTTGTTTCTTTTTATTTTGTTTGCAATGGCAGGGGGTAGGGTGATGACTGACGCAACAATGAGGAGGCTGGAGTCTTGGGCACCTCAGCCGAAGAAGAAAGACGGTTCTTCGAAGCCGAGGATAAAACCTCCGCATCAGGCCAAAAGGGCTTCGGCTGACGAGGTGTCGGCGATAGATCATTGTCGGGAGAAGAGGGCCACCAAGGCTGAAACCGTTCGGGAGGCCAATCTCCAAGTGATGAGGAAGAGGCATATCGAAGGTGCCCTCGATGTGACGCCCTTTCCGAAGAGGCCAAGGGGGCCGAATGAGGATGCGGCGATGAGGCAGAGGGAGATGCCGAGCTAGTGAAAATGGCATGCCCTCGAAAGGTTGTGCCGTTCGTGAATTGCATCATCGATGACGAGTAGGCCAGCCAAGCCTTCCATCTTCAAGTTGCGGTAAGTGTTATGTGTTTTATTTTCCTAGTGTTCAAGATCGGTACTGACAGGTTGCTGTTTGATAGGTTGATATGGAGATGTGGCTCTACATGAAGTGAGCCCTGAATGCTGCCGATTTGTATCGGGAGAGGTTTGAGGACAGCCGAGCGAAAATCACCGAGGCTAGTAAGGTTATCCGAGATGCGGATCGGCACGTTGAGGGGAATGTGACAAAGATTGCAGAGCTCTCGTCCAAGTTAGCCAAAGCTGATAAGGCGTTAATGAGTGTCGAGGAGGCTAGGGCTGTTGTAGAAGTGGCAAAGGATGCGGTTTTTCGGTTTTGTGCTGCGGAGGTGGAGGCGGCCAAGAAGGAAGCCGTGGGCGACAACCGATCCTCGAAGGAGTTCACCGTGCTGCTGGACAAGAAAGTCATGGACCAGTGTGACGACCTTGTCTACTGGTTTAAGCGCTACAACGCAGACAAGAAGCTGAACCTGAACTTCCTCCGGGATCCTCATTCGATGCCCGAATGTGTCACAAAGGAGATGGTAGAGGCATATAAGGGTGAAGATGTCCATGCTGACTCCTCATATGACACCGACTCGAGTAGCTAGGAGGATGATGCCATTCCTGCACTGTCTGCTGCTGATGCCTCCACTACTGAGCCTTCGACCGCGGATGCTTCTGTTGCTGATCCTCCAGTTTTGTAGTTTAGATTTTACTTTATATTTGTCTCTTTTGTATGATGCCGAAAGGCGTGATTTTGTTAAGACATATAGTCCATTTGTGGCTTTTTATCCAAGTTAATTTTTAATCAGCCTTGTTGTTTTTATGTATTCTAAATATGTATGTATGCATGCTGTAGGTAGTATATGTTTGATACTGTGGTGCTGTTTAAGGCGTAACTGAAACATAGAATAGGAAAAAGACAATAATGCTGAAGAAAAGAATAAAAATTTACATAAGTGGATTGGCCAAAGGTTCAGTCACTTGTAGTAATATTTTAAATGTTCGACATTCCAAGGGTGACTAAGGGTCTGACCATCGGACCCACGCAATAGGTAGGTACCCAGTCGGCAGACATCGATGACTTCGTAGGGACCTTCCCATGAAGGGCCAAGGGTGCCTTCGACATGCTTTTTTGTTGCAAGAGAGACTTTGCGAAAAACCCAGTCCCCAACCTTGAATGATTGGCATTTGACGCCTGAGTCATAATATCTAGAGGTTGTTGCTTATATGCGGCATTCTGAAGCTGAGCTTGCGATCGGTGCTCTTCGATGAGATCTAGGTTCAAAACGAGCTGGTCTTGATTTTGGTTTGGATTGTAAGATGCCGTTCGGTGTGTTGGTGCATTAATTTCAACCGGTACGACAGCTTCAGTTCCGAAGGTGAGGGAAAACGGGGTTTCGCCTATTGATCTTCGGTATGATGTGTTGATGGCCCACAGTGCCTCTGGTAGTATTTCTGGCCATTCGTCTTTACCAGCTCCAAGCTTCTTCTTCAGCGTCTTCTTAATGATCTTGTTGATGGCCTCTACCTATCTATTGGATTGCGAATGCGCCGGAGATGAAAAGAAGATGTTGATATTGAATTGGGAGCATAGATGCCAGAAGCAAGAGTAGTCAAACTGCTTACCGTTGTCTGTGATGATTGCGTTTGGGAGGCCGAATCGGCAAATGATGTTTTTCCATACGAAGTGTTCAATTTTAGTGGCGGTGATTGCAGTAAGGGCTTTGGCTTCGAACCACTTTGTGAAGTAGTCTACTGAGACGACTGCAAATTTGAGTTGTCCATTGCCTTGCGACATGGGCCGATGAGATCCAGTCCCCACTGTGCGAACGGCCAAGTACTGACCATCAGAGTGAGAGGTTCGGCAGGAAGCTTCAGGATTGAGCCAAAGCGTTGGCACTGGTTGCACTTCTGTACAAGTTTGACGACATCAGAGTAGAGAGTCGGCCAATGATAGCCTTGTCAGACGGTTTTGAAGGCCAAGGATCGGGCTCCTGAATGGTCGCCACAAGCACCTTCATGAATCTCTCGCAAAACATAGTCCCCTTGTTGTAGAGTGACATAGCATAGCAACGGTAGGGAATGACCGCTTCGGTAGAGTATTTTTTGCATAAGAAGATACCTTATCGATCGACGGCGGACTGCTTTGGCCTCGGCTTTGTCAGCCGGAAGCGTGTCGTCAGTTAGGTAAGTGTGGATTGGATCCATCCAACTTAGGTCCTGCCGAACGACATGTACCTCAACTTCGGTAATGCTCCGTCGAGTGAGGATTTCAATTGGTACATGGCCTTCTACCCGGTCGTCGATCGTGGATGCAAGTGTTGTGAGAGCATCAACATGACTATTCTCGGATCTGGGGACCTGCTGAATTTGGTATGTGTTGAACTAGTTGAGCAATGGATGGGCCTGTGCTAAGTAGGCCGCCATGGATTCGTCCTTCGCTTTAAATTCGGTGATTACTTGGTTAACGACTAGTTGGGAATCGCTACAGATTCTTAGTTGTTTGGCTCCCATGTCTTTAGCGAGCCGAAGGCCTACTAAGAGGGCTTCGTATTCTGCTTCGTTACTAGAGGCATGGAACTGGAACTAAATGGCATATTCGATTGTATTTTGGTCCGGTGCCTTTAGGACTAGGCCTGCTCCACAGCCTTGTTGGTTGGATGAATTGTCTACATACAGTATCCACTAAGGGATCATTGGATCAAATGCCTTTTCTACAGGATGATTGTCCAAGGCCGTCGAGGGCAATTCAGGGATGGGATCGGCCAGTCGTACGCCTTCTGATGGCGTCGGTTCTGAGATGAAATCGGCTATGACTTGTCCTTTTTCAGCAGGTTGAGGGTGGTAGTGAATGTCAAAATCACCAAGCTCGATGGCCCAGTTGATCAGGCGTCCCGATGTCTCTGGCTTCTGTAGGACTTGGCGTAGGGGCTGATTGGTGAGCACGTCGACGGTGTGAGCTTGGAAATAAGGCCGAAGCTTATGAGTGGAGAGGACGAGGGCGTAAGCTAGCTTTTCTAGTTAGGGGTTCCATTGCTCAATGTCTTGCAGCGCATGGCTCGTGTAGAAGATGGGGAGCTCAATGCCGTTCAGCCTTGAGTACGGAGCTTAGTGCCGTTGCCAAAACTGAAAGGAGGATAATGAGTTTTTCTCACAGGAGAGGTTTTGACAGCAAAGGCGCTCTACTCATGTAAGCTTTGAGGTCTTGGAAAGCTCAAGCGCATCACTCGGTGGCTTTTTATATGAATCGGGCCAAGGCGCAACTCGTTCAATGAGGCTCTGAACATCCTTTTTCGTTTTCGGCACTTGCATATCAAGTAATGCCCTGATTTTTTCGGGGTTAGCCTCGATACCTCACTGACTGATTATGGAGCCTAGGAATTTGCCGGATGAGATGCCGAAGAAGCATTTGTTGGGATTGAGACCATGTTGTATTTCTTCAGGATGCTTTGCTTTTGACCAACATGTCGTCCACATAGACCTCCATCGAGGTTCCAATGAGTTCGGAAAATATTTTGTTGACCAACCGTTGATATGTTGCCCTTGCATTCCTTAAGCTGAATGGCATGACGTTATAGCAGTAGAGACCTTTGTTAGTGACAAATGCTGTATGTTCGCAATTGGCGGGCTGAGGAGTTGATATGTTGCCCCTGGTTGTCGCCTTAATAGGCGTCCATGAAGCTGAGGAGCTCATGGCCAGCTGTGGCGTCCACCAGTTGATCGTTTCTAGGTAGTGTGAAGCTGTCTTTCGGACACGCCTTGTTTAAATTCATATAGTCTTAGCACATTCGCCAGGGCCCACCAGTCTTCTTGACAAGGACCAAATTCGCGAGCCAAATAGGATAAGCTACCTCCCGGATGAAGTCGATTGTCTTTAGTTTGTCTACTTCAAGTTTCATTGCCTCGTACCGTTCAGCGTCATAGGCTTGTCGTTTCTGGAGGATCAATTTAAAGGACGGACAGATGCTGAGCCTATGATTGATGACATACGGGGAGATGCCTTGCATGTCCATCGTAAGACCAGGCAAATACATCCAAATAAAGCAATGAATTCGGCCCGCAATGGCGGACTGAGGGAGGTACCGATCTTGAGTTGTTGATCGGTCAGTGTGTCAAAGAGGGGTACCGTTTCTAGGTCCTCGACTAGCTGAGCTCGTGGAGTGACGTTTTCATCTCGAGGGTCTTCTGGTCTATCAGAGCCTCCCTTGCCGTTCGCCACGGTCATGGTGGAAACTATAAACAACTCACGCATTGTCCTTGCCAATTCTCTGGTCGCTGAAACATAGCACGTTCATGCTCTCAGTTGATCCCCTCATACCTGGCCTTCATCGGGGTTAGCGCTGGCCCTGCCGATGATGGCGCTGTAAGCTGTCAGACAATTGACAACTAGGAAGTGAGTGTAGACAATCGTTCTTCTGGGAGCAGCGCCGATGGTGAGGGGGAGTTGGACGCTTCCGATTGGTTCCACAACGTCATTGGAGAGCTTAAAAGATGGGTGATGACTTTATTGAGGCATTAGTGCTTGATTCCAAGGCTCTTGAAGGCATCGACGAAGAGTACGTTGACCGAACTACAAGTGTCGATGAGGATTCGGCCCACGTCGAAATCAGCAATGTCGACTCTGACGATCATGGGATCGGAGTGAGGAAAGATGATACTCTTTTCTTCTTCTTCGGAGAACTTGATGGTTTCCCATCTGATTCGTCTAATCTTACTATGGCATCCTTCAGTGACACTAAGAATCTAAGGGTGCCGAACGACACACATGTAGTTTTTTATCTATCAGTTGATAGAATGGGCAATTGGCGCTCCGCCACTGATCAAGTTAATCTGCCGATTATTTGGCTGTTTGATAATTTTGTAAAGGGCAATGCACGATTATGTGTCATGGCCATTGTATTGGTGATATCAGCAGAATACTCTGGTGTCCTTGCCATGCTTGTTCCCGTCTTGGTGATGACAACGGAGCTTCCGACTATCTGGATTTTGGTATCATCTGGTTTTCGTTTACGAGAACATACTCATAGGTGGTGTTGAGTAGGGTGAATACCTCAGCTTGCCGATCCTTTGTGTTTTTTAATTTGGTTCAGCCTTCGGAGTCTTTGTCACGCTTGTTCCCATCCTACCGACCTTGAAAACCATCCCTCCTTTTGCCTAATGTGAAAGTAGTGGACACCAGGGGTGCCGTTTGGAAGGGGGTTGGGTGGTTGCTTCGGGCAGATGGGAAGCAGTTGTGGGCTCGATTAGTAGGTGTCGATGGAGGAGTGGGCACCGAAGGCTTTCCTTTGGAGTTGAATTGCTTGGTTTTGGCATGGCTTGCCGCCTATTTCATCAATTCACTATAGGTCGTCCAGTTGTTACTGTGGACCAAGTAGCGAAATTTTGACACATTGAGGGCACTTCTAAAGGCACTGAACGCCGTTCGGTCATCCGTTTTGGGGCACTGAGAACATTCTTTGCTGAACCTAGTTGCGTATTCCCTCAAGAGCTCGTCGTCTTTTTGCCAGCTGGTGTAGAGGTCGTTGGCAGAGTACAATCGATCGGTCTGGATCATAAAATGATTGAGAAAGATTTGCTTTAACTGATCGAAAGAGTCGACCATACCTGGCTCCAGTCAGTAAAACCAATTTAAGGCAGCTCCGACCAAAGTAGAGGGGAATATCAGGCATTGTCCCTCATCAATAAGTCTTTTGCATCCCAATGCTGATTGAAAGGTATGCATGTGAGTGACAGGGTCCTCTACTCCTGTGTAGAACGATATTCGGAGTTGTTGGACATCTTTCTCGTGTTTGAAGGTTTGGATCCGGTCGGTGTATGGTCCTAGCTGGATCTTACCCCAAGCCAGCGTCCGAGATTGGTTCTGTTCTTCCTCGATTCGGTTGTTCTTCTGGAGGAGGAGGTGGATGGTGGGATTGACATAGGGCAGGTTGACGTAGAACACTTCTATTGCCTGGGGGCGACTGGCTGACGACCTGCCATTCGACCAGCAGTTCGAACAAAACGACTTCGTCGATTGTCCTCTGTTGCGTTTGGTTATTCTGATGGCAAGATTGTCTAGGCTCTACCGATCGGTAGGAAGCCGTAGTCCCAAGAGAGGTTGGGACGTAGTCAGATTCGTCGGTTTCCCCTAGGCAGATTGTGCCGTACCTTCAGTGGGGGGACTTCTGTCTTAGAACGTCCAGACGCTGATCGTCAAGCTTGGCCTGAACTTGGTTTGGAGATGGTTGGCGCTCCGTGCGTCGATCATTGAGCCTATCTCGGTAGTCGGAGTAGACTCGGTATTCTTGGTGCCAATTGTCAGGGGAGGGCACGAACAGTTCTTGGGAGGCGAAAGGTTTGGTCGTGGGCCATTCCTTTTCCCTGCCACGACCACTGGGCTTCGGCATGCTTCTGAATGACTGTTCCTACCAGAGGGCTGTGGTTTGCTCTAGATCCTCCCGTAGTTGGGCCGAATGTGATTGTTGGTCGTAGAGTTCCCTCCGGGTGTCATCTAGTTTGGATGATAGGATGTTGTTGTGCTCCTGCATCTTCACCATTTCTTGTTGTAAGGCTTCCATTCGAGCCTCCAATGTGTTCTGTTAGGCGGGCGTTTCCGTTCGCAGCGTGCTTGGCGGGGGAGCGAGGCTCGCTCAGCTGGCGAGGCCGAGGATGGGACTATTGGTAACTGGGGATGTAGGTGGATTCATTTTCACTTAAGAGAGATATGGGCCGATAGATGATCAAAGTGTCCCACAAACGGCACCAATCTATTTGCACTAAAACTAAACAGATAGAGATAAGGCTAACTTACTAGTGATGTGGATGGTTTGGACCCAATGAGCCTTCAGTCTGTGGCGCCCTTTCTCAAGGCGCGGTGCTGGATTCGGCCTGAGGAAAGAAACGGTATGTGAGGTCTAAAGCACTGGTGTGGTGCCGGCCAAAAACCCTCTAATGCCAAAGTTAGTGACTAAGAGCAACTTCATCGACAATGTGAAAGCACAAGTCAAGTAAATAGTCTTACCTTTTGGCTGGGCCAAGGGGCTTTATTTATAGAGGGTGTTGGGTGATCACTTAGTACTTAGTTCCGATGTGGGACTTGTGGGAGAGTCTTTGATGGTCGACACGTGCCCTGACAAGCCTTAGCGGGAGTTCCTAGGTTTATCCAGTACAATCGGCCGGGTGTGCTGACTGGTCGTTCGGCATCAGGTGCCGAAGATATGTCCAAGGGAGTCAATGGGGAGAACTTGCCGATTTGACGAACATGTGTGAATCGGTGGTGTATGCCGATTACCTATTCAGTGTGGCTTAGAGGGTTGGTCTCAACCTCGTTCACTTTCCACGTGTCATGATGTGAGTGGGTGGTTAGATATGGTACGAACACCAATTTTCCAGTTTTTCTATTATTTAAGTTTCCTTATTTCTAATTTTCCAATTTTCCAAGTTTCCTATTTTCTAATTTGCCTATTTCATATTTGCCTAGTTTACTTTTTCTATATTCCAATTTTTACGTGGGAATTTTCGTATTTCCCCAAAGTTTCATATATTCCTCTATATATATAATTCAGAATTTCTCAATTTCCTAGTTTTCCCAATTTTTGTATTTAAAGAAATTGCCTACTTTGGCAAAAGTACCTACTTATTCAATTTATCCAGTACGGTAATAATCATATTTCCCATTTTTTCCATTTCAATTGGTTTCCAATTTTCCTATTTCGTATTTGCCTAATATCCTTTTTCCTATATTCCAATTTCCTCTGTGGCAAATTTCGTATTTTCCCAAATTTCCTTTGTTCCAATTTCCGTTTTTCAAATTCCCAATAATTGGTTAGTTACATAGTCCTTTTTTGGCCTAAAATCCACAATTTCCATTTTCTCATTAAGGTTTGGTCTGTTTCGTTTCTAAGGCACTTTTATTGCTGTTATTGTAATGCTCTACTACTCTAAATGATAGCCAAGTAGTAAATGGTGTAGTTTGCAATCCCATCAATTTAATGCACTAACTAAATACCAATATACTTCAGACAAATTCCTACATATAACTGAAGCTTCCTACCATTGGTTAGTTACATAGTCCTTTTTTGGCCTGAAATCCACAATTTCCATTTTCTCATTAAGGTTTGGTTTTTGTCATTTGTAAGGCACTTTTATTGTTGTTATTATAATGCTCTGCTGCTCTAAATGACAGCCAAGTAGTAAATGGTGTAGTTTGCAATCCCATCAATTTAATGCACCAACTAAATACCCAATATACTTCAGACAAGTTCCTACATATAACTGAAGCTTCCTACCATTTCTGCAGCATAGGCACCTTCTTAATGGGAAAGGTAATTATTCTTGCTATTATTGTTGTTTACAAGTGTTCATAATGTCAAACTAGAGACTGAATGTACCTTTATTTGTTTTTATTCAGTTTGCAGCCGTGAATTGTCCCCAACGATACTTAAAGATGTCGGATGTACGCCCTCCAAATGAGCATGTCAGTTAACCAGGAGACCAGCCATGGCATGTGCCGTTCCCATCTCCACCTCTGACCGCCAATCACGATCCCACTTCATCTGAAAGTGAGGCTAAGAGTAATGATCTACTTGACAAAATCTTTGTTGTCGAGCACGACTTCCAATATTTGTCTAAGGCAATAGATTGGTGGGAAAGCAAATGTGATATTCATTGCCAAGTTATGGGAAACTTGGCCAACAAGTTGAACAAAGCATATGTTGGAGAAGTGAAGCAAACTCTAAAAGCAATAAGTCGGACCAAAGAGTTAGAGTCCCTCAAGTTAAAATTGGAAGAGACAAAGAAATATGTTGTCCAACAATTCACAAAATCTGAAGAATATAACCATGAAATGGTTGAATGTTTCAACAACGGCTTCGAGATGTTCCGAGATTATGCTTTGGTAATCTCACCATACTACAATTGGAGCGAAATTGATGTAGCTGGTGTCTGGCAGGTGCTGAATATGGGTGGAGAGGGAATGGGTCATCATAGCCTCATGCATGCAGTGAGGATGAAGGCCAAAGACATGGATCTTTTGATGGACCTCTAGTAAGGTTCAGTGCTGGTTCGGTTGATGCGGTGCTAGGTGATGCGATGTCAAAGTGTTCCCTTCATTTTCCCTTTGCAGGATAGTATTGTTAGGGTTCGATGGTGATTTATTTTGCATGTCAAAAATGTAGTCTGTAATAGATGTTTGTGTATTGTATGCAGATTGACTTAATATTGTTTCCTATTGTATGTGTATTGTACTAATATTGATGTGTATTGTATGGATATTGTATGCATATTGCCTCCCTATTGCATGTATATTAAGATACTATTGCTACTGTATTGCTATTATATTGCCCTAATATTGCCACTATAGTGAAAGTATATTGGCCTAATATAGCTATTATATTGTATGTATATTGACTAGGGCTCATCAATGGGTTTAGGGTTTAGGTCCTACTTCATTCAAAAAGAAGAAGAAGAAGAGAAAGAAACAATGTGCCTTTCAAGAAGAGGCACTTAGGTACATCATAATTACACCGTAAGACATTGTAAGAAATTTTTGTATAACTATGAAAAAAGTATTTCCAAAAAAAGGAAGGTGTGAATAAATATGCAAATGCTCAGTGATGGGGTTGAAGAAAAGCATGATTACATTAGTGGTATGATTATGTTTAGTGATACAATATTTTGTTCGTCTTAATCTTCATATATGTAATTGTTGTATTAATAATTGACACAAATTCATCTCGTAATCATCCAATTATTAACTGATAATAAGTAAAGCTAAGTAAATTAAATGAAACAAAAGAAGAAGCCCAAAATAAAGACAAACAGCAATTTCTAGCACCCTTTTATCGCCACTGTATCACTACTGTATCACCAAGGTAACACCAGTTTCTTGCGTTTTAGGCAGAAACGAATTATGCACTTCCTCTGTTTTTCAGTTTTGACATATGTCCATCTTTTGACCTTTAACTTGTCAACCCATTATGCAAATTTTGTGTTCTGTATATGGTTGGATTGAACACAGAAAAATGAAGAAAACTACACAGACCAAATGTCAAAAATGGATACAAAAATGAGAAGAATTCATTGGAAACGAACACGTCGGCAACTATGTATAAGGCAATTAGCCACCAGAATACATTGGATACAAAAATGAGCAGAATAAGTATGCTAAGCACGATGGCAACTCGAAAACAAAACCCCAAAATGGAAACAGTTTATGTGGCAAGGCAATTAGCCACCACCACTGACTGTACAATATTACACTTCACCATGTACAACAAGGCCGAAGACCCAGGAAATGATTTCATCTTGCTACACATAATAACTAAACCAAATAGCTGTATCAAAATGGCTTAGATTGCCATATAAAGCACCTCCAACAAAGCTTCAATGCCTGCATCTTCATATAAAGGAGTTCCTGACATAATTAAGGAGCACTGTAAATTCCCAAGTCATAAGTGAAGACTGAACTCAATTCACAGACATTATGACATTTACCTCATATATATGCCTCCCCCCTTAAAGCCTCTATCGCAAGCTTGAGTCGGTAATATGTGATCTTCGAAGGGTCAACTTTATCCAACGAAATGTCAGCACTGAGATGCTTGATGAATTTGACTATCATGATTCCGCAAGAGGTACTGTTGGAGCAATAAGTTCGGAAATTAGAACTGCAGTTATGTACAATATCGATAAACTGCATTAAATTCACATAGCTTACCCATCACGTTGTTGTGGCACATCTCGAATGCTGCAAACTGTAAATGGCATAAACGTGGACATCTTCATCCCTTTTTGCTTAACCTCTTCAACCTCAGAAACGTCATAAAAGTGCATATCATACAGCACTCATGCCAGAGTATCGCTAATAGGGTGCAAATATTTGACCAGCTTCGAAGTTGAGGTAAAAGCAAGTTAGGAGTCGTACACATTTGCAGTATGTCTCACGAAGTCAATTTCGATTGCAACCCAATGGGACCCTTGAAGATTATATGGAAAATAGACCTTCTGGACTTTGGTCCAAGCTTACCCATACCCGTGTTGCCACGTACCGTGCACATAGTGATGTATATTCTTCAGGTTTCTTGCTGGAAGGTCAACGGTGTTTGAAGCAGCTGCCTTTACAGAATGACACAATTTCAGAATGACAAACCAATGCAACTAAAGCAGTGAATGTAACATGTTAACATGTTTACCTGCAAGCAATAATCTGTCGTTGTCCAGTGAGTTCCAAGTAGTAAAGGATGAGAGAGTTGCCTTTTCTGGATGAGAAATGTCGCCATGTCAAGGTGCTGGAAGTTGACGTATATAATATAAGCACAATTTCATACAAATGTACACTTAACAAAGGTGAAAAAACAATTGAATTATTCTAATGAAGTAGAGTTAAAATTCTTACCTTTGAGCTAATCCATTCCGTATCATCGATAAGTTTGTAGAAAAACTCAGAGCCTACTGAACATGATTCCAACTGCACCTCCGCACTATAATAGACAAACTTCCAACGGTGAATTTTGTACTCATCTAATAATTGTAACATTGTAAAATATGACAAATACACACATGTATATTAAATGTAGCTACATTTTCTTATTGGTACATCACTACATACTACAATAACATGAAGATTGGATTTCCAAGGTAAAAAATCCTAACCTTATATCATTTTTCCAGGCAATGCAAAACTCTATTACTGCCTTGACATCTTCAATGGCCAGGGGTTTAGTTGGATCAAAACATGGCAGGGTTGCCTTCACATCAGAAACACTCATCGTCCTCTTCTTCCTTGAAGGATCGATAAATGGACTCAACAATGTTTGGGCCAGTCGCTTCTTTCTGCACCCTTTACCTTCCACCTCTTGTTTTTCAACAGTCGCACTACTTTCATCATCACCAGACACAATAACTTTGGGTATGATGGGAGGATTCATCTAACCTCCTGATGGCATAATGTCGCTCTTTTTCCAATCCTCTAACAAAAACAACAGTTTTTTGCAGATTTCTCTACACTTGTCCATATCTTCAGGAGTAGGAAGCTTCTCAGATTCTGGCTGCTCAGCTTCTTACTGCACTTGTATGTGAGGAACTGAAGCGCCCATTTCTGCCTCTTGGACTTCCATGGCTATGCAGGCTTCAGCTCCATCACCGGGGACTTGTGCTTCCATTGCTGCCAGTTCTGTAGTCGGAGCAACATATTCATGTATGGGCGACCACCATTTCGTTTCTTCAACTACTCTATCTCCAGCTTAAAATAGTGTTCGATTGAAGCGAGGGTCTTGCCAAAATCCTCCACACGCTTTTTATTTTTTTCAAACTCCTTTTCAAGTTTCAACGACTCCTTCCGTACCATTTCTTCCAAGCCATGCACTGTGTTTCAAAGCGCTCGATTTGAATTGGCTACCTTGGCCAATTCATCCTTTGTCCTTTGAAAGTCACGCTTCAAAATGCATAACTCAGTGGACGAGACTTTACCCTACATTCAGTTATAATGCAACTGTTACAATACTTACAAAATAGAACCTTAATACAGCTACTGTTTTGCTATTGTATTGTCTATATATTGACTATATATTAATTATATAGCAGAGCCATTAAGTTTATTATGATGTATATATTGCAAAAAGGTCATGCTTACCTTAGAAGATGACGGAAGGGTAGCAATTTCATCAAATTCATCATCATTTTCTTCAACAGAAGCAGAAATGGTTGTTTTTTCTTCGGCGTCATCTCCAAACAACTCAACAATTTCTTCAATGTCGTCAACACTGTCACCCCAAGTCCAATAGGGCTGCTACTTGTCAATTACACTTGGGCAGAGAAGTTGCACATCAACCTGCAATTTACAAAAACAAAATACATATCAGTAAACTTATTATATTTTCATATGCATAACATTATCATTAAAAACATAACTGACCACACGGTTCTAAAATACTTGGCTAATTAGCTCATGAAAACGAGCCGAAGTATTGCTCCTCCACTATAGTATACGAGGGATGTGGGCATTCTCTTCGTGCATGACAAAATGCAGTGCAACCAACGCTGGAAAGACCTCAAAACCCCGAATCTAGTTTGAAGAATAAAACGTCAATCACTGTAAACAAATGAAATTGAACTTAAACATGAATGGAAATTTACTCACCTGAAGTGCAAAGCCAAAACCTTTGATGTGGTACTCTCTTGGTCTACCACTTGCCGTTGTCTTTGCTTTCTTTTCATATTTTTTTTGTTTTTGTAGCTTTTTGGGGCACTTTTACTCGTTGGTAATCTGCACAAAGTGCTCTCAAAAGTGAGGCATTTGTCTTTGCATAAAAGACAGCACCCCATGGATATTTCACAACCTCTTCAAGGTCTTCCGCCAATTTCAAATACCGCATGTCAATGTGGACATGTTTTTCACTACCCAACAGCACAAAATCAGCAATCCAAGCTTGAATACATCCTCCTCATCAGCGCAGTCGAGGAAGCAATGAAAGTTCCAAAAGGTTGGTAGTTTTATCGTTGCAAAAGACTGACAATTTTATATTTGCAAAAGAACTTCCTTTTCAATGAGCAGTTCTCATTAGTTGCAATCGGAATGAAACAAAGGTTTCCAAACCTTAGCCCTATGACGACACAAAATTGTTGTGCGGTGAATTGTATCACCTTATTGCCAACGATGAATTTTATCCCGTTGACTTGGGAAACTATTTTTAGATCAGCCTTCCTCAGCAACAAGCCGTGAACAATTTGTGAAGTCCACCTAAGGTCCTCAATGAGTAAGAGATGACCAAAACAACTCTCTTCAAACCTTTGTAGCTGTTGCAGATTGAATTTCTGCTTTATGGTATTGATTGCGGTCTTTATATGGGAAAGGGACATCACCTTTCCCTGGAACTTTTCTTCCTCAGCAATCATCAACTTCACTTTAGAAACCATATTTCCCTGCTCACCAACATTATACAAATAATTTCAAGCCATTGAAATCTATACAATAATAAGCGATAAACACACAATACACAGACATATTAAGGCAATAGGTAGGAGGTATATCAGTGACAAACGTACAATATAGGGGCAGGCAATAGAACCTGATATGCAATGCATGTATGTTCACTAATGTCTCAAGACAGAAAAAACTATGGAATGAAATGGCCATTACCATCAACTATCAATCCCCTGAAATGTGAAATAATACCAATTGCATTTTTTACCCAATTTTAGTTTCTTATCTACTCTCAAACTCTCTCCACACTCCACTCTTATCTACATTCCATTTTACTAAATCTGGATTACATTCCATCCACAAACCAAACACCACCCAACTGTCTAAGTGATTTCATGCCCCAAGGATGAACTTCATACAAAATTTCAGAGCAAGGGCTAAAACAACTACCCCAACTGCACCAATCCTTCCCCACTTAGTCACAAACAACTAATGCATCCCTTCAATAAATAGGTGCTTTGATACCTCTTCCTAAAAATTGACAAAGGACACCATCGTCCAATGAACTCTATTCATTTTCATTGAAATAGGAAAATAAATATTAGTCAATATTAAATTTCCAACAAAAGCCACTGCAACTGCAAAACAAACTATAAAGATTCATGTGGCTAATGTAGAGACTATAAATGAACACCTACAATTTCCCTTATTTGGATGAAACGAAACAACAAAGAAACACAGAATCCAATTGCATAAATTGCCAAAATCATTAAACCCACCATGGAACGGGAATAAAACCAAATAAACTAGCAATAAAACAGCACTACGATGCCAATATAACACCACTAAAATGGCAATCCAATAGCAATACAACATCCATAACAACAGCAAAACAACAGCAGTTTCAAACAAAGAACAAAGAACACACTCCTTCACTGTTTCAAACAAGGAATCATCAGAATCACATAATTTCAGAGAAACCCCTATACCCCAAACCAATTTCAGAGAAACCCCTAAACCCTAAACCAATTCTGAAGAAACCCTAACTTAATTTCATAGAAACCCATAAACCCTAAACCAATTTCAGAGAAACCCCTAAACCAATTTCATAGAAACCCATACACCCTAACCCAACTTCAGAAAAACCCCTAAACCCTAAGCAAATGATGATGAATAGTACCTTGTGGATATGAACTGTGGAGTTAAGCTTCGATGAACACACCGCATGAGGGAGGCAGACCACTGCGTCAGAGAGAGAGAGAGAGAGAGAGAGAGAGAGAGAGAGAGAGCTGTGCAAGAGAGACTGAGAAAGACCGAAGAGAGAGTGAGAGCTGAGCGAAGACAAAGTGAAAGTTGAGCGACAGAGAGACAGAGCGAAGAGAGAGTGAGAGCTCAGCGACAAAGAGAGACGGAGCCAAGAGAGTTGAGAGAGAACAAATTTTCTAAAAAAGTGATATGTGTGCAATCAGTGGACAATAAAGATGTATTTATAGGTGGTAGTTTTAAAATTTTAGGGGAGGGGTGGTATTTTCGGAAAAAAAAATTATAAAAGGGTGACATTTTGAGTTATTTCCCAAAAAACAAAGCATTGAAAGCAAAAAACACTTTAACCATTGAAAGCCCCTATATCAAATTGAAACTAAGTTAAATAATCAAGCTCTTTCTAACCTGGTTTGCTCAAGCTTCCACTGCCTTCTCCTATGCTCTTCATCATTTTGGTTGTGTAACCAGCTCCATCAATTGATTAACTTTTACGCACATATGAGAAATTTTCAATTAAACCCTAAAAGGCCCAAAAGAAATCCCTAATTTGTGTTTGAGGATTCAAGCCTTCATGTTCTCTTTCTCTGGAGTACAAAGAATGAGAACGCTGTTTTATTCCACTATCGCAAGAGTTCTATCAATTACAAGGAATTTTACCTTAATGCCCCTCAACTTATTCAATAACTAACGACAATAGTTGATGCCCTAACAAAACTAAAAAGAATCTGAAGGAAATTGAGAAGTGTCCTAGAATTGCTTGGACTCTTATACCACAGTGGCAAAAGTGACGAAATTGAAATCACAGGGACCTTAGTGGTAAAAGTTGGAAACCACAAGGGCTACAAGTGTCATTTGCGACCTGGAGAAGAAGAAAGTGGATCCTATCACCATCACTTGGTGGAATACTTGGGTTGGACTCAAGTTGTGCTCCAAGGGTGAGTTTCTATCTACCTTTCTCTCTTTACTTTCTTGTAAAGTAGTTTATATAGCACATCAACCCCCTTGAACCTTAAGATCCTTTGAAAAGTTTTGTTTTTAAGCTCTGGGATTTTGTTTAAAGTCTTTCGTTGCCTATCAACTGAATTTTTGATAAACTAGATGTCTAAATGAACCTTGTTTTTAATCGAACCCAATACATATCACCGCCACCTAGTAAACAGCAATCGACACCAGCACCTCCACCACCCATACTCAATCAAAGCACCAACACCATCAAGCTAATTGAACAACTACAAAACTCATCTACCTAATTTTGCTGCAAAGAGAGTATCATCTTGAAACTTTGATAATGAGGCACAATAAAAATGATAGGCTGTTTATTGAGATCTTAGTAGATTTTTTTTTTTTTTTTTTTTTTTTTTCAATATCTCAATGGTGTTTAGTCAACAAAAATGGAGAGAGAGAGAGAGAGAGAGAGAGAGAGAGAGAGAGAGAGAGAGAGAGAGAGAGAGAGAGAGAGAGAGAGATGAGGGGTTTGACAAAGAAAATGGAGAAGGGGGAGAAATGTTTAGACGATGAAAATGAGGGGGGTGTTCTAACCAAAAGAAAAGGTGGTGTGTTTTTTGTTTTCTTTTGCTCAGAGTGGGTTGAGGTCGTTTCGTTTCATCATTTTTAGTTTAGTAGTTTTTTTTTTTTTTTTTTTTTTTTTTTTACATTAATTTATATTTTTTACATGATGCATTTTAATTAAATTACATGATATTAACAAAAATAAATACCTTTGATATAGCTCAAATATTGATTACATGATGCATTTTAATTAAGTTACACATTCTTTGTTTCTGTTTTTCCCAAGTGTACTACCAAACACCTTTCCAGTGTTTTTGTTTGTTGAAATTGTTTTCTAATTAAGTTACCAGCATTCTCGAATCTTGAAAATACATATTCGTTTTCCTCGTTTTCATTTTCTAAATACATTTAAAAAATATATTATTCAAAGACATTACCATGCCCTAATATTGTTATTTCGTTTTCAAAAAGCTATATTTTAAAATTAATTAGATATCAAATGTAAATGACCCCATAGTTTATGGAATAGACTGTGATTAATTGGAAAACAAAAAAAATTAGGGTCATTTTATTTGCATCCCATTATTTGCTCTTTTCACCCTACATTCTCTTTACACCCCATTAAATTTTAGTGAAATTTAAAATTACTCTCTGCACCTCGTATTTCTTCCTAAATTGTCCTAATTAACCTCATCCCTAACTTTGTATGTGTAAACCCCATCAGGCTAAACCATATAACCCATCTCATTGCAAACCTCACCTCATCGCAAACTCCATCCCATTACAAACACACCCCATCGCAAACCCCATCCCTCCTAAACCCGTAAGAAAACCCATCAGGCAATCTCATCCCATCGCAAACCCCACCCCATCGCAAATCCCACGCCATTGCAAACCTACTTCATTGCAAACCTCATCCCATCGGAAACACCCTGTATCGCCAAATCTCATATGACCTCGAACCAAAAGAAGGCATCTTGTGCAGCATATAAACTACAAAAAGCTAAGGTTTGCTTTCAATTCTGATTTGTATATTTATGTTTCTGAGTGATATTTCACAAATTTCATGTGTTTTAGAGTATAGAGACGTATTCATGGTTGTGATTTTGTTGAAAATAGATCTATAGTTCGAGTTTGGTCTTATGAAAATAGTTGTTACTTTCAATGGGTTACCACCAAAATCGTTGAATTATTTTAGTGGCAGTCCGTCAAATTTGTTTCCGTTTTTCAGTGGTAGACTACCAAATTCGTTTATTTTTTTGGTGGTAGTCTACCGAATTCGTTTATGTTTGTCAATGGTAGTCTACCGAATTTGTTTCAGTACCTAAACCCTTTCGGTAGTGGGGTATCAAATTCGTTTAAGTTTTTCAGTGATCATTTATCAAATTCGTTACTGAGTTTGTACTTAATATTGTTTTTCAGATATGAAGAGGACTCGCAAAGGTACTATTGAGACTTCATCATCTCGACCTAATAGAAAGTGTCCCATAGCCTCAGTGAGGAGACATAGATCGTCGAGGTTAGCCCCTCAAAAGGACCAGCCCCAACATGGTCTTGCAAACAACTCTGAAGATACTACAGAGGTTGAAGATGTAGCTGCTATTCATAACACTAATGTTGAGGTAGATGCCGAGCCTATGAGCTATCTCGAGTAGGTCTCATTGATCCATCTTTACATACAAGTTTCAAAACTCACATAGCAGCTGCAATTTGGAATAACCAGGTAAGTCAGTTTACTCTAACATAAGAAAGCACAATATTCCTCTAGTTCATGGTAATTAACCTAAATATTTTTTTGTATTTGACTACAGGAACGTGAGCCTCTTAGGTGCATGCACTATTACAAAAAAGGAAAAACACGACGGTAATTCACCGTCGTGTATTCTGTTTTCAAATGGTCGTGGAATCCACCGACATCTTTTCCATAACCAAACCACGACGGTGAATAACCGTCGTTGTTAAAACAAAAAATGTCATCAAAAAATAAAAACCGACGTCTTTGTTCTGCAAAAAGACATAAAAAAACAGTCGAGGATGAGAATAGACGACCAACTCCAACAAAAAAAACGTCGTTAAAAGGAAACAGATGACATATATTAACAGAACATGGCCGCAAGATAAACATACAACAACGAGAACTAAAACTTAACGCCGTTAAATAAATATTTAACAACAAATATAAATACGACGTCTTTACAATCATAATAGACGACGTTATTGACACCTACTACGTCACAACATTTCCCACAACCGTCGTAAAATAAATTTTCCACTTCGATTTTTCTATGAATTATGACGTGGAAATAGATGTCAGGGTCATTACTTACGACGCATGTATTTACAGAGACGACGTTGAATTGGATAAATAACGTCGGTTCCAAATAAATGAGAGCCGTATTACAGAATTTATACGTCATATTTTGAAAATAAACGACGTGAAAAAAGATGGTGTCATTAATTACGACACAGTAATTTATAATGACGACGTTGTAGTCTATATACAACGTCGTTACCATTAAAAAGACTGTCGTCTTTAATAATTTATACGTCTTCATTTAAAAAATTGACGTCGTCTTATTCATATATCTTAACGTCGACAAGTTTAATGGACTTCAAATACCGTCGTAAAATAAATTTTCCACTTCGATTTTTCTACGAATTATGACGTGAAAATAGATGTCAGGTTCATTAATTACGACGTATGTATTTACTGAGACGACGTTGAAATGAATAAACAACGTCGGTTCCAAATAAATGAGAGCCGTATTACAGAATTTATACGTCATATTTTGAAAATAAACGACGTGGAAAAAATGATGGGGTCATTAATTACGACACAGTAATTTATAAGGACGACGTTGTCGTCTATATACAACGTCGGTACCATGAAAAAGACCGTCGTGTTTAATAATTTATACGTCTTCATTAAAAAATTAACGTCGTCTAATTCATAAATCTTAACGTCAACAAATTTAATGGACTTCAAATACCGTCGTGAATTCATCCTTTTCCACTTCGTTTATGAAAGAACATGCGACGTGGTAAATTCATGACGACGTCGTCTTTTGTAACGTTCAGGTTAAAGTTCTCGTCTTTTAGACGTCGGTGTTATGGGATTGGAGTCGTGTTATTTTGAATTACATTGCGGTTCTTTATGCTTGTCCGACGTGTTATCCTGGATAACTGTTTCACAATAGCGTCGTGGTTCTTCATTGTTACTTTGCTTTAAGACGTCGGTAAATATATTGCGGTCGTTGAATGCTCCAAAACGTCGTTATTTATTAGAACAGACGTTTGTTTTTCACATTTTTATCAAAACCGTCGTGTTTGTAATCTGGAACCAGTAATTTTTGTACTGATTGTTTTGTGGCCAAAACCTGTATAATGAAAGTGAAGAAATCACATTACAATATATTACAAAATTAATGTCATACACTGCCAATTACATAAAGCATCATTCAACCCATATATCTTCACACCCATCTCGAATATTTTGACTCCCTAACTCAACCACCACTTCATCAAATGTGTCAACATTTGGCATCCCCCTAGTAAATGGCTCACACTCAATTCTCACATCACCTAAGACATCATCACCAATAACATCATTATATTCTCTATTAGGCATTGATAACACTACCGACCAACCACGATGCATCGGGTCGTCAACAAAAAATACTTGTTTGACTTGAGAAGCCAAAACAAATTGGTCATTCCTATGTCCAATTTTACTCAAATCTACAAGGTTAAATCCAAGTTCGTCCACTACAAGACCAGAAGTATTATCAATCCAATCACACCTAAAGACTGGGATTGTAAACTTTTGGTAGTCAAGGTCCCAAATTTCTTGAATGACACCATAGAAACCCATATTTGAGAGAATTGGGTTTTTATCCTTGGCACTAGCAACTTGCATAGTATGTGCAAGTAAATAAACTCCACTATTTTGAGTTGTCCGCACATCATCTTGTGCCTTGATGTTGAATTTAATACCTTTAATGAGATAGCTCCTATATAATGACACTGCCATGTTTGGACCAGCTGCTAGCCACCTTAAATTTTCTGATACGCCATGATTGTCTTCCTCATTAAGTTCACTTTGAACCTGCAAATTAATCATAACTTAATTCAATCTAACATAGAAAGAAGAAAGTTAAAAGTCCAATATGTTATTCAATAACATATACCTTGAAGCGTAGCCATTGAATGAAAGTGCTATTGTGCTTATCCTGCAGCCACTTTGTTCTCTTTCTAAATTTTGGATAAGCGGTATGGATGTGGATCATATGTTGCCTACATGACACACAAAATTCAAGTATTACGGTCCCAAACATATAAGATAAACATAAGAAATAATTTAAAATGGAAACTTAAAGAATAAAACTCATACGTACTCGATATAAGGTAAGACTTCCTCCGTATTCTCCAAGACATATAGATGTGTTTGGTTCAACAGGTCCCGATCAACTACGCTCACTGTGCAACCTGATAATGGCTTTGAAACTCCCATCTTTTGGCTTGAAGGCACTCCAACTGTACTAACATCAGATAAATGCTCGGTACAAAACTCTACAGCTTCTTCAGCTATATACCGCTCAGCAATGCAACCTTCGGGACGAGTACGATTCTGAACATACCCTTTTAGCACTTTCATATATCTTTCAAACGGATACATCCATCTAAAATATACTGGCCCACACAGACGAACTTCTCTTACAAGATGTACTACTAGATGAACCATGATATCAAAGAATGAAGGGGGAAAGTACTTCTCAAGCAAACACAAAGTAACTACTACATCTTCTTCCAACTTATCTAGCTTGGAAACATCAACAGTCTTTGCACATATAGCATTGAAGAAGAAGCACAAACGAGTTATTGCATACCTTGCAGGCTTCTCCAAAACAGAACGAATTGCCACAGGGAGCAATTGCTGCATTAAGATATGACAATCATGTGATTTAAGGCCAAGAAGTCTTGAATCTTGTAAAGATACAAGATTTTTTATATTTGAAGAATAACCTTCAGGGACCTTCATACCATAGAAAGAATTGCAAACCTCTCTCTTCTCTGCTCTTGACAAATTCCAAGGCCCGGGAGACAAACGAGTACGTCTTTCTCCATACTCGGGTTGCAAATCAGTTTTGACCCCCATGTTCAATAAATCTAATCGAGCAGCAATCCCATCTTTATTTTTTCCAGGGATCTCCAGCAATGTACCAATGATACTATCGCAAACATTCTTCTCAATGTGCATAACTCTAGGACATGCCTCACAGGAAGGTATTTCTAATACTCGAGATCAAAGAATATTGATTTCTTCTTCCAACAAACTCTGTCACCATCTTCAACCATATGCAGCACTTCTTCTCCGGTTAATGGCTCAGGAGGCGTGCCATATTCAGGTTTCCCATTAAAAGCTGCACGTTGCCTCCTATATGGATGATTGATCGGTAACCATTTTCTATGCCCAATGTAACAAATTTTGTGGCCATTTTTCAACCTGTGACTAGGTGTATCATCGCCGCATATTGGACAAGCTTTATATCCTTTAACAACACAACCAGATAAGTTTCCATAGGCGGGGAAATCATTAATTGTCCACATTAATGCAGCTCTGAGTGTAAAGTATTCTCCATTATGTGCATCATACACTCCTCCAATCCCATCCCACAAAGATTTTAAATCATCAATCAAAGGCTCCAAGTAGACGTCTATATCATTTCCAGGCTGTTTAGGACCGGAAATCAATAAGGTCAACATCATGAACTTTCGTTTCATGCACAGCCATGGAGGGAGATTATATGTAACTAAGATAACTGGCCAGCAACTATATCTGCTACTTAGAGAACTGTGGGGATTGAATCCATCAGATGAAAGAGCCAATCTCAAGTTTCTCGGCTCATTACCAAACTTGGGCCATTTATCATCAAGAAGTTTCCAAGACGGGGAATCCGCTGGATGAGACATATAACCGTCAATTGATTTTCTAGCAGCATGCCAAGTCAAACTCTTAGCGGTCTCATGTGATCGAAACATCCTTTTAAACCTTGGAATTGGAGGAAAATACCACACCACCTTCGCTGGCACACCCTCTTTCAAGATTGAATCTTTGCCTTCCTTCCACCTTGAGATACCACAATTAGGACAATGAGTTAAATCCTCATACTCCTTCCTATACAAGATGCAATCATTGGGGCATGCGTGCATTTTCTCATAACTCAGCCCCAATGCACACAAAGTCTTTTTTTGCCTCATACATAGAGGCCGGTATTGTATTTCCTTCTGGAAGCAAATCGCCTTGAAGTATCAATAATTCTGTAAAACAAACATCACTCATCCCATATTTTGCCTTCAAATTATACAACTTCACTAATGCCGATAACTTCGTGTACTTTCTACAACCAGGGTACAATGGTTGATCTCCATCCCCAATCACATTGGCAAACTCATAAGGATCAGATCCAAAATCACCAAAATCATTATCATCCATCTCTATTTCTTCAGACACAAAACTGTACCTACTATGGTCATCATCTTCTTCAACATTTCTACTAGCATTAGTAGCTGCTTCCCAAGGTTCTCCGTGAAATGTCCAATTCTTATAGCTTTGGTCAACTCCATTAAAGTATAAGTGATCCCTTATAATTCCAACCCCAAACAATTTCAAATTAACACATTTAACACATGGACAACGGATATGTGTGGTAGTTAGAAGATTTTCTACAGAAAAGTTCAAAAATGCTTCCACCCCTAACTCATATGCCTTCGATCTTCTATCCGAGTGCATCCATGACTTATCCATCTCCGACACTATACCCTATTATATATAATAAAGTGAAAAGACAAGCAATGACCATCACTATAGCAGATTATATAAAGTCTAATAGCAAGTAATATACAACAGAGACGACGATTTTTAAACAAAAACAGACGTATTTGACATATATAGACGACGAATTTTACGTCGTCTAATTATAACCACGACGGTAGTTAAATAACACCGTCGTGTATAAGTAATAAAAACGACGGTTTAAAGTAAAAACCGTCGTCGTATGCCTAAAAACGCGTCGATATCCAGTTTATTTTCAAGATCCCAAAACCCTATTAAGAACACAACATAGACATGAAACCAAGCAAGAAACCAACATATACATGAAACCAACATATACTAAGCATGAAAACAATAAATCCATTCCCAATTCAACATAACAGAGAGTGATTAAAAGATCCGACAAAATGAAATCCATTCCATATTCAACATAACAGAGAGTGATCAAGAAAACATTAAACAGAAAATCCATGAACCCATACCTCCAACAACATTATTAACAGATCGCAAAACATATACCTAAAACCCTTTAAAAAAACAACGTAATATATCATTCAATGAATTTACAAGGGGAAGAGAGGGTTTGTACTTACAGGTTGGCAGAGCTCACAGATTATGACCAAATTGGATTTGACACAGCCTGGCCCAACTTTGAATTAGAGATGAAGTGAGAGAGCGAAATGTTATGTTGCACGAAATCTGAAAATTTTAGGGTTCATGGTTAGAAGTATAAAAATAAGAGCCAAATCTGAAAATTTTAGGTCCCGCGAATATTTTAAGAAAGCGCGCTTTTTAAAACATCGACCGAAAAAACAAGCGTCGTTAAAATTTAACATTAAACATGACGCTTATTACATTAAGAACGTCGTGGTAAAACCATGTACCACGCAAAATCAAAAAAGGCGTTAAAACTATGAAAAACCACGTCGGAGTTAAGTAACTAACGACGTTGTAAATAATAATAAACGACTTACGTGTGTTGAGGCCCAAAATATTCACAGTTTGGCTCAAATAAATTCTCGGCCCAATGCGATGCTTTACCAAGAAGAAACCCGATTTGGGCATGCGAAAGTTCATCATATGCGCTTGCACACATGCCACGCCAAACGACACGCCACGCTAAGCAAGGAATTATCATTCCGCACCTAATCACGCCACAAGCTTAAGTGGGCCCCAAGCCACTCAAATACCCGGGGCTTGCTTGAGTGGGTTGTGGTATGGATGGTAATAAATTGTCATGAGGCCCATTGATGGACCAAGAAGTGGAGGTTCCGGGTTACTTGGGAGCCTCGGAACCCAAGCCCATTTCTTAGGCCCAAACATGTGGGTAAGCACAAGAGAGGAAATAGCCCAATTGCTTCAACTAGAGTAGCCCAACCAAAATAACCCATTACTTTAGATAGCCCATAAAGCCCAAATACTTGGTGAATTTAACCCACTTATTAGATGACTTGGCCTTCTATATTAAGGGGCCCATACCATTTGAATAAAAGGAGTCCAAGGCCTTCAGCACTTGGCTGGAGCAGAAGTCCACGAAGAAAGCCAGAGATTCACATGTGAGGGGCTGCTGGGGGAACAAGTTCCAAGTGCAAGCATTCAAGAAACCAAGGGGTATTAGCACGCAGGGGAAGATGCTATCCCTTAAACCAACAGGCGCACCCATTTTCTTTCCTTCATCAGATTTGGCCGTGAAAAGAGGAGGAAAGAAGAGAAAGAAGATGGGTGAAAATGGAAGCTCTCCTCTGAAGCTGTTGAAGCCTCGAGCTCCCAAAAATCCCTGATTTCGTGGGATTAGGCAGAACTGATTTTTGCCTCCATGAGGTAAGTCAAGCAAGAGGAGAAGAAAGGAAGAGGAAAGCTTAGCTAGATTGGAAAGAAACCATTAGGGTTTCTTGGAGAAGACCCATTCCCAGTAGCTATAAATAGGACCCCTTCTACCCAACACAAGACAACCCACGCCTGGAGAGCAAGCTTTCTCTCTAACTTTCTCTCTAACTTGCAAAAACCCAGAAGTCTCGTGCACTGTTCACCATCTTCTCCATTCTTCTCTTCTGGCAAACAGAGTATCTGTCAAGCTGCCAGAAGAGCATTGCTCTTCATTTCTCTCTTTCTAGCCAAATCTCCTACAAAATCTCTCTTTTCTCACCTTAACACTTCCCTTTTTCCCTCTAAGAAAGCCTAAATTTCCTCTTAGTGCTAAACTCATGTTGATTTTGCTCCCATGCCACATACCTCTCATGCCAAGCTTAAAATTTTATCTATAAGCATGCATAAATTATCTGTAAGCTGCCATTATTTTGGTTGGTGAAGGTAACCAAAATACTTCCTAAGGCTCTATTGCCCTTTCGAGGTATTTTGGGGCTTAATTTTCGAACTCAGGCAAAGGGGACAATTTCATCAGTCTGCCCTTTTACAGCAGCTCAGCCCATTTGCAGCTGCTGGAGGAAAAAGTCCCCTACATAAATTGGCGACTCTGCTGGGGATTAAGCCACTATCTGCACCAATGCCTCCAAAGAAGAAGACCAGAAGCAATAAACCGGAGGAAATAAAGAGATAAGAGCATTCCCTCTTTCTTTTTCTTTTTCCTTTCGTTGGCTATCTACTTTGTAGAACAAACATAATATAGATTACTCACATGCTCCCTTTGCTTGTGTCTTAGATATCCATTCTCAAGCAAAACAATATCTTGTAAGAGGACTGGGGGCTTCAACCAACGTGCAAGCCGCTGACCACCGTCGTCAATTGTTGAGGCTAGCTCTGCCGTTCACCTCTCCGCCATGATACATCATCAGCAAGTCTGGCCATCGCCGTAAATCACCTTCATAACAGCCCTCACCTCTCTAGAGTTGTGAAAACACGGTGAGAGAGGGAGAAGGAACACTTGCTCAATGCTCTCAGCCTCATCTCTGCAAATGGCTTCACCAAGATAAGATTTTTATTATCATGCCTTGTTGATCTCAATATAGCATATATATATATTTGTTTGTTGTTTTAAGATATCCATAAAATTTATGTTTCATTGAACAAACTCAAGCATAGATAAAAGCATGTGCATTCAAGTCCAAAAAAAAATTGATTGATTAGTTGTTATTCATATGGTGCACCAGCTTGCATCATTTTCTTTATGTATTAAACCACCTTTCAATTTTGCATCTCTAGCAAAATTTCTCAGGGCCTTATTCCACGCACTATTCACTTATCTTACTTCTTATCATTTCGTATCGATCCACCTTTGTGTTAATCAATCCAAGTTACATATTGCAATGTAGATGCCAACTATGCATGCTCAGTACTAAAATCATACCTGCTCAGCATGCTTATGTCAATTATGTTAGTCATTTGCAAGCTACCAGGCTTATATTATTTTTATGCTTTGATCATGCAGCATTATATCGGTCATGTGCAAGGGACCCAAGCCTCCAAACAACAAGCAAAAAAACAAATGCTCTCATGTTTCCTACCCAACATCTCAACACACTGCCATTATCATCCATTCCTTAAGACAAATCTCTCTCTATACTTCCAGTCATAGAAGTTCAAGCACCACTGAAAGAGACGCTGGAAGAGTGGAAAAAGAACAGAGCCAGTCAAAATCCAAACACCACTGCTGGAAGAGCCGCTGCCAGAAGCACATGCTACCACCGAATCGTGCCAAACTGTCACCGTTGCAACAAAGGGATATCCCAAGTTCATCATGCCATGCAATAACCCAAACAAATACTAAGAAGGCCATGTTGCAAGAGTTTTTGTAGCCTATGCCCATCAAATCCTTTTATGATGATTATGGTGCACTTGGGGGCTGAGGAAGGAATTCATTGCAATCACCACGGCGGTGATTCCAAAACCCCAAAGAAGCTTAAAAATCCATTATTACCAAAACCATTATTCCCAGACCAAAAATCTCCTTGAAATCCCAATTATGTTACTATGACCTCCAAGTTCGCCATCACTTGTTGTTGTAACCCAACACATTTGCTGCAGTGACCACATACAAAGCTCAAGCTTCAATAGCCAAGTCCAAGCTTTTGGTTCCTAAAACATGTTCACAACAGCTGCAACAAACAATACCTAAGTTGCCATAACTGATATGTTCCAACGCCTCAAGCACTTTCTAAGCCTTGACCATTCCAATGACCAAGTTTAGGAGTCAAAACCAAAAGGCTATCAGGATGTCTCAATTGCCACAATTCCATAATCAAGCATCATCAAGCCCCAAGCCTTAGTCAAGAAATCCAAGAACTATGCTTTACTCAAGAAGGAAAACATCTCAATTCATGGCAAATGAAAGGAAAATATTGCGAAGGTAGTGTTATGAAACTGTTGGAAGAACCTAAATGCTGTCAAGATGAAGTTTATTTTACCAAGCAATCAGAATCTTTGAAGCGATGTCAAGCTTTCAAGAAAATGGGTGCTGGAAGCGTATTTTCCTATATTCATCAATTCTTCACCTGCAACATCCACCACTGCTTGCTATACTCTAAGGAAGATCTTACACGCCGAGATACATGACAGAACTCTAAGAGGCAAGCTATTGACAATGACCCCTTGCCAAAACGAAGGGGAAAATAGATGGCTACTGTCATTACGTGCTTTGATGACTTGCTCGACAACGACGTATTGTGCCAGCTGTGGAAGAATGACCCAAAGCCATCAGAGGCTATGTGGGAACCTTGTGGAAATATGAAGAAGTCCAACTGGAGCAAATATTCAAAATATGCAAGCTATAACACCCCGTGGCTACTTGCTAATGGATGGGAGAATGGTTCTAGCAGCGAAGTATTCACATTAGACATGCTGGAAGAAAGCCACTCGGAGGCTTCATTTGGTCATCAAGATTATCAAGAAGCAGCTGTTGTAACCTCTCATAACTTCACAGAGGTTGAAGAAAGTACAATGGGTTAGGAGCTGCAAATCACTCTTTGATTAGTTGGGTTATGAGCTGCAGGCAAGCAAAGCAGCAACTGTGGCTCTGTTAAATATCTCTACAAAGCATGGCATCCTAAGACAACACATGCCAAATACATACCAACCTAAGCCACAAGCTTTCATGCTATTGCAAGTCATGCACAACCTTGGGCCCTTTCATATTTGGGGGGCTTGATTTGATTGGAGTATTCATCAATGCAAAGTGGCTTAAGGTCTTATTATTGCTGAATTGCTTTTGCACCTATCCTTTTGTTTTTGGCTTTTCAAATTTATTTCAAAGATGAACTCCTTTTGTGTTTTCACCATATGTTTTCACAACTTTGGTAGAATGCACCACCATTATTGCATGCCAAGGCATAAAACGATATTTGCAAGGAGAATGAAGTATTTTGGAAAAAGAAAAAAAAGCCTCTAGAATTCTTTCCTTACTTTTATCTTCTTCTGTTTTGCAAAACGTGTTCTTTGAAAAGAAAAAGAAAATAGACAAGCAAACTTCCCTTTTAAAAGCTAAGCCTTTTAGCAGTAACCATGCCAAGCAAAGCCACTTGAATGGGGTCCCGAACCATCAACAAGCATCACGCTTAAGCAAAAATAGCATAAGGTACGAGAAACCGATCTATTCCAAAGAAGCACGCAATCTTGAGGTGCTGGAACAACATCTGGGAGTTTTATAAAACCTTGGTAAGAATCATGCACATGCTAGTCTGGCCCTTTTTAAGGAAGGCAAGAAGCTGCTTTTCAAACCCAGAGGCTAGATAAACCATGCAAAAGAAACTTTAGAAATTCCGCTCCTGTCGAAATTTTGGCAGCATATACCTTGTTTTTAAGGATATCCAACCTGTCAGAAAATCTCAAACAGTTCACAAAGACGAGTTTTGCCAACCAAGCTGTATATATGAGACATGCGATTTACAACCTGCCTTCAACATTCAAAAATTAATACAAGCTTCAGTGGTTCAATGCCAAATTACAAAGTCATAACAACGTAGTTGTTAGAATGTCAAAAGAAAAAAAAAACTACAGTCAAAGCACGATAAAACTATACATGCTAAAGATCCATGCATCCTATAGTCTCAAAGGAAACAGAACCATGCGATGATTTCATGTTATGTGTAACACCGCCATCAAAGAAGGCTTTGAACGCCATGAAGGAATTCTCCCAATCTTGCCAAGGCATGATTTTCTTCGATAAATGCCCTACGGAGGTGGAAGCATCACCGTCCTTATGGATGTCACCAATAATCTCACCACGAGGGGGCACTGCCGGAAGCCGTGAAGAGGTGCCAGCAGCTATGTCGGGTGTGCCCAGGCAAGGAGAAGTTGGAGGCAGCACTGCTGGAAACTGTGGAGAGGTGCCGGCAGCTATGTCGGGTGTGCCCAGGCAAGGAGAAGTTGGAGGCAGCACTGCTGGAAACTGTGGAGAGGTGCCGGCAGCTATGTTGGGTATGCCCAGGCAAGGAGAAGTTGGAGACAGCGCTACGGGAAGCTGCGAGGAGGTGCCGGCAATTGTATCAGGTGTCCTAAGGGGAGGGTAAGGAAGGGTACCCTCCGCCCCTTGTGAGATGCTCTTGACCTAAAAGAAAAGAAGGAGTTCAAACAAATATGCAATTTCTGACCCAAGTTCGTGACAAACAAAGTTCTCATCCTGTGTGACTCAATAAGCATGACAAGCAAATTCTCTTTCAGAACAAAAATCAAGCATTGCAAGACATGCATTCCTACTTCTCGCAACCGAGAACAAAGTCTACAATTAATCAAGCATATGTTCACAAGGGGAGTAAGCCTAGGCCATGCACCAGTCTATGCTTATTTCTGGAATACTCAAATTGGCGGAGTTACTTACCAAAAGATTAAAGCAGAAGCCCCAAATATCCAAGTTAGAAGGCTTAAGGATTTGAAGGTTCCAGCAGCAGAAACGTCAAGGTTTCCAGCACCTGCCCCACCTATGCCTGAGACGTGTGCACACTGCACAACAAACAAAACCAATGGTGCTTTTCTCAAAGCTTTCAATAGCCTCTAATCCTATGCATTAATCATACGATTACAAGCATGCGCTCGTGATGCATATAGTTCAACAACAAAAAAGCGGGTCAAGAACGCGGCACACGCAAAATATACGCCAAGCAGGGCAAATCAAGCTCAGGCCAAAGGAAACACTTAAGCAAATACCCAAGCAGCATACAATTTATCCATGGCAAGCGAAATTTTCAAGCAATTCCCATGACAAGCAAATTCTTCCTCAAAATGCAAAAGGATTCAAGCATTGCAGAGCATGCACTCTATCAATTTCTATTTCCACAACATGGGAGAAAAGTCCAAATTTATTCAAGCATGCGAAAAACAAGCCTAGGCCAAGATATCAGTCTATATCTATTCCTACAGAGTTAAAAAGAAGGACCTGAGATTCCAGTGAACGAGCAAAGCCCATGGGCATGAAGAGCCCAACAAGCCCCTCGATAGATTCAAGAAATTGCAAAGAGGAAAGGGCATACCTTGTCAATCACCTCAAAGGACGACCTCAAATGCACCAAGAAAGAAGGGAGGTTGGTGCTGGAAGAAGGGTAGTTGGTGCCGGGAGAAGGGTAGTTGGTGCTAAAAGAATATCGTATCTTCTATTTCACGTTACCATCTCCTTCATCACCATTGTTGATCTCATTATTTATGCAACCAGCTGACCCATTATTGCAATTGTCCCCATGTTTTTCTGCGCAGACTTTGGCACCATCATTATTTTCAGGCATACTTAAGAATTGGTCTTTCTGAAGATGGATACTTCGGCAACTAATACTTGCAAGAACTTCTTCTCATGGCTATACGACAACTCCTGAAAAATCACAAGCTTTATCCATGCAATTGCACTACAGCAAAATTTAAAGCTTTTCAGACAAAACATCTTGCAAAAGGCTTATGGGGGCTTAAGAGAATCCATCATAGCAAATAGCACATGCAAACTCCAAATGACTTGGGGGCTTCATGCCAAGCAAAAGAGAGAGACAAGAATCCTGAAGCTGTTGTAAATTTCAGTTTTCCTCTTGGAGGAAAGCAAACTGTTTGTTACTTATCTGGAGGAAAACAAGCTATACTAGCTTAGCCTCTTCCTTCTCATCTTCAGTCTACTTCTTCCAAAGATCTTCTTTGAAGCAAGTTGCAAAAAATAAAATAAAATAAAATTTACAAGCATGCCTCTACTTTGTTTCTCGACCCTGAGTAAGCCAAAGAGAATATAACCCAACTCTGCAACCAATTGCTGACCTCAACAAGCTGACTTGAGGGCTTCATGCCAAGCAAATTCAAGGAAGTACACCATGCCATTCAAACAAGCAAACCCATCTACCTTTTTTGCCACACAGTATAAATAATCTCTTCGATTACAACAAGCCTAGATAATCTTGCATTATGGTGAGAAACAGTTTTCTATTTCCCCTTTTTGAAACAAGCCAAGTTACATTCTTCTAGCACCTACTCCATAAGCAAAGAATTTTTATCACCTACCTTATTTCAAACATCCTTCCAGCACATGCCTAATTTCAAACCTTCTGCTAGTTTCAAATCTTCCAAAAGCCTTCATATCGCAAGTCAAGGTGCAAGCAACCAAAACTCACCTTCATGCTACCAAATTCCTTGCAAATTAGTAAGAAGATGGCATTTCTCATGCTGTGGAATCTCTCAATCAAGCCTGAAAAATAAATAAGGGAGTACGTTGGTCAGATCAGGTGCTGGAAGGGAACTTGTAAACAGAAAGGGGGCACCGGAAGCATAATTGCTATTGAAACATATTTTTTTTAAAAGACAAGTGGCAAGGGACCAAAACTCACTTTTATGCTATCAAAATCCTAGAAAATTATATTTCTCATGCTTTCTCATGCTTTGGAGTTTCTAAACAAAAGAATACTTTAGCCAAAATCAGAAGCCGGAAAGGTACTCATACACAAATGGAGGCGCCAGAAGCATAATTTTCTCATAATGCAAGCAAACTCATGTATCAAGCATTTAACAAAATTCACAAGGCTTGAAACCAATCCACATGCCAAGAAATTTCATTCCATTCAAGCATTCCAAGCAATTCGGGCTTTTCAAGCAAATTGAAGAACTCATGCTCTTATGACAATACCTTTCAACATCATGCTGTCACAACAATATTGCTCAAGAACATGCTCTAGCATTACTCAGATCAGCACTCAATGCCAACAAAAAGGACATGCCAAATTCTCAACAAAAAGCAGCATGCCAAGCAAAACTTATACACAAGCTTTCCAACCATCCTAGCTAGAACATCCCACCTTTAGAAAATCACTATAAATCAAGCTTACAACCAACAAATCCCAGACTTTCCAGATTAGAACTAGACATATCAAGCTTCATTTCCCAAAATTTCGTTGCATTTCAAGCTAGGGAAGCATGTCAAACAGATTTCCAAGACAGCCCACACAGCAGAAACTGTACAGCTCCAGCACCTTAACCCTTACTTTGAAATTCCACCGAAAATTCATTTTTTCTTCAAGTGATGCAAGACCAATTCCAACATAACCATTGAGAAGTCCATTTTTATGTCTCAAAAGCTCCAACTCAGATTCGAAAAGAAACATTTCAAAAGTTCAAAAAACAGCCAGCAAGCTACTTTGAGATATTTTGACAAGCACTTGGCATGCATACCCAAGTGAGCTTGTATAACTCTTGTTTATCACCAAGCTAGAATCCTAAATCAAAAGCTCAACCTTAGAATTCGATTTCTAGTTCACAAATTCTGGGAAATACAGAGGAACTCAAGCATTCAAGCATAGAAGACAAGCATGCAACAAAGGCATCCACATCAACTCATGAACATGCTTTAGAAAAATGGAGGTAGAGAGCACTAGAATGGGTGGATGATCCTCAATTTTGGATATGTTATAGACAACATAATTTCAAGCAAATTTTGTGAAGTAAGCGCAATCATACGAGTATCATAAGTTAAAGACACATGCAGAAGAAAAATCTGCAAAAACTCACCAGCCATGGATGAATTCAGAAGTTGCAAACCAGCTTTGAGGTTTGGGTCTTGAAGAAGAAGAAAGAAGAGAACGAGAGAAAATCAGAAAATAAAGCACATCATGCCAAGTTCAGCCTTTTTATATACAAAAAAGAGGTCAGAGCAAGATTAAAGTAAGAAGAGGAAAAGGTAGAAACCCATACCAACAGTTTTGTTCACACGGAAATTGGCACCCTTCCAGCAACTCGAGCAAATCAAAGAAAAGGGGAATCCCAGAAGATTGGTGCGAGCCCTTCCTTGCTAGCACCCACGTTGTAAGCACTCACGTTGCTGCAATAACAAAATAGGTCAAAAGAGGGTTTGATGCTTGACAACCAAAACAAAGGGCAATATTCATGGATGAAGGGAACCCAACAAATTCCTCAATAAATCCAAGAGAAAGCTAGAGAAGTGACATACCTTGCTAAAATCCTAATAGGTGACTTTGAATATACTAAGAAGGGAGCGAAATTGAGAATCATAGAGGAAAACCCGCACAAAAAGGTCCCTTATAGCAACGGCAGAAGGGCTTCTTCGAAGGGAGAAGGGCTGAAGGGGTTGAAATCGACTTGGGCTCTTTTCCCAGCGGCTGGAGGCAGATGTTTTCCACTTGATCTCACTCTCTCACTCAGTTTTGAGTTGGGGGAACAAGGGAAAACGAAGAAAAGAAAAGTAGGAAGAAGTTGGATCTGGTGCAAGAAAAGGGAAGAGAAAGAAAGAAAATAATAAAAAAGAAAGGAAGAAGGTGTTTGGCATTGGGAAACTGCAAATAACCGCTGGGGGCAATTATGACACATCGTCATTTTGCACGCGGGAAGAAGAGAAGTTCTCTACAAATACAAATCTGATTTTTTTGGGTCGGGTTTAATTATTCGGCCCATTCCAGCACCTATCCTATTCCAAATATCCTTCCAGCACTTGTTATATTCCAAATATCCTTCCAGCACATGCCCTATTTCAAACATTCTACCAGCACATGCCCTATTTCAAATATCCTTCCAGCACATGCCCTATTTCAAATATCCTTCCAGCACATGCCCTATTTCAAGCATTCTTCCAATATCTAGCCATTATGTCGCACGATATCACCTTCATTGAAGTTTTGTCCTCTAAATTCAAAGTGTTCAGAGGCTGGTGCTGTAAAATCAAACACAATGGTGAATCCAAACTTATTGCATCCGCAACTCTAAGATTGGATCCCCACTATCCACTAGCACGTCCGGCTACTGTCAAATGACATCCACCATGCTAAATGTCCCAAAAGCCATATTAAGCCATGCTACCTTAGCCAAAACCAAGCATCCAAGCATGCAAGCCAAAATCAAGCATACACGCCAATACCAAGTATCAAGCCAAAATCAAGCATACATGCCAATGCTAAGCATCAAGCCAAATACCAAATATACAAGTCAAAGCAAATCATGCAAGCCAAAATCAAGCATACATAACTAATATTAGACACACAAGTCAATGCAACTCTTGCAAACCACAATCATGCAAAATCAAGCCTCTATAGTCACTCAAGCAAATAAATCATGCGAGCTAAGTAGTTATCTTGAGCTAATCCACCAAGCATTTTCTTCTATATCATGCCACAAAATAAGGTCAACTCTTGGTAACTCTAGTAAGTGACCTCCAAAATTACAGTGTTTAGGAAAGTTCTTCAAGGCAACACCCTCGGTGTTTAAGAAGGATTGGGTTTTAAGCGGGACCATTGTGACCTCTCCAACCTTCCCGGAAAAGACTTGGCTGTAATTTCAGAGACTCTTAACCTGTTATCCTTGAGTTGCTCCTAAACCCATGCCATGCCATGCCACGGTAATTTATTTTGGGCTGAAAATTGATTATTCGGACCATTTCAATACACATTCATGGCCCCAATAATCAAGGGGGCTAATGTTGAGGCCCAAAATATTCACAGTTCGGCCCAAATAAATTCTCGACCCAATGCGATGCTTTACCAAGAAGAAACCCGATTTGGGCATGCGAAAGTTCATCATATGCGCTTGCACACATGCCACGCCAAATGACACGCCACGCTAAGCAAGGAATTATCATTCCGCACCTAATCACGCCACAAGCTTAAGTGGGCCCCAAGCCACTCAAATACCCGGGGCTTGCTTGAGTGGGTTGTGGTATGGATGGTAATAAATTGTCATGAAGCCCATTGATGGACCAAGAAGTGGAGGTTCCGGGTTACTTGGGAGCCTCGGAACCCAAGCCCATTTCTTAGGCCCAAACATGTGGGTAAGCACAAGAGAGGAAATAACCCAATTGCTTCAACTAGAGTAGCCCAACCAAAATAACCCATTACTTTAGATAGCCCATAAAGCCCAAATACTTGGTGAATTTAACCCACTTATTAGATGACTTGGCCTTCTATATTAAAGGGCCCATACCATTTGAATAAAAGGAGTCCAAGGCCTTCAGCACTTGGCTGGAGCAGAAGTCCACGAAGAAAGCCAGAGATTCACATGTGAGGGGCTGCTGGGGGAACAAGTTCCAAGTGCAAGCATTCAAGAAACCAAGGGGTATTAGCACGCAGGGGAAGATGCTATCCCTTAAACCAGTAGGCGCACCCATTTTCTTTCCTTCATCAGATTTGGCCGTGAAAAGAGGAGGAAAGAAGAGAAAGAAGATGGGTGAAAATGGAAGCTCTCCTCTAAAGCTGTTGAAGCCTCGAGCTCCCAAAAATCCCTGATTTCGTGGGATTGGGCAGAACTGATTTTTGCCTCCATGAGGTAAGTCAAGCAAGAGGAGAAGAAAGGAAGAGGAAAGCTTAGCTAGATTGGAAAGAAACCATTAGGGTTTCTTGGAGAAGACCCATTCCCAGTAGCTATAAATAGGACCCCTTCTACCCAACACAAGACAACCCACGCCTGGAGAGCAAGCTTTCTCTCTAACTTTCTCTCTAACTTGCAAAAACCCAGAAGTCTCGTGCACTGTTCACCATCTTCTCCATTCTTCTCTTCTGGCAAACAGAGTATCTGTCAAGCTGCCAGAAGAGCATTGTTCTTCATTTCTCTCTTTCTAGCCAAATCTCCTACAAAATCTCTCTTTTCTCACCTTAACACTTCCCTTTTTCCCTCTAAGAAAGCCTAAATTTCCTCTTAGTGCTAAACTCATGTTGATTTTGCTCCGATGCCACATGCCTCTCATGCCAAGCTTAAAATTTTATCTGTAAGCATGCAAAATTATCTGTAAGCTGCCATTATTTTGGTTGGTGAAGGTAACCAAAATACTTCCTAAGGCTCTACTGCCCTTTCGAGGTATTTTGGGGCTTAATTTTTTTACTCAGGCAAAGGGGACAATTTCATCAGTCTGCCCTTTTACAGCAGCCCAGCCCATTTGCAGCTGCTGGAGGAAAAAGTCCCGTACAACGTGTAAACAAAACGTCGTTTAAAAGAGAAACCACGTCGGATTTTTCACCATACGACGTAAACTCAATATTCCACGACTCAATCACCGTCGTTAAAAGTAATACCCTAAACTTTAAAACCATAAATTATATATTTGTAAAATTTAATTTTATAAAATTGTTTATGGTTTTACATCCTAATAAATAACAAACATAAACCCTAAACCCCAAAAATTATACTTTAACCATAAACCCTAATAAATAACAACCCTACACCCCAAACCCTAAACCCTAAACCATCAAACTATATAAGTGATGCTATGACTCATCAAAACAATTTTATTTTGGTTGGTCATTTTAAACTTTTATTACACAAACTGCATTTTTTTGGGGTTTAGGGGGAAGAAAATATATCAATGACTTCATAGGAGTTGAAGTTGAATTTTTTGAATTTATTTTAAATTTATTTTTAAAATTTTGAATTAAAAATAATAAAATATTCTTATATCAACAACAAACCACGGCGGGGTTAAGTAACTAACGACGTTGTAAATAATAATAAACGACTTAAGTGTAAACAAAACGTCGTTTAAAAGAGAAACCACGTCGGATTTTTCACCATACGACGTAAACTCAATATTCCACGACTCAATCACCGTCGTTAAAAGTAATACCCTAAACTTTAAAACCATAAATTATATATTTGTAAAATTTAATTTTATAAAATTGTTTATGGTTTTACATCCTAATAAATAACAAACATAAACCCTAAACCCCAAAAATTATACTTTAACCATAAACCCTAATAAATAACAACCCTAAACCCCAAACCCTAAACCCTAAACCATCAAACTATATAAGTGATGCTATGACTCATCAAAACAATTTTATTTTGGTTGGTCATTTTAAACTTTTATTACACAAACTGCATTTTTTTGGGTTTTAGGGGGAAGAAAATATATCAATGACTTCATAGGAGTTGAAGTTGAATTTTTTGAATTTATTTTAAATTTATTTTTAAAATTTTGAATTAAAAATAATAAAATATTCTTATATCAACAACAAACCACGACGTTGTAAATAATAAGAAACGACTCACATGTAAAAAGGACGTCGTTTAAAAGAGAAACCATGGCGGATGTTTCACCATCTGACGTAAAATACATATTACACGACCGAATCACCGTCGTTAAAAGGTATTAACCTAAACCCTAATAAACGACTTACTTGTTCAAAAGGACGTCGTTTAAAAGCGAAACCATGTCAAATTGTCATCAAAATGACGTCCCATGTACGTCCCATCACGTCTAAATATCATTTTGCGTCGGTTTTTTTACATAATTATGTCGTTGGAAAGTTATTACACGTCGGTTATGCAATTTGTTTTTTCTTTTATATTATAAAAACCTCAGCAAATTTTCAGGGAAAAAAAGGATGTATATTATAGACAAAATTTGTACATTATATATTATAGACAAAATTAGTACATATAAAAATATCAAGTGTTCCAAAAATCCTCTAATCCATATGAAGGCAAACAAACTCTGCCCATTCTTTCCTGACTTCATCAATGGCTGCTTAGGGGTATGGCGCTTGATCTTTTCCCTTGGCAAACTGCAATCCATAAACAATGATTATTAAGCTTTACAAAATAAAAAGAAATTCAGACACAGACGAAGTTTTTTTTTCATAACCGACGTAGTCTATCGATTCAACGACGGTAATTTTAAATGACCGTCGTTGATAATACAAAAAACCACATAAAATGTTTCTGAAAATTTTATTCTTACCTTCTTCTCAAACTCCAAGGAAGGATCCATGATGATGTCCCTCATGAAGCGCATCACATAATACCCGCATTCGACACTGCTGGGTTGCTTTGGTGTGCCTGGCAGAGTTTTCCAAATTGGTGCTTTACGGCCTGGTCTGCCTATGTGGGAATTATAAATTTTTAAAGCACTGTTCACGATGTTTTTGCCCTCCTCATCAACCACACGATTTCCAGGCAGAGGATCCAGAAAATAGACGGTTTCCCTCTTTGCCCTCACAATCAGCAAGACCCAATGACGGCTGCACAAAAATAAAATAAAAAACGACGGTTAATATAAAAAGTCAGCACCAAAAAACAAAAGACGTTTATTTATAAAAACCGACGTATTATATAGTTTCACACGACGTAATAACTATATCGACGTCATTATAAATTTATCACGACGGTAATTAACTACCGATGTGGTTAGTTGTTTCAAACGACTCAATAAATAAATAACCGACGTGGTTAGATGTTTCAAACGACACAGAATTAGTTAAACAGTTTTATAAGTGGTCAGTTAGTGAAAATCATACAAACAAAATCCTTTTAAGGAGACTAACCCTGGATTGTAAGGCATCATGAAAATCTGTTCACCATCTGTTTTCTGAAGTCGACTGGCTACAATTCGTGATCTGTCAGTTAGTGACCCAGCGTTGGCACTAACTTGAGCAGGGTCGATAAAGCCAACCATGCTGCACATATTTGCTTCTCTCAAAAGATCATATAAGCACCTAAATATATAAAACAAACGACGGTTATTTATACACAACCGACGTATTATATAATTTCACACGACGAACTGAAATAGAAACAGACGTGATAACTAATTTATCACGCCGGTAAAAAAAGAACAATGTGGTTAGTGGTTTAAAATGACGCAATAATTAAACAACCGACGTCTTATGATATAATGTTTGATATTTGATTAGGACAAACCTCATATATACTGCAACCACAGTAGCCCCAATTTCTTCCATGCCTGCAAACTGTGTAATATCTTCATGCAAGACGAAGGTACCTCGATCTGCACCAAACACCTCCTTCTCAATGTTGAAGGTCATGATCTTCCCCTGTGGCTTTAGTGTAGTTTCCACATAACCACAAAGGGATTGTAAGGAAGATGGCACCTCCACATTTGAATAATCAACTACTTCATTACCCTGTTTAAAGAAATAAAGCAAAATAAAATGACGTGGTAATTCATTAAAAACGACGGTTTAAATTAAAAAACGTCGTCTGATTATAATTTAAACGACGGTAATTAAATACCGTCGTTTTAGATAATTTATTACGTCGTAGAAAATAAATTCCGACGTCTAATGTGAAAACAAACGACGGTTTAAAGAAAAATATCGACGTCTGAAATGTGAAAAACAAATTAAAAAGGCAAAGTTATGAGAATATACCTCCTCGTCATGCTTTTCTTCATCTTGTTTTTCTTCTTTCTTCTCTTCATCATTTGTGTCTTCCTTTTTGCCTTCATCTTTTTTCTCTTTTTTTTCTTCCTTCTTCCCTTCATCTTTTTTTTCTCCCATCTTCTGTTCATCTTTATTTTCTTCTTTCTTCTCTTCATCTTGATTATCTAAAGCCCCAAATTTCTGTTTTAAATAATAAAGAAATATATATAAGACAGATTGTACAGAGAGTAAAAAAATTAAACCAAAACGTCGTGGTAAGGCATAACATAAGACGGTATGTAAGAATTATGGACGTCTTAAAATTATTAAACGATGGTAAATAATAAACGTCGTGGTAATTGTATATTACGTCGTTAAGGACTAAAACCGTCGTCTAAAAACCACAAAGTACGACGTCTAATGGCGTGTAAAACAAGTAAACTAAATACGACGTGGTATTTAAATAAACACGACGGGTTATTTATAAAATCGTCGTGGTATGGTTTTAAAACGACGGGTTTATTCATAATAACGACGTCTAATGTTTTAAAAAAAAACAGAGAATTCAAAGTTCAGATATGTTACCGTTTCTTCCTGCTGTTCCCCATTTCTGGCAGTATCATCCTCTAAATGTAGGGATCTCACTTCAGCCCCAGAACAGCTTGCTTTATCAGACATTGGATTTTTGGGACTTTGCTGTAGACCTTGGTTTTGACAGGGGCTAGTTTTCGGTTTAAGCATGCTTGGATCAAAATTGGGGATGAGGTGGGAAAGCTGACTTAGTAAATGTTCCCTCTCAGCCTCTACTAATTGTTTGGTTCTAGCTTCCATCTTCTTAGTCTCTTCTTGAAGGACAATTCTTACACTTTCCTTCAATTGATCAGCAAACTTTACCCTCTGTGGTCTAGGTAAATTGAAGAATTGCCTAGGGAAAATCCCAGCACCTACCCCTCTTACTCTCCCTGGATGCTCGGGACCCAAAGCCAAGGTCAACACATCATTACTGCCAGTTAAACTCAGACTGCCTTCAGCCACTTGTTTTTGCAATTCATCCTAAAACAAAGACATACAAAAAAGTCAGCACAAGAAAACAAACGACGGTTATTTATAAACAAACGACGCATTATATAATTTCACACGACGCACCAATATAGAAATCGACGTTATAATATATTTATAACGACGTTAATTAAAACCGACGTGGTTAGTTGTTTAAAACGACGCAATAAATAAACCACCGACGTCTTATGCTGTAATTACAGAAAACAGAGTTGTGATTCCAGATTTACATCTTTCACGACGTTTTTGAAAACATTTCGACGTAGTAATAACATTAACACGACAAAAAAAATTAACCACCGACGTCTTATGCTATAATTACAGAAAACAGACTTGTGATTCCAGATTTAGATCTTTCACGACGTTTTTTAAAATATTTTGACGTAGTAAAATCATTCACACGACGGAAAAATATAACATAAGACGTAATAAGAATTATACACAGTTTAATAAAAATTTAAAACAGAGTGTGTAGGCTTACAATTAATTTTGCTTTCTCTGCCACCTTTGGATCCGGGATGTTACCATGTTTGTCCTGTCTAGCTTTCTTCCATAAGGTAGATCGATCAATTTCTACCCCAGGCATGGTTTCCTCCAATTGATCCTCCAAACCAGCATATCCTTTTCGAGACAATCGATGATTGTACTCAAGTTTCTCCCTAATCTGTGAATGTTGAGAATGCACAGACTCAAATTCTTTGGATAACCTTGAAGCTACAAAGGCATCCCATTCTGCTTTCTCTATGAATTTATATACTTCAGGGAGTTGGCTTAATTTCTCCCTCTCCTTGATGTATGGAAGGATATAATGCCTCGTCAGTGTAGACTTGAAATCCTTCCATTTCTTGGCAGCAGAAGATAACACTGAGGTCTTGCCCCCTTGACCTACCACAAAAGCCATGTCAACGGCTTCCCAAATCTGCTCCTTTATATCCTTGGGGATTTCAGCCCATTTCTTGTCCACAAGTGGGACTCTGGAGTGTGCCAACACACCAATGTAGGACTGCATCTCAGTATGTGCAGGGCCACACCCTTTCCCCCTTTTATTGTACTCAACAACTGGCTTGATTTTCTGCAATTTTCTCTTCACAACACGAGGCATTGTGCTCATACCTCGACCTGACTTTGAATCCTCAGAAATTGTTGTCGTGCTACTTGGTTCTGTCTCAGCAGATGAAACAAACTTCATCTTCTTCAAGGGCTTGTCTTGAGGAGTTACCATTCCAAGCTCCTTACCTCCATTTTTTTTGGAGCCAGAGTACTTACTTTGGTCTTGAGAAACCATGGTTACAGAATAAACAAACCTGCAAGAGAAAATATTTCGGGAAAAAAATTAGAACACAAACGACAGTTATTTATAAACTACGACGTATGATAAGATTTTACACGACGTAATAACATAACATCAGACGTAATAAATGTTTAAAGAAGAAACAATATAAATGTTTAAACAACGACGAAACAATATTAAATAAGACGTAAAAAGAACTTATTACGGCGTATTTACACGACGTCGTGATATTCATATTAACACGACGTAAATATTAATATAACGTCGTGTTATGGATATTCACACGACGTGAATAATAAGCTACCGTCGTATTTATAAGAAACCAAAAACATTTTTCTTTCTCTGTGAATGTTTGATTGCAGGTTTAATTTCTCTGAAACATGGTTTTTGTTTTTCCTAATTTGATAAAATACAAAGAAAAAAAGCTTTGGCATCTTTTTATAGACGACGGTATCTTAGTATAACGTCGTGGTATGAACATTCACACGGCGTCAATAATAAGATACCGTCGTCTATATAAGATACCAAACCCTACTTTCTTTGTCTCTGTATTTTATCAAATTAGGAAAAACGAAAACCATGGTTTAGAGAAATCAAACCTGCAACTAAACAAGCAAATAAAAATTGACCGTCATTTTAAAAACAACTTAGATCAATTTTAAGACGACGCTAGGACGACTGACGAACCGTCGTGGTCTACATATTTAACCACGTAAATAAAAAGCTACCGTCGTCTTATTTAGTTGAATTAGTTGTGTTCAAAGTTGAAACTTTCCCTCTCTGTCTGTGTATTTTATCAAACTTGGAAAGAATAAAAATGATTTTCGCCAGAAAAAAGGTAAAAAGATTTTCAAAACAAAAACAGTATGAGCATGCAAAATAGCAACAAAAATAGTGAGAAATGAAAGCTTACCTTTTGCGTGCAATGAAAGCTTTCTCTCGGATTTTGGTGTTTAAGTTCAGAGGCGACGACGAAGACAAGAGGAAGACGATGAGATACTCTGACAGTGCTCTGACAAGGAAAAAAGACGAAAAGTTTTCTCTGGGAGATTGAAATTTTTTCTCGGGTTTGGAAACAGTGCATGTGTAAGTCAGGTAGACGAAAAGTTGTATATGTATACAAACCGTTTCATAGTAATAAGACGGCGGTTTACATAGAACGACGACGTATTAATAGACAAACTACGACGTTAATTTGAACTTATGACGTGGTACATAAATACGACAGTAGTGTTGTAGGTACCGCCGTAGTAAACTCCTAAATAAAAGTCGATAACTCAATATCTCGCGTCATGGTAGAAATATTTAACACGACGGTTGTTTTAAATTTACGACGTTTATTTTTATAATATACGTCGTTTTATTGTAATATACCGACGTGGATAACACTAAACTAAAACGACGTATTATTTTTTTCACGACGTGGATTCGTTTTTAAACGTCGTTATGTGTAATATAACCGACGTGGATTTTATTTTTTTTATTATAAATATAATTTTTTTCCCCTTTTTCTTATAGTTTATTTTTCAAAAACAGTGCCTTATAGATATAGTTTTTTTTCCCGAGGAAATTAATGTTCTAGAATTTGTAAAGTTTCTTTTCTAGGTGACTGATTTAAATCAAATAAAAATATAAAACAACGGCTGTTTTTGTTATACCGTCGTCGTTTCTTGTCGTCTTAAGTAAGAATAAAACGACGTAATTTATTTGTTACCGACGAGGATTATTTTTGTTAAACGTCGTTATGTGTAATATAACCGACGTGGATTTGGTTTTTTTAATTATAAATAGGGTTTTTTTTCCACGGGTTCTTTCAGTTTTAGTATTCGATTAGGGTTTCAACTTCTTTTTGCCCCTTTCTCTGTCTCACCTCATCTCTTGGGAGGCAATTGTTTGATTAGGGTTATCTGTGGCTGATTGCAAATCTGATTGCAAATCACCAATTTTCAATAAATTGTCTCTCTGATTGCAAATCTGTGGCTGCCGTCGTGAAGTTTTAGGAGGCAATTGTTTGGATGTGAATGTGTGTGTGCGTTTGTGTAGATACACAAACGCACACACATCATTCACTTCCAAAAAATTGTCTCTCTGATTGCAAATCTGTGGCTGCCGTCGTGAAATTTTAGGAGGCAATTGTTTGGATGTTGATGTGTGCGTGCGTTTGTGTAGATACACAAACGCACACATATCATCAACTTCCAAAAAATTGTCTCTCTGATTGCAAATTTGAGGCTGCCGTCGTCAAATTTCAGAAGCAATTTTTTGGATGTTAATGTGTATGTGCGTTTGTGTATCTCAAAGACACAAATACACATACATCATTAACCTCTAAAATATTGTCTTTCTGGTAAGATTATGATGAGCAACAGAGTTCCATCTTGTAAGATTTCCTAACCCTTGTGATCTCAGAATAATCTGATTATGTCGGCGGTTTTCTATATAAACCGTCGTGGTTATTTCAATTCTTGTCGTTAAGTAGATCTACCGACGTAGGATAACAAAATCCAAGAAATAAATTGTTAAAAAAAATTCTTATTCAGACGATGGTTTAAATATAATGTATGACGTATAAAGTGGACAAATACGACGTTAAATTCTATAATACGTCGTTATATGAAAACCCCAACTTGGTAAGATTTAAAGATGTCGTCGTAGAAATACAAGAAAGACGTCGTTATATTTACCTTTGCCGTAGTTGTACATTAATTTAATACGGCGGTATTTTGTATTTTACCGCCGTGGATTTATTTGTAATTATACGGCGCCTTATACGAAAACTTGGTCGTGTTAATTTCTGGGTAAAAACGACGGCTTTTTTGAAACCGTCGTCTTTACTTTCTACGTCGGTCGGTTCATAACTTCCGCCGTTATTTGTTGGCTATGATTTTACCTCTTGAAAATCCTATTTCAATATGACGTCGGTTTTTTATTAAGTACGTAGTGTTTTAGAAACAGCCATTTGAAACTCCATTTTTTAGTTGTCTAATGTGGTATTACACGGCGGTTTATAAAACCGTCGTCTTTTAAAAAACAACGACGGTTTTCACTTAGACCGTCGTGTTTTTCTGGTCGTCTTTTTCACTTTTTGTAGTAGTGATGTCGAAGACATCTACCCTTCATGAGTGGAATTGGTGGGCTAAACCAAATAATGGTATATTTAAAGGGTACATTCAGAGGTTTGGGTTAGAGCAATTTATTACGTGTTCTTATCGGAATGCAAATAAGATTGTTGTATATGCCTTCGTTGAGAGGTCTCGAAACGAACACCTTCAGATGCCTTTTGGTGAGATGACCATCACATTGGATGATGTGTATCTATTTTAGGCATTCATGTGTCTGGTGCAACGATCTCTCCTCTTGAAGATGATAACGACACAATTACGAGTTGTTAGTCAATTACTTAGGAATGCCTAATGAAGAGGCTAATGAACAATTGCACAAATACAGTGATGAGTATGTGAGTTTGTCATGGTTACGGGGGCGATTCTCCAATGTTTCAAACATAAATCAGAGGAGCGCAATATGTATTCGCCCAGAGCATATTTGCTATATCTCTTCGGTTGCACTTTGTTTTTTGACAAGACTAGCACAAGAGTCCAAATTGTATAGCTTAGACTACTTAGGGACCTTATAGTGTTGTTGGTTATTTCATGGGGGTCTAAGTGTTTAGCGTGGTTGTATAGGCAATTAGGCCAAGCTTCGAGGTCTAAGGTGAAGCAGAATACTGGGTGCATGACTTTGTTGGAGGCATGGGTGTATAAGCACATGCATGGTGTTGTTGTCCCTGATCGTGACTTTGATTATTCAGAGGTCCAACCTCATGCTCTTCATTGGACTCCACGACGAGACAATGGGACAACATTGGTAAACGTGCATAAGTATAGACATCGACTTGACACTTTGAATGCTGATTAGGTGTGTTTCTCTTACATGATCATCCAACTTTGTTGTGTTTTTTATTTTATATATACTGTTTTTGATATTTTATTTTTTACATTAGTTCATGCTATATTGTGTATCATACTTCAAGTTATATGGGAACCTTACAAGTTTGAAAGGGAACACCACCCATTTCCAATTGTTGAATTCTACTTAGGGATGCTCAAATGTTGCGATGTTGTTGAGCCCTACCATCCTGAGCAAGTCCTCATCACCAATATTAACACCTTTTAACAAGAATGGCATCCACATTTCTTGGTACTAGTATCCTTAGAATACTTTTTCGCATCTGTTGGAATTTTAAAAAGGTTTTAAAATTTTAACCGTTTTTATTTATTTAATTATTTTGGCTGTTTTATTTTATTTATTGTGGGGGTTATACATATTTAATTTTCAGATTTTATTTCTACTTAATTTCAGGTTTTATTTCTACTTAATTTTCTAGTTTAATGTGGTAAATATTGCATGTTATTTGGATGCCTATAAAAGGCCACTCCTCCTTCACATTTGAACACCCAACAATACACCATCAGAATATCACATACCACAATCACCACCACAAACTAATTCTCTCCTTTTCTACTTTTATATATATTCTCTACTTTATATTATTATTTTGGCAATGGTTCTGTGACTTGGATACCTATATCCGTCTATGAATGTGCTCATAGAGGATCTTGAGTTTGTGTACAAGAGAGTCTTATCTTGAAGTCTTATAAACCGTTAGTACCTACACGTTGGGAGGCTACAAAGGCTTTAGGACAACGTCTTTGACATGTTTCACCGTACCAAACTCACATTCTTATTTATAATTTATTTTGCTTTTACTTACATATTAATTTATTTTTCTTCAATTTCATTGTACCTTAAAAGTTTTCCAATTTGTTTATATGTTATTTATAATATAAATGTTTTGTATTTGGCTTTACGGAAAAGGAAAACTATAATTTCAATAATAGTATCACCATTTGCATCCGACCTTACACCAGTTGTCTCAGTAGACTTTCAAGACCTATATTTACTGCACCTCTCAGAAGCAAGTATTACTCGAGGTCTCCTCTTGCCCTCACCTCTAGAATCAGACCTTGTAATTACAATTACGATTATTATTCATTTTGCCTTCCTGCAAAATTAAAAAACAATCTAATTAATAATCTTTTTTACCTTACATAAATTAAAATCTAATACATTAAACTCACGTTATTTGAAGCCATTAATACCACTTAAAAAAAAAATTATTAAAAAAAGAAAAAAAAAAAAAAAAAAAAAAAAAAAAAAAAAAAAAATACAAAAATGATCACTGAATAATTTGTGAATTAATCACTATATTCCATTACACATTCTATGCATTCAGTAGCGACGTCACCTTATTGATGTTCCTTCAATAGGAGTAAAGTCAAAATAGCTTTAATTAAATTTGTGATCGACAATAAGTTATTGAAAAAATAAATATATTTCGGTTCTTCACCACTGAATGACAGGTAAAAGTTGGTCATACGTCACCGAAGCCCTTTCCACGTTACGGTGGATCTCTACCGCATTTTAAGTTAACAGCCGGTCAAACATAACCCAAATAGGTTTAATGTTTCGATGGCATGCCACCGAGTTTTCCTATCGCAGTCTGTATTAGTGTATCCAGCAACCACCATACAACCCTAAACTTGAAAAACACCAAAAAGTAAACTCATACCTCATTCGAAACCTCCTTAACTTCAGTCTCACCATTTATGAATAAATACTAGATATGTTCTCACCAATATAAGCCGTATAAAGCTTGTTAGGGTTGTAGGAACATAATGGTTTGTGAAAAAAGTATAACTAGGATTGCAGGAACATATATGGGTGTGTAGTGAGCAAATTTAATTTAATTTTAAATGTTTTTTTTTATTCTTAACAGTAATTATGTATAGGGGCAGTTCTAGCAACTCAGGCTAGGCCCAAAAATCGTTTCCAACAGCAAGGGCTGGCTAGGGCAGCTGCTGGGGCCCACGAAACCAGGCCAGCCCTCAGGCAAGATGAGCCCGAATTCAAGCCTGAGTTTGTTGACGCCAGCAACAAATAAAAAAAATATAAAAAATCTATAAAAACCTATAAAAATACAAAAAATTTCAGATTTTAAAAAAAAATCAATACTTAGTCAGAGTTTTCACTTCCCATACCAAACTCTATACAAATTTATCTTTTCATATCTCATGTGAATAGTTATTGTCATTGCAATGGGTAAAAACACCACAATCTTTTGCTATGACAGTTACTATTTACGTGAATAGTAGCTACCCTAGCCCCGGCAAAAGGCAAACCGGTAGAAATGCTCTAAGAGTAAAATAGGTTACTCGTGTTTAAAATTAGCAAATTGGCTACAAATAAAATCACCCGAAAAATTATAGTGATCTAAAATGACGATGTCACAGACAGTTTGCGTGCGAAGTCCCAAAGCGCCCTTTTCAATCGGAATGCCCTAATAAGAGGGATTTGAGCCCTCTCTCGATTCAGTCTCCTCTCTGCTCTCTTCTGCTTTCAGTAGCTTCCGAATCTTAAACGCTTTGAAGGCTCAGAATTCCTTCTTGGCTCTTGAGCAGTCATGGGTTCCGGTCTCTTTCTCTCCCGAGATTTATATATATATGTATATATTTATTCACAAAATTATTGAATGCCGCATTATCTATAAGTGTATGTGTGTGTATGCAGATGCTGATATGGAAGATTACGGATTCGAGTACTCGGATGAGGAGCCTGAGGAACAGGATGTTGACATTGAGAACCAATATTACAACTCTAAAGGTATTTTTAGGTTTGATTTTCGCGATATATTTCAATGGGTTCTCATCCTTTCTTTTTTGATGAACATGGGTTCTCAGCTTTTGCTTTTAGGGTTCAATAGTATTTTTATTTTTATTTTGGAACAGTTAGGGTTCAATCGTATTTCTTTTCTCTTTGCCACACTGGATGATTTTTTATTTTTTTATCTGACTTCCAAAAAAACTCAGGTTTGGTTGAGACAGATCCCGAAGGAGCACTTTCAGGATTCGACGAAGTAGTTCGAATGGAGCCTGAGAAGGCCGAGTGGTGAGTAACACCAATAAACTTTTGCTGAAAAAAGTAAACGAGTTCTGGCAACACCTTAAAATTTAGATGTTCTCTTTGTTTAATTCCTATATTCATTTTTAGAGGGAAGGAAAAATAGAATTTAATGAGTCTGGAAGACGATTATGCTTGTAGATGTGGTCTTCGAGGATGATAATAGAATGCCCTTGTTGTGAAATGAAGTTAGGATTAGTGAGAACCCAGGATTAATCTTGATTGTTTGTTGTTTTTGCTTCTAGTTTTTCTTTCTATTTTTCTTTCACAGCTGAAAGCATGGGGAAACAGGGAGGGCTTTATTCTTAACTTGAGAAACAATACATCTTCATTTAAATTGTGAAAGAAGTATGATGGGGGAACACATGGCAACTACCAAACTTCATTTAAAAGATGTATAGTTTATGGTGTATATGTGCATTAGAAGCTTTATGCTTATATTTTTCCCTTTTCATGAGCGTTGAATGGAACTACCAAACTTGTGCAGATATTGTTTTCCTTCTGAATTCATTTGTTGGAGGTATTCCTTAATAATTAAATTTTTCAACAAGGGATTAAATTTTGTACCCTAAACACTTGTGTAGTTTGTTAACTCTCCTTCCTCAATTTATTTTTTATTTTTTTAAAGTTGTGCAAGTTTGTAGTGAATAATGGGGAAAGGGTGAGATTTTGAGAGGTTTTGTGGCTGGGAGAAGGGCCACTGCAGACACTGTTTCCCAGGTTACATGCACTTTCTAGAAAACACACTGAGTGTATTTCAAGGTGTGCGGATGCTATTTATTTTCCTTATAATTGGGATTTGAAGGGGGAAGATGCTTCACTGTTAGGAAGCGTGGGATGGGCTCATTTGTTCCTTCAAAAACCAATGTTAGGAGTTGGAAGTTAGATGGGTCAGGGTGTTTTACATGCAAATCTTATAGTAGTTTATTTTGCAACAGAAAGGCTTCGTTTCATTTTTCATGTTGTTTGGCATTAGCTATCTGTTGGGTAATTGGGTTGGAGTGTAATAGGATAATTTTTTTAGTATTAGAAAGGCGTTGATGTGGAAGATCCTTGGGATCAAGTTAGATTTGGTCAGCACTGTGGGAATTGGTTTGTGCAGATTTTAGGGGGATTCCTTATATGTTTTTCTGTTAGATTTGATAGCTGTAGTGACGATATGTTTTCTTGTAGTTTGTTTTTAGTTGTTCAGTTTTTATTTTATTTTTTATATTGTGCATTCTGTTTTCAGATTACAGTGTTTTGGGCTTATTATTTCTTATCATAAGTTGTCCATGGATGTCCCATGAACGTTTCTATACATAGTTTTTGCTTTTAATAAAGTTTTTTCTAAAAATTTAAATAAATATGTTACAGGGGATTTAAAGCTTTGAAGCAAACTGTGAAGCTCTATTATCGTCTGGGGAGGTATAAAGAAATGATGGATGCGTACAGGGTGATGTTAACATACATCAAATCAGCAGTAACACGAAATTACAGTGAAAAATGTATAAACAATATTATGGATTTTGTTTCTGGTTCAGCTAGTCAGAACTTTGGTCTCCTGCAAGAGTTCTATCAGACCACTTTAAAGGCCCTTGAAGAGGCAAAGAATGAGGTCAGAATATAACCATAGTTTTAGCATAAGTTTTTTATTTCTAATATGAATGCAATCTGACCTCTTGTTGTGCAGAGACTTTGGTTCAAGACAAATCTTAAGCTGTGCAAAATTTGGTTTGATATGGGTGAATATGGGCGAATGAATAAGGTAATCTGTCTATTTGGATGATACCTTTCAGCAAAATATTATGCTGATTGTGATCTTAAAAGGCTGATCATAACCTGTGTTGAACTATTAGATTCTGAAAGAACTCCATAAATCTTGTCAAAAAGAAGATGGTACAGATGACCAAAAGAAAGGAAGTCAACTTCTGGAGGTTTATGCAATTGAGATTCAGATGTACACGGAGACTAAAAATAACAAAAAGCTCAAGGTAATAATCTTCAGTCTTGATTGAAGACTACCTCTATTTCTCTCTCTGATTTCTCTCTACACTGTCTATGTGATATGCATTTTCTGCCAGACTCTGAGATGTAGGGTTTGGTTTAATTAAAGCACAAGGATATAATGCTAAATAGATTATTAATACCAGTATTTCAGTGGGGTCAACTCTGTTTTGCTTAAATTTTTTATTTGTTAAATTGAGAGAACAAGAGTTTGAAGTAGGGGAAATTGGTGTGATGCTTCTCTCTGATCTATCTGTTCTCAAATTGAATAGAACATGTAAGTGTTATGAGCACGGTAACAGATAGACGTTGAACTTATTGTATGTATTGTAGCAAAAGACGGTTTCTTTTGTAAAATTTGTTCATGTGGAATTTTTAAGAGTGGAGCCAGTGCCCCCCGGCCATTTCCATATCCTCGCTGACCCTATTTTAATATATATAAATGTACTCGTCTCACCCTATTATACCCAAACTGCCCTTGCTCCTTCCTTCTCAGTCACCTTCACCCTCCCCTTCCATTGCCCCCACAGTTAACCCTGCCCCTAAAATGCATGCATGTATATACTTATGACCCTTTTTAAAGAGAAGAAAGCAAAAGGCGAAAATGGTCTTCCATGAATAAGTTAAATCGAAATTGAAGGAAATAAGTGTTGCCTAATTCTTCAATTGATCTTCTAAATCATACCGGATCAATGAAAAGCATATGAGTTGGAAAATTTCTAGGAAGATGAGATCCACATTAATTCTGGGGTTCAGTTAAAAAAATTTATGCATCTCAGATCCCTTTTGGTTCAGTTGCGCTAACTTCTGCATTTCACAATCTCAATATTTTTACCAGTATGCCCACAAGCGGTTATTTCTTGTCTATGCATTTCCACTGTACAAGCAGCTTCAACATTAGATTATGTCTATACGATAAGTTTTAGACTAGAGAAATATTCTTGGCGAAGTTGGTAAGAAATTCAGTGGAGTGGTCAGAAGACCATCCGTATGTTTAATTGGCTCATGTTGTAAATAGCTCAGGCGGTGTTTCTGATGCCCCATGATCAGGGTTGGTTAAAGGATTTTAAATGTAAAATACTGTTGAAATGAAAGTTTAATTGAAAAGTGGTTCGTGTAGATTTCAAATCAAGTTATTAGGAGGATTGGGTTTGTGAGCAGTCGAGTTATGTGAAAAACAAATGCTGGGATACTATTATGAAACAATGGGGTAATAATTTCTAAATTTCGGAAAAAAAGTATACCACCTCAGTTGTATTACAACATAAGTAAATGGTCATTTTTAAGTGCTTGTTTTGGTTGATTGTTTCAATCAAAGTGGATCTTCAGGCATAAATAAGGATGAAGAACAAGAATCATGAAATACTTATTGTTTTAAATCTATAACTAAATAATGTGTATATATATTTGTTGGTTGGCATATATGTTACATTAGTTGGAACAGTCAGGCCCATGGTTTGCTCCCATGCAGTCTGAGGTTTGAAACCCCCCAAGGTACCTACCTAGCTATTTGCTAGTATTTCCTATCTCCCAAAGATTGTAGGGTTCGGCAGGAGGCCCCAGTTTCAAAGCTGTGCCACTTTGAGGATTGGTGGATTTCTGGGTATGAAAAAGAAATATAATAGATTTTGTCTAATTATATATAAGTTTGTTAGGTTCCTCAGGTTGGAGTCAATGTGTCTGAGTTTCCTGAAGTTCATGTTGGGTTTGGTGGGTTGGGTTCCTGCACTCAATGCCAGCAACCATAGAGCATCCGTCAATATATAAAACAGAACTTTATATAGTCAAATGTATGCATGCATAATTTTGAAAGATTGTGTTGTTTGCCCCATGTTAATTAGTCAATATTATTAATAATTAGGATAGGAAAACTTCCTCATGATTGTATAACAACATATGGAAAATGCTTAAGTGGATAATGCCTTACCCTTGTTTCAATATCCCAAGGTGACAATTTGTAGCCCTTTGAAATGTAAACGGAAGAATGCCTCCCCCGAATGAAATCCGAGGGAACAATATAATTTTTGTAGCTAGTGTCTCATATTTCGTAAAAGGCTAAACAAGGCCTCCTTACAATTGTCGTCGTAGTGATAATTCATCAAGGAATATACTTTTTGTCATTTTGTGTGTTTCTGTTTGCTGTTGTGTTTAGCAGCATCTGACTCTGGATTAAATGCAGCAATTATACCAAAAAGCTCTTGCAATCAAGTCAGCAATACCTCATCCTAGGATCATGGGAATAATTCGTGAGTGTGGGGGGAAGATGCATATGGCAGAGCGTCAGTGGGCAGATGCAGCCACAGATTTTTTTGAAGCCTTTAAGAACTATGATGAAGCTGGGAACCAGAGGCGTATACAATGCTTGAAGTATGCTCTCTGGGGCCATGCTTTTTTTTTCATTTGGACTTATTAATAGGCGTTCATCCTCTTTCTCTCTCTCTCTCTCTCTCTCTCACTGTTGATAGTTTTCAAAAGTGGAGGTGAAGTCTACAAATCATTATGTGCTATCACCTATGAGGGGTATGAAACTTAGATGATAAGGTTTACTAATGATGATGGAGTCAACCTCACAGTTCACCATGGATGAGAGCTGAAGTCATACTACATGTAAAATGCACAATCTAACATATGAAATTAATGGAGACAATTGCATGACCATTTGGATAATAAATACCTATAATTGGAATTTAGGACGATGAATTTTTATTTTACCAAGGTTATGGTAGAATTTGTTGACAAATAACCGTTTTTATAGTATAAATTTTACTAGAAACATTGAATGGCTGTTAATTTTGAATTTGTAGTGATATGATTTGAAGACTTAGACAACATGATGGCAATTCCTTTGGTTAAACTCGTTATGTTTGTGTGTTTCTTAATTACGTGACACAAATTCCTTTGTTGATATATGGCGATTGTCTTTGAGTTGATTTAAACTGGGATACACAATAGATATATGGTGATTGTCTTTGTGTTCCCCAGGTTTTACTAATCTCTCCATGTTCAATGTGCGTTGCTTGACAGGTATCTAGTTCTGGCTAATATGCTGATGGAGTCAGAGGTTAATCCATTTGATGGTCAAGAAGCAAAGCCGTAAGTTTTGAAAATATGTTTTTTTTTTGGGTGTTTTCAAGTTCTTGCATTTCCTTCTGTTCTTATGATTTCGGTTCCACAGGTATAAAAACGATCCTGAGATCTTGGCAATGACAAATCTGATAGCAGCATATCAACGAAATGAGATACTGGAGTTTGAGAAAATTCTTAAGGTGTTATTCTTCTCTAACATGACGTTATGCAAGTTAAACCTACCTCTGTTTGTGTGTTTCGTTCATTTTTTTTCTTTTCTGTCTTTCTGTATTATTTCCCTTAGTTGAATTGGCATTTGTACTTTTTTCAGAGTAACAGGAGGACAATTATGGATGATCCGTTCATCCGAAACTATATTGAAGATCTGTTGAAGAATGTTAGGACACAAGTGCTGCTTAAACTTATCAAGCCGTACACTAGAATTCGGATTCCCTTCATATCAAAGGTGGGCCATACGTTCTATCTTTTTGTATTTGTTGCTCATTGCTTTGTTGTGCTTGTTTAATCATTAACTCTTGAGAAACACTGGATGGGTTTTATCTTTTAGTTCAAATACTTATTTTTTTCAATATGATCATCGCTGCTGCCATTATGCGCTTGGTCATATCACCTGTAAACTTACTGAACTTTGTTGATGTTCAGGAACTTAATGTGCCTGAGAAAGATGTTGAGCAACTCTTGGTTTCGCTTATATTGGATAACCGAATCGATGGACATATAGATCAGGTGAACCGGCTCTTAGAGCGTGGTGACAGGTCTGTTTACTTTACTTGTACCTTTTACTTTTAATCCATGGATGCTGGTTCATGGTAATAGTCCATGTTTGATTGCCACTGATTCATTGCAAACAATGTGCAGGTCAAAGGGAATGAAGAAATATGCTGCTATAGATAAATGGAACACACAGCTAAAGTCTCTTTACCAAACTATCAGTAACCGAGTATATTGAGAATCACATTTATCGTTTACGATCTGGATGGTGCCCAGCTTTCTGTTATTATGTCATGAGTTAGTTGAGCTCCAACTTTTACCCCGTTTGAGAACAAATGCTGGATGAGATGTGAATAGACGTGATTTCTGAGCTTTATAAGCTGGTTTTTATTTAGTAGTATATTATTAAGTATGACCATTTTGTAAGATTCGATTGTGTCGAACTGTTGCTAGGCAGGAAGGAGAAGGTATGTGTTTAATGGTGCTATTATGTCTGTTTGGATCAGCAATATAGCTTCGGTTTTTATACTAACCACTTGTCATTTTCTAATTGAATCTTAGAAAATTTAACACACTAACAACCAATTACAAAACGACAATTTGCTAATTTCGGTCTCTCTAAATAGGTTCTATAACAGTTTGTTTGAAATGAGGGAAATAAACTTGGGATTTTGACAAAAGTCAGAATTTCTAAATTGACATAAACCAATTCTCATGTTTGGATAACTAAACAAGAAATTTATAAATTCCAATGTGAGAATAAACATTGAATTTGAAGGTCATAAATTGCAACTTTAAATTCTATCTAAATAGTCATCATTTCGAAAATTTAAAGAGAGATCGAGTCCTAAAAAAGGTAGCTTTACAAATAAATGTTAAATTCTATGTTTAAATTCATTAGCCAAATAAGAAACTTTGCACATTTTAGAATATTAATTTCAGTTATTTCTAATTCAATTCCTTCGTACTTTTAAATTTTCTCATCCAAACGTATTGTAAGTGTTTTTGTATAATATGTAGTTAGAATGAGATTATTTGTGAAAAGCGGATTATTAGGAAATAAGAGGTTTGTTTGAATATTTTCGTTGTATTGACAATATATATATATATATATACATATATATATATATATAGAGAGAGTTTCTATTGAGAAATCCCTCAAATAAGTTTATTTGAGGGACATCCTTTGTAGGCCCACTCCGGATTGTATTTCACTAATCCAAACCGTCTATTTTGTAGATACACATTCAAAGATCATCTCTACAAAAAATCACTTGAATCCAATATCATTTGACTATTCAATTGAGTTATTGAAATTTTAGTACTTTCTTGAAGCACCGTGTTCATTGATTTTGTAGAACACAATTGGATGTCGAAATAATTTTTTGTAAGGATGATCTATGAATGAAGACCTAAAAAATAGATGGTTTGGATCATTGGAAAAAAAATTGTAGAGTACCCTAAAGGGAGTGCCTCAAATAAAATTATTTGAGGGATCCCTCAATAGAAGGGGATTGTATATATTTATTTATTTATTTATTTATCTTAAGGTGGGATTAGAAGCCGTGATCCACTTTAGGTGAGATTTGATCTAGAATAATACAAGAAATTAAATATATTACAGTAATATTTCCTAATACAACAATATTTCACAATACTTCCCTTCAAGTTGGAGAGTGAATATCATGAAGACCCAACTTGTCTCGTAATGTCACAAATTGATCATTTCTCAAGGCCTTCATATACACATCTGCCAGCTGGAAGCGTGTAGGTACATATCAAGGACTAATCATTCTAGCTTGCAGTTTTTCTTGAACTATGTGACAATCTATTTCAATGTATTTTGCACATTCATGAAAAATAGGCTTTGCTGGAATATACAAAGCTACCTGATTATCACAAAATAATGGCACATGTGCCGTCTATGGGACCTTTAAATCCTGTAATATGTAGCGTATCCAAGTCAGCTCCAAACAAGTATTAGCCATAGCTCAATATTCAGCTTTTGCTGATGATCTAGAGGCATTAGCTTGTTTCTTGGATTTCCATGAGGTAAGGGCATTTCCAAGAAAAACACAATATCCTATAACCGACGTCCTTGTGGCACGACAACCTTCCCAATCTGAATCACAAAAGCTTTCAAGGCAAGATTGTTAGAGGCAAGAAATAATAAACCTTGACCACGAGTACCTTTGATATATTTGAGGATTCATAAGGTAGTATCCCAATGAGGTTTTCGAGGTTGATGCATGAATTCGCTCAATGTTCGAACGGAATAGGCTATGTCAAGCCTTGTGACAGTGAGATAAATCAGTCTACCAACTAGTCTTTTGTAATTAGTTGGATCATACATCAGTGCTCTATTTGTGGGAGTGAGTTTCAAATTTTGTTCCATTGGAAACTTGTCTGGAAGTGCCCCCAGAAGTCCTGAATCTTCCAAAATATCTAGCGTGTATTTTCTCTAAGGCATAAAAATATCTTTCTTGGAATGAGAGAATTCAATACCCAAAAAATATTTCAAATTTCCAAGATCTTTGAGGTGGAAGCGTTTGAGAATGAATGTTTTGAGATGTTCCATTTCTTGAAGATCATTGCCTATGAGAAGTATGTCGTCAACATAGATAATAACTGTAGTAAATAAAGTGCTGATTTCCAGCTTTCTGAATGGTGTCTGAAAAAGTGGAGAACCAGTTTCTAGAAGCCTATTTGAGTCCATAGAGGGACTTGTTGAGACGACATATAGTGTTCTCCTCCTGTTGGCAAAGACCAGAAGGAGGCTCCATGTATACCACTTCGTGCAAATCGCCATGAAGAAAGGCATTCTGAATGTCCAGTTGATGGATGAACCAGTGGCGAGTAGTAGCAACAGTCAGCAGACAACGGAGGGTAGTGAGTTTGACCGTAGGAGAAAAGGTTTCTTGGTAGTCAATGCCCTCAACTTGAGTGTATCCTTTAGCAACAAGGCGAGCTTTGTAGTGCTCAATGGTGCCATCGGACTTGTATTTGATTTTGTAAACCCATTTGCAGCCAATCGGTTTATGACCAATGGGTAGAGGAACCAAACTCCAAGTGTTATTGTGCTGCAAAGCCTCTAATTTTGTAGTCATGGCCTGTTGCCAATTTGGAGCAAGGATAGCTTGAGCATATGATGTAGGTTTGGTGTGACCTGAAATGTTAATCAGAAAAGCAGAATATGGAAAAGACAAATGGGAGTATGAAAGGAAGTGAGAGAGTGGATATCGAGTACTTGATGCAGAACAAAGCATCGAGATTGAGTGACTGACTTGGGTGGACAGGTGGTAATCTTTATGCCATATATGAGGTTGCTTAGGGCGAAGTTACTGACGTGGAAAGGGAATAGGAGTGGGGTTGGCTTGATGGTTAGGCATTAGAGAGGAGTCTAGAGCAGGTGAAAAAGGAGAAGTGGGATTCGCTGGAAAGGGGACATGGATGATGGGATGTGTGAGGGGGGCTAAGGGGACACAGGTCCGATAGGGTTGTCAAGATTGGCAAGCTCGTCAGGAGCAGGGGCATGGGGTGACACGGTTGGAAGCGCATCAGGTGTTATCAGCTCAGTGAGACTTGGCTAGAGTGGCTCTAGTATGCTTGGCTCAATGGGTTGGGTGTGCCGGGCCCAGCGATCAGCATCATCAGGGCCAGGAGGTGGAAAGTGGGGCTACATAAAACTGGGAGCATTGGGGTTGGCAATTTGGGAAAAAGGAAAAGTGTTTTCACAAAATTTAGCATCATGACTTACGAGAAATTTCTTGGTCTCTAAATTGTAAAGCTTGTAACCTTTTTGACCAGTGGGGTATCCAACAAAGATGCAACGTTGAGCACGAAGGTCAAATTTATGAGTAGGCTGCACAATCGTTGCATAACAAAGGCAACCAAAAACTCTCAAGTGATCGAATGATGGTTGGTGATGGTATAGTAGTTCAAAAAGGGATTTGGTGAATAATAATGGGGCGGTTCATGAGTTAGACTGCAATTAAGACACGTTCACCCCAAAAAGTAAGAGGTAATTGGGATTGGAAACGCAAGGCACGCACTACAATGAGAATATGGCAATGCTTGCATTCAACGACTCCATTTTGTTGTGGAGTGTAAACACAAGTGCGTTGATATTCAATGCCTGTAGTTTTGAAAAAATTTCTTATGGACAAAAATTCAGAACCATTGTCTACTCAGATGGCTGTAACGGTGGCATGAAACTGAGTATGAGCAAAGGTGACAAAGGATTTGAGAATATTTTGCGTCTCAAACTTGTGCTGCATCAGAAATAGCCATGTGCATCTAGTAAAATAATCTACAATAGTAAGAAAGAAATGTGCCCCTAAATGTGTGGGAACTTTGTGTGGGCCCCAGATATTACAATGTAACAAATCAAAAGGAGCATGAGTTTTTATTGAACTTGAGGGGAACGAAAGTCTTGTTTGCTTGGCCATGGGACAAACAGTACAATTGTCATCAAAAGAGAGATTACTTTAAGACAAGAATGAAGAAATTAATTTAAGGCGAGAAGGTGATAGGTGTCCAAGGCGCATGTGCCCCAAATTGGAGGGATGAGAAACTTGATAAGTGACAGGTTTCCTTTGTAATGGAGACATGTAATAGAGACCACCACGCTGCTTACCTGAGCCAATCATCTTCCCCGTAGCCAAGTCCTGCAAGACATAGAAAGTAGGAAACAAAATAGTACAACGGTTTAGAGAAGTGGTAACCTTGCTAGCAGACATAAGATTTCAGCGAAAAGAGGGAACACATAAGACATTGTCTAAAGTGAAATTTAAATTGAATGGGGCTGTCTCTGTGGAAGTGATTTGGGCAGATGTTTGGGCCAAAATCCTGCGCACCCAGCCCAACATTGGAGGCCCATAAATAACAAAGAAAACTTCAGGGGCCGAGCAGTTTGAACTTTGCATCTAAATTAAAATCAAGGGCCCAAAATCCAAAATCCAAGAAAGCCCTGCCCAGAACCTATCCCACCACGAGGATGACTTGAACTTCAAAGAAAACCAAATTGGGTTTGGCATGTTTAAAGTAAAGAAAGATGAGCCCAGGAAAGAAGCAGACCCACGTGACCACATGACTTGAGAAAAGTCAGCAATTTCAACTGAGATTGATAAAGAAGGCACCATTTCAAGAGATAAGCAGACTATGTTTTGAGAGATAAGTAGGATGCAGGGAGTTGTTCATCTGGAAAATCAAACTAACCATCACAGTTTGAATTCTTACAAAACAGTTGAAATTAAAGAAGGGTTTGGTTTCTTTTTCAAAAAATACAGGGAAGTGACTGCCTTAGGAACTGACTATGGGAGGCTTATCTGCCAGAATTGATAAAACCCTTTTTTTCTTTGCATTTTAAAATAAAAGATCTCTTTTAGAAAATCTGCCGCCCATTTTTAAAAGGATTAGAAATTTCACTCCAACATTTCCTATAAATATAAGAGATGATGAACAGAGCAGAAAAAAAAAAAAAAAAAAAAAAAAAAAAAAAAAACCAAACAACAAACCAAAAAAACAACAACAAAGACAAAAACTCAAAGTGATCACTTAATCTCTGAGAACCTTCAAACAAACCGAAGCAACCAAAAGCTCATTCGAGCCACAGAAGAAGCCAGCTATAAATCAGAACTTTCAGTTCATACTTAAGGAAAATAAGTCATTCAAAACAAGATTTCTTTCGTTACAAATTTGGTTCAGCAAAAGCCAAAACAAAAAGAGTTTGAGTTTTTACTGACATGAAAACCTCAACAAATTTATGGAGAGCCCTAACCAAGCAGAGCAAGTACCACAATACAGTTCCAGCTCAATAATCCTCAAGTCCAACCACTTCTGCCACTTTCAGATTGAAAAGACCACAATTCTGCCCAAAAATAGATTAAAGCTCTGCCAAACTTTAATGTTGGTATCGATTTACAGCTGAAGTTTAGCAGTTGAAGTTATTGACAGTCCAATCCAGCACAGATATACCCAGTCCAGCCCGGATTAGAAGGTTCTATCCAGGCAGAAATGGAATTTCAGCTTTCTTTTTGTCTTTCTAGAGTTGATTTTTCCCCTCTGAGTCTTGTAAAGGGCAGTTCTGCCTAAAAACAGTCTACTTTATTGTCATTTATTCTTGCCAGAACTACCAATCTTGTACTGTGATAAATTGTGAAGTCTTCACCAGTTTGAAGAAAGAAAAGAACTTACTTGGGAGATATTCCTCACCCAAATTCACAATCGCTTGTTTAGAAATAAGTGACTTGGGGTGCAAGTTATCTATTTTTAAGAAGTTTGCTAGAATTTCTATTACTAGCAGTGGCACGCTCGCACACTAAAGAAAGTTGACTTGTTGACCAGTCAATGGTTTTCAGGGCAATGAGAAACTTTACCCTTCCATCATATGAGCAAACACAAAACGGGTGAACAGCAGAAGACCCAATGGGTAAATTGACGATTGGTATTTGTGAAGACTTTGTTTGTGTAAAAAGTGTGGGACTGGAGGTGATGTTATCAATAGCTCCGCTATCCAAAATCCAAGGTTTGGTGAATACATAATTAATTGAGGCAACAGGAAAAGGAGACAGACCTGCAACATTAACATAGACATTACAATTACCAGAAGCATTATTCAAATTTATTAGAGAGACAACATGGGCTAGTTGTTGAAGCTAGTCTGCAGCTAGCCCATTGAGAGGGTTCTGTTGAGAGGCTAGCAGATGGGACAATTGGGTTGGATGTTGTGCCCAATAGTTGAAAGTAGGGAACTGGGATAATGCGGCTGTGCATTGTTGTTGGGCCCCAACTTGGGTTGTGTCTGCTACGTTGGCAGCAGGAAAGGATCCTTGCTAATCGCAAGGTCCTTGTCTCTGTTGCTGTTGAATTCCTCTATATCCTTGGTTTTGCCGATTGTTTTGGGTTCCTGTATGGTTGGGAACCCATTTTTAAATTTGCATCGATCCTTAATGTTGCCTTTCTTATCACAATACGGGCAATAAAACTTTAGGGTTCGACATTCTTCAATTGTATGGCGGTTCCTATCATAGTGATCATAGTGTTTGGAATTATTTGAGAAATTGTGAGATCGGCTCTGTATCGTAGTGGCGATGGAAAAATTCTCGGTTGATCCCAAGGTCATTTTTCGTTGTGTTTCATCTTGAATGACAAGTGAGTAGGCTTGACGAACATTAGACAATGGTGTCACCATAAGGATGTTGCTACGAACACCGTTGTAGGTGTTGGTAAGGCCCATGAGAAATTACATCATCCGATCTTCTTCTTTTTGTGCATTATGCGCCTTCATCTGGTTACAAGTGATTGAGGTTTGATATGTCTCTAATTCATGCCAAAGATCTTTTACTTTTGTGTAACAATCTGAGACTGTCATGGTGCCTTGTGAGAGAGAGGCGATGGACTTCTGTATCTGATATATTGTTGGTTTGTTCTTTAATGAGAATTGGTCTTTAAAATCTTGCCACACTTGATAGACAATCATGGCACGAACAAATGATTTGGCTAGATCAGGCTCCACCGAGTGAGCAAGCCATGTTACAAGTGATTGAGGTTTGATATGTCTCTAATTCATGCCAAAGATCTTTTACTTTTGTGTAACAATCTGAGACTGTCATGGTGCCTTGTGAGAGAGAGGCGATGGACTTCTGTATCTGATATCAAGGATTAAAATATCGGCCGTGCAGATAATATCGGGCCTTCAATTTACGGATATTTCGAGGGATATATCGTTATCGTTTTGGGTATCGGGAAAAAATCAACAAAAATGACAGATATAGGCATTGAAACACATAATTTTGGTGTAAAACTTTCATAGATGTTATGTACATTGTCAATGAATGTATTGAATAAATAAAACTCAAAATTTACTAATAATAAGATATATGTATATACAGTCCCCTTCTATTGAAGGATCCCTCAAATAATTTTATTTGAGGGACGCCCATTAGGGTACCTTACAATTTTTTTTCCTAATGATCCAAACCATCTATTTTTTAGGTCTTCATTCATAGATCATCCTTATAAAAAATTAGACAAATCGGAAACCGTTTCGACATTCAATTGTGTCTTACAAAATCAATGAACACGGTGCTTCAAGAAAGTACTAAAATTTCAATAACTCAATTGAGTGGTCAAATGATATCGGATTCAAGTGATTTTTTGTAGAGATGATCTTTGAATGAGTATCTACAAAATAGACGGTTTGGATTAGTGAAATACAATCCGGAGTGGGGCCTATAAAGGGTGTCCCTCAAATAAGCTTATTTGAGGGATCTCTCAATGGAAGCTCTATGTATGTATATATATATATATATATATATGATGAAATATAAGTGGTATGTAATACGCGTTAATGAAAATTTTAAAAATAAAAAGTTGATTAGAATGAATAAACCATGCATAAATCCATAGTTTATTTGAACATTGGATTACAATTTAGATGAGTGTCCAACTACATAAATGAAGAACTCCTATGAGGTTCAAACAATGTGGAATAACCATCTAGATTCATACAATAATCATACCAAGTCATGTAACCCGAGTAGTTTGTAAGCCATGTTTGAACATGGTGCACATATGTCTCTCTTGAGCTCCCTACTGTCCTCCCATATATGGGATAGTTAGGATTAACCCAACTAGTAGGTCCATAATCTGTTTCATCATCTTGAGCTCCATATCTAGTTCCACTATAATCAGACATGACATAACCATAGCCATCATAAGATTCATTTGAGTTAGTACTAGGTCTAGATTCTTTTGATGCATACTCTAAAACATGCATACTCCAAAACATCTTTTGAATTGAATATTGCCAAAAGCCTTCACACATATATCTAATCACTGCACATATACCTCCAAAAAATCTTTTCAATTTCAATTTGCTTCAAAACTTTTGAATTTTTTTGGGTTTTGTTATGGGTATCGGGAAATATCGGGAATATCGGCAAAATATCGAGGATATCGCACTTATCGGGGATATATCGTCGATATCGGGGAAGATATGACCTTACCCCCCAATATCGGTGTCGACAGTTCAAAATATCGATATATCGGCCGATATTTCAATCCTTGTCTGATATATTGTTGGTTTGTTCTTTCATGAGAATTGGTCTTTAAAATCTTGCCACACTTGATAAACAATCATGGCACGAACAAATGATTTGGCTAGATCAGGCTCCACCGAGTGAGCAAGCCATGATAAAATCATACTGTTGCATCGATTCTAGAGAGCATATTATGTCAGTTGTTTGGTTTCTGAAGGAGGCTTAATGGATCCATTGACAAAGCCAATTTTGTTCTTATCTAGAGAGCATGAATCATGGATTTGCTCCAAGATGGGTAATTGGTGCCGTTCAATTTTATTGGAACGAGCATGAGGCCGGGGTGATCTGAATGATGAAGAAAGTATTAATGTGATGAATCCATACTGGGATTTGCATTGCTGGTGTTTGAATGTTTGGAATCGGTTGGGTGTGATGAATCCATACTGGGATTTGTGTTGTTGGTGCTTGAATGCTTGGAATCGGTTTTTGGTGATGTTTGCTCTCCACCTGTCATGATGGAGGTGTGCTTGGGTTTGAACAAAAGGTTAAGTACCAAGATGCTCTGATATACCATCTCAAGAAATAAGAGGTTTGTTTGAATATTCTCATTGTATTGACAAAGGTCTACAGACCAAGATACATATACATGTAGAATTCCTATTTCCTAGGCTTAGAAGCTGTGATCCACTTTAGGTGGGATTTGATCTAAAATAATACAGGAAATTAAATATATTACAATAATATTTTGTAATATTGTTCCTTTCGGTTTAATGAGGCTGCCGTTAACATGCTAGTTCTTACTATGTAATGTTCCTTTCAGCTTAATGAAATACAATCTTTTCTTAAAAAAATTAAAAATCAATACAAATTACAGTTTAGGGAAATTTGCATAAATACCACATGAACTTTTAGGTATGTGTGCCATTACCACCTAAACTTTTAATTTAATTTTTAACCACCTAAACTTTGTAAAGTGTTGCAATTTGTTGAGGCCCAAAAAATCCAAGGTTAGCCCCAAATATATTTCTAGTCTAGTACAACACTCCTTCGAGAAAGAAGCCCAACCGGGGTACGCAAGAATTTGTCGTATGCACTATCACAAGTTATGGTTTGCATGCCACACCAAGCCAATATGCACACCGCCACGCAAAGAGGTCGCAATGAGCCTGTAATTTGTATTGGTTCCATGAACCCGCACTCATTGTCCCGTCAAGCACCGCTTGGCCTATCATAGCCCGTTACAATATGGCAGAGTCCGAGCACAAACAAGCCACACGACATGCAACGTCAAGCAAAGAAAACATTTATTTTAGTACCAAGCTACGCTACAAGCTTAAGTGGGCCTAAGCCACACAAATGCCTGTGGCTTGCTAAGCGGGTTTTGGTATGGATGGTTATAAGTGTTCACGAAGGCCAAAACTCAAGCCCATTTCTTGAGCCCAAATATATGGGTAAACATGAGAGAGAAAAGTGGCACATCACCTTAGAAAATGTGGCCCATCACCTTAGAAAAAGTGGCCAATATCACTTTAGGAAATGGCCCAGCACCTTAGAAGAAGGTGGCCCATGATCTTGAAAAATATCCCAAGAAAATATCCAACACATTACTAGAGCCAATCCAAAACAAGCCATTGTCAAAACCAAAGGAAACTCACGTGTGCAGGCTGCTGGAAGTAAAACACCCTTCAGACTAGCACCCTTACCCATTCTTTCCTTTACCAGCTCGTGCCAGAAAATAAGAAATGAAATGGGGAGAGAGCGTTGCCAGGGATGGAAGGTGATGTAGAGGCTAGTTGTAAGAAGACTCTGGAGCTCCAAAACATCTTGTCCCAGTGTGTTTGGATTAAGGAAATTTCACAAAAGAAGGTTGAATCAAAGGAAGTGAAGGGAAAATGGAGAAGAATACTTCGCAAAATTGGGGAGAACCAACTAGGGTTTTTTGGAAATAAGAAGCTTTCAGCGCCTATAAAAGGGGACATCTCTTACCCAGCAGGACAACACATCCTGAAAAAGCAAGCATCCCCACGCACTGCTGGAACCTTCAATTTCAAGCCTTGTTCTCCCATCTTCTTCTTTTCTCTTCTGACAAACCATCCAGAGCACGATCAAGCAATCGTCGAGCTGCAGGAAAATCTACTCAAGCCACCCATCCTTTTATCCCCATCTCTCCCTCTCATCCTTCATCAAATCTTCCCAAATTTCCCTCTCCTTTTGCTCTGAACCTCTGTTTCTCATAAGAAATACAAACTTTCTCTCTCTATTGCTAAACTCATGAAGGCTCAGCTCTCATGCCACAAGCTCCTCAAGCCAAGCCATAATACTAATATGTAAACAACTGTCTCTCTTGTTGGTGAAAGAAACCAAAGTCCTTCCTAAAACTCCACGAACTTTTCGAAGCACTCTTGGGGACTGATTCTTGAACTCAAGCACATGGACAACTTCATACATTTGTTCTTTACAGCAGACCAGGCCTATTTCCAGCTACTAGAATGAAAAATCCCCTACACAATCCAATACCTATGTCTAACTCGGTTAAAGTTTCCATTAAATTTAGGGAATTAACTGTAACTAAAAAGAATTATAAAGAAACATAATTTAAAAAATAAAAATTAACCTAATTAGAGCATCCATAATGAACTTCTTAAACCACCTCCTTAGATAAAATTTATAGAGAAAGTGAGAAAACCCACCTCCAACCATGCTCCCTATCCAACTCCTAAAATAGGGAGACCTCTATGAGCTAATAAATCTGAGGAGTGAGAAATGACTCTTAGTGGCTCCCAATAATTAAATACTTATTGACTTCAATACTATTTTAAGTATTTATTTAATGTTAACTATTTATTATTATTATTTTATATGAAGATGGAGTATTTATGCTATACTTAAAAAAGAAATAAATCATTTATGATTTCCTAAACTAGAGAGCATGGTTCGAGTTGAAATTTTACAAAGAGTTCCTAAAATAGCTTTCTAGTGTTTTTAGCTAAATTTTAACTAAAAAATAAGGAGCATGATTGCGGATACTCTTATACCACGCATTATCCTAATCCCCTACCCATTTCCAACCTCAATTCCTTCCCCCACCACACCCAACAGCAAACACTCTGCTTTTCGTCTCTTGGGATTATCAAACCCCTTCTTCTCAAACATTGAGATTATCTCTCCCATAAGGCCACACTGAACTCCATCAGGTTTCACCATTTTGTATGTCTCATCAACTTGTGCCAATGAAGCAGCCAAGTGGGGAAGAAAGATACGAGGTTTAGGGAGGGTTTTAGCATGAGGACGAGATAGGAAATATGGGAAAAGGGTTATTCTTGTGGTGGGCATAGGATAAGCTGTAGATTCTCTTAGCTATTTAGGCCCGTTTGGGATTGCTTTTTTTGACCAAAAACCTGCTTAACTTTAAAGTTAAGCAATTTAAGGTGTTTGGTAAAAATAAAATATCCTTCTTATATTAAAAGCAATGGTCTTTTGATAGCAGCTTTTAAAAGCAACCTCGGGGTTGCTTTTTAAAGCTGCTTTTAATTGAAGTAGCGCGCTCCCTTTAATGAAATTTTCGCAATTCCACAAATACCCTTATTAGGTTAGAAATTTATCCTCACGTATTTCTCACAAATCTGCAGACACCAAGTTCATCACGTAGCCTCCAAGTTTGGAGACAACCATTCGCTCAATCTCTCTCAATCTCTTTCACAAGATAGATTATCAATCTCTTCAAAGTTATTGATTATAATTTTTTGAGATATATTTATTCTTCAATCTCTTCAATCTCTCAAACTTTTGTAGACGTGCTGCTTCTGTGTTTTTTTTTCTACTAGAGTTTCTGTAGAACTAGCTGCTGCATCGCCAGAGCGCCTTTCTATGGCAGTTCCTGGAGTTGTTATTGGAGGGTGCCTTTTGTCTTCCATATGCATCACATGTTCTCTGTTTCTTTATGTGTGCTCCTACCTTACATCTGTTTTTCTCCATTAAAACTTGAAACTTAAAATTCAATTCCAAAGTGTCTCCCTCGTAATCTAACCTTATGATAGTGCCAATTAGATTGTCTATTATGTTGTTTATTTATATCAATGCATATGTGGATTTTAGTTGATTATGATGATGAGAATGTCTATAACACTGCAAGTTTATTTCAAGATATGGAAATTTCAGAAGATGAAATGGAGTTTAACCAAATTGTATGTGTCTATATTCGTACTATGGAATATTATTATGAGAAGTATATTCATAAAAGTTCTTGTATGGATTCTTTTCAAACAAGAAATAAGTGGGTGATGGAAATGTTACGGGGGAATGAAAAACGTTGTTATAGAATGTTTAGAATGGATAAATGTGTATTTTTGCAATTATGCACTGACTTGGAAAATAATTATGGGTTGAGAGGTTCTAGGAGAATGTGCGCTGCTGAGATGCTAGGAATGTTTGTGCACATTCTAGGACATGGTATAGGGAATAGGCTAGCACAAGAACGATTTCAACATTATGGTGAAACTGTGAGTAGATACTTTGGTAAATTACTTGATATTGTATGCCGTATGGCTGTTGATATCATAAAACCGTTGGATCCTGAGTTTAAGGGAGTCCCAGAAGAGATATTGAGAGATTCAAGATATATGCCCCATTTTAAGGTAAAAATTAGATACAACAATTTATCATTTGTTTTACGAACAAAGCAATATTTATTGAAATCTTTCTTTTATTGTTTGCAGGATTGCATTGGTGCTATAGATGGCGTACATGTTAAAGCCTCAATACCTCCTGAAGATCAAGTACCATATATTGGCAGGAAAGGAATACCGACTCAAAACATAATGGCTACATGTAATTTTGACATGCAATTCATATTTGCATGTGCAGGTTGGGAAGGCACTGCACACGATACAAGAGTATTTTTATCAGCGTTATGAAATAATGCTTTAAATTTTCCCAAACTTCCAAATGGTCATGTTTCTAATATGTGCATATCATTAAACTTCGAATTTTTGCACTTTAAAATTATATTATAATTAAACATATCTTATTGGTTACAGGAAAATATTATCTTGTAGATGCGGGTTAGCCACAAATAAGCGGGTATTTGGGACCATATAAAGGTGAAAGGTATCATCTTCCAGATTTCTGTAGGGGTACTCAACCAACAGGTTCTAGAGAAGTATTTAATCACGTACACTCTTCCCTTAGGAGTGTCATTGAACGCACTTTTGGTGTATGGAAGAAAAAGTGGAGTATTTTACGAGACATGCCTAACTATCCATTCGATAAGCAAGTGAAGATAGTAATTGCAACTATGGCACTTCACAACTATATAAGGAGGCACGCCCAACGTGATATTCATTTTGACAAAGTGAATGACAACCCAAATGCAATGGAGATGGAGGGTGATACACAAGAAGAATATCATATTACTCAAGGGCCTGGAGCACACGAACTAGAAACATTAAGGAACAAGATTGCTGCAAATTTAATGTATGCATCTTCTTAGACATTTTTTTATTTATTTCCATTTATTTAAGCCTAGTTTCAATTTTTTTTTATTGCTACAATTTGAAGGATGGTTTATGAACCTACTATCGTGGTGATCTCTTTATTTTTGTTGGAATTTATTCAATACATAATTATGTTTGTTTATCCCAGACCTTGAGGTTGTTCTAGTAGAATATGAAGTGATTGTGTATTATGGTATTTGAGGCTAAAAAAAGAAAAAGTAGGTTATATTTGGTCCTAGAAAAAAATGATATATATATTTTAAATTTGAATTTGAATTTGAATTTTTCTTTAAGCAAAGATTAATATAATTTTTTGGGAGAAAAGTATAAAAGCACTTTACAGTTTTATTTTTTACCAAACAAATTAGTAAAAAGCACTTTCAGCATCATGTCTATTTTAGTCATTATAAATAGTTACAGCACTTTTACAGTAAAAATTACCAAACGCTTTGACATTGCTTTTCATACTCACAGCGCTTTTAAAATTACAGTTTACCAAACGTTTAACAGCTTTACTTTACAGCTGATTCTTTTTAAAGCACAGCAGAATCAGTTTTTTTTTTAAAGCGGCAGCAATCCCAAACTAGGCCTTAGTTTTTTAGTTATAGTGAACTGACGAAAATTTCATTCCACTTAACGGAAATTTTAATGGAATTAGATGTAGGTAGTGGATTGCAACACTTTACAAAGTTCAGGTGGTTAAAAATAAAAAATAAAGGTTCAGGTGGTATTTATGCAAATTTTCCTACAGTTTATATATGGAGGTTCTATTAACACCCAAAAAGTGCACTTGTCCATATATACTATTCCATAGAAATTTGCAACTTATGGAATTTTTAAATGATGTAATTGGAAATTCCGTCATTTACAATTTCCATGGAAATTAGAATTACTTCATCCAAATACACCGTTAATTTATATTAATATTTTGAAACTTCATAAATTTTTTTAAAAAAAGAATTGTCCTTAGCAAGTGAGTGTAGATTTGGAAATTTGATTGATGAAATGAAAATGGAATAAAAAGACTTACATGACAAAGAGTGATAGGCCTAAAATGATGGACTTTTCAGAGGGTTTAACCTTATGAATTAGAGCAATAAAAGTTTAGATCATAGTATGGCTTCCTCATTTGCGAAGAAAGAATTAACCATAACATAAACAGAATATTCAGTATTGCAAGTTGTAGGATAAAATAAAGCTTGTTTGACCATCAGGCTTTTAAAGTACAATTTATTTGATAGCAGTATCAATTTCCTTTGTAGAGATGAGATAAATTAAAAGTGGAAAATACCAGTTTACTTCCCTGAAAAGTAGGAACTCCTACTTTCATGTCAATTACAGTTTGACATGTGTGCAGAGATTTTTTATTACGTGTTTTTGATGAATTATTTTTGTATATATGTCAAACTTTGACTTGCGGTTTCGATTGAAATAAGTTAGGAAATAGGCTGTGTATGGCCGATTCTATGCTCTAAAATTATAGACATGCTAAACTACCAATATCATGATGAAATGTGTAAATATTATAAAGTGTTGCAATCTATCATCTACGTCTAACTCCGTTAAAGTTTCCTTTAAATTTACATGATATCCAACACTTGTCAGGGAGACCAAAAGGACATTCAAAAGAAGAGGTGGCCATGGTGTTTGGAGCTGACTGACATATATGATCATCATAAATTCAGACCATGACACAACCACAACATGTTTAGAAGGCCTTGGTTTCTCCCCAACTGAAGATTATCGTATTCGAAGAAGGAACATGAATGATTCTAGTCATGGAGATTCTAATATCCATCACAAGTTGAATGCTATGCTACTAATGCAGGTGGATTACCAATGATGGTAGGTTTTGTTTAAAATAATAATAATAATAATAATAATTCTGTTTTTTATTATTTTTTATTATTATTGTGTATTGACAAAAAGTGCCTTTAACTTAACGGAAATTTTTACGGAGTTAGAAGTAGTTAGTGGATTGCAATACTTTACAAAGTTCAAGTGGTTAAAATTAAAAATAAAAAGTTCAGATGGTAATAACGCACATACCTAAAAGTCATATGGTATTTATGCAAATTTCCCCATTATTAATAAGTCAACTGCTTTAGCTATTATTCAACTAAAATTGAAGCCATAAACGGTCCAAACACACTTTTTTAGTGAACTAAAATTGAAAAAATTGTTGAAAATTGTTGATCCAAACCTGTTTGTTTGGTTTTCCAACCAATTTGACTTTTTTAGTGAACTAAAATTGAAAAAATTGTTGAAAATTGTTGAATTTGGGGAGGAAAAGAAGAGGTTGGGTGTTTTGAGAATTTTTGGGTATGGAGTAGTGTATGCAAATCCAGTGAGTCAACATAGAACTATGAATGCCACATCATTATTTAACGGAAAATTTGACAGTCAAACTAAAGCAAGAATGAGAGTGGTAATAAAATCAAAATTAGGCATGCATTTGAGACAAAAAAACTTCGTGTAATAAAGTGAAATTTATTCTTAATTTAATTATTAATTAAAAAAAAGACATTTTATCCTTAAAAAAGAAAAATGAAAAAAATATTTAAGGAAGATAGAGACAGATAATAAATGATGCAGTGTAGATAAGATGTATTTACTGATTTAGGTGGGCCAGCAAGTCTGAAGGAAGCTGTACGACAAAGGAAAAAAAGCTGGACAACACATCACATAACACGTGGACCAGATTCTCTTGCGGCAGGAGAGAGAGGCCATACTCAATAATTCATTTTCCTCATACAATATATAAAATGGATTAAATATATATTAAAATCCAAAAATAATAGTGATTTTAATAATAATAAAAGCTTAAATGATTGGTAAAAGGAGGAGGAGAGAAGAAAATACTCGCAGCTTTAAGCTTTTGTCTGCAACGATTCCATAGCAGTCAACTAATGTCTCTCTTTGCCTTTTGAGACAACTCAAAAGCCATTCCATAATCGGCAACACCTCAGCTCAGCTCAAGCTGCCAGCCTCTCTTCTTTATCTCATTAACTTCAAGTATATCCTCATCTATTTTCTCTTTCCCAATTCCACTTTTACAATTATTCTATTATTCTATTATTTTTTAATTCAAAAATAGTTCTTCACACATATTTGTATATACGCATGTTTTTTTCATGTTCATATTCAGTAATTGCCTTCTTAAATTACTCATTCATTGGCATATTAATTCCTTGTGGTTGTTTCTTGAAGCCCAATTATTGAAGATTACTGTGACGGCTTAGAGGCGGTTTCTGTGTTCAGTTTTTCAATTTGGGCTCTCCGTGTAGAGAAATTCGTTTCTGGGTCATCTGGGTCGGATCAATTCTGGAATTCGGTTTTGAATACCTGCAGTGCATGCCGTGTTTAAGAGGTTGGGTTTGCATATTTGAAGGTGAAGGAATTTTGGGGTTTGTAATAAGATCACTTTTTTTTTGTTGGTAGATACTAGTTGTCAAATTTTAGTTACGATTCTTCTTTGATTGAATTAATTTTTTTGGTCTTCTTATTTATCCGGATCTGAATTTGCATTGCAATTTTTTTTTTTCTTATTTATTTATCCGGATTGTACTACTTGGGGTTTTATGAAGTGGGTGTAAATTCTGGTTGTGTGAGCAAATAGATCACATTCTGGTTGTATTGTATCTGGGATTGTGGTTTTAGAACACCAACTATATTTGACTACTCTTATTGTATGTATCTAGTTGGCTGCTTGATTTGAGTAATGAGGTTTCTCCTAGCACCTGTGCTATTTGTTTCAGTCACCCAACACTTGTATCACTAAATTTATATAATTTTTAACACAAGACAATTATTGCATAATTTGTTGGGTTTATAATGGTACAAGTAGTTTCTGGGTTTTGCTTGAGTTAAAATAATGTTCATGTTGGTCTAGATTATCCTTGGCAATCTAATGCGTCTGAGACACAAGTTTTCTGATGTGCATTTCAGGACCCTTCTTTGAGAGCCCCCTCAACTGCAAGTGTCAGAAATTGAATTAGTAAATCGAGAATGAATAAACAAAAAATCAAGCGTCGAGTGGGTAAATATGAGGTGGGAAGGACAATTGGTGAGGGAACATTTGCAAAAGTGAAGTTTGCTAGAAATTCTGATACTGGGGAACCTGTAGCTCTCAAGATTATTGACAAAGAGAAGGTTCTCAAACACAAGATGGCTGAACAGGTCCCTTTCACATTATTCTTAGTTGCAGTTCATTCTCTCTCCTCCTTATTTTTCTTTAATTTTTGTTTTTATATATAATTAGACATTACATGTGTGATCTAGTTACGGAAGATTCTTTTCTGTTCTGCTTTGGCTATGAGTTATTATTTCTCAGTTGCTATTTCATTAAAATATGAAAAGATTTTGAGATGTTGTCTTGCAAATGGTTTGCAGGCCTAATTCCACTTGTTGGATTGCATTCCTAAGATGATGTACATTTAATTGGTTGAAAAATTTTGTACCTGGGAAAGTTTAGAAGGGTTCTTGTTTTTCTGTTTTCTTTTTGGTTTCTTTTTGTATGCATATCCTGAACATAATTTAAAAATTTAGCAGAAAGGAGCTAAGAAGTTGACTTAGTAATAAAGGTCTAATCATATATGTTTTGCTTTTTCATACTTTTACAGATTAAACGGGAAATAGCAACAATGAAGCTGATTAAGCATCCAAATGTTGTTCGGTTATTTGAGGTCTCTCTCTCTCTCTCTCTCTCTCTCTCTCTCTCTCTCTATATATATATATATATATGTGTGTGTGTGTGTGTGTGTGTGTGAACTTCAGCGTGCAACACATGTGGTGTGTGGCTTTCTACATTCACCTTGCAGGTTATCTGAAGTAGGTCTTCTTGTTATATGGATGTCATAAGTTAATGGAGGAATATCACCAACTTGTTTCTGTTTTTGTCAGCCAAAATATGTTACTTCCTTCAATAGGTTTCCAAAGAGATGTTTGCATGTCCTTGAAAAATCAAATCCAACCAAAATTTCATTTCTTTTTTCTTTTCCAAGGAGCGCATTTTTATTGGAGTTATCCGTCTACCTTACCAAATTTTATGGTATTGGGATAAATCTGAAAGTTCAAAATTGCAATGACTGGTACCTTTCATCAGAAGATGTTAATATTTCACTGTTGGGATGATAAACATACTTTAGTCATGATTTTGTATTGCATATGTTAATCTTTAATGAGTACAGCTTTACTCCCTGGGGAAAACATTGTCAATTCTGTGGATTCCTACCCTCATCAATGCCAATGTGCAGCAAATAGAAGCCTGGTAGACATCACTGCTGCTATGGAATACGAACACATACAAAATCGCAGGCACTTTAAACAATTCTTACCAGATTTCCTCTTCTATTAAGTATCTCCTCACTACTATCAGTTGATGATCCATAGCCACTACAAATTGGCAGGAAAATGTGATTAAAAAAGAAGAAGACAGTGTTCTCTGAAAAAGTTCAATTCCTTCCCTCTCTCTTTCTTCTCACTCTCTGTTTATGTTGGATTGTTGTAATTTTGTCATACCACCACAATATCTCTAGCCAAATAAAACATAGAAAAAATAGAAAAGTGGGCTGTTTTCAGTAGCAGTGATGATGTGGACCATATGTAGCTTCCATCTAGTGTAGAGCTGCTGTAGTGCAAGATTTTGCAATTGGCTGCAGGACTAGGAAGGAAGTTTCTAGTAAGGGAAAAGTGACTCCATGAAAACCAGCAAAAATGGCACTACATTTTGACCTTAAGTTGATTTCCTTAAGGTGCAGAGTCTATTGATAATTTTCCATATTTTCAGGTAATGGGGAGTAAGACAAAGATATTTATAGTTATGGAGTTCGTTACTGGTGGGGAGCTCTTTGACAAAATTGTGAGTTAATTTTCTGCCAGTTCTGTTCAATTTTTTTTTAATTATCCATTTTACAAAAATAAATTACATATTGGAGTCCAGAACACAGTTTAACCATTCCCATTTAACATATATTCTCTTCAAGGGCCGCTAATTATTTGGTAGAGAGCGTATTTTTTGATGGAAACTTCTTTCTATTTGAAGGTAAACCATGGACGGATGAGAGAAGATGAAGCACGGAGATACTTCCAACAGCTTATTAATGCTGTTGATTACTGCCATAGCAGAGGTGTCTATCATAGAGATCTGAAGGTACTTAACCTTTGCAAACAAGTGAATAACAGATATAAATATAACAGAACGATGAATAATAACCTTTCATTTTCATGGATTTTCTTGCAGCCAGAAAATTTGCTATTGGATGCATATGGGAACCTTAAGGTTTCAGATTTTGGATTGAGTGCACTGTCCCAACAAGTCAGGGTATAAATAATATAATGCCATCTGAATTCACGTTCTTTCATCATTCATCTGTAAATGCCATCTGAATTCACTTTCTTTCATCATTCATCTGTAAATATCATTTGATCCTACTGATGTTAGCTTCTTGTGTGGAGGTAATATATAAATATATTTAAGTTGTTTAACTATTTGAAGACACAAATTTTGAACTCTTTTTGAAATTCTTGAAATTGGTATAACATTTATAAGATTGAAGATATCTGAAATTTAGTCTCTGGCTCACTTAAGACTTTCATGTACGCTGTAATCTGTGATGCACATGCGACTATTGTTCTAATTAGGTTGGTGCATTTTTGAAATGGCATGATACATCTTAAAGATCCAGCATTTATTTTTTACTGTAAAATTTCACTGGCAGGATGACGGCTTGCTTCACACTACATGTGGAACTCCAAATTATGTTGCTCCTGAGGTGTGGATATTTATTCATGCCAAACTTCTTCCACATTATATATCTCTTTCTACACTTTTGATCCTTAATCTTGTGAACATGTACTCTCTTTGAATTCAGGTCCTTAATGATAGAGGCTATGATGGGGCGACTGCGGACTTGTGGTCATGTGGAGTGATACTCTTTGTATTGCTTGCAGGTTACTTGCCTTTTGATGATTCTAATCTTATGACCCTGTATAAAAAAGTGAGCAATTTACTGATTGTATAGTGCAACCAAGTAGTCTTCTTCATCTTCTGTTTATTACTTTCTGTTGCTATGTGTGCAGATCTCAGCAGCTGAATTTACTTGCCCCCCTTGGCTCTCTTTTGGTGCCATGAAGTTAATAGCTCGAATTTTGGATCCCAACCCTATGACTGTAAGTACTTGTGCGCATCCCGTTGATAAGCTCATGGCTTTGGAGCCGATTCTCATATCTGATTAATATAGTGCCACTTTTTGTAATCTGCACCTGGGTAGTGATGGATATTCATGCTAAAAACAAATGGTTTTATGGTTAAAAAAAAGACAGTTTTATTAAGAGAAAACAAAAAGAAAAGAAATTAGAAGCATGGTCAAGTAGTCCATGAAACACAAAACAACAAAGGAATCATAAAAAGCCAAAGAGGAAACTGTTGGGACCCACTCTTGGATTTCTCCCCTTGGAACCGTAGAGGAGTCTTGAGCATGTCCAATACCAATTGGGTGTTGGGCCCAATAGCTAACTAACCTTGATCCAAACCTTGGAGCAAATAAGGACTCGACTTCTACTTAAAATCCAGCAGTCTCCCCTGTAATTAGCACTATCCCAAATTCTTGACCTGTACAAAAATCACAATAATAATCCCTAATCCTCAAAAGAACAATCTCCAACAATCTCATAGAGGTCTGAGACACTTTAAACAAATAAAGGTCACCCTAAACATGGACTTATGAGAGCATGGTCTACTTAGTTACAAAACTCAATAAGAAGTTCAAAAACATAAAGGAATGGAAACCCACGATAGCAAGGGGAACTGAGAATGAGAGGAAGTGAATGCCTCCACGTAATTCCTGCTGAACTCAAGATCTACTACCTAGGCAAAACAGAAATAAAGTTTTGGAAACCCTTCCTTCAACGGTCAAGTTTGAACATCCATTCGATCTCCTATGATTACCAAAATGATTTGAAGGTGCCTAACCACTGTCAGTTGTGCATAAACTGAGGCATTATGCTGTGTGCTTTTTACCTTTCATTGTGTCATCCATTTGTTACATATTTATTTCATAATTTTCCTTTTCAGTCACAACAGATGGAGACAGAAACCAAGAATTCATATATTGAACATTTTTCCTGCTCCGTTTCTGCTTTCCTTTACTATTTTATTGTGGTCATCTTGACCACTTTTGTAATTTATTGACTTTTGCAATAAATCTTTTTTAAAAAAAAAAAAAAAAAAAAAAAAAAAAAAAATTGTTTTACTAATTGACTTATTTATTTCCCTTTCAATTTCTTAAATTCACATTAAAATTCATGATAATATGATCTGTTACTTAAAATTCATGATAATATGATCTGTTGCTCAAAATTCATTTGCATTAGCCTGATTGTTTGAATATGTTGAGCATGTATAATTGTACCACAAAGTACAATTTGTGCAGCTTTTGAAGTGGCCTCCAGAACTGAGAATTTATCAATGACCAAATTTTTTATGTGGACTTTCCTTAAATGTTCTCTCACCACCAGTTATTTAGTTGGCAATCCTGATTTCCTGTTTTATATGGCAGCGTATCACTATTGCTGAAATTCTGAAGATGAATGGTTCAAGAAGGATTACAAGTCACTTGTGTTTGAGGAGAAAGAAGATACAAACTTGGATGATGTAGAAGCTGTTTTTAAGGATTCAGAAGTATGTGGAAGGGATTCTATTAATTATGAATAAGATTTTGTCTTTGGGTGGTAGGCATAATAAAAAGTTTCTTGAAAGAAATTGGTTCTATTCTAAAATTTGTCTGATGCATGTTCTTGGTTTCATGACAGGAGCACCATGTGACAGAAAAGAAGGAAGAACAACCAGCAGCTATGAATGCATTTGAGTTAATTTCAATGTCGAAGGGGCTTAACCTGGGGAATTTGTTTGATGTAGAACAGGTTTGCTTGTTGAAGGGCATGCTGGATTTCTTTAGCTGCATGTGTTGTACATAGTATTATGCCTGTTACACGTTATAAGGAGTCCAATATATGTTGTGAAATTTTCCGTCACTCTCTCCTCAGCATTTTAGGTTTCTTTGGAATCTTGGTGATAAAAGACCAAGTTTCATAAATTTGTGTAATAGGAAAGATAAGTGTAATTAGTGAAAACTAAAAAACAGTTAAAATAAAACGCATTGTTCTATGAGACACATTGCTTTTTCTGATGTTATCTGCTATTGTTTATCCTTTTGTAAAATTAATCTGCAGGAATTTAAGAGAGAAACAAGGTTCACATCCAAATGCCCTGCCAATGAGATAATTCATAAAATTGAAGAAGCTGCAAAGCCTCTTGGTTTTGACGTACATAAAAAAAACTACAAGGTGAGGACATGCAGAATTTGGAATTTTAGGATTTGAGGCATTTTGTGTACCATGTTGGGAAGATAACGAGTTTTATGTATTCTCTCAGATGAGGCTTGAAAACATGAAAGCTGGAAGAAAGGGAAACCTTAATGTTGCCACAGAGGTACATATCAAGTTGTGTTGATCATGTAACTAGTAAGATAGATCAGTATCAGTTAGACTTTGTTTTTACATACACTTGCTTTGATCAGATATTTCAAGTGGCACCTTCTCTTCACATGGTTGAGGTGCGAAAAGCCAAAGGGGACACCTTGGAGTTCCACAAGGTACTCTTGCTTCTGTGAACTTTATTTATTATTTGATGTGTATATTCTCATGACATGTTTTATCCAATTTTCTGGGAAATGCGATATGTAAATAAGCTTCCTACTAGGATTTATGGTTGTCGTACTCGGGGCCATGTGTCTGGAAACAAGTGCAGAATGGGGGGGGGGTTATGTGAGCTAGCTTACTATTAGCCTACTTATCACATACCTTAACATATGTGAGTAGGTTTTTAGTACATTGGAGGTTAGAAGTTGACATACTTGAATGTTAGTTGAATTATTTACCCTTTTGTTTTTTTTCTGCAGTTCTATAAGAACCTCTCTACATGCCTGGAGGATGTTGTTTGGAAGACTGAGGAGGATATGCAAGAAGTGAAGTAAAATCAGCGTTATATTTCAACAAATTTTGCCATGATGGTACATCGCCAGTAATGTTGGTGTTTTATGTCAGCATTCTTTCTTTTGTTTTTCTTTTTCTTGAGGGGCATTTTCTACCCCCCATTTGATAGATTTAGACAGACATCCATTGACCTTATGGTTTCTGTGCTATTAATGTCGGAAAGCATAGAAAATATACTTAGAGCTGCAAATATGAGAGATGGATGTTGATAGTTTCTCTACTCTACTGCATGTGGGTGTAGATTAGAAGACATTGTGTACACTACATTATTATCTAGGGAGTTTCACTAAAACACCCAAAATGGGGGTTGAAATTATAAAAAAAACCCAACACCCAAAACACTTTCCAAAATCCATCATTACACACACTCAAAACCCATTTATAAACACACTCAAAAAATATACAATTGTTGATTTTGGGTGTGTTTCTATGTTTAAATAGTGTTTGGGTTTTTTTATAAATACATGTCTAGGATTGGGTTTATTTATAAATTTGTATATTATCTATTGGCAATACAGTATGACTTTATATGCAGGCTTAGCAGCAGAGCAAGATGATAACATCCGCAGCGAAGCACACCCTACTTAAAAGCCCATGATAGGACCGTTAACTTTCCAATACTGGACAAATACTCTCATCACGTTCTCCTATGTGTGGCATCACTCAAACTTAACACGTGGATAAACAAACATGTTGCAAGCTTAACACGTGGAGAGACATGTACGTTGGAACTACGTAAAAATCAATTTCAAAATGGGACTTTTACACGTGTTCATACACACGCATGCATATATGACTAGTTCTTTTGCCTAATAAATCAACCCAAACACTTTTATCACTTTTCTTGGTAAAGGTAGAATAGAAATCATGCTCTGCCAATACTTAAAAGTCAAGCATCACTTCTAGATTGGGCTTTTCCTTTGTTGGTGGACTGTAGAGAGAATTGGAGGCTGTTATGCGTGCTTTAGTGCCTTTTTTTTATTGATAAAGAAGAGAGATGTAGAAAACAAAATGAAAATGGTTTCCGTTCCATTGAATGAACGAATTCATTCTGATCATGTGAAGAAACAAAACGAGTCGAGACATTAAGCAATTCTAGACGTCCGCACTAGAGAATAGTCATATATATGCATATTATACACAAGTTTTAACATAATTTTTGGGCCATTAGATTTTGCTACTTTTCATGGATGAGATGGGCCATTAGATTTCTCAACTTTTAATGGATGAGATTAAATCTCACATGGCCTTATGACATGAAAAATAAATTAAAATGTTTTTCTCATAAAGGTAAATTTCTCTCATCAAAATACTTTCTCTCTCATCTTTCTCTTCCCCAACACGTTCTTTGCTAGTCATAGCAAGGATTTAAATATTGAGAGTTTCGGAAACATCAGTGGTCTAAAAATACGAAAATATCGATGCAAATATTGACAAAATATCGATATCGATAAAAAACAGATAAGAATGACGGAAAGTGGTAGAAAAACTTGGAAATTTTTAATAAAACTTTTAGAAGATGTTCAAATAATCAATTATCTATTGTTTGACACAATAAAATTGAAAGAAATGCATTATATGATGAGTTTGAGTGATTTAAGTTAAGTAGAGGGTGAGCTAACAAACACTATAATTTAAAAAATAAATAATATGCAAGTAATAACAAATGTAAAGATACATAACAATAATAAATATGAGAAATTTATGTAAAGATACATAACAAAATTTTAGATTCAGTAATAAAAGGGCTTTATTTATAGTAAAAATATTAGCAATATGTGTATTTATTAAATAATATATTATATATATGATAATTTCTTTGATCGAGTAAGTTTATTGGGTTTTCTCTTTAAATCAAGGGAGCTTTCATTTAAAAACACTATATAGTTTACTATAGGAAGATAGGAATACAATTTCACCTAAGACCAAAAAGTAGTATCTAATTTTACAATAATGTAATTAAAAAACATCAAAAATTACACACAATGCCACTCCTTCTAAGTCAAGTACACTATGCCACATGTCCACCTCCGGCAATCTCCCTTGCGATCAGTCACCACTGCCATCCACTGTTTTTGCCGCCCATTGTTGGCCAGCCACCAATCGGGTGACAAACTCGTTGCCATTTATTCACCCTTAAAAAATAGAAAATTTTGTGTGATTGAAGAGACTCGAATCTTGACCCTCAAAGGAGAAAAGCCTCTTTCACAAACCACTACAACAACCTTGTGATATTAGTTGAGTTACACTATTTATATTACTAGTCACCTTTTTTAAATAAATAAAAAATTCATTTCAACACTAATACATGCAAGGTACTAAAACTAAGTCAAAAGAACATATAGCTTCAAAATTAGACAGACTTCTTTCTAAAATCCAATCATCATTGGGGTTTAAAAAATTCAAATTAAACAAATTGCACTGAAATTGCACTGCAATTTCTGATCAAATTACACACCAAAAAAAAAAAAAAAAAAAAAAAACAAACCAAAAAGCAAAGCAAACATCCATGAAAACAAGTAACTAAACAAAGTCAAAAGAAATATTCATTGATGACACAATTGTATAATTTCCATAAACTTCAAAAATCATACCAATATCCAGTGATAAAACAATTTGGCCAATTGTAATTAAATGGAAACTGCAATGCAGTGTGTGTAAAACTGCAATTCAACACTTGTCTAGAAATTCACTGAACGATATAAGCAATCATAAACTGAAAAGTAAAAAAAACCTTGTTTTTCTTTTTGGGTGTGAGGAGACTAAAAGTCACTAAACCAAAAACACCAATCGAAACATAACACAAACTTAATTTATTGCAAAGACCTTTACTGTATTGAAACAAGAAGACTCAAAAATTGACAAAATTCTTTTCGTTCAAGCTTTCAACTGTTTCCTTGATGCTAACCTCTAATGGAATGAATTCAACACTGTGAAAGCAAAATATCTCAGATCCTAGATCAAATAATTATGCCAATCAATTTGGGAACTATTTGACCTAATTGGGAGTTATTTGATTCCTGTCTTAATTAGGGATTTGATTTACATCAATCTTGCCAAATCATGGAAGAATAATTCCTTTCCATATGTGGAATTATTCTTCCGAAACCCTAGCCTCCGAGGCTCTTATAAAAACATGGCTACGCATAAGGGTTGAGATACGTCTAAATTTCTATTTGAAACTTTGCAGAAATTCTCTCTCACAAACCCTAGCCGCCGTACTCTTTCTCTCTCTCACACAAGGCTCCGGCCACCACACATGGCTTCGGCCACCTGGTTCTCACCCTAGAGAAATCTTCATCCTATTGTTAGCTATTGTTTTCCTACAAACACTCGACCTAACTTAGGCATCGGAGGGCCGTTGGCTAACACCCCCCGGGTGTGGTTCTCTTATTCTGATTTGTTTCGTAGGGAGAAAGAGAAGCGAAGAAGATGACAGAATCTTAGACGAATATTTTTGTGGGACGAAAATCGCTTCCACAAATTGGTGCTTTCATTAAGAGCATGGAGTCCATTTTCCACACTTTATTTCAAACAACCATGGTTGATACAAGACGTATGAAGAGTAACACCACCACAACAGGCCCATCTCAAGGTTTCAGGGTGGAAACCTTGCTGCAACCCTGTGGAACCATGGCTACCAACACCTTGCAGCCACCTCCAACTGCTTGAATTGTAGAATAGTCCCGCAAACAGTTGTTGAAATGTTAGAATAGCCGCCACATGGCCCCGTGACCTCCACAACCTTCCAGCCGCAAGCGCCTGCTGCCGAAGCTGCTCTGTAGTGCCATCCTGCCGTCGAAACACAGCAGTAGTGGCACCATTTAGTTGTCGAATTTGTAGCACAGCCCTATGGCTACTTCGACGCCATCCCAGTCCTGGAGCAAATCCATTCTCTTCCTCCTCTGCAACCACACTTGACGTATGCACCTGTGTATGCGTCCAATGGAACCCTTGCCCATATGCGATTCAGCCCAATGCACACCTCTCTACCCGACCCGCGCAGTTAGGTGGACCTTAACTCACGGGTTGATCAACTCACACAGATGGTCGACGATCAAAACAACTTGATTGACTAGCTACTCAGGTAGATCAACTTGAATCAAGGCCCTAGCCTTGGATCCCGGGACGAGGAGAGAAGGACGGGCGAGTAGTTCGAGAGGTCCCAGGCTGGTCAGACGGGGACAAACGGGTAAGGGAGAGAACGAGATCGTGCTGAGAGATGCAGACATCTGCAAGCCGTACTCTGAGCCAGTCGATGATCCGTTCGAGGTTAGGTCCAAGGACACGAGAAGTTGGCCCACAATCCAATATCCACGCTGGCTTGGGCCAACAAGGAAGTATCCAATCTAGGCTGGGCCCACAAGGAGTTTGAGTTCTTGAACAACCGCGTGATGAACGCAACTACTGACGCTAACCAACCCACTCAAGAACCATTACATAACGACAAGTCGTAGAGGAATCCTCACAAGCATAATCTCCTAATCTTCCTCAAATTCCCATTCGAGCGTATATAAATAATTAATAGACATAATAAAACAATATGCCATATTTCCATGAATAAAATCATACTGAGTTTCAAAAGAAAAGTCCACTCACAAGTAATCCCACACAGCTTGACCCTTAGAGGGTCCCGCCTGCTGTGTATGCTGGGTCGGAGTACCTGATTCAGAATACGAAAATGCGATGAATATCAAGCATTTCAAACAGAATTTTAAAATAAAACCCTAGCTTCCCGGGAGTTCCTATAGGTTTTACGAGGTCTAGGATACACGTCTTGTAGGTTTGGTCCGAAACGGACGGTTAGACCACTCACGATCGCACGATTGTACGGTTATTGAAACCCTCACCCTAGGGTTGGCATTTCTGGAGTATCCGGGACTCCGTTTTACGATCCGTTGAATCCTACACAATTCTACGGGTATCCAGAGGAACATACTTCAGTTTGAAAACGATCCAACGATCAGAACATATCGAACCCGAATAACGCACAATATGCGATAATCCGTTCGATAGTCAAACGACCTTGGAATCGAGATCCGCGAAATCCTACGCGCTCGTGATAACTTAAAGATCACATTGGAACAATTTGCAGCTCCACCACACTTGCCCACGCGCCGCCACACGCGCCGGCAGCAAGCGGGTGTGTAGAGAAATTCTGGCGACGGAAAATCTCCAAATCACAAGTCACCCTCCCGGCTACAGGTCCTATTCAACTAGGGGAGCACTTCAATCAACTACGGCCAAGCCCAAAACCACTAGGAATTGGCCGGAATTTCGAATTGAAAACCGGCCAAAACCTAACTTCTCAAATCGGATTCTAAACAACAGATTGAACAATTCCTATGCAACAGCCAGCTAAAACATGTAAAAAGAGAGAAAAACCCCACCAATTTTACCTAAAATGGACGTCGGAGGCGGCGGCGCAACGATCGGAAAAGTCCGGCTCGAACCAGTCGAAACTACCGGCTATTTTCGAGTTTTCCGGCGACGAAAGCTATTGGGTCTTGACCGGGACGTCGAGACGAAGCTTTTGGGACCAATCTCGAGAGCTGAGGTGGCCGGAAGTGATGGCGACGTGGATTTTTCCGTTCGGATGAACAGTGACGAGAGAGAGAGTTCGCGGGAGAGAGAGAGAGAGAGAGAGAGAGAGAGAGAGAGAGAGAGAGAGAGAGAGAACGCATGGGAGAGAGAGAGAGAGAAAAGTGAAATGAAATTGAAGAATCTGATTTTTACAAATACCCTTTTCGAATTATTTACGATTTTGCCACCGAAAGAAATTTCATCGCCAAAACTTCGTTATAACTCCGATTCAAGCCTACCGCCTGTCTACGGATTCATCTCAAAACCACCTACGCAACCAAACCACATGCAGTCCCAAAATCGTTCCGGACAAGAAAATGACCGAAATTCCCTACCCCAAGGGTAGTTTTGTAATTTCACAATTAATTTAACTTTAACCTTTTGAATTGGAAAATTAAATAGAGTCGGGGTGTTACAACCTACCCCCCTTATACAAATTTCATCCCCGAAACTTACATACCTGTCAATTGAAGAGATAAGGGTACTCGGTCCGCATTTGCGCCTCAGGTTCCCAAGTAGCCTCTTCAACAGTTTGACTTCTCCATAACACCTTCACTACAGGAATGGATCTGGAGCGCAACCTTTGCTCCTTCCTATCCAAGATCTGTACAGGTTGCTCCTCGTACGTCAAATCTTCACTCAACTCCATAGGTTGGTGCTCTAAAATATGAGAAGGATCAGGCATGTACTTCCTTAACATGGATACATGAAACACATTATGGATCCGAGATAGTTCTATAGGTAAGGCAAGTCTATAGGCAACTGGTCCAATGCGTTCGGTGATCTCATAAGGTCCAATATAACGAGGGCTTAACTTCCCGCGTTTACCGAACCTCATCACACCCTTCCATGGAGACAGCTTCAAGAACACCCAATCTCCAACTGCAAACTCAAGATCCTTGGACCTGTTATCCGCATAACTCTTCTGTCGGTCTTGTGCGGTTTTCAACTTCTCTCTAATCATTTTCACCTTCTCAGTTGTGGCTCGGATACTATCTACCTTTTCCAACTTCCTTTCACCCACTTCATTCCAACAAACAGGAGTTCGACATATCCTCCCATACAGAGCCTCATACGGAGCCATCTCAATGCTCGAATGATAACTGTTGTTATAAGCAAATTCCACCAATGCAAGGTGCGTATCCCAACTATCTTTCAGTTGTAAAACACAAGACCTTAACATGTCTTCCAAGGTCTGAATGGTTCTTTCCGACTGTCCATCAGTCTGTGGGTGAAAAGCAGTACTAAAATGTAAGTTAGTACCCATAGCCTCATTTAAACACTTCCAGAAATGAGATGTGAACCTTGCATCCCTGTCTGATACAATAGACACAGGAGCTCCATGCAACCTCACGATCTCATCCACAAAGAGTTTTGCCAGCCTTGACAAGGAATAGGTTTCCTTTATAGGTAGAAAATGGGCGGACTTGGTGAGTCGGTCAACTATCACCCAAATTCCGTCATGCCCCTTTGAAGTACGTGGGAGTTTGAAAACGAAGTCCATTGTGATAAGCTCCCACTTCCATTCAGGGATCAGAAGTGGTTGCATGAGTCCGGATGGTTTCTGCCGTTTCGCTTTCACTTGTTGACAAATCAGACACTTGCTCACATACTTAGCAATATCCCCCTTCATATGCGGCCACGAGTAGTACTCACGTAGAGTCCGATACATCTTAGTACTACCCGGATGCATAGAGTAAGTAGAACAATGAGCTTCTTCCATGATTTCCCTTCTCAAGTCTTCATCGTTCTTGGGTACACAAAGACGAGTTCCAGTCACCAAAGCTCCATCCTTCCTTATTGCATAATTCGTCCGTGTACCATTTTCTACTTCCGACCTTATCACACAAAGATTAGGATCTCCCAATTGTGCTGCAATCACCTGCTCAACCAGAATAGGCCTCACATGCACACTAGCAAGTATTCCTCCCCGAGGAGTCATTTTCAAATCCACACCATCCTTCCACAGTTCTACCAACAACGGAAGATAGGCCATTCTGAGATAAGCTAGACTTCCACCAACATTCCTACTTAGTGCATCAGCTACCACATTAGCTCGATCGGGATGATACTCAATCGTACAGTCATAGTCTTTAATCAATTCCAGCCAACGTTGCTGTCTCATATTCAACTCCCTCTGAGTGAAAAAGTACTTGAGGCTCTTGTGATAGGTGAAAATCTGACACGTCTCACCATACAAATAATGCCGCCAGATTTTGAGAGCGAACACCACTGCGGCAAGTTCCAAGTCATGGACAGGATAATTCTGCTCATGCTTCTTGAGTTGCCTTGAGGCATAAGCAATTACCTGATCATGTTGCATCAGAACACATCCCAAGCCTTGTAAAGATGCATCACTATAGATCACAAAGTTCCCCGAGTTATCCGGAAGAGCCAAAACAGGTGCGGTGGTTAACCGCTTTTTCAGCTCCTGAAAACTCTGCTCGCACTCCTCCGTCCACTCAAACTTAACATCCTTCCTCGTCAACCAAGTAAGAGGTGCTGCTATCGAAGAGAACCCTTCTACAAACCGACGATAGTAGCCCGCTAACCCCAGAAAACTCCGTATTTCTGTTACACTTGTGGGTTGCACCCAATTCACCACTGCTTCTACTTTACGAGGGTCCACATAAATTCCTTCTGCTGATATCACATGTCCAAGGAAGTCCACTCTATCCAACCAAAACTGACATTTACTGAACTTGGCATAAAGCTGCTTCCTTCTCAAAGTTTTCAATATCAACCTCAGATGTTTCTTATGACCCTCCAAAGTTCAGGAATAAACCAAGATGTCATCTATGAACACAATCACAAAGTGATCCAAATAAGGTCGGAACACTCTGTTCATGAGATCCATAAACGCTGCTGGAGCATTTGTCAATCCGAAAGGCATCACCAAGAACTCGTAATGGCCGTAACAAGTTCTGAATGCTGTCTTGGGAACATCATCTTCCCGTACTCTGAGTTGATGATATCCCGATCTCAGATCAATCTTGGAAAAGTACTTGGCACCCTTCAACTAATCAAACAATTCGTCAATTCGAGGCAAAGGATATCGATTACGCACTGTCACCTTGTTCAACTGCCTGTAATCGATACAAAGCCTCATGCTTCCATCCTTCTTCTCTACAAGCAGAAGACAGAAATCAGTTAGTCACACATGAAAGAATTCAGAAAAAATTGAAGCAGATCAATAGAGTATGACGTACCATCGTAGTAAGTAAGGGGAACAAGTGGACCATCGTTGACCTCGCGTTCCCACCATCTGCTGACCTCCAACACATCGGCTTGCCATACGTGATCTTCTTGGCTGAGACTGTTAAACAACTTGGCATTGCATACATTAACTTGGGCATACTTCTCATAGCGCCTCACTTTGAAGAAGTAAAAGAACTCTTGCATTATCAGACCTAGCTTGAAGAAACGACTCAGATTCTCAAAACACATGATCGCCAGGTAGACGTTCGGAGAGTATTGGCTTGGGGCACACTCCATGACGTAGAATACCTTCTTATAGAACTTTGATAACGGGAATGTGAAGCCCAAGGAGAAGTAGAAAGGATGGAATGTGATAATTCTGGCATCCTAATTGTTTGGATCCATACAAGGCGCCGCCAGCTTGACATGCATGTCATCAGGTATGGCAGAAGCATAGGTGGCACACCACTTCTGGAAGTGAGCCTCAGACATTCCATGATACAAATTAGCCACGAATCTTTCTTTGTACACCTTAGAACCACCTCACAGGTACAAAGGTACTTATGAACTAGGTGATCGGCTACCCTTATCGGAAGACATGACCGTTGACTAGCTGCAAAAAAAAAAAAAAAAAAAAAAAAAAAAAAAATTCACAAGACAAAAAAAAAATCACAATTCAAGTCGTAGCAAGGCCGCGCTGCTTGAGCCACCGACGTAGTCCCTTAGCCCAAGCCGAGCCCCAACACTATTGAGCCACATCACGAGCATAGCCCAGCTAACAAAAAAAAAAAAAAAAAACAGTAGCCCCCGACAGCAAACATCCACAACAACTGCAACATAGCCCAGCTGCCAAACCACAGTAAAAACCACAATCTAGCAGCCAGGCCTGCAACGTGACTCCAGCATGAAGAAAACGGTGGCAGCAGCAACCACTGCAATTACCACTATCGCGCCTGCTAGTCATCCAGCCACTTCAGCAGCTACTCATGATCATGATAACAACCCACCAATCATGACTAGCCGGTCCTCACAATGAAGAAAAATCAAGGAAAAAAATTTATATAAAAACCAAGCGTGACCTACCTTGGTGTGCACGACAACTCCTCTCCTCGACAAGCAGTACACTTCTCTAATATCTCTCTCACAAGCTGGAAAGTAAAGGAAGACAAGTTTGCAATTTGAAGAGGAGCGAAGAGAAGCCTAGTATTTATAAAGGTTGGGCACCCTAGGTCAAGGAGAAATCACAAGCCTATTCCCATTGAGAGCCCAACTCCAAGAAGAAGTCAAAAGCCTACTCCAATTAGGAGTCATACTCACAAAAGGAGCCCAAATCAAAAAAGAAAGCCCAGATGCAGTTGGAGAGCCTGTTCTATTTAATTAGGGAAATTATCTTTGATTTAATATAGGAATATCTCCCTAAATCAAGGAACCAATTTCCACAAAATCTCTTGGAGTAATTCCTATCATCTCTTTGGGGAAGAATAATCCTAACCAAATAAGGATTATTCTCCCAAAACCCTACATAGCTACACAAGACATTCAAGGTAATTCTAAAAGCCTACAGAAATTCCTCTCACACACACACACACACACACACACACACACACACACCTCCCATCTCACTCTCTCTCCTCACATGGCAATGTGCCACCACACATGGCTAAGGCCACCCGGCTCTCCCCGTGAGAGAAAACTTCATCCACTTTAGCAATTGTCGTATCTTTATCGAGATCCAATTGAATTAATTTGGGCATCGAAGGGCTTTTGGCCAACACCCCCAGGTGTGGTATATTTACTCCTATTTATTTCTTAAGGATTGAGGAAGATCGAAGGTCGAGGAATCAACTCGTGAATATTCCCCGTGTCGAATTTTGCTCAAACAGCTGGCATGGTGGGTAGATGCTGGAAGGATGTTTGAAAGCTTGTAATAGGTGCTTGAAGTGTTTTTCTTGACATGGAGTAGGTGCTAGAAGTGGTTTGCTTGACATGGAGTAGATGTTGGAAATGGTTTGCTTGATGCGAACAGGTGCTTGAAGTGTTTTGCTTAACAAGGAGTAGATGCTGGAAGCGGTTTGCTTGATGTGGAATAGGTGCTTGAAGTGTTTTGTTGGGTAGATGCTGGAAGGATGTTTGAAATATGACATGTGCTGGAAGTGCTTGCTTGGAATAGGTTATGGAATTGAAAATCTGAGGAGATTTTTGGCCTTGCAATGGTGGTTTTGGTAATAATGGATCTTTAAGCTTGTTTTAGGTTTTGTCATTGGTGTGGTGGTGGATGGGCCCGGCTGGTTGTCATTGTGATCGGCAGTGGTGTCGATGGTGGTGGTGTTGTGGTGGCTATCACGGTGGCGGCGGCTGCCATGGCCTCCTTCCCTTTTGTTTTCCTTTTGCTTGCAATGAGGGCCAGCTAGCTTGGGCTACTGATTGTCATTGCAACATGACAGTTAGATGAACGGGAGAGGTGGACAATGGCTGCGTTGCTGCTGCTGCCGTTGCTTGCAGCGATATCCATTCCTCCCTTTTTTTTGCTTCATCGCAAGCTGGTTATTGAACCGAGGTTTTTGTTGTGATTCGGTAGCTAGGTTGCATTGAGTGTCATGTTGCAGGTGCTAATGGCAGTCACCGGGCGACTACTGCTACAACGGCGGTTCCTTCCTTGTTCTTTTTTCTTTTTGAAGCTAGCTGCGCCGTGACATGCTGGATAGGTTGTAGCTTGGCTCGAGCTGAGGTGCTGCGTCGACGGCTCGGGGCAAGTGGCCTTCCTTATATATATATATTTGAACACGCTATTTGACTTGCTATTTTCTTCCCTTTTTGCAGTTGTTGACTGATCATTTCTTCCGATGATGGTAGCCGGTCACCGAGTTCGTGAGTACCTTTGTACCTGTGGGCTGGTTCCAAGGTGCACAAGAAGTGTTGTGCCACTTATGCTTCTGCCATACCTGATGACGTGCATGTCAAGTTGGTGGACTCTTCGATTGACGATACGCCTTATGTGGACTCGAATGATCTAGATGCTAGGATTATCACGTTCCATCCCTTCTATTTCTCCTTGGGCTTCACATTCCCTTTGTCAATGTTTTTTAGGAAGGTGTTCTGCACAATGGAGTGTGCCCCTAGCCAATGTACTGTAAACGTCTACTGGGTGATCATGTGCTTTGAGAATCTGAATCATTTCTTCAAGCTAGAGCTGACTGCGTGGGAGTTCTTCTACTTTTTCAAAGTGAGGCGTTACAAGAAGTATGCCCAAGCTCATGTGTGCAAAGCCAAGTTGTTTGATAGTCTCAACTGACTTCTGCTTGTTCCCGTCACTTATTGTGATGGTACGTTATACTTCTCTTGATCCACTTTCTTTTTGTCCGAATTCTTTTATGTGTGGCTAACTAACTTATGTCTTCTGTTTGCAGAGAATGACATTTGCAAGAGACTGGATCTTGAGTTGGACATGGTTAAGATTCGCCTGGCTCTGAGCATCCTTGGTGGTTGGGAGATGGAAGTAGTATGGTCTAAACTAGGATGATCTACCTGTCGAACAGGAGGAGTGCTCAATCGAACCCCACTAAAAAAGGAAGTCCAATACTAAGTCTTCCAAGGATAAGGTTGCAACTTCACAGGAAATGGATGTGTCTCTGCTAAGAAAGAAGTCGAAACTCCCTTCTGTTGTGATAAAGTCTTCTTCAAAAGAGGTCTCGTTTGCTGGGAATACTCAAGTAGGAGCTGCTCCTTCATCATCTGCCTAAGTCAAGCATCTCATCGACCCCGATAGCAAGAAGGTTGATGGTATGTGGAATGTGCAGGACATTCTGCTCAAGTTTCCCACTGACCAGCTCAAAGACTACAATCTACCCTACAAATAAGTTCGTTCTCGAGCCAGTTTGCTTGTTGAGAAGCAAAAAGCTGCTGACATTCCTCCCCGAAGTTCGAGTCGTCTGCACCAATCAAAGGATGAGGATCGAATTGGGAGGGCTACTCCTCCACCTAGTCATCATGATTCATCTGTAGAGCCACAAGCAGTCAAACATGGAGTTGATTCATCGACGTTGACTCTTTTGGAGATGAGGATGGCAGCAACTAAAAAGGAGAGGGAGTCATCTACTCAAGCGAAGGGTTTTCCAGAAATGTAAACAGCTAGTCCAAAGGTTGACAAGTCCAACTCTGTAGGAGGTGCATGTGTGTCTAATCTGCTCAAGGTGGTTGACGAGACTGTAGCTGAGGAGGATGATGCCAAGAATGGCGCAGCTGATGAGGTGGCGGCAGACTTAGCTGATCAGGCAGTTGGGGTTGCTAAGCAGATGGCTACATTTGAAGAGCATGTAGTTGAGATAGGCGGAGCCATGGAGGGCATAGTTGATCAAGTGGAAGCTGAGGAGGTCGTTGACCAGTATATAGGGACTCTTTTATTTTTCCAAGCTTTGTAATCTGCTTTTCTGTTTGAAATAATTGGTCTTATTTGACCACCTTTCTTTTGTTGAACTCTAGGCAATTGGTCACTTTGCTATGAAAATTTTAGTTATTTAAACCAAAATTTTGTTGAGTCTTGTGAACTACTTAAGTGACTTGATTTTACATCTCCCTTTGGATGCTTGAATGTTTACCCACCACTTACCTTAAAGGGCGCTCTTATGCTTTTCCCTTAGGACGCTGCTTATGGGCGACATCCTGCTTGGCCTACGTCTCCCTTAGGATGCTGCTCATGGACGATAGTCAGCTTGACATGCATCTCCCTTAGGACGCTCCACAGATGTCACCGTGTGTCTCCCTTATGACGTTACTTATAGGACACTGCTTATAGGCAACGGTCTACTTGACCTACGTCTCCCTTAGGACATTACTTATAGGCAACGGTCTGCTTGGCCCGCTTCTCCCTTAAGATGCTTCATAGTTGTCACCCTACATCTCCCTTAGGACGTTGCTTATAGGTGATAGTCTGCTTGTCCTGTGTCTCCCTTAGGATGCTTCATGGGTGTTGTCCTGCTTCTCCCTTAAGATGCTCCTTATGGGCGACGGTCTGCTTAGCCTAGGTCTCTCTTAGAACGCTTCATAGTTGTAGCCCTTCGTCTCCCTTAAAAGGTTGCTTATGGGAGACAGTCTGCTAGGCCCGCATCTCCCTTAGGACATTCCTTATAGGCGACGGTTTGCATAAGTTGTGTCTCCCTTAGGATGTTGCTTATGGGCGACGGTCTACTTGGCCCTTTTCTCCCTTAGGACGCAGCTTATAGGCATTGGCCTACTTGGCCTGCATCTCCCTTAGAACATTTCATGGATAACTGTACATTTCTTTTGAATGAAAAACTGAACTTGTATTGATGCTTATATGATTACGTTGATTTATTTGAAATGAAAATAACTTGATAAATAGCCTGAACTCATTAGTAGTTGTTTTTCTTCTTCAAATTTGGGCAGGATTCTGTCGCCCTGCTAAGGACTAGGCCAATGGCCTTTTCTCTTTCTTCGGCAAGTAGGTCGAGGTTGACCTTCATCTGCTGGCAATTCTGATCCAGGTTACCATCCTCAATGCTCATGGATGGAACAATGATATGAGGTGAGATGATTGCCTCAGTTCCGTATGCGAGGGAAAATGAGGTTTTGCCAGTTGATTTTATTTTGTTGGTGTGATAAGTCCACAGGACTCTAGGTAGTTCATCCACCGATTTTCTTTCGGCACCTTCTAGTCTCTTCTTCCAGATAAATCTCTTAATGCCAGCTTTTTAAGTAGAAGATAAAGCTTCGACCTCGATCCATTTAGTAAAGTAGTCTATGGTGATGATCATCATGTCTTTCTTGGCAGGTGCTAGTGGCATGGGTCCCACTAAGTCAATGACACATTGCATGAACGGCCACAGGTTGTTTTGTGGATGGTATGCTTTGACAGACAAGCCAGGTATAGGCTTGTATCGCTGGCATCGATCGCATCTTTTGACATACTACGTGTAGTCTTGTCTCATGTTAGGCTAGACGTAGCCTATGTTTAGAGCTTTCTGAGCAAGTGATCTGCCCCTATAATGGTTGCCACACTCGGCTTCATGGATTTTGCAGAGCTCTTCGAGAGTGTGTGGATACTTGATGCAGGTGAGATGAGGGTCGGAATATGACCTTCGAACAAGCTTGTTGTCCTTCATGTAGTATCTCGCAGCATTCTGCTCGATTTTTCTAGCTTTAGACTTCACCCTTGGCAAATTTTTGTTTACTAGCTAGTCGATGATAGGGTCTTGCCAACTGGAATCCTCATCGATCTGCATTAGGTATGGTGGCTCTTCTTCTTCGATGCTTGGTTGATGAAGGTGCTCAACTGGAATTGAACATCTGAACTGAGTATCTAGCATTGATCCAAAACTTGCCAGCACATCTACATGTGTGTTTTATGCTCGGAAAATTTGTTATATAGTGAAGGTAGGGCATGCCTTCAAAAGCTCCTAGACTTTGTCGAGATACTGGATCATTCTTGGGTGCTTTGCCATGTATTCGCCTGAAGCTTGATTTGTGATTAGCTAGGAGTCTAAGTAGATGGCTAGCCTTTTGATTGATAGCTCATTTGTGGAGCATAGGCCAACAAGTAGTGCCTTGTACTTTGCTTCGTTGTTTAATGCTAGAAAGCGTAGTGTGATGGCTTGATCCAACAAAGTTCCGTTCAGCGTGATTATAACGACGCCTGCTCCAGCTCCCTTGTGATTTGACACTCCGTCGACTCGCAACTACCACATGTCTTTAGGCTTGTCATGATCGGCAGAGGAGGTCTTGTCTGCTATTGAACTTTCCTTGGGTATATTGACCATCTTCTCTTTTTCGGCTGATGGAGTGAACTCTGCAATGAAATTTGTTAAAGCATGGGCTTTTATAGCAGTTTTTGGCTTGTAAAGAAGGTCGTACTGACTTAGTTTGATAGTCCACTTCATGAGTTGTTGAGAAGCATCGGGACTATGAAGAATCGATCTCAAAGAAATTTATGTCATGACGATAATTTGGTAAGCTTGGTAGTAGGGTCTTAACTTTCTTGCGGAAACTACAAGTGACAAAATTAGCCTATCAATTTTCTGATAGTGAGTCTCTACTGGACTTTGTGCCCCCAACTCTTCTCGAATGAGAGCTAAGCTGATTGCTAAATTAGACACTACCAAGTAAATGAACAACTCTTCACCTGGTACTGGTTTTGAGAGTAGGGGAGGTGAAGTGAGGTAGGTTTTCAAGTTTTGGAAAGCAACTTCACACTCTTCATCCCACTTGTCTCTTTGTCCTTTCATCAAGGCTTTGAAGAATGGTCTGCACTTGTAGGTGGATCTTGAAAGGAATCGGTTGAGAGTTGTTGTTATGCCCATTAGACTTTGTATCTCCCTCATTGTAGCAAGTGACTTCATGTTAAGGATGAGCTTGATTTGATTTGGATGTGCTTCGATGCCTCTTTGGGTGACTAAGTATCCCAAAATCGACCGGATGAGACTTCAAATGTGCACTTTCTCGAGTTCAACTTCATGTTGTAACTTTTGGAGCAGACTGAATGATTCGGCAAGATTCTTGATGTGATTTGCTCGTCGAGAAGCATTGACTAGCATGTCGTCTATGTAGTCCTCCATCGTCTTACTGATTTTTTCCCTGAAAATCTTGTTCTTGAGCCTCTGGTATGTTGGTTCGGCATTTTTCAGCCCAAAGGGTATCACTTTGTAGCAGTGTGCCTCTTTCAGTTATGATAGAAGTCTTTGCTTTATCGCCCACATGCATCATGATTTAATTGTAATCGAAGTAAGTGTCTATGAAGCTTAGCAGTTGATTGTTGGAAGTTGAATCTATGAGTTGATCAATTCTTGGCAACAAAAAGTTGTCTTTTGGGCATGCCTTGTTGAGGTTGGTATAATCGACATAAACTCTCCAATTGACTTGGTCTTTCTTTGCCACAAGAACAATGTTTGCCAGCCACTCTGCGTAGGAGACTTCTTCAATGAAAACGATAGCTACGAGCTTGTCGATCTCGGCTTCGATGACGGCAACTCGCTCGAGAACGAAGTTACGTCTCTTATGTGCTATTAGTTTGCTTGTTGGGTTAACGTGAAGACGATGGTGAATGATCTATGGATCGATGCCTGACATGTCAGATGGCGACCATGCGAACATGTCTTTGTTGTTCTTGAGGAAGGCTGTAAGCTCCACCTTCTTTTTTGGGCTTAGATGAGAGCCGATCCGTGCTTTTCTTTCTGCCTTGTCAAGATCAAGGGTACTAGTTCGACGTCCTCTTCGGGTTTTCATCCTTCTTCAGGGGTGACCTCTAGGAGGATTCCCTTGTCTTGGTCTTGGTTCTTTAATTGCTATTGGGGAATGACTATTCCTTTTCCCTTCTGATTTGCTTGACTATTAAGAACGGGATATGCTTCCTCCCTTGTTCGTCTACTCCCTTTAGATATGATTGATTTATATGGACGAATTATGCTTGCTTGCTTTTCTTCAGCCCTTGAACTGAGCACCTTCTTGTTATTGCTTCATTGCTATTGATCTGGATACCACCCCTAGGGATTGGGTAATGAATTTTCTAGTGCATGGCAGATGTGATGGCATTGATATTACCAATCCATGGTCTTTTGAGGATGCTATTGTAGGGAGAGACTTCGTCAATGATCATGAATGTATGGGCACTGATCACTGGTTGGGAGTAGATGTCGAGCTCTACTGCTCCCACAGTGATCGTCATTGCTCCATTGAAGCCGATCAGCAACTTGGCTGACCTGTTGACCTTGGTCTCCATTCCCATCTGTTGGATGTTGGTTGTGCTGCCCTCATCCACATGAACTCAGCTGATCATGGCTTGCGCGATCTAGAGTCTTATAATGAGGGCGTCGTTATACTTCAGATCAAGCCCACTTAAATCTTTCTTTTGGAAGCCAATCGCTTGATCGTCTTCAATTGCTATGCAACTGGTCAAGACTTGGGAGACAACAGTAGCCTGTTTAATCTTCTTCTTTTTTTCCGGAGGCTCCTTCGCTGCATCGCGGTCCTCGATATGTTGGATGGCCTGCTTTGCTACGAACTCTATGCAGTGGCCTTCTCTCACCAGTTCTTCAAGGTGCTTTTTCTAGGCAATGCAATTATTCGTGAAATGAGTGTGTACCACATGGAAGGCACATTATTTTCTAGAATCCCTCTTTTTCGGGTCTCCTTTCAAAGGCGGTGGTCTCTTCACCCAGAGTGTGTAGCGCTCCGCAGTGGTGAAGACCTCTGCTAGAATCTAGCTGAGAGCGATAGTGAGCTCGTGGTATAAGTCGTGCCTAGTTAGCAAGCCCTTCTTGAAGGCATAGAATGCGATTCGATCATCGCAACTTATGATGTTTGCCTTTTTGCTTTGAATCTCTTGATATAGTCCCGAAGGGACTCATCATGCTTCTTATGAAGGTTGAACATGTGGTCACGGTTCTTTTTTATCGTCCACTACGAAGTGTAATCCTTGGCGAAGACGAATGCTAGCTCCTTATAAGGTCATAACAAACACCTTGCACATCAGTGCGTCTTCGGCTTTGTAAAGAATCATAATACTTTTGAAGTGCTTCAGATGGCTCTCGGGATCGGAATCCCATTTGAAGTGTGTGAAAGAAGGCATTGAGAATCGCTTTAGTGGAGCCGCCTTCTCGATTTCGACAATGAATAATGAAGAGTTCACTTGGTTTACCTCCCTGCGCAGGCCATCCTCAAAATCTCCTTTGATCTTCAAGTCTCGAAGCTAGTCATTGACAAGCTTCTCAACATCTTCTGCCCGCATGGCCTACAGTTCACGTCGATGTCTTTAACGATTTGGGTGTCGTTGGTTTACCTCCTCATCGTTGTCTCCTTAGAGCAGTTCTCTTCGACCATCCTGCCTGCACGACGTGTTGGTGGACTGATTGTGAGGCTTCTTGGGACCGAGTAGGTGGCGTCTTTCCTCTCATATTTCATAAGGATGATTGTGAGGCTGATTTCCTTGAGAGCCTAGTCTCAAGTGAATGCTTCTCTGTTGGCTAGGTGAGCTTGAACATTGGATTGTGAGCCCAACCTCTAGTGCATGTTGACTCTCGACTTAACCTCGATCGGAGATTCGATCTGATTTAAGCGTGGCTCATGAATGTCTGCGACATGCCAATGTGCTGAACACACTCTTGCCATTCTGCTTGTCTGCTTACTCATGCTTGACCTACATGGGACCTTTCGAAATGCATGCGGGTGCGTTCATCCATCCTTCTTTCTTCGTCTTACAGTCTAAGGCCAAGGTCTCAGACCAAGTCAATCTGGTTGAGGAGCTGTCCAACTAAATTGTTTTGGTTGTCCACTCTTTGAGCTAGATGATCAACTCTAAGATTGAGGTACGCTTGACTTCGTGGATTATGAGGAGAAAATTATGTGGAGCCTATTTGCACACGGGTTAGGGTTTCGTTAGAAATGTACATGGGAGCTTACGTTGAGGGAGGAGGCAAAATAGGGAATGGATGCACTTGCTCCAAGATTGGGCCGAAGCCGGCAGTAGCGCCAAGTTGGTCACAGGCGGTGACGTTAAGATGAAACGAGTCAAACCGGCCGTGAGGCCGAGTTGGTGGTGGCTGCTAGATCTGGCAACATGGTTGTGTTGCTACAAGGCTGTGGCAACCACCATATCGTGAGGCTGCAAAGATGCTCTAACCGGATGTCTGTGTGGTTGAGCCACATGCTTGACGGTGGGATCTGATGTGACAGTCGTACTGCAGTGAGGTGGTCGGGAGGTGGAGTGGCGTGGTGAACCGGGATCGTGCTCTCTGTCACGAGGCAAGACAAGGAGTCGCCAGGATTATAGCTCGATCCGTGACAACGGCGGCAGAGCGTGGGGATGGCTCGACGTCGTGCCATCCTGGTTGTTTCAATTTGTCGTCGATTGTGTCGTCACGGCGGTCTTGCTTCTCGTGCTCTTGCTTCCAACCATGGTCATTTGGAAGAGTTTGGTTGAGTGACGAATAGGAGGAAACGGATTCAAGAGTACGTGTTGAGCATAACTCGTGCTCTCAATGAAAGCACCAATTGTTTGTGCAAATTTCTCACAAGAGAATATTCGCATGTAGATTCTTCACTCTTCGAGCTTCCTTCTCTCTTTTCCTCGATTCTTGTGAAACAAACAAGAGTAAAAGACAACACCCGATGGGTGTTGGCCAAAGGCCCTCCAATGCCTAAGTAAGTTCGATTGGATATTTGAGAAAAGATGAGGCAATATCTAAAAAAGGGAACTAAGTTTTCTCTCATGGGGAGAGACTGGTGACCGAAACTGTGTGAGGGAAAGTGTAGAGAGAGGGGGACGACCAAAGAGAGAAAAAATGGGGTTCTCGGGTAAAAAATCGAATTACCTTGTGTATTGAATGAGGCTATGTATTTATAGGTCTCTAGCCATCTAGGGTTTTTCAAAGAATATCTTCTTATTGAGAGCTATAATGGGCTTGTTGGACTACTGCGAAGTAGATCGAGCTCTCTTACGCCATTGTCTGAGTTTGCGGCACTAAGCCCCAAAACACCCCGAAAAAGTTGAGACCTTAATGAGTGCTTTGGTCTTCTTAATGGCTCTTCAGTACATTGAAAGTTTTGATGAGAAGGATACATAAGCTACTATGAAGCTATTGCCAGATGATAGAGGTGGGGCAGATGCTGGAAGGTTTGCTTGAAATATAGTGGAATAGGTGTTCCAGCAGCTTCTACTTATTTGATTGGGCTTCCTGCAACTTGAAGAATGCATGGTTGCACCTTTGGATTTCTCACCAAAAAGGTGATGCCCGTGATTTCAATTTGGCTTCAGAAGATAAGTGTTTCAAATTTGGAATAGGGTTTTTGGAGAAAGAGAGAAAAAGATATGATATATATATATAAGAGAAGATGGAAGAACCAGAGCTTGAATCTGGTGCTTCCAGCAGTAGGAGAGTATGCTTGCCTCTCTGCTTGAGTTCAAGAACCAGGCCCTAAGAGTGCTTCGAAAAGCTCGTAGAGCCTTAGGAAGCACTTTGGTTCCTCTCACCGACAAGATAGACAATTGTTGCAGATCAATATTATGGCTTGGCATGAGAAGCTTGTGGCATAGGAGCTGAGCATTCATGAATGTAGGATTAGAGAGAGAATGCTTGGATTTGCTATGAGAAATAGGAGTTCATAGTAAGGGGAGAGTGAATTTTGAGAGGATTTGTTGAGGGAAGAGAGGAAAATATGAGGGTGGAAGAAAGGGCGGCTTGAGCAAATCTTCTGGCGGCTTGACGAAAGCTTCATCACAATCTTGAGTGTTTTGGCACAAGAGAAAAGGGGAAGAAATGGAAGAACATAGCTCGAAATTGAAGGGTTCCAGTAGTGAGAGGGGATGCTTGCTCTCCCTAGATGTGGTTGAGATGATAGGTAGGAGATGCCCCCTTTTATAGGCACTAGAAGCTTCTTCTTCCCAAGAAATCCTAGCTGATTCTTCCTAAATCTGCCAAGTCTCCCTTCCCTTCCTTTTCTCCTATTTTGATTCATCCCCATTTAGTGGAATCCTTCCTAGTCCAAACACATAGAGACAAGATTTTTGGGAGCTCTAGAGCCTTCCCGCAGCTATTTCAGTGGCAATCTCCTATCTTTGGCTACCATCTCTCCTTCTTTCCTCCCTTATTTCATGGCAAGAGCTGGTAGGAGAAAGAAATGGGTAACTGTGTTGGTCTGAAGGGTGTCTTGCTCCCAATAGCCTGCATAAGTGCTATTATGGTTTGTCTTTGCCCATGTGCTGGAGACTCCCAGTAGCCTGCATATGCAAGTATCCTTTGGTTTTTTAGATGGTCTATCCTGGGTTTGTCTTTGGCCATGTATTGAAGACTTTCCTAAGATATTTTCTAAGTTGTTTGGGTCACTTCTAAGGTGATGGGCTAATTTAATAAGATGATGGGCCAACTTTCTAAGGTGATGGGCTATCTTTTCTCTCTTTCATGATTACCCACGTATTTGGGCTCAAGAAATAGGCTCGAGTTTTGGGGCTCCGAAGCAGCCCAAAACTTCAACTTCTTGGCTCATCAATGGGCCTCGTGAATGCTTGTAACCATCCACACCACAACCAGCTCAGCAAGCCCCAAGCATTTCTGTGGCTTGGGCCCACCTAAGCTTGTAGCATGGGTAAGTGTAAAATGAAGGGTTTTCTGCTTAGCATGACATGTCGATTGGCGTGCTCGTGCTCGTGTCGAATTTCATTGTATTGTAAAGGGCTATGGTCGAATCAAAACAACACTTGGGAGGATAATTAGCATGGGTTCATAGAACCGGTGCATTTTATAGGCTCGCTACAACTCTTAGTGTGATAGGTTATATTTGAACAAAAATGGGTTGTGTTGATTGGAACCACGTTCTATTATTAAATGTCGACAAAATCATTGGCCAAAATGGAAATAGGCAATTCCATTACAAATGAGGATGAACGTGAAAGAATAACCCCATAGTATGAACCCCAAAAGGATGTTAACCCTGAAGGTTATACATGGGTGTTCAGAATAAAGAGGAATATATTCACTTTATATGACACAAATGTTTCTAGTTGAAACAAGGAATGTTGAGGTTCTCCATATTTACACATGCAATTGTGTCTTCTTATTACACATTTACGGAGACCAACATGCTATCTTTAAGGGTTATTAAATGCATGGGAGCATATCACCAGAAGCGATTCCCTAAATATGTATAAGAGGAATAAATAGCTAAGTATAAAGCTATATAGTGTGACATGAAGTGTAATCCCTTAAATAAAACCCTTGAATGATTAAAATTGCATGAAGCAATTCTCTAAAGGACATGTGCCTGAAGCACAAAATTTGTACTCAATATTAATATGTATAAATTGCTTCAGAGAGTACTTTTATTGAATTCAAATTTAAAGATGTTGCAACATATTCAAATGTTTAAAGTTATGAGAAATATTTAGACTCCTGAAGAACCTATGGAATAGCATATGCAATTATTCTCAAGACATACAAGGATATGTATGAAATAACATATGCAATATTCTCAAAATATACAAGGATATGAATGAATGACTGATTATATCGGATAAATGTTTAACGCTCTTATCATTATAAATATGAGGTCATTATTATTATTATTATTATTATTATCTTTTATATATAGCATATGAAAATCAAGCCATTATATGAAGTGCAAGGCTTACGAAATAGCCTAGATATTTTTTTGTATTACTTTAACCTCAACAGGGATTAGATGAATGATAACACACATGGATCCTCCAATGACGCTGCAACAAGAAGTTTTATGCAAGCATTATCAAAGATCACTCCTTGAAGCACAAATGTGATATCAATATCATGAGTGATGGGTCATCAAAGTATGAAGTTATTAAAGGGAAGTAATTATTCAGGGGGAGCATCCAACAATATTACAAGATTGACTCACAGAAGTAGTGCCAACTGTGACATTCAGAAAGATGATCAACAGTATGGCTTAAGGATATTTTGCAAGCATCAAGGGGAGTGTGCCATCAATAAAGATCTTCACACATTGTACTCTTTTTACTTCGTCTTGATTTTTGTCCCATTGGGTTTTTCATGACAAGGTTTTAACGAGGCAGTGTTGCACGCGTGACGGTGTTCTATACACATAATTTTATGTTACACATGGTTATGCACTCTTTTTTCCTTCGATCACTTTTTATCCCACTGACTTTTATTAGCAAGGTTTTTAATAAGGCATATTCCATGTGTTGACATCCAAGGGGGAGTGTTGTAAATCCATGTTTTACATGGATAAGTGGATGTCACCATCATACCTAATAACTAATAAGTGACTAACCCCACCATATATCCACCATACCTACTTCTCCCACTATACCTTTGTGATGTGATTGAAACCTACCACTTATGTAGTAAACTATGTATTTTCTATGCTTATAAATATGCACCAAGGATGAATGAAATACAAGATTAGATGAGTAGGAACTCATGGTTGAGCTCTTGAGAATTGTTTTTCCATTGTTTCTTCCAAAATCCTCTTCATTTTATAATAGTACACTTTTTTTCTTACACATGTTTTGAGTTAAATTAATTTTTTCATTGTTGTCTAAAAATTTGTAACAAAAAAATTTAAAAAACTTGAAAAAAAGAAAAAACAAAAGGACCCTGGGCAAGGCCTTTGAAACTTGGCTCAACCCGACTTGACTTAAAAAATAGAAAAAACTTGTTAGGCTCAACTTGAGTTGACCCAATAAATTTTGAGTTAGACCAGCCCAATACAATATCAACCATACTTCACACTACTAAAAAAGAAATTGAAGCGGTTTCTTAAAAGTTTATACCTTATGTCAATGGGTCAAGTTGAGTGAAAAATGGCGTTGACTTACAGATGAGAGATCTCAAGTTTGAATATTAAAACATCATAGCTGTGTGTGTGAGAACTCCGTCTAGTTAGACTATATGTTGTACTGAAAAAATAATTTATCTATATATCTATATATAAAACAAAAGGCAGAGAATGGTAAAACATTCAAAATACTAAAAATGCCCTTTGTTAATGCAAACATTAAAAATTGAAATTATTAATTAAATAAGAATAATATGGTAAATTCACACTTTTTATATTAAAAAATAAAAATAAAAATAAAAATCAGATAATAAATCTTATTTTTATGAAACATAACTGTCCATTATCTTTTTTAAATAAATATAAAAAAAAAAAAAAAAAAAAAAAATCGCAGGCGCGGAAGCGAATGCAAGCCTAGTACACATAATAAAAATACAAATTTATAAATAAACCCAATCCTAGACATGTATTTATAAAAAAACCCTAGCACTATTTAAACATAGAAACACACCCAAAATCAACCCCAAAGTCAACTTTTTGGGTGTGTTTATAAATAGGTTTTGAGTGTGTGTAATGATGGGTTTTGGGTGTGTTTATATGTTTAAATAGTGCTTGGGTTTTTTTATAATTTCAACCCCCCATTTTGGGTGTTTTAGTGAAACTCCCTAATAAAAACCCAATTCAATTCAGATCTCTCTCGTTCTGGCCCTTTCAATTTCTGTCGCTCTGGCCCTCTGTCTCTCGCACGCTGGCTTTGTGTCTCGTGCGGGCTCGCTCTTTTGCAAGCTGGCATTCTGTCTCGTGCTGGCTCGCTCTCTCTCCCAGTCCCCTCCAGCCTCTCTTCTTCCATTGCCAAGCAGATTAACCAGTAGTCAGTAGCCTCTCTATGGCAGGTAACTTATATAATTTTGTAACTCTTTTTTAACTATGTATATGTTCTAGGGTTTCTAACAAATCGATTATGTGTCCCTAATTTGCTTTATGTTAAATTATTTGGGTACTGAATTATCCTTTTTGTTTATATTTTGGATTTATATAGAAATTGGGGTAAATTTCTATTATGAGGTTTTCTTTGAATAATAACTTTTCTGGGTTTTTTTCCTGTTATTTTTGAATTTGCCTACGAGTACTTACTATGGGTACGATTAATTATTCTATACTGGTTTTTAATGGTAGTTCATTTGTGTCGGAAATTTAAGATGGGGTTCTGATTCTTATGATAAAACGGTTGGGTATGAAGCTGTTAGACTTACTTTAATTATATTGATTGTCTGATTTGATTCTTGAATTTGGTATTAGTTGTATTTTTTTTTAGTTTTTAATTTCTTTGTCATTGCTAGCTCTTTTGATGTGCAAAGTTGGTTACAATTTTGAGTAAATTTATGTTAGGTGTCACCTACTTGAGCAGAGCATGTGCAAATCCCCATTTTGACCATTGATTAAGGTAACTTTTCTATCACTTTTACAAGCACTTTTAGGTGAACAACTCAGTGTCATTGTGTGAATCGTCTCCCTCTGGCTCCTCCCTCTTGTTTAAATTTAGTCTCTTTTAGATGAACAGCTCAATGTACATATTAGTCTCTTAACAGCTAATCTGGTGAGACCTATGAACTTGTCTGATTATTTTCGTAGGACCTTTGTGTAGCTGATTTCATGAAACAGTCTTTTGCTTTTCAACAAAAATTCCCTAACCTTTTATTCACCTGAATTGCTTAATAGCAAATTCACATTGTATAAAGTGGTATTTAAGGGTGTGGTTATGTTTGGCCTTGTAGGCTTCTTGTGCCTGTTTTCTTGTTTCTCTTGGGATGTTATTAGCTTAAATTTGTTTCTGAAGGATCTATTGTCCATTTGTTTTTGTAATCGTTTTTTTTTCTTTCGTTAATAAATTTTCATTTTCTTACCAAAAGATCAGGTTACATGATTGAGTTTGGTGTAATTTTGACTTGTTGCTTGTCCATTGAGTAAAACACCTTATGAAAAAGACTTCATTTAGTCTTTGTTGATCTGTCAATGTCTTGGGTTTTTGAATTTGAATTTTCATGTCCTGCTTGCTTTTTGATGTTATGGTGTTGTAGGAGTTGTGCCTATTGTTTATTTAAAATGCTTACCTGGTATCATGCATGTTTAATTTCTGTTATAGTGTGCAGGATGACCTTAACAGACATTGTAGATTTATCTAGCGATGATGAACTTGGAGAGGTTGATGTGAAACCTGTTAAGTTGGAGCCAGGTCTTGTTGGAAGAAAATTGCAACAGAATGAGAACAATAAGGCTCTACTTGCGAAGCATCAAAAGTCAAAAACCCCATGTGCAATAAGAGAATCTGAAGAAAATAGGAGCTCAAATGCTCTAAGTACTGGTCACAGTAGCTCTAGTATATTAGACCAAGGGCAGTCACCAGTGGATGATACTGGCCTTTCTTATACATCGCCTTTATCTCCAGCACCACTTTGTCGGCAGTTTTGGAAAGCTGGGAACTACAATGATGGCATTGGTTCTAAAGTCACAATTCAAAGTATTCTACTATCTACTGTTATATTTTGTACTTGAGTGTAGTGCATCTGGAATTTTACTAATATTGGTGGTTAAAGCATATATTGTCTGATTAGTAGGCCAACTAATTCTGTTGAGGCTCTTTCACGAGTTTTCATGATTTTTCTGGTGTTGACTTTTGTTTTGATGATAAGGTTTTTCATATACAATGAAATATTTGCAATCTTCAGCATCTAATATTGTTTATGCATGGTATGTTCTATGACATTCCTCTTTCTGGATCACAGATGGCAAAAACTATCTACATGTCCACCCAATGTTCCTTCATTCAAATGCCACTTCACATAAATGGGCCTTTGGTGGTAAATTCAATCTTACTTCATTCTTCTTTATGTATATGTTAATGAATTCAACTTTATGTATGTTGTTCTTTTTTCCTTTTTGACAAGGACAGTACATTCCTTTTTTTATTCTTGTTTTCAGCCATAGCAGAACTACTTGACAATGCAGTTGATGAGGTAATTTGTGAATGTTTATATTTTACTTTTTTTTTTTCTCTGTGGTGGTGAAGAGTAATAACAATATGCCTGGTCTTGCAATTGAATTAAACAAGAGTCGTAGAGATTTTCGGATAAACGTGTTATAGAGATTTTATATTTGAGTAGAATCTTTAATGGTTTCTGAGTATCTAATAACTTTCTTTTCATGATATTTTCTCACCTTTTTTGGTTTAGTTTCCTTGTAATTAAAGAAGATCCAAGATGAGCAAAAGTTGTCAAGTCATTGGAAAATAGTAATCTATAGAAGAGGCATTGTATATCCATGTGAAGCTCAGTGAATTTGAGGCTGTGGACGTTTAATAAATAGGTTGATCTTTACCTAAGCTATTTGTAGGGTGTAAGAACCTTGATTCCTTGGCCAAATAAAAATTAGTGGGCATGTATGTATATGTTAGTGGAAGAATATGTTTTATTTATTTCCTTCTAAAAGTACTATTGGTACATCAAGAAAAAAGAAAAAGGATATTGGGTCAGTGCCTTTTCAGTCATGGCCTTTCTTATGGCGTTTACCCTGATTATGTTTTGACCTAGTTTTGAGAGTTTGACGAATCATATCATGTTTTGCATTTCACTCTTCATTGTTAATTTGGATAGATCCAAAATGGGGCCACTTTTGTCATTGTAGATAAAACCTCAAATCCAAGGGATGGAAGTCCAGCATTGTTAATTCAAGGTATGGGTGTATGTGTACAGGATTCTTTTATTCTTACAATCTTTAATATCTGAGATGTATTTACCTAGCTTGTCCAAAATTTGATACTTTGTATGCAGATAATGGTAGTGGGATGGACCCTGAAGCTATGCGGCGCTGTATGAGTTTTGGGTTTTCAGATAAGAAATCGAAATCAGCCATTGGACAATGTATAAATTTTACCATTCATTCTGAAATCTGTTTTATTATCTCCTTTGGCATTTATTGGTTGACTTGTAGCCTTCCAGATGGAAATGGCTTCAAGACCAGTACTATGAGACTTGGTGCAGATGTTATTGTGTTCAGCCGTCACCAGGATAAGAGGTTTGACTCCATTAGTTATATTTATAGTACTTTAGTTTCATTGTTCTCTAGTTTATTGTGATTATTTGAAATGTTACTATTTTCTGATTTTCAACAAACAAAATTTTTATATGGTGATCCAAAGGTTTTTGAACGTGTGTTTGTCAATTCTTTATCAACAAGAAAGAGGAATTTTACTATGATTTTACACTATAATTGATTGTCTTTTGTTTCCTTGTTTTTTTCTTTTGGGGGTGGGAGGATAAGTGGACAACGATAGGAGGATCGGTAAAATGACTGTTGAAACATTCAAAACTCAACTATTTAAGATATATGAATCTTTGGAGGCCGTTGGGTGCCATTTGATATTCTTATGAAATTGTTCCTTCCCTAAAGACCTGTTCACCTCCCTCCACCTGAGCTCTCTGTTTGAATCTATTATTGTGTAAGTAAATACATAGATCATGAGTCATGAATGCCGTATGTGAGATCTCTGTGACATTTGGATCTGTTCACAACTTTTTCCTTGCCTAAGGACCTTCTACCTTGCTCCCTCCATCTCTCCCTGTGTGTGTGTTTGTGTGAAGGATGTACTATATTTGTGATGCAAATTAATGCCATCCTACTTTAGTGGTAATACTTTGTGCCTTAAATTGATGCTGTTGTTTCTCTACTTGTTTATTTTGGCCAGGGTATTGACTCAAAGCATTGGTCTTCTCTCTTATACATTCTTGGCACGAACAGGCCATGACAGAATAGTAGTACCGATGGTGAGCTTTCTTGCTCAAGCTTCTGGTAGTGTGTGTATACTTTTCATTCCTGTTTTCTTATCTGTGTGATAGAGGTTAAACAGTATGCAAAATGTGGCTTATTGTTCTATGTGCTAGTAAATGGATGACCAGGACATTTGATGTGCCATTGTAATGCCATGTTTATACTAGCTACAACATGAATTATCAATATCTTGATGGAGAAGCATATGCACTATGTTTGGAGATTTTAATTTTTCTTTTTTCGTTTTTTGGTTTTTGGTTATTCGACGATACTCTTACATTTAGTATCTAGTATTAACAGCTCATGTCAATTGCAGGTGGATTATGAATTCAACACATCAACTGAGACATTAGAAATAATGCATGGGACGGAACATTTCATGTCTAATCTTTCCATGCTTTTGCAGTGGTCCCCATATTCAACGGAGGCTGATCTTCTGAAGCAGGTAATTTTCTACAACATTTTCTTTGCTATGTATTAAACTTCTTTTTTCATTCGGCATATATATATATATATATATATATATATATATATGGAGAGAGAGAGGGCTCTTTTTCTGTTTTTTGTTTTCACTGCACCATTCAAATATTGATCATAAGTATAGTTTATTTGGTAAGCTCTGTTATGATGTAGGATATGGGTGAATTATAGATTTAGGTAGCTTAGCGGAAGCGAAAACAATGAAAAAAAAAATAGAAAATAGATGATAAGGATGACTTGGCTTCACACCAAGAATTCTCCAATGTCTGGAAAGTATACTTTTCTCAATATCTCAAATATCCAATCTCCCCAATGAATTACATGAGAGGGGTACTTATAGGAAACTAAAACCTAGAGACAATAGGATAAAATCCCTTACTGGACAGAGATCCTAATGCACAAAGGAACCAATCGAAATAAACTAGGAAACTTAAATCAAATCCTACTAAAATCTGGAAAACTATAGAACCTAGGAAACTAACAAATAAATCAGGCAATTAATCAAATCTGATACCAAATTGATGTAGGATATGGGTGAATTATAGATTTAGGTAGCTTAGTGGAAGCAAAAACAATGAAAAAAATATAGAAAATAGATGATAAGGATGCCTTGGCGTCACACCAAGAAACCCTAAACCCTGAATTACATGAGAGGTGTATTTATAGCAAACTAAAACCTAGAGACAATAGGAAAATCCCGTACTAAACAGAAATCATAATCCACAAAGGAGGCAATCCAAATAAACGAGGAAACTTAAATCAAATCCTACTAAAATCTGGAAAACTATAGAACCTAGGAAACTGACAAATAAAACAGGCAACTAATCAATGATGTCCGCATCAAGTTACCCATTGAATTGATCATCATGAACTCTAGACATGCACACCACTTCCTCCAGAACATTGTCACCTAATTCAAAAAACTTTTTGGGCAGTGATCTTTGTATTTTGAGAAGGGAAATATCACCTTGAGAACATTATTTTCCTTGTCTGTTAAATTTAGATGGGTATACTCTGAATCTATTAAGTACTGATCCTTCAAATATTGTAGGTATGGGGTATCAGATACCAATATCATCCCATACACACCCCCACCAGTACGCAGTGGATATGGCCAAGATTTGGTTACTGTACTGTCTAGGTATTCCTATAAATAAAAACCTGTCAGGATATGACAGATATCTGTTGCAATTATTTTTTGAAAAGTTGGGACAGGGAGTATGTGGGTCTGATTGTGGTTTTTAATGCATCACAAGAGAATCCGTTCCTTTACTTGTACATTACTTGCTGATTTAAAATAGAAAGAGAGGGGCTTGGGTTTTATACTATTTCTGATTACATCTGTAGAAGAGAAGGAGAATAAGAGTAGAAGAAAGAGAAGGGTAGATAAAAAGCTTAAAACAAAGAACTCGCTCGCACAGCCGCACACCTGGAACAAGGAAGAACTTGATGCATGAACAAGAATTAAATAGATAATAAATATGATTGTCATCTATCCTATTTTTTAAAAAATATATAAAATATAGTATGTACTATTTAGTGTGTAAGTTTAGGTTACTCTAGTTTGAAATAAACTGATATGAGCACTTTCACCTACTCTAAAGCATGTATTGCTATGAACTTCAATTCGTGTGTCAAGGTATTTCTATAGCTTTCATAGTTAAGCTTTGTTGATATGTATGTTCATTTGGTGATAGTTTGATTTATTTTCATTTTTCTCTTGAGATGGCAGTTTAATGACATTGGAGCTCATGGTACAAAGGTTATTATCTATAATTTATGGTTCAATGATGACGGGAATGTGGAGCTAGACTTTGATACAGATCCTGAGGTAGACAATTTCTTTCATCTACCCTGTTCTTCTCTTTTATTTTATTTTGAAATGTAATGTGTCCTCATCCGATGAGGTGGCTTTTTGTGACTTGGTGGTGCAGGATATTCGTATTAGTGGGGATACGAAAAAGTTAACGCTTCATCCAAATGGAAGACAGTAAATGAAGAGCACATTGCTAACCGTTTCCATTATTCTCTCCGGGTAATCCAAGTATAGCATATGCACACTTCATTAATATATAAGAATTTGAGTTCTCTGAGTGGAGTTTGATAGTTCTCTATTCTCCACAGGTATACTTGTCCATCTTATACTTGCGGATACCGGAAACCTTTCAAATAGTACTTCGTGGACGAGTTGTTGAGCATCATAATATTGCCAATGATCTCAAATTTCCAGAATTTATCTTGTATAAACCACAAATGGGAGGTTCTGTGGAGGTTGTACCACAATTTTGAAACAGTTGTTTCCCATTGCAGACGGACAAACTTAAGTTCTTCTTATTTAAACTACTGCTATCTCTTTGATCTCTGCTTTAATGATGTAGTGGCTTAACCATGCAGGGTCAAGTTATTACGACTATTGGATTTCTTAAAGAAGCTCCACATGTCAGTTTTCATGGCTTCAATGTTTATCACAAAAATCGTCTAATATTGGTATCTTTTCCTTGCTGAATTTGACTTTTCTGCTCTGGTGTTGGCTATCAAATAATGTTTAGGCTATTTATTTTGTCCTTCACCGTACATGTGATTTCTGGAAAAGCACAAGGTTATTCATAGGAGCACACATGCACACTGTAGGTTTTTTTTGTATCGCAAAAACATCTGATGCAGGTATCTTATGGAATTTAGCATTCTGCTAGCAGTGTGTTGGCTATAAATATAGTTTTGAGGCAATATTTGCAATTAATTTTCCCAGGGTTTTTACTCCCACAGAGACAATATATCTCACTAGTACTCAGGCTGATTCATTATGCCCAAATTTCTCTCTCTCTCTTTCTCTCTCTCTATATATATATTTTGTTTTCCCCTTTCAAAATTTTTGTTGTGTCATTTATATTGTCTCAGTACATGTAATTACTGCTGGTACACGAACAAAATTTTCTGTGGCAAAAAACTGAAAGCTTAAGACCCCATTGAGAATATTTTTCTGGTCCATGAGTTTGGTTTATGTTTTAGTATCATGTTGTGTAATGGAATGGGTTGTGTTGTAGCAAAAAAAATGGTGTGAAATTGTCAGGAATGCTAAATTAGACTATTGCTCATATTTAAATCTGGTATTGTGCCTTTTGTATAAAATCCTACAAGCTTTTGTACTTTCTATTGAATAATTTCGTTTTTCTATTTTCTTTTTATCTTAATCCATAACAAATGTATTTAATTGTATAGCATCTGTTATATTTAAAGTGACAAGGTTGTGCTTTATAAACTATTTCCGTTTTCCCCTCCTTTGCAGCCATTTTGGCAGGTCGTGAGCTATTTAGACAGTAGGGGTCGTGGGGTTGTTGGTAATAATCTACTAAACCACTCTTCTTATTGACACTATTTTGCTTTTTGAGGGTGTTGTAATTATAGACCAATGTTTGCTGGCTATTGTATAGGTGTTTTGGAAGCAAATTTTGTTGAGCCGAGTCACAACAAACAAGATTTTGAGAAAACTTCTCTTTTTCAGAAACTTGAAGCTCGTTTGAAGGAGATGACATGGGAATACTGGTAATCTACTTGCTACACTAATGGTCTTGTATTTTTTTCAATAACAGCAAAAATATTCATTTTTCGTGTCCCCCTTCCTGTATAACAATGAGGAACTTCTGCATAACCCAATGAATTTGATTAATTTTGTTTATTTATGTACGGAAGAACTTTGTACATAACTTCCAATTGATTTATATTAAGTGACCAAATTGTTTGGCCATTTGTATTATTAGAAGAGAAATCAGGTGGGTCAAGTTACTATCCACATGGACCCTTGTATTTAGCCTGCATCCATGTCAATAAAACATGACACTGGTAATGGTATGGCCACTGGATGCTCCAAATACATGAAACAATGAACTGACATTGGGACACTACCCTGCATCTGGCATTAATACCTGAGTCTGTGCTGTTTCCTACAAAGTTTCTTTTGAAAAGAAAAGTGGTAGTGGCTGTGAACCTGATGTGTTGTATTGAACTTTGACAGGGATTATCATTGTGGGCTAATTGGGTATCAGGTAAAGAAAAAGCTTATCCCACAAGTTTCATCCAATCGTATGCCACATAGTGGTGTTCAACAACCTGTCACATTGGGTCAAAGTTCCCCTGCTGTTGGTAGTAAAAAGGCAGCAGTTGGAAGATTTGAGCAATTAATACCCGACTCCCAAGGTAACTGCTTTAGTTAAGATTTGTTTTTCTCATTGAATGTTTACTGATGGTGCCTTGTACTGGTGTAGTAGGAAGGATTAAGAGAAAGGAGAATGGTGATATTCCACTAGTAAAAAATGTGAAGGCCAAGCTGATTGATGGGAAAAGTCAGAATGTACAGGTCAGTAGGGAACTTTTTAAAATTACCACACATTCCATTCCAGTTAAAGAAAAGCATTTTAGCTTCTATTGGAGTTCTGAGCTTTTGTAATTTGAGTTTTAATTTTTTTGAATAGAAACGAATTTTATTCAAAGAAAAACGAAGTGGAAACAAGTAGTGGATAAGGCATCCACAATTCAAAACAAGCAAAAACAAAATAACAGACGAAACCAGAACCAGAACAGAAACACTACAAGAAAGACACCAGCAAAACAACAGAGACTCCGCAACACCACAAGGACTAAAAGAAAACGAGTCAAAGAGAATCGAAACAAGATCCAGCAAAACTAAAGATAAACAAGACACCAAAACACTTCACGTTACAGCAGCAGCCATATCCCTCAATATAGAGGAGTAAGAATAATCTTTGAAATCTGGGGTGACAGAAGCCCATAAAGCAGCCCAGAATTTAACTCTATCCCATAATTTTCCAACACCCACTCCCTTATACTCGCCGAAAATCCTCCTGTTATGCTCCAGCCAGATGTTCCAAAATACAGACTGCAGCAACCAGCCATGTAAGGTTGAAGCACGCTTCCCCCTGCCCCATACAACAAAATAAGAACTGAGAAGATCAGAACACCCAAACAGCCTTAACCTCCCTCAACAAGGTCCAACAAAGACTTAAAAGAGAAGGGGAATTTTAAGAAAAGATGATCCGCGTTTTCCTCACTCATTTTGCATAAAGCACACCAGTGAGGAGACAAACACATATACGGTCTTCTTCTTTGGACAAGATTAGATGTGTTTACTTTTCCAAGGGCCATCAACCAGAAAAGAGCTTTAACCTTTGAAGGAGATTTGACCTTCCAAATTCGAGAATAAGGAGGGAAAGCCTCAGCCATCCCATTGTTGAGAAGAAAAGATCGACAAGATTTGCTTGAGAATGTCCCTGAACCCTCGAGCTCCCACCATTTCCTATCCAATCTAGAGTGAGACAATTTAATTCCTTCATGCCCAACACCCCCCCAAATTCAAGTTCCTCCTAATCCCGAAGTCCCAATTGAGGCAAGACCTGAATGTCCACGAAAGGAGAAATGCATAAAAGGTGCTTTGTAGACAGTGCGAATAATCTAGGAAAAAGATCCTTCAGAATTGATGCACGGCAGCGGCTATAAACTGCTGTCCAACGACCCAAACATGCATAGAAGGATAAAGCAATGAAATAGAAGTTGAAACGAAGATAATTGAGTTGTACGGCAAAATCCCAATAGAAACTCTATAGACTAAAGGGTTTAGCCAAGAGGCTCTAAATAGCCTATTTATACTAGAATACACCAGCCAAGCATTCCTATTCCTAGTTTGATAAGAAACCCTAATTGACAAGGGAAATTAAACGAAATCCTAGTCCAATCGACTAACGGGCCTAAGTAATCTTAAGAGAGCTTCATAGATGCTCCTGCATGAAACTCTCCTGGTTGGAAAAGACTTGGTCCTCAAATCTAAACCGTTATTATTGAAGACTATGAGAAGCTTGAAATTGGATTCTTTTTTTTTGTTTTTTTTGATAGGGTTGAAATTGGATTCTTCCTTTCCAAAGAAAGAGGTATTTTGAATATCAGACAATTCTTGAACACTTATGTTTATTCTCTTGCATCAATTCCACCGGGTTGTGAAGAATTCGTCCTCGAATTCCAACCTTTTACTGAATCTGTCCAAACTCAACCTCCACGTACATAAATTATCTATAGAACTTTGCCTTGAAATTAAACCTTCCCACTCCAAAGAAATAGATACTTATGGCATGTTTACTAATCCGTAATTGGATTAGGAGGAATTGAATTGAGGAGTTGGATTGAGGAGAATTAGATTCCAGATTCCTATTGAAGTTGTTTACTAAACTATATGGATTGAGGGGAGTTAGATTCCGGATTCCTATTGAAATTGTTTACTAAATCATACGGAATTGAGGTAGGAGTGGAACTAATTACTAAAATGTCCTTCTTGTTGGGTTAAAGTAGATGGCAAATTTGGAATTTAAAAAATTGTGAGGATATAATGGGTAAAAAATATGAATTACTAATAGGCTAGTTCTCCGGGAATTAGAATATCACCTCCCATCCAAGAATTGAATTCCTTGAAAATCAGGAATTCAATTTATAATTTTGTGTGGGCCCCACTTACTTTTCAATTCCTTGATGCGAAGTAAACACATGAATCTTCAAGAAGTGGAATTCAATTCCTGATGAGAATTCCAATTCCTAATTAGTAAACACCATTAGAATATTTAATCCTTCGAGAACACTTCCAGTTATCTTTTGTAGACAATCTTGCAACCCAAAAACTGTTCAATCCAAAAGCTATTAGATTGACATGATCAACATATTTCTTGGCAATCTTCAAATCAAAAGCATCAACTCCAAGAAAATCAACATACTCAGAATTATCACGACACAATCTAAAGAAGTCATCTCATCTCTAACAACTTTCTTGTATCATCGTGCCTTCAAACTTGTATGGATTGTGTTCCTTCAAAAGTTTAGATCCAACCTTTTCTTGATCCACCACTTTCAAGATTACAGTAGGGCCCCATTTGGTTCATGGGAAATGAGGTTTGGGGGTGGGAAATCAATTGCTTTCCAATGTTTGGTAAGTCCAAGCATGAGAAATCGTTGCCTGGCACGTGGGAAAATAAGAGGGAAAGTGAAAGCGCTCTTGCCCCATTGGGTTTTGTTTCCCCTCCTCATAGGAAAGTTTGGAAAAATGAGCCAACATTAATTGCAAATTTTTCTTGACTATTTTGTCCTCATTAACATTTAGAATTATAATATATATCATTCAATGTGTTTGTTTTCTATTTGATTTAATATGGGTATAATTGAAAAATTATACAGACTTTGTTTTCCCATTCCTACTCAAAACAAACATGGGGAATGAAATAAAGTGATATCTTCCAATTACTTTCCGAGCATTACCAAACATGGACATGGGAAGTGATTTCCCCACAAATTCGTTTCATGAACCAAATGGGACTTAGATTCATCTTGTTTACTCTCACCGAATACTTTGCCAAAAATTTCTCAATCCAAAAACAAATTTCACAATCGTCTTCTAAACATTGATCAAATACGAGTGGGATATCTAAATTTTCGTAATTAACTGAAGAATTAGAGTGAACCTGATCTAGTATAGACTGAAGGAACAAAAGGAAGGGTGGAAATAAAAAAGTTCTAGGAAAAGACTTGACATTCAAATCTCAATTTTAAAGAACTACATGGGGTATTTATAGTAAACTAAAGCCTAGAGACAATAAGATAAAAATTCCTTGCTAAAACAGAAATCCTAACCCAAATAAAATAGGGAACTTAAACATCGTAGAAATCTGGAAAAGAAATCCTATTAGATTTTGGAAAACTAGAGAATCTAGGAAACTAACAAGTAACATCGAGCAAGTCCAACCATGGTGTGGAGCAAGGATTAAGCTAGGCTCTAATACCAATTTGATGCAAGGCAGTAGCTATAAGCTGCTGTCCAACGACCCAAAATACAGGGAATAGAAGGATGAAGCAATTGTCCTCCCAAAATCTCACCCTATCCCTACTTCCCACCTCAAACCTGCAACACTGTAAAAAGGAATGGTACCCAGAGGAAATATTCTTCCGAGGGTTACGAGAGGAGCCAGTAGTAGTTGGATTGGCATCCCACCGATTCCAAGCAACCCTGTATTTACTGCTAATCACCAGATGCCACACGGAATTAGGTTTTCCTTCACTCCAAGCCCGCCTTCAATCTTAAGTTTTCCTTGCCTCCACTCATTTCATAAAAAGGATCTCATGTGCTTTTACACTTTATTAGCCATGCTGCTAGACATTTTAAAAAGTGACATATAATAGGTTGGGATACCACTCAAAACAGCTTGAATAACCTTCTGCCTCTAGAAAGAAATGCTCACTTCCACTTTTGAAGTCTCATGTGTACCTTCTCCACCACTGGTGCTCTAGGATTACTACCGAGGGGAAGGCCTAAATACTTCATAGGCCAACCACCCACCTCGCAAACCCAACCACCAGCTAGCAAATCCAAATATGAGGTACTATAATTTATTCCCACAAAAGAACATTTAGATTTATTAATTCTCTTGAGCCTTCTCCATAAGCCTACTTAGCACATTGATCACCAAAGTGAACAAAAATGGAGATAACGGATTCTGGGCCTCCCATTAATCATGATAGAGAAATTATCAGACTCTAAACAACCCTTGATCCAACTTCTCTATCTCCCTCCAAAGCCCTTTCTTTCCAAAACATCATCCACAAATTTCCATTCTACATGATCATATGCATGTTCAAAATAAATTTTAAAGACCAAACCCAACTTATTAGACTTCTTGGCGTGCTCGAGAACCTCATTAGCAACCAAAACAGCATCCAGAATCTGCCTATTTTTCACAAAATCTCCCTGGGAAAGTGAAATAGTACTGCCGAATACCTCCCTTAGTCTCGAGGCCAAAACTTTGGACACCACTTTGTATAAGCTAGTCACCAAACTAATAGGCCTGTAATCCCTAATCTTAACAGTCTTTTTCTTTTGGGATAAGACAGATCAAAGTTTCATTTGTAACCACATTGATGATCCCAGTATCATAGAAATTCTCCGTCACCTTCATAATATTACCTTTGAAAGTGTCCCAGCAAGATTGGAAGAAGAACAGAGTGAAACATCAGCACCTGGCGACTTGTCCTTTCTGCAATCAAAGACGGCATTACAAACCTCCACCTCCTTTTTTGTCCAAAAAAAACCTCCACCTCCTCAAACGACCTCTCGATCCAAGCCACCTCCACATTGCTAATCGGGCATCAATTTAATCCCTCCAGCCCCCAACCCACTTCCTTGTTACTACTATAAAACCTCTTGAAAAAATTAATTACCTCCGATTCAATACCCTTCTTGTTATCAATAATACCCACAGCCTCCACTTGTAACCTATCAATGTAGTTTCTTTTTCTATAACCAGTGGCCATCATATGAAATTTTTTGGTATTACCATCTCCATCTCTAGCCCATTTAACTTTACCTCTCTGTCTCCACTTCACTTCCTCCTTGAAAACTAAATCACCTACCAAGAAGTGTAGATCTTCCCTTTCCTTCCTCAAGACGCTATCCAGCCCTTCCAGCCCCTCACGGAGATCAACTTCAGCCTCCCATTTAGCGGACTCCACATCTCCAAACACCTCCTTGCTCCAGCGTTTCATCTTTGCTTTCAACAATTTCAACCTGCTCATAAATTTGTACCCTTCCCAGCTAAATATCTGGTCTTTCCCCCACCAAATTTTGAGAGCCTTCTTAAAATCAGTTTGATCCAACCACATATTTTCAATGTAAATTTCATTGATATTTCTGTGTTTTTGTATGTTTACTCAGACTTGTGCTTGTTAGCCTAATGTACCCATGTTGACATCATGCAATCCCAGTCTGTTTAAGATATGGGTGTGCACTGTTTCTAAATTATGAACACTTCTCTGTGGCCTCACGCCAAAAAGAATGTTTTAGAATGGAAATAATAGTCTCTGATTTGTTGTTCTTTAACGCATTTTGCTTTTCTAGCTTGTGAATCCTACTGGAAGCCAGCTGAAAGATGCAGAGGCTGTAAATTTGATGCAAGAGAACAAAAAGCTCAGGGCTAAGTGAGTAGATCACCTGCATTGTTATTTTGACGTCAATTTCATTGCGTGAACAATCCGTTTCTTGCATAATGAAGATATTTACATACTGAATATTTAGATTCTTAGCTATTTGTTTCACCTTTTCAGATGTTTGGAATATGAGAAGAGAGGGGAAGAATTAAATCTCAAGGTATTCCAAATGGGACCAAATAATTACTTCTATTGAGTATTTAACACTTGTACTTGCGTCTAAGATTTCTTTTTCTTTTTGTTTGGTCTAATGACGGGGCTACTTAATGAAAGTGTTCTTTCCTTCCTTTGCGCTAGGTACTCGATTAGGTGTCTTATCTCAATACCTCTAGCTTCTTAATATTTTATTGCTTTGTGTGGTGTTCAAACATTTGGCAGTCCATCGAACTTCTTGTGGAGATTTTTCCTCAGTAAGAGGGGTTTTTGACCCATCTTCAATCCTTTTGCATGTGAAATGATGTTGAAAGGACTTTAAAGAAAATTCTATTAACTTTCTTAGAAAATGAAAGCTCCATAAATAGAATTCTCGAGGATTTCTCATTAACTTAAGCTTATAGAATGTCACAATAAGTTTAGGAAAGTTAGCTCCATTTGGTTGAAATTTCCTGCAGCAGCTTCCACTGTGATGAGTTGGGCAGCTGCTTGTTGAGCTGGATGGCTTGGTCTGTCTCTGCTATATTCTCCGTACCTGCAATTGCCATTTCTCTTGCTTTCATGTTATACTCCTCTGTAAACCTTAAAGCTCAATATTTGGAAAGCTTGCCTGAACTGTCTAGTTAAAATTATTGTATTTGTGCAGGTGACACAGCTTAGAAGTGAAATAAAAGAGCTCAATGACGAATACTCTCAGATGATGTCCGAATTAGAATCTTTGGAGACTGTCAAGGAAGAATCAGGTGTATGAATGCATATATAGCAAGTGTTGTATCATTGATTCTTTCATTTGTAAAACATTGTATGCATAGCTCCGCCTAGTCTACAGTTTTCGACCCTTAGGATGATAGGAAGATGTGATCATCGAATCTGAAAGCTTCCTGTGTTTTTTCCCTTATTTTTTGTTTTAATTTCCCTTTGTCATTTCCTTGTCAGTCTTCACGGGCTCTTGTAAATAAAAAGTTGTATTTAGTTTCACTAACAATTTAGACCCTGCTAATTTCACAATTAGAATGTCAGTAGTTGTAGCTTAAATGTCAACAATATTTACTTCTATGCTTCCTAATGTTTTCGCTGTTTGGAAAAGTTGAGTATTAGGAATTTGGGTGGATCTTATGAAGTCATTTATGGATTAATTTTGCCTCCTAATTTGGTTTAGGCAAGGAGAGCTCCTTACAACCTATTTTCTTACTAGATACGTCTAAATCCGTATAATCACCCACAAAAATGACAAACCTTGTATAATTTTGGATAATTTTCTAAGTGAAGTTGTGAACTTGGCATTTAAATTTACAATTTGTCTCATACTCATACTCCGCTATTGATTTGTTGGTTTCTGTGAGATTAATATTCCTTTACCCTTTGTTTGGATGAAGGAATTTATATTTTCATTGTTGATGTAGAAAAATGGTTAGGCACTTTCCCGCGCAACTTAGTGATTATTTTTCCTTCGGTATGCTATGACCTCGGTAGGGCGTTCAATCTGTAAGATAGCAAACGCACGGTAAGACCTAGGGCACAGGTGTGGTACTGGCCGAAGGCTCTCCGATGCTTAAGTAAGTACGGATTTAGTAAGTTTGAACAACAGATCAATAGGCAGTATACCATAAGTTCTGATTGATTACCTCCATGCTGGGGGTTGTCCTCTTTTATAGGCCTCGGGAGGTATGTAATTTGTTTAGAGTTTCGATGTGGGACTGTGGACATCAATTGTGGGACTGCCACGTGTCCCCGGGGGTGAGGTTGCCCTAATGGTGCGACCGGTAGGAATGATACTGAAGATAGGTGCCGAAGGCTCCCATAACTCTGGTTTGGTCCACGTGTCCAATGTTCATTGGTTGTTCATTTTGGTATAAACATGAGTTCCCCAAGTCCTCTTGCGAGAGTTCTCGGAAGGGGATTTGAAGTTGTCCTCGGAAGGAAATGTCGTCCTACCGTTCGGTAAACCAGTTTGGTGGAAGGGCTCAACTCTGGCTCTTTTGTTCTTGCTTGTTCAGAGGCTGACGTCGGGGCAGTCAGAAGGTCGCGTCGAGTGGACTGGTGAGGGGACATCTGGGCGCTTCGTCTTCTGTGCCTCGCGTGCTGTCAGTCCACCATAGGATGAGCGACACGTGGCGAGAGTAATCATGGTGTGCGGCGCATTAATGCTCCGTTTGGTTTTCCGAGGTATACCGTTGCGACCCCTCTCCCTATAAATAGAAATGACCCCGGAGGCGAAATCACTTTGCACTTCGTGAGAAGCGAGAGCTCTGTTGAGGCGATTTCCGACAAGAGCTTCCGGTATTCAAGGCGATTTTCGACAAGGGCTAACGGTAACCAGGCGATTTTCGGCGTTACGAACGGTAGGAAGGCGATTTTCGTCAAGACGATCTGGAGCGCAGTTCGTGTTTCTTTTCCAGAGTTTGAACTAAGGTACCGTTCGGCACCTCCAATTTACTCTCTTACATATCTTAAGAGTTACGTCCTTCCTTGGTTTGAACTAGACTAACCATAGGGTTCCATTCGGTAGTCTAGTCGCCATAGGTAGTGATGTAGGGATCGGTAGGATAGCATCTGGCATGAGCCTTAGTTTCCTTTTTCCCTGTTTTTGTAGATGTCTGATAGCGAGTCATTCTCCGAGCGTGAGCCCAATGCGTTCGATGAGGAGTCATCAAACGGTCTCTTTGACTCCGATGACGAAGCGGCAGGGCCTGATGCCGAGGACGGAAGTGATACCGATGTTGAGATACTCGGTGAAGGGCCCAACTCCGTTCCTACACACGGCATTGGAAAGGGGCTAATGACCGCTCCGGTGCCGTTGTCTATTGTTTATATCGACGGTCGCCATGTGGGCCTAGGCATGCCTGGGGAGGCGAGCGCTAGTCGCCAGTCAGAGGCCTCCACTTCTGGCCGTGGAGAGTCAGTTGCCGAACCATCTCTTCGGCCGAGGGTTTCGGTAGTCTATCCCAGCAATCCTAGGATGCCGATGGGAGTTCCGAAGGAGCTCGTCTTCGGCGTAGATTATTTGGAGCCTAACAGGATCACCGAGAGGGAGATTGTGAAGTTCCGTGCCGAGTACTTTATACCAGATTCGGTAAGCATGAGGATCCCAAATCCTATCGAATCTCTAAGCAATCCGAAGGATGGCGAAGTCGTCTTTTTCACGGACGTACTTCTACAAGGAGTGAGGCTCCCTCTGCAGCCCGCCGTTCAGAGGATCCTGGCGCAGATAGGCTATGCTCCCGACCAGTTCAACCCCAACTTCTGGGTAGCGCTAATGGGTGTGGTCATAGCCTTCGGTATGGCTGACGAGGGAGAGCCTTCGTACGAGCAGTTCTCCCATCTGTACAGCGTTACAAAGTCGAAGTATGCCGATCACGGGGGTTGGGTTCAGGCTAACTGCCTGAAGGTTACCGAGCGCGGCCATTTTGTCAACGCCGTGCCAACCTCCCGGAAGATGTGGAGGAAACGGCGGGTGCTTTTGTCCGGTGATTGGGAGTCGCCCTCGGGACATCCCGTCCGTTTCCACATTCCCACTACCTTCCAAATTGCCGGTAGGCCATCCTACCGTTCGGTAGGCCTCCTAAAGTGTATCGTCCTTCAGAAAGTTTAATTCCGTTTCCTTTTTGTGCAAGCAAACTGAAGCAGCCGAGCGCTACACAAGTGGAGATTCGGCAGATCGAGCCGGTGAGGCTGAAGGTCCCTGCCGTGGATAAAATTTACCCGAAGTTCCTCTTCACCGCCAATCTCATCAAAGCTCAACTTGTCAACCCTGCCGAGAGTAAGTGTACTTGTTCATTTTGACCTAGTTTAAAGCCATAAGAGAAAATCTGACTGATCTTTGCTCTGTAGTGACCGAGGAGAGGAGGACTGCTGAGGCGAAGAGGATGAACGAGTCCTCCAAACGGCATCTCATGCTCGGCATGCAGGGCAAGAAGAAAAAGGGGCGGCAGTCGGAAACGACACCAGCGTCTTCGGGAGGAGTTGACCCCGAGGACCTAACCCTCAACGAGCGTCGTCGACAGATGAACGTTGAATCAGCGGATGCCGAAGCGGTTGCTGCCCGTCCGTCTCCCAACCGAGGTATGCCTACCGAGGGTACCTCCTCCAAAGCTGCCGGCAAAAGGCCATTCACCGTCGATCTGGATGCCGATCCCGCTCCCAAGCGTGGGCGACCTGCCGAGCCTGCTAGGGCCATCTTTGCTGCCAAGGACGACGAGGCGACTCTCGAAGCTGTCACTCTGGCCTGTCCTTCGAAGACTGTACAGTTTGTGAACCACATGATCCTTGGTTCACAAATGGAGCTGTCCGAGATCGAGGACCTGCTGAAGAAGCTCCTTCGGGAGGAGGCCGGCCGCGCCTTCCGTCTTCAAGCCTTTTTACCGTTCGTTTACATCGCCTGACATTTTCCTTTGCTCTTCAGGCTTCAATGGACATGTGGCTGTGCGTCAAGCGAGCCATTAATGCCGTTGAAAAGGCGAAGAAGGCTTATGACGACGGCAGGGCTAAGGTTGCCGAGGCTGGCAAGGCTATCCAAGCTCAGGCGAACTTGGCAAAGGACATGCAGGTTGCCGAACGGCAGGTTAAAGTTTATCAAGCCAAGCTCGGTGAGATGTCGGCAGCCCTGGAGTTGGAGCAGCTAGCGGCAAAGGAGGCTCTGGAGTCGAAGGAGGCGATCCAGGTGGCCTTTGAGGAGTCGGAGCGGGTCAGGGCTTCGGACATCGAGGCTGCCGTCCAGGAGGCAATACGGGGGTACCGTCAATCTTTAGAGTTCACTACCTTGCTTGACAAGGAAGTGGGCTTGGAAATGGTAGATCTGCTCTACTGTTTCAAGCGATACAACCCCGGAAAAAAGCTCAACCTCAACTTCATTGTCGATCCTCCCCTTCTTCCTGAAGGCATAACCGAAGAAATGATCGAGGACTACGAGGGGGAGGACGCCACAGAAGAGGCTCCTGCCGATGCCGAGGAGGAGACTGCCGAAGGAGATGGGGTCGCTGCCGAGGCCGAGGAGGCCGCCGCCTGACAGAAAGCTTCGTACGCTCTGCAATGATAATCTTCTCCAAAAGCTTCTTCTCATTGTCAACTAAAGCTGGTTGAGCTCTAGGAGATGATAGAAGATTACGAAGTGGAGGACGTCCCGGATGAGCCCGTTGCCCCTGATGCCGAGGAGGAGACTGCCGTTTGAGCTTTGTTTAAGTTTTTATTAAATGTAATTTGTAATGAGGCAATATGTTCTGAACTCTTTGATGCCGAGGGCATCCTTTAATTCAAGCACTTTAATTTTCATGATTAGTCAAGTGGCTTTACTTTCGGTAAGATTGACTTAACTGCCGTAGGCTAGTGTAAGCTAACTTCCAAGGTTGAAAACTAACCATTGTAACTGCCGAAGGCAGGATGATTGGCTTAACTGCCGTAGGCTAGTATAAGTTCAAATTTCAAGTGAACCCTGAATCGGTAAGCAGCTTTGGGCTTAACACTTTACTTCCGAGGGCCAAACAATTTCCCTTTCAAGTGCCGATGGCTAAATAAGGTGATTTTACAGTCTTTTAATAAGCTTGCTAAAAGTCAAGTTGACCCTCTGTCGGTAGGAAAAGATATCGTGGTACCTCCATTGCCGAAGGCAATAAAAGGATTTTGAAATGTAGTATACTGCGACCGATGGTCTCTACCTCATCTTTTTTTTGTTTGAAAAAATGAAACGCACCGAAGGTTGCGAATATAAGCACCAAAGGCCTTTTCATTAATAATTACCGAAGGCAAGGATACGTTTGAAGTTCGCTTTACAATTGAAAACCTGCCGTAGGCTACGGAACTCTACACTGTCGTAGGCTGTGAGCAAGAACAAGCCGAAGGCTTTAACAATGTTTTCTACATGCCGTAAGCTAGGTGACTTCATTTAAAGTAGTATTTCAAATGCTCTACGTTCCAAGGATGACCGAGGGTCTTTCCGTTGGAGTCCCTGAGTCGATAAGTTCCTGATCGCTGGATGCCGATGATCTCGTAAGGTCTTTCCCAGGAAGGTCCGAGGGTTCCTTCCCTGGAGTCCTTAGTTGCCAGAGAAACTTTTCGCATGACCCAGTCTCCGATTCGGAAAGAGCGGGATCTGACCCTGGAGTCATAGTACCGCGAGACGCGCTGTTTGTAAGCTTCATTACGAAGGTTAGCCTGTGCTCGGTGCTCTTTGATCAGGTCGAGGCTTAAGGCAAGTGCCTCCTCGTTTGCTTTTGGGGCAAAAGTTTCCGTTCGGTAGGAAGGTTCATCGATCTCGACAGGGACAACAGCTTCCATGTCGAAGGCCATAGAGAACGGCGTTTCTCCGGTTGCCGTTCGATAGGATGTCAGGATGGCCTATAATGCTTCCGGAAGCTTCTCCGGCCAAGCTTCTTTTGCCTTGTCAAGCTGCCGTTTCAGCAGCTTCTTGACTATTTTATTCATTGCTTCGACTTGGCCGTTTGATTAGGGGTGAGTTGGCGAAGCAAAGAACAGGTTGATCTTGAGGCGAATGCAGAACTCCTTGAAGACTTCCGAATCAAACTGCCTGCCGTTATCCGTGATGATGGCGTAGGGGATGCCGAATCGGCAACAAATGTTCGTCCAGACGAAATCTTCAATTCTGGCTGCCGTTATTGTTGCTAAGGCTTTGGCTTCTACCCATTTGGTGAAGTAGTCCACGGCAACCACAGCGTATTTGACCTGACCCTTGCCTTCTGGCATCAGACCAATTAAGTCTAATCCCCATTGGGCGAATGTCCATGGGCTTACAATCGGTGAGAGTGGCTCGGCAGGAACGTGAGGGACGCTACCGAACCGTTGGCATTTGTCACACTTCTTGACTAACATGTTCGCATCTTGGTGCAGAGTTAGCCAGAAATATCCCTGTCGGAAGACTTTGTGTGCGAGCGATCGGGATCCTGAATGGTCACTGCAGACTCCGCTGTGGACCTCCCGAAGGATGTAGTCCCCCTGCTCTCTGGTTAGGCATTTTAGATACGGCGTGGTGTAGCCTCGCTTGTACAGAACATCGTCGATGACTGTGTATCTTGCCGATCGGTACCGGAGCTTCCGAGCTTGGGACTTATCGGTGGGAAGGGTTCCATTTGTCAGGAAAGCATAGATTGGAGACATCCATGTGTCCTCATACCGTATGGTACACACCTCAGCAGTTGTCGTGCTTGGCTGGGATAATATCTCTACCGGCACCTTCCTTCCGATCTTGTCATTTATTGCCGAAGCTAAATGCGAGAGCGCATCGGCGTGACTGTTTTCTGACATAGGGATCTGCCGAATCTCGTAGGCCTAAAATTTTTGCAGGAGTTGATGAGCTGCCGATAGGTAGGCTGACATAGAGGCATTTTTGGCTGCGAAGTCTGCCGTTATCTGATTCACAATGAGCTGGGAGTCACTGTGAATGCTGATCTGTCTCTCGCTCATGCTCTTGGCTAGCCGAAGGCCAGCCAAGAGAGCCTCATACTCTTCCTCGTTGTTAGAGGTCCTGAAGTTGAATCGGAGGGCATATTCGACTTTGCCACCGTCTGGAGTGGTTAACACTAAGCCGGCTCCACAGCCTTGTTGGTTTGCCGAGCCATCCACGTGTAAAATCCAGAGAGGGACGAAACTGTCAAAGCGCTCAGCATCCATTTTCTCCGGTGCAGTAAGAATAGCGTTCGGACAAAATGTCTCCGATAGTGCAGGAGGTGTGAGCTTGGAGATGAAGTCGGCGACGGCCTGACCTTTCTCTGCAGGCCTTGGCTTGAACTGTATGTCAAATTCTCCCAACTCGATTGACCATTTGACCAATCGGCCCGACGTTTCTGGCTTTTGAAGTACCTGCCGAAGGGGCTATAATAGCGGTGCCTTGCTCATGTAGTTTTTCAAGTCTTGAAATGCCTGATCGCATTCGGGAGTCCACATGATACGATGTTTGCCGCCTTTCAAGGCTTTGAAGAACGGTACTCACTTATCGGTGGCTTTGGAAATGAAGCGTGTTAAGGTAGCGACGCGTCTGGTAAGGCTCTGGATGTCTTTCTGTGTCTTCGGTGTCTCCATGTTGAGTATGGCTTTGATTTTCTCGGGATTAGCCTCGATTCCCCTTTGGCTGATCATGAATCCGAGAAATTTACCGGAAGATACACTTAAGGCGCACTTCGTTGGGTTCAGCCTCATTCGGTAGTCTTTCAGTATACCAAACATGAGGGCCAAGTTTTCTAGATGCCCCCCTACCGTTCGGCTTTTCACCAGCATGTCGTCGACATACACCTCCATAATGCTGCCGACGTGTTTGGCGAAAATCCGATTAACGAGGCGTTGATATGCTCCCCTTGCGTTTTTCAAGCCGAAGGGCATGACGTTATAACAGTAAAGCCCGCGATCGGTAATGAACGTCGTATGCTCGCTATCGGCAGGGTCCATAAAAATCTGATTGTATCCTGAATAGGCGTCCATGAAGATGAGCAGCTTGTGTCCAGCGGTAGCGTCGACGAGCTGGTCGATCCTCGGTAATGGGAAGCTGTCCTTCGGACAGGCCTTGTTCAGGTCGGTATAGTCTTGGCACATTCGCCATCCCCCACTAGCCTTCCGAACCATGACTGAGTTGGACAGCCAAACAGGGTACGTAGCTTCCCTGATAAAGCCGATGGCTTTAAGCTTGTCAACTTCGGTACGCATAGCCTCATACTGTTCGGCGTCATACGAACGGCGCTTCTGCCTGACTGGTTTACAGATGGGGGAGATGCTAAGCTTGTGGCTGATGACGTCAGGTGATATACCAGGCATATCATCGTAAGACCAGGCGAAGACTTCTGCGTGATGTCGCAAGAAGTCGATGAACTGCTCCCGTAGATCTGGACCAAGGGCGGTTTCGATTTTCACGCACCGATCGGGGTGCTCCTCATTCAAGATGACAGTTTCCAGCTCCTCGGTAGGTTGAGCTAACAGTGTCAGCGTTTCTTCCTTTGGGTCGTTTATTGGCCCGGTACCGTTCGGTAGTCCCTACATAGACATAGCCTCCATTGGGGGTTTGCAAGCTACTGTCTTCAAAGCAGTCGCGTAGCACGTCCGTGCGCTGAGTTGGTCTCCTCACACGGCGCCGGTATCGTTGCAGGTGGGGAATTTCATTAGCAACATGTGGGGGGACAGGTGGGCCTTGACTCTGGTGAGTGCCGTTCGTCCGACGATGAGGAATTGGTCGTAGGTCATCGTCTTTCTAGGGGCAACGCCAAAGGCGATGGGCAGACTTACACTGCCTACTGGTTGGACCAGATCCCCAGAAAAACTGAGTAAGGGCGTTATCTGCCGATTGACCATGCTGTCGGCAACCCCCAAACCTCTGAAGGCATCGGCAAAAATTACATTTACCGAGTCCCAGTGTCAATCAGTACCCGACCTACATCGTAATCGGCGATTTCGGCTCGAATGATCATCAGGTCGTCATGGGGATAAATGATCCCTTCTTCCTCTTCTTCGCAAAAGGTTATGGGCTCCCAACCCACCTTCGCGAACTTACGATGCCGATCGGCCTCTATGCCGAAGACCTGAGGGTAGTGAGCGGCACGCACATACTGTTTCACCGATTGGTTAGAGGGTCCTGCCAGAGTGGGGCCTCCGCTGATGGTGCTGATCATGTTGATCTGCCGATTCGCGTTCGGTGCCGGTGCCTGTGGTGGCCTGGCGATGTACTGATCCAGCTTTCCTTCCCAAATCAGGCGCTCAACGATCTTCCTCAGACTAATACAGTCTTTGGTGTTGTGGCTGTTCTGCTGGTGGTATCGGTAGAATTTGCCAGTGTCTCGATTGTCCTGCCGATTGGGCTTTTAGTTGGTTGGCTTCGGGATTTGATCGTGCTCATTCATCAAAACGGCCTCGTATGTAGTGTTCAGCAGGGTGAAGACTTCCTGGGCACGATCCTGATTTGGTAGCGGCGCACGGTGGTTGTTACGACCGTATTTCCCGCGCTCTTTCTTCGAGTTTCCCTGACGACTATCACGGTCGTCCTTCCGTTTGTGCCCTGTCGAAGAATCGTCAGTTCACCCCAGGTAACTCTTGGGTGCTGACTCCTCCTTCCGAGTCGAAGGCCCGGGTTTGGAGTTGAAATATTTGGCCTTCGCCAGGACTGCCGCATGCTTCATCAACTCGTCATATGTGCGCCAGTTACTACTGTGCACGAGATATCAGAAATGAGAGGACCGAAGGCCACTCTTGAAGGCACCGTAGGCTGCCCTGTCATCCGTTTCTGGACACCTCGAGTATTCGTGACTGAAGCGCGCGGCATACTCCCGTAGGGGTTCGTCTTCTCTCTACCGAATCGTGTACAGATCATCGGCAGAGTACAAGCGATCCGTCTGGATCATGAAGTGATTGAGGAAAATCTGCTTCAGTTCGTCAAAGGAGTCTACCGTCTCTGGCTCAAGACGGTAGAACCAGTTCAAAGCGGCTTCGGTAAGGGATGATGGGAATAGTAGGCATTGCCCCTCGTCGCTGAGGCCCTTGCATCGAATTGTCGATTGGAAGGAGTGAAGGTGCGTCAAAGGGTCCTCTACGCCGGTATAAAATGGTATGCGCAACGGCTGCACCTCCCTGTCCTGTTTGGACTTCTTGATGCACTCGGTAAATGGTCCTGGCCGAAGTTTTCCCCAGTCAGGTACCTGGGATCGAGTTCAGTCATCTTCCATCTTCTGGATTCTCTGGAAGACCAGACAGATAGCGGGGTCTTGGCTTGGGACCTCCTCGGAACTGAAGTATTCGGAAGTTCTCCTCAGACTTGGCGGTCTTGCCTTCGAATACTCCGGGGGAGATTCCGAACGGTAGTTTGATTCGGTGCCCTTGGAGGGGACGTACTCATCGTCAGATCCCAACTCCAAATCCAAACCCTGGACCTTCCTAAGGGGCGATTTGTCTACAAGGATGACGCAGCACAAGCAACAAAGGTTTCAAACGAAAACCTTGAGTAACAAGAAATCTGGATTCCACCACTAATTAAGAGGAATTCTCTTGGAATAATTTTATTAAAATCTGAGATACTGAAAACGTTCACCAACTCTGACTAAATACACATCTCTCAACCCTTGAGCTGCTAGGGGAGTTATTACATTAAAACTGAAAAACAGAATTTATTCCGAAAATTAACTACGAAACTTTGAATGCCGTTTTGGAAGACCAAACCACCTCAGAATGCCAAAATCCATCATACATCCCGGCAAAGTGATGAGTTTGACTCGTGGCGTCGTTCCCTTTCCGAAATGGTATTTTGCGTCCTAATCGGAGCTCGGACAACAAATCTACAAATTCCCGCTACGTCCTTTTTCTAGCTCAACCGCGATAAAATCTGCCATTTGTTCTACATCAAAGGACCTTCATCTTTGAGTCCCGCAGGCGAGCATTAACCCTGATTGGGGACCTATGCCGTTTGGCATCCTTCTTGTCGTTGATCCGATGACGACAATCGGTGTACACTTTCTTCGGCACTTGAGGCTGGTCCTGTGGAGCTGGGACCACCAACTGTTTGGAAGGTGCAGGCGTTGCCTTTGCCCCCTTCTTTCCTTTCTTCTGCAGACCGAGGGTCTGCAGATTCTGGGAAGACTCGGTAGCCTGAATGCTCTATGTTTCCTACTGGTTAAGCAACCGCTGGGTTTCGTCCACTTTGGACGAGAGGAGACTGTTATGTTCTTGGAGCTTAGCCATTTCCCTCCGAAGGGAAGTCATTTGAGCCAGAAGCTCCACTTCGACCGTGGTCTGAAGCACCGGAGGATTACCGAAGGGGGTGCTAGGGTGCAGCGTGGGGCTTGCTCCACTTGGCATACCATATGGTAATCCATCCTCCGATAGGAACTGTGGTCCTGAAGTGGTTCCCATATGTTTTTTAGGAATTGTAGGTTGATTGTTATCGTTTCCCACAGACGGTGCCAAACTGTTGACGCAGAAAAATGGTTCGGCACTTTCCCGCGCAACTTAGTGATTATTTTTCCTTCAGTATGCTATGGCCTCGGTAGGGCGTTCAATTTGTAAGATAGCAAACGCACGGTAAGTCCTAGGGCACCGTTGTGGTACCGGCCAAAGGCTCTCCGATGCTTAAGTAAGTACTGATTTAGTAAGTTTGAACTACATATCAATAGGCAGTATGCCGTAAGTTATGATTGATTACCTCCAAGCTGGGGTAGTTATCCTCTTTTATAGGCCTTGGGAGGTGTGCAATTTGTTTAGAGTTTCGATGTGGGACTGTGGACATTAATTGTGGGACTGCCACGTGTCCCCGGGGGTGAGGTTGCCCTAATGGTGCGACCGGTAGGAATGATACCGAAGATAGGTGCCGAAGGCTCCCATAGCTCTGGTTTGGTCCACGTGTCCGATGTTCATTGGCTGTTCATTTTGGTATAAACATCCATCATTTTAATTTTTGGCAATTGAAGATTTCAATATTTGATTTATGTATGTCCAATTTTGTAAATGACATTATGAAAATTGTGAAATGACATCTATTTTGATGAAAATTAAACTCAGGAATTTGATAGCCTAATTTTCACGATTTTTTCTACATTTCATTTTAATAAATTCTACTCTTAAGTTGCTAAACAAGGGAATTATCAATTTCTCATCTTAAATTTTGTAATTTTAACTAAATTCTAAGGGCCTGTTCGTTTATGTTTTAAAGGCCCGTTTTTGTTTTTAAAAAACAGAAACAGAGCAAAAACATGTTCGGTAAATAAAAATAGAAAACATCAAAAACGTTTTCATAAAATGAGTTGGACTTCACGTTTACTTCTACAAAACAGAAAAAAGATGTTTTTGTTCTCCCAGAAAACAAACGCTCAAAACAGACTTCTGCTCAATCTCTCTCTCAATTTTCTCTCCCTATCAGAATCGTTCTTCTCTCCTCCTCGCTCACCCTTCTCTTCTTTCCCCCTTTCTTGACCACTCTTCTCTCTGGCTTGGCTCACTCCTCTCTTTGGCAATAGTCTCTCTTCCCCTATTCACCACTAAGGCATTTTGTTCTGTCCGATTGCTCCATCACCACAGACCACAGCTGCTCTTGGAAGATCTTGGTAATTTTCTATATTTTTCCTCTTTCTCTAGCTTTGGGTATTTTGTGCCTTTAGATCTAGGGTTTTTTGTTCATGGCTGTTCTAAAAATAAAAGTTGTATTCTGTAAATTAGGTTTCTTATACATCTAAAAATTACAGGGAAGAAGAAGAAGAAGAAGAAGAGGAGTGACGCATACCTCACATTAACTGAGGTAATTCCTCGTTTTTCTTCTCATTGGTGCTTCATTATTTATTTGGGCAATTTAGCTTTATAATTTTCTCAATTGGGTTCCTTGTTGTGCTTAATTTTGGGATCTTTGATAATGATTTTCATAGTTTTGAGTTGGGTTTTGTATATGGTGGGCAAACCCACGAGTTGATATAATGAAATTATGGCATGATAATTTTTTTGCAAAGGAAGCAAACTCACGAGTTGATATAATGAAATTATGGCATGATAATTGCTTTAAAAAATCGCATGATAATGGATACCAAAGCCCTTGGCTTTATGCCATTATTAATGGAGATATATCTTGTAGTGTATTTTTTTGGGATCTTTGATAATGATTTTCATAGTTTTGAGTTGGGTTTTGTATATGGTGGTCTGTTTTTCAGTTTACTTTTGGAAGGAGCTGAAGCGATAACAGAGCAGAAGAACAACGACAAAAACCTCACATTGACTGAGGTAATTCCTCTGTTTTCTTCTCTTTGGTGTTTCATTATTCATTTGGGCAATTTAGCTTTGTAATGTTCTTAAATGGGTTCTTTTTTGTGCTTAATTTTGGGATCTTTGATAATGGTTTTCAAAATTTTGAGTTGGATTTTGTAATTGCTCATACCTGTAATTGAAATCAGAATAGTGATAAAAGAGGAACTTTTATATGCACTTTTGTGTTTTGTGTTTGTGTATGTGTTAGAGAGAGAAATAGAGCATAATTGAATCAAATTAATGGCCACAAAATATAGCCTAACAATCAACAGACTAATCCCATAAACCAATAATAATTGGCTAGTTCATGTTCCCTATACTCCACGCCAAGTCAGCAAACTCAATTGAGTGGAAACATAATTCACAATTTGATTTAAGGATAGGTAACACCACAATGTTCATATTTTTTATGCAAAAAATGTACCACTGGAGCAAGGACAATATATGTTTTCATATTGAATTTTTCTTTGTATTTATTTATTTAAAGGATATGCTTTCTTATTCGTAAATATGTGATTCATATATGTGGTGATGATATGTGCGATGTTCTTAAATGCAATAAATTATTGGATTGTCTTAATTGTTTTTTCTTTACAAGGATATGGCTCCTAAGAATGTTGATGGTGAGGAAAAAGTACAATGGCCTTCCAAACATGTAGAGTTTTTTATACATATATTGCATGATCATGTGAAGAAGGGTGACTTGCAAGCATCAACCTTTAAAACGAAAGTTTGGTCTGAAATAAGCGAGGAGTTGTTAGCAAAATGTGGAAAAAAATGCACTGTTAAGCAACTTAAGTATAAGTTTAATAGGTTGCGAATTGCACATCGTGAGTTCTCGGACCTAATTGAGCATACTGGATTTGGGTGGGATCCTAATGCTAACACAGTCACAGCCTCAGAGGATGTTTGGGCTAGTTACATTAAGGTATACCAAGCCTTTATTTAAGTTTTTTTTTCACTTCACTTCACATACTTAAGTGAATTGCTTATGATGTCTGAGTATAATATTTGTCATGGTTTGTAGAGTAAGCCAAGAGCGAAGCAATATCGTACTCAAGGTTTAGTGCACTATCAGCTTTTAGGGGAGATATTCAACACCACTACTGCAACCGGTCAGTTGCGTTATGCCTCTAATCAACTTCCTCCTAACTCAGATGAGGAGCGTGAGTTAGAGAACAATTTCCTTAACACTGGTGTTCATATTGATGTTGACTTGGATGATGATGGTTTTAACCAAGAAACTGATCATGGTAAAGGAAAAAGAAAGAGTGTAACTGCTACCCCACCTGAGCGTCGTTCAAAGAAATGGGATAAAATGGAATCCTATTTGGAGGTTTGCAGTGAAGTTATGAGTCAAAGATTGCAAACAATTCAAAAGGAAAAGAGTGTTGAGGCATCTAGCACCTCCAAGGAGATGTATTCTATTGAAGAATGCATTGGAATTGTTGAAGAAATGGGAGATATTGATAATGACACATTCAACAAGATGCTAGAAAAAATTGTGCTTATTGAATGGAGAAAAATATTTGTTACAATGTCGGATGCTAGGAGGAGATCTTGGTTAGCTAGTCTTTAGGAATACTAGTATGATTGTGGTTTCTCTTTAGTTGAGATTATGAATTTCTTTTATATGTTTTTTAGTTTATGAATTTCTTTTATATGTTATGGATTATGTGTTATTTGAGTTTATGGATTATGTGTTATTTGAGTTTATGAATATCTTTGATATGTTATTATATTAATGGATAGTCCTTGTGTTCTTTTATATTTGAATAGTATGGTTGTGGATATGTTATTATTGTTTCAATGTTAGTGATGATTACTTCATTTGAATATTTGAAGGTATTAGACATGTCTACTAGTAATGGAGACAATAACTCAGATAGTGATTCAGATATGGAAGAACTTGAAGAAATGGCACATCATATGCTAATATGTATGAATATTTATGAATATTGGCAATCATATGTTGATAGGACTCCTTGCCATAATTCAGTTTTATCGGGGCATGAATATGTTCAAGAGTTGTTAAATGGAAATCCGGATAGAATATATGACTCATTTCGCATGGACAAACATGTATTTTTAAGGTTATGTCAAACCCTTGAGACTTTAGATCTTTTACACCATGATAGACATGTGGGTATTCAAGAAGCAGTTGGTATTTTCTTATTTATAGTTTCTCATAGTATTCGTATGCGAGTTGCGGCTGAGCGTTTTCAACGATCTAAAGACACAATTCACAGACAATTTAAGCGTGTGTTGACAGCATTATGTGGATTATCACCACGTATTATACGCCCAAGTAGTAGAGGGGAAACACCGCCCGAAATCTTGAATAGCCCAAAGTATTATCCTTATTTTGAGGTGAGGAAATATTTTGTTTTATTTTGCAATTGATCACATGATACTATATATATCATTTAGTTATTTTTATTATTTAACATAGTAACTTTTCAATATATTGTAGAAGTGTATTGGTGCAATTGACGGGACACATGTTGCTGCTTGGGCACCAGCACAAAAACAAACCTCATACCGTGGTAGAAAGGTTCTTATTACTCAAAATGTTATGTGCGCATGCTCTTTCGATATGATGTTCACATTTGTTTACACCGGATGGGAAGGGACTGCAAATGATTCTAGAGTGTTCACAGATGCAGTGTTGAGGCCAGAGAATGAATTTCCTTTTCCAGAGGAAGGTATGAATAAATATAAAAAATTAAATTGAATTTATTACTAACATTATTATCACATTCAAATAACGAATTAATTAACAGGATATTACTATGTTGTGGATGCTGGGTATACAAATATGCCTGGATTCTTGGCACCTTACCGAGGTGAGAGATATCATTTGCGTGATTATAGGGGACCGCGTCGAGCACCAAGAGGTCCTATAGAATTATTCAATTATAGGCATTCTTCATTACGTAATATAATTGAGCGGTGTTTTGGTGTGTTGAAAGCTCGTTTTCCAATTTTGAAATTGATGCCCAATTATCCTCCACGTAGGCAACGACGTATCCCCATTGCATGTTGTGTGTTACATAATTTTATCCGAAGAGAAGCACGTCGTGATAGGTTGTTCGAAGAGTTTCAAGTAGAAGACATCATTGTTGAGGGTGAAGATATGGCTACACCAAATTTAGATATGTCTCCGGAAAATATTGCACAAATGACCAACATTAGAGATAAGATTGCACAAGATTTGTGGCGTGATTTCACCCAAGGCTCTTGATTATATTATTGTAATTTTTAATTTTTATTATTATTAATTTTTTTCCTTGTGTGTCAATGAACAAGTTTTTGTAATATTTGGTCTAGAAGCCAATGAATGTTTCAATCGACTCATTTAAACTAAGCCAAATGCATAGATATATCACTTTTTCTTAAATCTAACTTAATCCAAGCTCTTTAATTTTAGTAAAATAGATCAAACGAGAAAAACATGTTTGGTGTGCATAATAAAAAAGGTGTTGGACTAATTACATACATAAATGTGTGAAAATGTTAGTTTAAAAAATAAAATAAAATCCTCTTACCGAACACATATTCACTATTTTTTGTCATTTTCACAAATTACTGCCAGACGCATTTTCACTGTTTTTGTTCTTTGAAAACAGTTTTTAACTAAGCTACCAGACGCGTTTTTGTTCTCTGAAAATGCGTTTTCATTTTCTCGTTTTCATTCTATGAAAACATTCTCTGAAAATGCTCTCTGAAAACGTTACCAGACGGGCCCTAAGTTATTTTCTTTCATCCAAACGAAAGGTTATTGCCCTAGGAATTCTCACATTGGTGGACTTTGCCTGTAGTTACAAAATGCAAAGAAAATATAAATGAATAATATATATATATATATATATATATAAACCCAGCATTCCTTTTGTTTTTTTGTTTTTAACAGAAATCATTCGTTACACCCACATACAATTTTAGAGAAATAAAAATGTTCTCTACACTCATCACTTCTTCCTAAATTATCTCCGCTAACATAATCCATCACACACAATCACATTTTATATTCACATCCGACCACTGATTTTGTATATGTGTTTTAGTGCTAGCCTACTGAATCGTTTTGCTTCAATTAGGAGGGATTTTCAATGGATGACCTCCATATCAGATTTAGTTGCACTGAATTTATGTGGCAGATTCAATTGCACGCCATGAATTTTCTGTTTTCGTGAAGTAGCCATCGGAATCCAACGACTACTATGTGATTAGGTTTTTTTTTTTTTTTTTTTTTTTTTTTTTTTTTTTTTGGCTATATGGATCCAACTACCCAAATTTTTCCAGGTGATTTCAATGGAAAATAAAAATATCTAACGGTCCAAATTAAAATTCAACAGCCAAAATAATATTTTAAATCTATCTAAATCAGATCCAATCCAAAAATCATTCCAAACTCTATAAATAGAAATCCATTTGTTAAATAATCCACTATATTCAATTTTTAACTTTATTTTGAAGTGAAATTATATTATGTTGTGGAGTTTGAATTTTTTTTAGGTTAAAATGTTCAAAAAAATACATCATGAATGTGGAAACAAAATAATGTCAGGAAAAATTACGAACCATAAAAATAGGGGTTAACCATTTTTAAAAAATTTAATAAAGATGCGGACTCAAATTATGAGTGCATGGTTGGAGGAAAAAACTGTTTAAGTTCGAGCAATACATGAATAGTTGTATTTTGGAGGGTGAAATTTTTAGTTTAGCCCCAAGATGGTTGGAGATGTGATGACATAGTAGCCATTATTATCTGTTTGTACCATATTTGACCCTCCACTCGCATCACGACACTTGGAAATAGAACGAGGATAAAACCAACCCTGTAGAGGCCGCGCCGAATAGTCCAATCGGCACCCCCTGCCGATTCATACATGTTCTCCAATCGGTGACGACTCCTGCTCACACTCAAACGGCGTCGATCGGTATCATATGCGGAACGAACTTGAGGGCGTGGTCAGAACGCCCAACCGATTGTACAAGACAACCTTGGACACCCTGCCCAAAGCTTGTCAGGACGCATGTCGACCACCGAGGCCACTCCCATGAGTCCCACATCGAAATTAAGTGCTACTAGAATACTAAACGCCCTCTATAAATAAAGCCCCTTGGCCCCAGCCAAAAGGGTAAGACTTCCAACTTGAATTGTGCTTCCACATTCAGTATCTCTTAGTCACTAACTTTGGCATCGGAGGGTCTACGATCGGCACCACACCAGTGCTCAAGACCTCACATGCCGTTTCTGTCTTCAGCTCGGATCCAGCGTCCACTTTAGCCACAGGATGCCACGGGAAGAAGGCCCCTTCGGTCCACGATCATCAACATACCTGTAAGTTAGCCCTATCACTATTTGTTTAGCCCTATCACCATTACAGGTTTAGGCAAAACTCGACGATCAGCGTCTGGATGTCCTCAGGCCAAAGTCCCCCCCTCCGGCAGAGGTACAACACGATTGGGCTTGAAGAAACAAACGAATCAGACTACGTTCTGACTTCTCCTGAAAACACTGCATCCTACCGATCGGCAAAGCCCAGACAATCTTGCTATCAAAATGAACAGGCCGCAACAAAGGACGATCGGCGGAGCCATTTTGTCAGAAACTCCAGTCAAACGGCAGACCATCAAATACCTGCCCACGAGACCGAGCCCTTTTGCACCGACCTGCCCCATACCGATTCCACCATCCGCCTACTCCTCCAGAAGATCAACTGAATCGAAGAGGAACAGAATCAGTACCGGACACCAACTTGGGGAAAGATCCAGCCAGGACCACACACCGACCAGATCTGAACCTTCAAACGCGAGAAGGATGTCCAACAACTCCGGATATCGTTCTACACGGGAGTGGAGGATCATGTCACCCACATACACATCTTTCAATCGGCATTAGGATGCAAGGGCCTACCGATGGAAGGCAATGTCTGATGTTCCCCTCCACACTTGCCGGAGCCGCCTTGAACTAGTTTTATCAATTAGAGCCAGGTACGATAAACTCTTTCCATCAATTAAAGAAAATTTTTCTCAATCACTTTATGATACAAACCGATTGGTTGTACTCTGCTGATGATTTGTACACCATTCGGCAATGAGACGACGAGCCTCTAAGGGAATTCACAGCCAGATTCAGCAACGAATACTCTCGATGTCCTGAAACGGAAGACCGAACGACATTTAGCGCTTTAAAAAGTGGCATCCGTTCATCATAGTTCCGCTACATGGTCCACAGTAACAACTAGACGACATACAGCGAACTCATGAAACAGGCAGCAATCCATGCCAAAGCTGAGCATTTCAATTCCAAAGGAGAGCCCTCGACACCCTCTTGCCCATCGGCACCTATCAATCAGCCAAAGGATCAACCCCACAACCGTTTCCTGTCTGCCCGAATAAACCAATCCATCCCTTTTCAAACGGCACCCTCAGTGTCAACCCTTTTCATGGGAGGAAAAAGGAGAGATAGATTCCAGGGTCAGTAGAACGGGGACAAACATGGCAAAAACTCCGAAGTTCAAACCAACTTTAGGGGCGCGAAGAATCAACAGGCTGAGAACCAGATGATACCAAAACCAAATAGCAAGAAACTTCCTCAACAGAGCGACAAAGATACCACCAATACAACGACCATGATACCGAATCATGCATCGCCCTCCACAAGATTGTTGAAAGGCTGATCAGTGAAGGCAAACTAGACCAGTATCTAAATACACATCCAGCTCCTGTACAGCCGAGCAATCGGCAGATCAACATGATTAGCGGCGGTACACCGATTGCTGATTCAAGCAATCCTTCCATCAAGAGTTACATGCGTGCCATTTGGCACCCTCAGATCCTCAGCGTCACTGAAGGGCGTAATAGCAAAATTTGGCGAATCTGATAGGAACCCATCACCTTTTCCGAGGAAGAAGGGAAGGGCATCATTTTTCCCCACTCTGATCCCATGATCATTCCGGCCGACGTTGCCGATTTCGACGTAGGCCGAATCCTCATCGACACCGGAAGTTCGGTCAATGTGCTCTTTGCCGATGCCTTTAAAGGCCTCGGAATCAAACACCAAAGCCTCAACGAGGACATAATCACCTCCTGAGCTTCCCAGGTGATGTTGTGGAGCCAATCGGAAGCATCCAACTCCCCCTTGCCATCGGCATCAGCCCCAGAAGGATGGTCGTCTACACTCACTTCCTGGTGGTCGACTGTCCGATAGCTTATAACTCCATCATCGGTAGGCCCGCCCTCACCCGAATAAAGGCCATATTATCGCCGCATATGCTGCTCCTCAAATTCCCAACGCACTCTGGTGTTAGCCAAGTACAAGGGGACCAATTGAGCGCACAAGTATGTTATGTGTTATCCGTGGGAGAATCGGCAACCCGAGTATTGGGACAGAAAACACCTGAATCCCTGGCCGTTTCCACCATGACCATGATGAACGGCAAGGAAGGGTCTGAGCGTCCTAACGACCCTCGAGACGAAGGCGTCACGCCGCAAGCTCTACTGTTGAAGAGCTAGAAACGATATCCATTTCTGACACACAGAGGGACTGGGTATGCCTGTGCTAAATTGGACTGTTCCCAACTTCAACTTCTAAGCTTCTACTGTAAATCGATACCAAAGTTTGAGTTTGGCAAAGATTTAATCTATTTTGAGCCCTGGGAGGCCTTTTGAATGGGCAGAATTGCGGACTCTTCAGTCTGAAGGGGCAGAAGTGGCTGGACTTGAGGATTACTGAGCCGGAACTGTACTGTGGTACCTGTTCTGCTTGGTCAAGGCTCTCGATAAATTTGTTGAGGTTTTCATATTTGTAAAAAACTCAAACTCTGCTTGTTTTGGCTTTTGCTGAACCAAATTTGTAACGAGAGAAATCTCGTTTTGAATGACCTATTTCTCTTAAGTTTGAACTGGAGGTTATGATTTATAGTTGGCTTCTTCTGTGGCTCGAATGAGTGTTTGAAGGTTCTCAGAGATCAAGTGATCATTTTGAGTGTTTGTCTTTGGTTGATTTTTGGTTGTTTGATTTTTTTTTGTGTCATTTGCTCTGTTCACCCTCTCCTATATTTATAAGAAATGTTTGGAGTGGGGCTTCTTTCTCTTCATAATGGGCGGCAAAATTTCCCAAAAGATCTTTCATTTTTAAATGTAAAAAAAAGGGGGTTTTATCAGTTCTAGCATATAAGCCTTAAATGGTCAGTTCTTAAGACAATTACTTCCCTGTTTTTTTTGAAAAAGAACCTAACCCCTCTTTAATTCCAACTGCCTCCTATGAGTGCTCAAACTGTGATGGTTAGTTTGATTTTCCAGTTTGAACAATGCCCCATTGAATATGAATTCTCTGGGCTTTTAGTGTTGGGCTGGGTGTGCAGAATTTTGGCCCAAACAAAGCCCCCTTGAATCTAAATTTTTTTGAAAAATGTTTCTTTTTTTTCAATTTTCAACGATTCAGATTGAATCAATTGGCCATTAATGTTGCGCGCCACTATTTTCCGTTTTGATTAACCCATGTGTGCCACGTGTTGTCTCTTGAGCTAAACTTCGTGGGAAACTGGGTGGTTACTAGCTAGTTATTAGCTAGCCATCATTAGATGATGACTCGTCTTCTCCACAATTTCGAGCTCTTTTATAGAAGTTTTAAAACCCAATAGTTCATGTTCATTCGAAAAACCTAACCCTTTCAGACTTTGTTTTCTTTCCAGATTTTCTCATAATCTTTTGCTCTTCTTAGACTTTTGACTTTTTCTGAATTATTTCCTCTGTTCTTAGCTTAACTCTTGAAAATGTCATCTCCAAAAACCCATGCCCAGTCTTCCTCTCTTGTTCCTCCTGCCTACATTACTGGGGTTAGTGTTGATAAGCACGCCATTGAGGTTCGGAGCAAGCTCCATCCTTTTGCCCAGAAAAACCTGGACGAAAATGTCCTCCACTTGTTTTAGAATACCCTAGTTCTAGGTCCCCACTGGTTTGGCTTGCTGAAATGGCAGAGTTGATTGATAAAGACGCTGAAGCTCCTTTGTGTTTCCAAAGCGCCTTTGCCTTAGCTTCTCATTCGTGGGTCAGTAAGAATTTGAGTCGTTCATTCCCATCCAGTGAGGTAAGGAACAGTCCAATCAAGTGGGCGGACTGAATTGACAGACTTCTTCCGAGATATTGAGCTCACTGGAAGAGGGCTGGAATCTATGACGCCATTCTCCTGTCCAAGCAATCCATCAACAGGGATGAGAACCTGCTTGCCGCTACCCTCTGTTTTTGGAATTTTGCTAGCAATACCTTTGATTTTCGTGTGGGCACGATGACACCAACCATGCTAGAAATGACTCAAATCTTTGGGTTCAGGCCCTATGGAAGGCATGTTGATGCTGTTGGTGACTATCATCGAAGAAAGAACCAAGAAAAACTGTCCAAGCTATTCACTATCTCTCCATCCACAATCAACCAGAATTGTTCTTTCTCTAATTATTTGAGGAAGTTTAGTGCTGAGAAGGACAAGAATCAGCAACACATGTTGTTCCTTTTGTACTGGCTGAACAGATTAGTCTTCCTCAATCGTTCCTCGGTAGTTCTGCTTGAGTACAGGCACCTGGCAGAAGCCCTGCATAACCACACTAAGGTCGGGCTTGGGCCTACAGTTCTGGCTCATTTGTTCAAGAACCTAGACATTGCCACCCCGGAGAATTCACTGAACCTATCTGCTCCTAGTGCATTTTGGATGATCCAGATCTAGCTGCAAGTTTACTTACCAGAACTGAGGTTCCCATATATAGTTATGCTTGAGGATCAAGTCCTGGCTCTCCCTCTAATGTCGGCAGAAGTGCCCAAGCATTCAATCGAGGAGTACCTGATGTTTTTCAGGCACTGCACCAAAAGGTCTGCTGCTCAATGGTAGGTGGTGCTCAAAAGAACTTATCCCTAGTTTCAGCCTAGATACCGGTTATTTGAGAGGGAGCCAGAAGAGGAATCTACCATAATAGACTTCAGGAAGAAATTCCTAAGTGTTACCCTGCTGAGAGATTTGCCCCACAGAAGTCTATCATCCCAACTTCTGCACAAGACAACTTGGCTGCCCTCAGCTCATTCCGCTTAAATCCTACAGGAGCTGCAATAGGGTTACTTCTTAGAGAGATGCAGATGATCTGGAAGTGCACAAGGATGCCAGATGCACAGTGAATAAGATAAACAACAGTTCAGATGCTCTCTGTTCAGCCTGGGAACCGAATTCTTGCAGTTCTGCCGAGTTTGACGCTTGGTGGAAAGCTAGATTCCAAGGCCTGGCTGCCTCCAGCACTGCACTGAAAATCCTTTTTGATGGCTGGGATTCTTGGGTTGTTCATGCAAGCGAGGAGACTCACAAATTCACGGTGCAGACCATCAAGGCCATCAATGCTCAAGCCATAGAAGGTAGACCCTTGATTCTGTCTGTGATTTGTTCGTTATGTCTGTGATGGATTCTAACATTTTGTTCTGCCTGCAACAGATCCTTCTCTGACAAGGAACATAGGTGGTCAATCTGTCCAGGTTGGAGAAGTGATTGGTAAGCTTTCCCTCATTCTGTTTCTTCTATCTTTTCCTGCTAGATTGGCTTCTGATTTGTCTGTTTTCTATGCAGTTACTTTTGTCATTGCTACTGGAGATCTTGAGCTTCCCTCTGGAGAAGAAGAGGATGAAACTCTGGCAGAACAACCACCTGTTGAGGCCACTCCTTCTGCTAGAAGGAAAAGAAAAGAAACTGCTCTTGCTCAGGCCAGCTCTGCCCAGCGTGAAGTTTCTGGTAAGATTCTGACATTCCCAACTATTTCCTTGAATTTATTCTACTTTGCCCATTCTTCTAACCTTCATTCATTGTTTTGTGCAGTTGAAAGTCCTCCTCCTCCTACTAGGTCAAAAAACTTAGAAAGAGGATCGAAGTTGAATCTGATGAGATAGAAGAGCCTGCAGCTGTTCCAACTGAGACTTCTAGAATTGATGATAAGCTACGAGAGGCTTTCGAAGCTGTTGAGCAGGAGAAGGAGAAAGAAAGAGAAAAAGAAGGAGATGTTCCTTCGAAGAACGAAAAAGAGAAAGATTTAGAAGAAGAAGTGAGATTTCATTCTAGTGGCATGATTGTTTTACATTTGCTCTTCTTCTTCTGACTTCCAACTTCTGACCTCTGTTCATTTGTAGGAGGAGATTCCTACCAAGGTAATAGTAGAAAGTATTGCCTTGGCGCAGAAACAACAGGAAATCCCTAGGGCAGAACTGACTAGCTCGGAGTTGGCCCTTTTCGAGGATGTAGAGGCAGAGCATTCTACTGCTGTTCTGGCATCTGAGAAACAAGCTGAGCTGTTTGCATCAGAGCTTGTGGAGCGGACAGAACTTCCTGTTGCAATCCTAAGATTTGGAGTGGGGTAGCTGCTGTGGTAATTTCTGTTCTTATTTTAACTCTGTTTGTTTTCTGCAATTCTGTCTTGTCTTTGCCTTTCTAACTATTGGTCTTTCCAGGTAGAAGTGCTCAGATTTGTAAGTAATTTATGATGGGATTTCTCCAATCATCTTCAGTGATTATGGCAGAATTGACATCTATCTCCATTCTTCCGGTTAGAACAGATGGTAGACTTTTCTTTCCTACCTTGATGATCCTTTGCACACAGTCTTTAGGCATTTGTATACCTGTTGCTACTTGAGCCATTTCATTGGCTGCAAAGTTTTCTTCTCTCGGAATGTGTTCCCAAGTAGCTTCTCTGAATTCTGTCAGAAGGTTTCTAGATGCCACTAGATAGACAGCTAAAGAAGGATTTAAACACTTGTATTCTCCAGCAATCTGTTTTAACACAAGCATAGAATCTCCCAGGATTTCTATAGATTAGATCCCTAACTCTACCAACATTTCTATGCCAATGATTAAAGCCTCATATTCAGCCTTGTTGTTGGTGCATTGAAAATCTAGCTGGAAATAATAACAGTGTATGATCCCTAGTAGCTCCTCTAAAACAATCCTTGCCCCAGAAGTTACATCAGTTTTTTATCCATCAAAGTACAACTTCCAAGGTGTAAGGTGAACTGAATAGATGGGATTGGTAAGGCAAGTATGAGCTCTAGTCAACATATCTGCATTTGCTATATCCAAAGAATTCATGTTTTCAATCTCTTCCCCTGGATGATCTGCTAAGAAATCTGCCACAACTTGTCCTTTGACAGCTTTCTGAGGGACATATCTGAAAGCAAATTCTGTCAAAGCCAAAGTCCATTTCCCAATTATGCCTCTCAACATTGGCCTTGTTAGCATGTACTTGATTAGGTATGTCTTGGCAATGATGTAGATGGTGAAGGGCAGCATGTAGTGTCTGAGTTTTACAGCAGTGAAGTATAAGGCTTTCAATTGTAGAATATTTACTTTCTACTTCAGTCAGAGTTCTACTCAGATAGTAGACTATCTGTTCCTTTCCCTCCTTGTTATCTTGAACTAACAGACTTCTAATGGACACTTCTGATGCAGAAACATGGAGTTTGAGTGGTCTGCCTCTCTTTCGTGGGGACAAAACTTGCGGATTTGAGAGGTAATGTTTGATTTCCTCAAAAGCTTGTTGATGCTGTTCCTCCCACTTAAATGTATGTTCCTGTTTTAACCTTAGCGAGGAGGAGAAGTGCTAGATTTTTCTTGCATAATTGGAAATGAATCTCCTTAGAAAATTAATTTTTCCTAGGAGACTCTGCAGTTCTTTCTTGTTCCGGGGTGGTAGAGCTTCTATGATGGATTTTGCTTTATTTTTTTCAATCTCTATGCCCCTTTGGTGGACCAAGAAACCCAAGAAATTTCCTGCTTGAACTCCAAAAACACATTTTTTGGGATTCATTTTCAACTTATGTTGTCTCATTCTTAGGAATGCCTTTCTCAGGTTTGATACATGATCTCCCTCTTCTGGGGATTTAATCACCACATCATCTATGTATACTTCTAAATAATGGCCTATCATGTCATGGAAAATAAAATTCATTGCTCTTTGATAAGTAGCTACAGTGTATTCAAAAGCACCTATATGTCCTGGGCACATGAAGGCTGTTTTGTGGATATCTTCTTCTGCTACCATAATTTGATTATATCCTGCATTGCCATCCATAAAAGATAGCATTTGGTTATGAGCAGCTCCATCGACTAGCATATCTGCCATTGGCATAGGATATTCGTCCTTGGGAGATGCTTCATTCAGATTCCTGTAATCTATACAGATTCTAACTGCTCCTGTTTTTCTCTTCAGAACTAGTACAATATTGGCTAGCCAGTCAGCATAAATGGCTGGTCTGATGAATCCTGCCTTGAGCAATCTTTCTATTTCTTCCTTGACTTTTAGTTTTGTTTCCATAGACATTCTTCTTTTGGCCTGTTTGATTGGAAGGATGCACAGTTTGGTTGGCAGCTTGTGCTCTACCAGTTTTCTGTCTAATCCAGGCATCTCATGATAATGCCAAGCAAAACAGTCTCTAAAATCATGCAAAAGTGCAATGATTTCACATTTGAGTGGTTCTTTCAACAACGCACTAATGAAAGTGGGTCTTGGATCCTCTTATGTCCCTAAGTTTATCTCCTGCAATGGATCTTCCACTTCTGGCAAAGAGTCATCCAGTGATGTTGGTGCAAACTCTAGTACTTCCTCCTGTAAACTCTCTTCTTGTTCTTCAGTGCTCTCATGGGTGAATTCTGCCATATTGATGGTTGGATTCTGCATAAAGAGCTTCATTTCTTCCTAATATATCAACAATCTTTTTGTAATGGATCGGATTGTTGCGGCTTGATCCTTTTCTTGTTGATTGGGACTAAACATAAGAGTTCTAGAGGTTTAGAACAAAAGGTTTGTTCCAGTCTTCTAGAGAACTGGCTAAACCATCTTCAATGAGTCTTTGGGCCGTAACACCACGGGGGCGGCTGATGAGAATCTCAAATTATATCTTTTTAATATTATTTTGGCTTAATAAATATAATTTCACTTGTTATTACATTTTATTATCAGCAACCAAATTTATGAATTTTCTATATTAATTTGGTGAACTTATTAGGTGAATTTATCTTATGTTGGAAGTTGGAAAGCCAAAAGATGAAGACATACATTTGTCCAAGTTCAAGCTAGGTGTGAAGAGAATTGCTGGCATATTTTATTGAAGAATTGATTGTGGGATTATTGTGACTATAAAGAGAAGTAAAGAGAGAGAAGAGAAGACAAAACCATTGAAGCTAAAGAGCCTATTTCATGTCATTCATAGCCATTTAATGCCCACTTACCTCACCGTTATTTCTTTTCCACTAACTCTCCACCATCAACACATGTTTAATCCAATTAATCCCTTAATTAAACCCTTCATCACCCACCACAAATGTATTAACTTCCCACTCACCTCATTGACTACTATAAATCACCCATCAACTTATTTGGCAAGGGCACCCCTACGACAGATTTCTTTATCCATTTAGTTTATGTTTTCCTTTGTAATGGGTTGATAGAACTCTAGCTAAGGCTAAAGGGAATCTTCTTTGAGTAAGTTTGTGAATTGTTCTTTAATCCAATATACGGTATGAATTGCTAAATTCTTTTATTTTTGGTTGTTCAATATTTTCATATCCTTTTATTTTGATTGATGTTAAGTGCTATTATCATTTCATGAGTTCAATTATATTTTTCTCATTGTTAAGAACTAACTTAGCATGCTTTTAAATTAAAAGAGTAGTTATTGAGCAATTCCATTTTCTGAACAATCATTAATAAAAGATAACATTGAAAAATTAAATTGGTTTTAGTTTCTTTATCTTCCTGTTAAAGTTTCTCAATGATGATTTTAATCGAGTTATAATTTGGATTAAAGAGCATGAAACATATTTTGTTTAAAGAATTGAACATTGATGCTTCAGCATTTCCATTATTGATATTTCATTTTTAAACTCAATTTCCACAACAATCAAATCAAATTACTTTTCCATTTTGCTTGTAACTTTTATTGTGGTACGTTTAATTATTTCTTTGTGTGCAGATATTTGCCTACCTGCTCCTTGAGGATACAATACTTGGACTTCCAAGATTATTACTACGTGTGATTACTTGCACTTGGGTAGACGCAACAAGTTTTTGGCACCGTTGCCGGGAAGTGGTGAAGCGAAAAGTAGCACAATAGCACAAAGAAATTCATTGTTAAGGTTTGCGGTTTTAGTTTCCAAAGCTAATTCGGTAAGGCTTATGAAACTCAATTTTTCATTCCTGTTTTTATTTTTGGTGTTTTTTGTTTGCTTTTGTCTTAGTTTTTTTTTAATATAAAAAAATTAGTTTAGTTTTTATTTATTTATTTGTTGTTTCTTTATTTTGTTTATGAGATATCGTGATCCGTTTGGTAGATTTGCAAAGAAACCTCAATTTGACCAAATTTCGTCACAAATGGCTGAGAATAATAATAATAATAATAATAATAATAATAATTGGAAGGGCCCCAAAATGATGAAGATAATCAGAGTGTTCATAATGATGAGAATCGTAGTGTTCATAACGATGAGAATCCACTTGTTAGGACATTACATGATTATTTGCATCCTGCTCGTACAAGTGTGCCATCTTGCATCATTTTTCCATTAAATGGTCAAATTTTTTATTTTAAACCGGGCATGATACAACTTTTACAAACTTTTCATGGAATGGAATCTGAAAATCCATATTCACATGTGCGTGAGTTTGAGGAAGTTTGTGGAACTTTTCCAACACAAGGGTGTACGCTTGATACAGTTTTGCTAAAACTTTTTCCATTTTCACTGAAAGATAAAGCTAAAACTTGGCTTTATTCTCTAAGGCCAAGAACAATTGGAACATGGCTTGAAATGCAAACTGAATTTTTCAAGAATTTTTTCCCAATTCAGAAGACAAATTCTTTGAAAAGACAGATGACCACATTTTCTCAAAAAGATACTGAGTCTTTACCTCAAACTTGGGAAAGATTTAAAGATTTGTTAATGTTATGTCCTCACCATGGTTTTAAAAGATGGAGGGTAGTAAGTCATTTTTATGACGGCTTAACACCTAAAGATCGACAATTTATTGAGATGATGTGCAATGGAAATTTTATGTATAAAGATCCTGAAGATGCTTTTGATTTTCTTGATGAAATCTCATATTTGGAGCACTCCGAACACATTTGAGCCTAATTCCCAGATGGCAAAATCTGTGAGGTAGAAGACTAATAGCTGACCTCCATCTACCATCACCTTGGGAATAGGAATCCCTCCAAAGTTTGCTGTTATGAATAGGGGCCTGAGGTGATTGGCCATTTGGTTGGTCTGCAGCCAGTTTCGTGGCAGTTCCGCCTATTTTGGCAATAGGTGTTTGCTGTTCTGGTGCTTCCTCTACTTCTGCCAACCTGCACTCAAAGCTTTCCTGAGAGAACACGTCTCCTTCCAGAGTGTTTTCTTGCCCTTCTACTGCCCTGAATTTTTCTGGCAAGATGAATACCATGTTAATGCCCAGATCACCCTGTAATAAACTTTCTAATTATGCACCAAAAGCCTCAGTTTCCTCATCTAGTTCTCCATCATATTCCATCTGTTCTTCCCTATACTCCCCTGTCCAGTCCTCTTGTTCTCCAGTTTCGAGGAGTCCAATCTGGCCATCTGCAGATGGTTCATAGTCTAACTGCTCCTCTTCATACTCTTCAGTCTAGTCTTTTTGTCCTTGTACTGGGATAGTTACAGATTCACCTTGCATTTGTGAAGGTTTGAGTTGCTTGACTGTGGATGAGGCAGGATGGATAGAAAGTCTGCCAAGAGATTCTGCTTTTATCAGCTTTTGTGGCTGACAGGTTGTTTGTTCTGTCTGAGAAGCTATTTCTGGACTTTTCCCTCTTCTGGCAGAACTGGTCTCTGGAAGTACCTGTGTGGCATCCCTGTTCTTGAGGAAGGTGCAGTATTGCCTTTGAACCCTTCTCTTCTAAGTTCTGGTCAACTCCAGAGTTGGTCTGCTGCTTTTTCCGATAGAATACCATCTGCCTTCTATAATAGTTGCCAAAGGTTTGTCACTTCCGGGCATCCTGATTGGTATTTCTTTCTTTGGCTACTTTGTCATTCTTGTGCTTTGACAGAGCCGAACCGGGCCTTGTTGGTATGATGTTCCAATCCTGTCGAAAAAGCTAGGTGTGGGCTGTTTCTATCTGTCCAGAGTTACTTCTAACTTACTCTCACACTTGCACTTGCTGCACAATACTACCCCAACCGAGATAGTTGCCTTTGGCCTTTGATTAGTCTCCCTTGTGACTCTTCTACCTCTGCTAGAGCTAGCTTCTGTTGTTAGTTTGCCTCTGTTCTGTTTTGGCCAATTTAAGTTGACCATGTTGACTTGAGGTAGAGGAAAGGGATCTGTTGTGACTGATGGAGGTTTCTCCGCCAGTTTTAGCCTTCTTTCTATTATTCCTTCCTGTATGACATCCTTGAAAACAACACAGTTGTTGGTGGAATGGTTCCAAGAGTTGTGCCACCTGCAATACTGTCCGCCCTTGAGTTCTTCCAACTTGGGCAACCTGTGGGGTGTCTCTATTGCCTTTTTTAGCAGCATCTCATCAGACAAAGCATCAAACTTGGTTAGATCAAACGAATAGACCTTGTTCTGGGTTGGCTTCTTTGGAACAAACCCTCCTATGAATGGTGGTGGCTTCTGGTCCTTTAGTGGCTTTGTAAGAGCCTTGTAGCTGATGGGTTGTTTTAAGTTTGCCATTTATGCCACTGCAATTTCTCTTTCCTCCGAGCCTTATGTGTCTTCTTTTGATTCCACCTCAATCAGATGTATTGAAGAAGAAGGGGATTTGTAGTATGTGCCTTTGGAAGAGTTCCTCTTCTGTTGTTCTTCCCTAAGCAGCTCCTCATATTTAGATTCCTTGTCTGCCAGTTCTGTCAGGTCTGCAAACAGCATCCCGTCAAACCTTTTTCTTAGAGAGATTTTAAGGGCAGTTTGAGCCATCTGGATGAAGTGCCTTTCTTCTATAGGGATCCGGCATTTCATCTTGAGTTTTATGAATCTGGTTATGAAGTCCTAAGCAGGCTCATTTTCATTTTGTTTAAGGGCAGCAAGATCACTGATGGTAACTTCTGGCTAGATTCTGAAATAGTAGTCATGGAAAACATTTTCCATTTGCTCCTAGGCTTGAACAGAATTAGCTGGTAGACTGGTGTACCAGGTGAAGGCTTGTCCAGAGATAGAATTCCCTAAAAGCCTTAGTTTTAACAGAGGGTTATTTTCTATGGCTATGCACGAGACAGAAAACCTGCCTATATGCTCAACTGATGAAGCATGGGGATCTTCTCCGTTGAACAAGGTGAAGTTTGGCACCTTGAAACTTGAGGATAGAGGTATCTGATCAATGTAAGCCTGATATGGCTTTCTGTAGGTGGGCCTTTCTCCTCTTCTGGCTTCAGGTTCCATCATCTCCCTGATCATTCTTTATAGCGCCCCCATGTCATTTAAAGCATTGTTAGGGTGTGGATTCCGCCCTTGTTCTGGCTGGATGTGGTCAATTCTGTGCTCCAATCTGTATGGCTTGGGCAGAACTTCCTCCTTGTGTTCTTCCTCTTCTTCAAGATCTGGATGATTCCTCCAATTTGCCCCCAGTCTATTCTTGTCATTGTTGGCAAAGGGGTTGATTCCCCCTCTGCCTCTTCTGCCTCTTGCTGGTGGAGGGAATGGATTGGGATCCATCCTTCTGGGTCTGTAGGGCAACACAGCTGGTGCTTCAGGCAGAAGTACCAAGGGTTGATCACGAGGGGCCACAGGTTGTGGAATAGGTGGAAGTTCTGGTTGATTCTGGGGAACCTGAACTAGTGCAGGGCCTTCTGGCCGGGCTGGAACCTCATGCTCCGGGATGGGAGGGGCTCCTCCCCTCTGTCCAGCTTGGATCTCTCCATGCCCTGGTATTCCAGCTATCTGTGCGATGAGAGCGTTCTCTAGATATGGCCATGCCAATCCTGGTGGAGGGTAAGGGAGGTTTAGCTGCTGGACCACAACATTTGGGTTTGGGATTCTGGCCATAGCAGCCTCTCAGTCCTTCTTGAATTGCTTGTTAACTTGCCATTGCATCATGGTTGTCATGTTGTTCAGAGTATCCTGCCTCCTATGTGCTGTAGCCTCCTATCGGAACACAGCTTCCTATATCTAATTCAACCTCCTGGAGCCGGTCTTGGAATGTCTGCTCACGGTACTGCCATGGGCTGACTGCCTGGCTTCACTTTCTTCTGACTCCAGTCCTTCTTGGAGAACTACTTGGTCTTTCTCCATGGCGCAATGTGGGTTCTAGCTAGAACTTTCAATATTCATATGCTTTAGAAAATTTCTTTAGGAGTATGTATACTAAGAAGTCCCACTAGGCGTGCTAAATTGTTCACCCATTTCGTGTTTGCTCCTATGATGGAAGGGTAAAGTTCCCTATTGACTTGAAAACCATTGACTGATCAACAAGTCAACTTTCTTTAATGTGCGAGCATGCCACTGCTAGGAATAAAAATCCTAGCAGACTTCTTAAGAATAGATAACTTGCGCCCCAAGTTACTGATTTCTAAACAAGCGATTGCGAATTTGGGTGAGGAATATCTCCCAAGTAAGTTCTTTTCTTGCCTCAGACTGGTGAGGACTTCACATTTTTTCATAGTACAAAACTGGTAGTTCTATCCATAATAAATGATAAGATAGTAAACTGTTTTTAGGCAGAAGTACCTTTTACAAAACTTAAAAGGGAAAAATCAACTCTAGAAAGACAAAAAGAAGGCTGGACTTCCATTTCTGCCTGGACAGAAGCTTTTGATTTGGGCTGGACTGGGTATGCTTGTGCTAGACTGGACTGTTCCCAACTTCAACTGCTAAGCTTCGGCTGTAAATCGATACCAAAGTTTGAGTTTGGCAGAGCTTTAATCTATTTTGAGCCATGAGAGGCCTTTTGAATAGGCAGAATTGTGGCCTCTTCAGTCTGAAGGGGGCAGAAGTGGCTGGACTTGTGGATTACTGAGCCGGAACTGTACTGTGGTACCTGTTCTGCTTGGTCAGGGCTCTCCATAAATTTGTTAAGGTTTTCATATTTGTAAAAAACTCAAACTCTGCTTGTTTTGGCTTTTGCGGAACCAAATTTGTAACGAGAGAAATCTCGTTTTGAATGACCTATTTCTCTTAAGTCTGAACTGGAGGTTCTGATTTATAGCTGGCTTCTTTTGTGGCTCGAATGAGCTCTTTGTTGCTTCAGTTTGTTTGAAGGTTCTCAGAGATCAAGTGATCATTTTGAGTGTTTGTCTTTGGTTGATTTTTGGTTGTTTGATTTTTTTTTGTCCTCTACTCTATTCACCCTCCCCTATATTTATAAGAAATTCTTTGGAGTGGGGCTTCTTTCACTTAATAATGGGTGGCAAAATTTCCCAGAAGGTCTTTCATTTTTAAATGTAAAAGAAAAGGGGTTTTATCAGTTCTGGCAAATTAGCCCTCAATGGTCAGTTCTTAAGACAATTACTTCCCTGTTTTTTTTTAAAAGAACCTAACCCCTCTTTAATTCCAACTGTCCCCTGTGAGAGCTCAAACTGTGATGGTTAGTTTGATTTTCCAGTTTCAACAACTCCCTGTTTCCTGCTTATCTTTTGTAGAAAACACAGTCTGCGTATCCTTTGAAAGATGGTGCCTTCTTTGGAGTAGAAACAATATCTCTGAATATATAAAAGGGATTTGATCTTCTGGTGGCAGAGATTCAGAGATGTCCCTTCTTTTCACCTGCCTTTGTCAACTCCTTATCAACCTAGTTGAAATTGTTGACTTTTCTAAGTCAAGGTGAAAAAAAAGATCTACATGGGTCTGTTTCCTTTTGGGCTTCTTCTTCTCTTTTGGACTTTTCTGGAGCTATGGGTTGATTTCTTTTTCTTCTTTTCGAAGCCCAAGTTTTTTAATAGATCCTGGGTTGGGCTTTCTGGATTTTGGGCCCTCGATTCTTCTAATTGCAAAGTCCAGTACTGCTCGAGCCCTGTAGTTCGTTTTGTTTCTCTGGGCTTTTAGTGTTGGGCTGAGTGTGCAGAATTTTGGCCCGAACAGCACTAGCAACAATCACGGCCGCTAAAATCGAACATTTCATATGGAAAAACATCATATGACCATTCGGCCTACCAAACGCAATCATCACAAACAATGGTAAGCAATTTGACTGCTCTCGCTTTCGGCATCTATGCTCCCGATTCAACATCAACGTGTTCTTTGCATCTCCGGCACATCCACAATCCAATAGATAGGTAGAGGCCATCAACAAAATCATCAAAAAGACGTTGAAAAAGAAGCTTGGAGCCGCCAAAGGCGGCTGGTTCGAAATACTACCGGAAGCACTATGAGCCATCAATACCTCCTATCAAAAGTCAACAGGCGGGACCCCGTTCTCACTGGCCTTCGGCACCGAAGCTGTAGTACCGGTGGAATTACATGCGCCCACATGCTGAACGGCAACTTACGATCCCAAGCAAAATGGGCACCAACTCGCCTTAAATCTGGATCTCATCGATGAGCATCGATCACAAGCACAGCTTTGGAACACCGCTTACAAACAGTGAACGGCTCGGTATTATGATTCACACGTCAAATACCGATCGTTCAAAGTGGGGGACTGGGTTCTGCGTAAAGTCTCTTCAACAACGAGAAGCCCTATCGAAGGCACTCTCGGCTCCTCATGGGAAGGACCCTATGAAGTTGTCAGCATTTGCCGACCTGATACCTACCGATTACATGGCTCTGATGGTCAAACCCTCGACCACCCTTGGAATGTTGATCATTTAAAATATTATTGCAAGTAAACAAAGTTTTTCCTTCGGCATCATTATTTGCTTTTCTATTCTATGCATTCGACTACGCCTTAACGATACCAACCCAGCTAAACATACGGCCTGGTGCTTCGGGCCGAGGGGATGTGCGTCAACACGTGATGTCCTTCTTTTGGATGCGGTGCGGTTGTGCGCTGGCATGCTAGCACGGTCTACCATGGGTCGAGATGGTGATGAGGTTTGGGTAGAAGATGGTTAAATGATGCGCCTGTTTTGCGTTCGACTCCTAATAAAACGATTGTGGCCAAGAGAGGAACTGATATCGGCCATCAAGTTCACGGCCTGAGCTACAAGGCCGTTTAGTGGTGGTGTTGGTGGCGGGTTTTAGGCGGTGCTTCGGCGCGTTGCTCAGAGAGCGACGGTCGTATGATATATGGGGTGAATGAGATGATAATAGAGATGGTGCTCCGGCGCCTTGAAAATCAAAGGTCGTATGATATATTGATGAATGGATTTTCCTTACAATCTACCACTACTCCTAGGAAAGCAAATAAAGGTATTGAAAGTGCATTACAGGAAAATATAATTTGCTCCGTGGGAGGCTTTTGGTTTGGTGTTTGAACCCTTTGAATGTAGTCCTGAGCTTAGTATTTATAGGAGGAGTCTTGAAGGGACAATCGAGGCTGAAAAGACCTGCGTGGTGGAGCCTGATCGGGGCAAGTGGGTAGTCAAATCGGCATTTGGGATCGTGAAGCATGGTGGTGTGACCCCCATAAATCCTGGTAAATCTCGGCCACCGCCCTGATCGTGGGTTCTGCCCCCTTGGCCGTGGAAACGCATTTAATGCCCTGGTTTGGTGGTTGGTGATCTGACCTCAAGTTGTAAGATTACTTGTGAGAATGTTTGCGCCTAACCACTCTGATTTCCACCACTAAATCCTTACTTCAGTCGCTTCCCTTCTTCCCTTGTGCATTAAATGCTTCTTGCGACTAGTGGGTTTGCTGCGATAGTCAGAGGCATTACTTCATTAAATGGGGCATGGGACCCTGAGGCCACGTGACGATTTAACCACAGTATCTTCGGCCGTGTCTTTTACGGCCTTCGGCTTCGGCCTACAATACTGCGGTTGCGAGGCTGAGAGGATTATGCCTTTGCAGCTTTTCTTTTGTTTTCAGGAAGGCGAAATGCCTAACGAAACGGTAGGTGCTAGGACCGAGAGGAAGTCCCTTCAATCAGTTTTATGACTGTGATTTATTAGGCACAAACAGCGCCTCGGTGTCGGGAGCGGCTGAAGGCTCAGCAGTAGGAGTGGTTTCTTCCTCCTCACTGCTTGAATCCGAACCACTTGAAGAATCGGCATCCACATCCTCGCCCTTGTACGCCTCCACCATTTCTTCAGTTACCTTTTCGGGCAACGGTGGCGGGTCGCGAAGGAAGTTGAGGTTCATCTTTTTATCGGCATTGAAGTACTTGAATCGATATATAAGATCCTCGCATTGCTCCATCACCTCCTTGTCAAGAAGTGCCGTGAACTCTTCCAAGCTTCGGTACTCAGCTACAACCTTTTTTCTTGGCCTCTTCCACCTTTGTAGCACAAGACCGAAGGACAACTTCCTTCTCAGCCTCGGCCAACTTCAAGGATAGCTCTGCAATCTTCGCGGCATTTTCCCCAGCATGCAGATCTGCATCTTGGATTAGCTTCCCAGCCTCGGCAATCTTGGCCCGGATATCCCCATATCAGCCTGCAACGGCACAAGGTTAGCACATGTCACCCGAATAGACGCTTTAAACAAAAATACGAACAACACTTATAACAGCCTGAAGGCGGAAGGCTCGGCTGACCTGCTCGCGCAGCGTCTTCATCGGTAGCTGCTCAAGCTCTGGGAGCTCCATTTGAATGCCATCAATGAAACAGTTCACGAACGGCACAACCTTCCAGTGGCAAGCCATGTTCACCGGCTTAGCATCGGCCCCCTCCTCGTCATCAAGAATGAGGACGGCCACATCCTCACTCGGCCCTCTCGGCCTCTTCCCCGACACTTGGAGATATGCCTCCCTGACTTCCTCAGCCTCGGCCACCCTCTTCTCCCTGCGACGCCCAGCCACCATCACCTCCTCAGCTGAGGGCCCTTCGGCTTGACAAGGAGCCTTCGTCCTCTGCCGCGGTGGGCCTTCTTTCTTCTTCTGAGGGGCTCGTGACTCCAGCGGCCTCCTTGTAGCTTCGGGCATTGCCCTACCACTAGCCACTGCACAAGAAAAACAAGTTAGGAAAGAATCGGCGTACACCAAAAAAGAAACAAGACGCATGCCACACGACATCACTTACTCTTCCTCGCTTCTTCTTCCTCTTTCTCCTTCTTCCTTCGGGTGTATTCGGGGTTTGGTAATCAACCCTACCTTGTATAGATTGCCAAACTCTGACAAGGACTTGAAGAAACGATCTTCTTCGGCAACTTGCTGCCTACCGATTGTTTGAAAGTGGGGATATGCCTCTGAACAATTACCCCTAGTGCCGACACCCAAGATTCGGACACCAGCACCTGACGCTGACGCTAGGTATTCTGAGAGCTTGACACCCCGACCACGAAGTTCCCTCGCTGACCTGCCGAAAGGCAATTCGACTGCACCCACCCCCCTTGATCAGCACTTTTCACCCTCATCACGCTGTAAAGGTGGGCGAATTACTCGTAGCTTGGCTCTCCCTCGCTAGCTATGCCAAACACCACGATCGTCCCCAGCAGAGTAATCCAAATATTCATATTAAACTGCCCAAGGGCGTAGCTGATCTGGGCAAGGATCTTCGGCGCCGAAGCGCATGTTTGAAGACATTGGTGAAGAAGACCACTTCACCAGGACTCCAACGGCCCTAGAATCCGCATCACTACAGAATCCGATATGTTATACTGAGCCCGAATCTTGACCAGCTTAGCCTCGGTCAGGGCATTCGGCTCTAAGAAATCTACACCAAATACTGGGAGCTTGGCTTCGCCATCGGCACTCTCTTTCGCCCAGTCACTACACTCAAGACCCCTTCTCTAGGGGCAATGGCTGAAACTTCAGCCTCGGTCCCCTCGCTTTGGTGACCAGACGTCGAAGGTTGCCTACTACCCCCTCCAACTTCTATCACGCTCGAAGTTGAAGTGCTCCCATAATCGGCACTTTCGCCATCATTACTCTCAAGCTCTGCCGATGAGCTCGCCTAAGCTAATTCTCCCTCAAAGGCTCTCGGACTATCACTAAAGCAGAAGGCAACTAAATGCCATGCAGATCTAAACGGCCATCCTAACGCCTAAAACTCCATGTTCATCTACATTCATACATGTTCATGCAACACTTGAGCAATTCGATTCAGAAAAAAGGAAAACATGGCCACATACCTTGTTCACATGGTGGTAGAAGTTCACCGGAAATCGCCGCAGCCATGAATTTCTTTGCCGGAAATCGCCTATGCCGCCGCAACACTGATGCCGGAAATCGCTTCTCACGCTCTGATTGTTCTTCAAAATCTCAAGTACTTTTCCCATCGTCCCTCCATATATTTATAGGACAAGCCTAGCATCGGGATACGAAACGAGGCGACCCTTTGCAGCCCTCCTGACGCGTGTCACGCATGCACAGAGAGCCCAAGAGTCATCACATCCTACTTGACCATTTTGATTCTCTGACTTTTCAGAGAGCAAAGCCCACTAACGAACGGCAGGTGCACATTGGTTGAGTTTTCACTCCCTCTTGTGCCGAACAGTAGGCGCACATTGGTTGAGTTTTCACTCCCCCTCGGGCCGAATTGCAGGCACACATTGGTTGAGTTTTCACTCCCCCTCATGCCGATCGACAGGTGCTCATTAATCGACGTTCTCACCCCCCTCAAGCCTTCGACCCTTGCTGTTGTTACTTTTCCAATTCTCCAAAGCTCCCCCTTGATCGGTGACTTGGGGGACTACATGACTACAATCGGCAAGGCAAGGGATGACGCTCGTATCCAAGCCAAATTGCCGAAGATAGAGAACAAGCAAGTCCCCAACCAAGAAGTACCTTCTCAATCGGAAACTTGGGGGACTCCTGTTTGTACCTTATTTGACCCTCCACTCACATCACGACACATGGAAATAGAACGAGGATAAAACCAACCCTGTGGAGGCCGCGCCGAATAGTCCAATCGGTACCCCCTGCCGATTCATACATGTTCTCCAATCGGCGACAGCTCCTGCTCGCTCTCAAACGGCATCGATCGGTATCATATGCCGAAAGACCTTGCGGGCGCGGTCAGAAAGCCCAGCCGATTGTACAGGACAACCTCAGTGACCCCGCCCAAAGCTTGTCGGGACACGTGTCGACCACCGAGGCCATTCCCGCGAGTCCCACATCGAAACTAAGTGCTACTAGAATACTAAACGCACTCTATAAATAAAGCCCCTTGGCCCAACCAAAAGGGTAAGACTTCCAACTTGAATTGTGCTTCCACATTCAGTATTTAGCTCTTAGTCACTAACTTTGGCATCAGAGGGTCTACGGCCGGCACCACACCGGTGCTCAAGACCTCACCTGCCGTTTCTGTCTTTAGCTCGGATCCAGCATCCACTTTAGTCGCAGGACGCCACGGGAAGAAGGCCCCTCCGGTCCACGATTATCAACATACCTGTAAGTTAGCCCTATCACTATCTATTTAGTTTTTAGTGCAAACATTATCCAACTTTGTTAAGTTTTTTCTTTTTCTTTTTTCTCTTCTTTTTTGGTTATTTTGTCCTTGCCATTAGTTCATGTTATATTGTTTATCATATTTCAAGTTATATGAGAACCTTACAAGTCTGAAAAGGAACACCACTCATTTTCATCTGTTGCATTTTACTAAGGGAAGCTCAAGTGTTGTGTTGTTCTTGAGCCCTGCCATCTTGAGATGGTACTTAGACAATTTGGTCAAGTGCAGACGATTTCTCCCATAATAAGTTCCCCTAACATAATTGGTAGTGATGCCAATTCTTATAAGATTATGTATGATTATTTAGAGGTAATGTGGGAGAATCGGGTGAACCACGAGTTGGGAGAGGTGTACCCGTGAGTTGACCATCATATTTTGTGCCTGGGTACTTTGAGTGGTACCTCCGAGTAGGATATCCGTTTGTCTAGAATCTCAATTTTAGAGCATTTGACCCATTTTCTACAATACAAAGTTCATATTTTTAGGTAAAACTATAATTTTTTTTTATCACTTTGACTTCTTCAATTTCATTATTTCTACTAAGACATTGATTTCATATTCATTATAGGAGCATGACGAGTGTATGTTGGCCCTTACTTTTTCAAACTTGTGGTCGACAACAACTTACTAAAAAAAGGAATATATTTCGGTTGGTCACCACTGAATAAAAAGTAAAAAATTTGTCCAATACAATCGAACTCCTTTAAATTTTACAGTGGAACGCCACTGAATATTAGGTTAAATTTCGGTCATTTACAACCAAACTCTTTTGGATTTTTCAGTGAAACAACACTGAAACTTCCTATCACGTTCGATACTGGTGTACCAAAAGTAAGCATGGACCACCATGCAACTATGACTTGAAAAACACAAAAACAATCAACTTATACATCATTCGAAGACTCCCTAACTTCACTCTTACCCTCAATGAGTAAATAATAGATGATAGTTTGAGAAACAAGTCTGAAAAGTAAGTCTAACTAGGGTTACAGGAACGTATATTGTTATATTAGGTCTAGTGATAAGATTTATTGTTTATTTTAAATGTTCTTTGTCCTTAAGAGTAATTACATATAAGGATAAAAATAGGTTCTTCATAAAATTAGTGTTGAGTCAAAACAATAGGATTGATGGGTCCAAATAAAACTACCATATAAAGAAAGACCTCGTTATAGCTAGCAATAAAATTAGTTGAATGGAAAATGGGTAGAAATTGTCAGTTCATTTTTCTTTCTTTGACAAGTTCCTCTATTTTGTTGGTACATTTCAGCTAGGGTTTTTTTTGGGTTAAAGGGGGGAAGGAGAAGGGAGATTTACTAACTATCCAATAAGAAGATGACAAGTGGAAAAGAAATATTCCTTAGGTCAAACTAATTATCCTAATTAAATTTAATTAGGAAAATTATCTTTGATTTAAGATAGAAATATCTCCCTAAATCAAGAAACCAATCTCCACCAAATGTCTTGGAATAATTCCTATTATCTTTTTGGGGAAGAATAATCCTAACCAAATAAGGATTATTCTCCCAAAACCCTAGCACACAAGGAGACTATAAATACATAGCCATACAATACATTTGAGGTAATGCTTTCTCACCCAAAAAAACCCTCTCTCCCTCTCCTTGCCGTCGGCCTCCCTCATCTCTCTCTCCTAACATGGCCATATGCCACCACACACAGCTAAGGCCACTCGGCTCTCCTCGTGAGAGAAAACTCCATCCTTTTAGCTATTGCCGTACCTTTTCTCAAAGATCCAATTAAACTAACTTAGGCATCGTAGAGCCTTTGCTCAATACCCCTCAGGTGTGATCTATTTACTCCTATTTATTTCGCAGGAATCGAGGAAGAGTGAGAATGAACATCAAAGGTCGAGTAATTAACCCACGTATATTTCCCCACTACTACATTTTACTATTTGCGCAACAACGACAAATTCGTCGTGCAAGATACACTTGATCGACGGAACAAAATATTCGTCACGCAAACTGTCAAAAACTTGCACGACCAAAAGTTTCATCGCACATGAAAACTTAGCATGACAAAAAATGTGGTCGTCGGGCAAAGTGAGGAAGAAAAACGCGGGTTTATTTTTTTTGGCGCCAAACACTTGCGCGACGACACATGTCGTTGCGAAAGAAAACCTAGCGCGGCGGTTGTTCTTTTTGTCGTGTAAAGTTAGACAGAAAATAGTGGGTGTTTTTATTTGGCGGCAAACACTTGCACGACGACAGTTGTCGTCGCAAAAGACAACTTAGCGCGATGACGAGCTTTATCATCGCGCAAGAAAAACGTGGGATTTTTTATTTGGCGCCAAATAATTGTGTGACAGAAATTTATGTCCTCGCGTAAAGTTTGATGTTGGCACGTTCATGTGCGACGAAAATTTTCTTTGGCACGACAATATTTACAATTTGCGTGACGAAATCAATATTTCGTCGCACAAAAGTGGGATGTCGACACTTACTTGCGCAACAAAAAAGTTATTTTGTATGACAAAATGGACCACTTTTTCAACAAAAAATTAGCTTCGTCATGCAAAATCCTTCTTCTTCATATCTGGATTCTGCCATTGTAGAGGCAAAATGCAAAAAAAAACTCTGCTTCTGCCTCTGCTGGGAATTCAGTACGTTCATTGGGTAAGTATTTTTTGTCGTTTGTTTAAAAGTATTATTGTAAATTCATACTAACGCTATTAATTTCGTTCTCGTTAGGGATATTTGTAATTAGCGATTGGTGGAGAACGATTGAGAGTGTATTTTATTCGTTTTATATTTCAAAATATTAAATTAATTACATTATGTTAAACTTAGTTTGTTATGTTTATATTTTTTTTGTGAAATTATATTTATATTATGTTGTTAAATTGTGCGTGACGTAGCACAATGTGTTATGATGTACGAAGTTAATTGAAATTAACTTCGTACTTTTATTTTTATTTTTAGTAACACTTAGTTTCCGGTTCGAGATTAGTGGGATTTCGTGCATGGATGCGTAAAGCATGACTGCGGTCCAATTAATTCTTGAATTGTCCCATTATTTGGACAATTTGGGAATGCATAGTCATGTCACGTAATGTACGGCTACAGGATTAGGTTTTGATTGTGGAGATTTCGGTGTCATCTCTGTACGTTCTTCAGGTGGTACGTAGGTATTTTATACCTACAGTACACCTCAAGTACTGTATCGAGATGCTACCGAAATTCATCCATGTTGAAATCTAATCTCATATAGCCATAAATTACGTGATAGAACTATGCATTCCCGAATGGGATAGGGCCCTTACTAGAGGCATAAGGTGACATTATGACTTCGCATGAAGTTGTTGTTATTGTTGTGGATCTAGGAATTATGAGCATGAGGTGGATACAGAATCTGAATAGATGCACAGACGAATACTTAGATGGAATCGAGGATTTCATTGTGTTTGCACGTACACACTGTTTGTGCCTAATAGGGTCAGATCACCAACCACCAGACCAAGGCATTAAATGTGTTCCCACGGCCAAGGGGCCAAAACCCACGATCAGGGTGGTGGCCGGGATTTGCCGAGATTTATGGGGGTCACACCACCATGCTTCTCAACCCCAAACCACCATGCTTCACAATCCCAAATGCCGATTTGACTACCCACTTGCCCCGGTCGGGCTCCACCACGCAGGTCTTATCAGCCTCGAATGTCCCTCCAGGACTCCTATAAATACTAAGCTCAGGACTACATTCAAAGGGTTCAAACACCAAAACCAAAAGCCTCCCACGGAGCAAATTATATTTTCCTGTAATGCACTTTCAATACCTTTATTTGCTTTCTTAGGAGTAGTGGTAGACTGTAAGAAAAATCCATTCATCAATATATCATACGACCCTTGATTTTCAAGGCGCCGGAGCACCATCTCTGTTATCGCCTCACTCACCCCATATATCATACGACCGTCGCTCTCTGAGCAACGCGCCGGAGCACCACCTAAAACCCACCACCAACACTACCACTAAACAGCCTTGTAGCTCAGGCCATGAACCTGACGGCCAAGATTCGTTCCTCACTCGGCCACGATCGTTTGATTAGGAGTCGAACGCAAAACATGCGCAACATTTAAACCATCTTCTACCTGAACCTCATCATCATCTCGATGCACGGTAGACCGTGCTGGCACGCCCGCGCACAACCGCACCGCATCCAAAAGGAGGACGTCACGTGTTGACGCACATCCCCTCGGCCCGGAGCACCAGGCCGCGAGATTTGCGACAGACCAACACACACAACCCAAGTGCAACTAGAATCCATTGTCCTTGTATGAGGTGTAACAACACGTTGTGGGAGACAATTCAAAATGTTGGATTTCATTTAGTAAGGAAGGGAATGATTGAGACATATAGCATTCTGAAGCTTCACGGGGAACAATTAGACAATGCTTCGTCTTCAAATGCCACAAGGGTGGACAATGTTTAACCTATTGTGGATCCTAATAAACAAGTCATGGATATTATAAATGATGTTTTTCCATTTGCATCGACCAATATCAATCAAGAAGGGGAAGATAGCGTGCCTACCCCAATGGATAGTGTAGAGTTCGAACAATATGAACAACTGTTAAAAAATGCTAACCAAGAGTTATACCCGAGGTGCGAGAGCTTTTCTATTCTCACGGCCATTGTGGAGCTAATGCACGGAAAAATAAAGTATCGTTTGTCGAACCTGTGTTTTGATTACTTTTTGGGAGTTTTCAAGAGAATGCTTCCAAAAGACAATTGTTTGCCGAAAGACCAAAGACATGCGCAAAAGGTGTTGAATGGTCTTGGATTGGGTTATGAAAAAATTCATGCTTACAAAAACAATTGCATGTTATTCTACAAAGAGAATGAAACATTGGATACATGCCCTATATGCAAAGAGTTGAGGTTCAAGATGACATCTCATAATAGAATGACTAAGATCCCACAAAAAGTCATGTGTTATCTGCCCCTGAAACCTAGGCTGCAGAGATTGTATATGTCGACTCATACTGCCATAGACATGAGATGGCATAAGGAAAAACGAGTAGACGACGATGTGATGAGTCATCCTGTAGATGGGGAGGCATGGAAAAAGTTCGATCGAACGTTCCCTAAGTTTGCTGCTAATCCCCGAAATGTTAGATTGGGACTTGCCACTGACGGATTCAATCTGTACCGGGTTCTAAACCAACACCACAACACTTGGCCGATTTTCGTATTCCCATATAATTTGCCGCCTTGGAAATGCATGAAAAAAGAGTACATGATGATGACTGTTTTGATAACTGAGGATCCTGGCAAGTCAATCGATGTTTACTTAAGGCCGTTGGTTGATGAGCTCAAGGATTTATGGACAAACGGTATGCACACGTATGATAAATCCACTAGGAAGATGTTCACTTTGCGGGCAGCAGTTATGTGGACTATGAATGATTTTCCTACATATGCAATGGTTTTTGGGTGGAGCACAAAGGGTTATATGGCATGCCCTATATGTATGGAAGATGTAACTTCTTGTTGGCATGCTGGAAAAGTTTGTTATCCTGGTCATCGGAGATGGTTGCCATGGGACCATGAGTGGCGGGAAAAGGATAAAGAGTTCGACGGGAACACAGGGCATCGCCTCAGACCTAGAGAATGGTCCGGTGATGAGATCTTGGAACAGCTTAACCGTTTGGATTTTGCTTCATTCGAGAAAATAGTTACTCGAACCAGACCTTCTACACATTTGAACTGGACACACAAGCCTATGTTTTTTGAGCTCCCATATTGGTCGAAACTAAAATTGAGGCACAATCTCGACGTTATGCATGTTGAGAAAAATGTCTTTGACATATTGATGGGCACAATTCTAGATATCGAGGGCAAGACAAAGGACACGATCAAAGCTCGTCTTGATTTGGAAAGAATGGGCATACGAAGAGGTTTATGGATGAACAAGGACGGTGATAAAGCTAGAAGGGATCTGGAATTTTTTTTTCCATGAAACCGAATGACAAAAAAGATTTTCTAAAGTTTGTATCGTCCGTAAAGTTTCCGGATGGGTATGCTTCTAATATTGCACGTTGCGTGAATGTTGACAGGGGTAAATTTACTAGACTAAAGAGCCATGACTGCCATGTGTTTATGCAACTCCTACTTCCTATGGGTATTCGACACCTTTTGCCGGAAGATGTAGTGAAACCAATCATGTTGTTGTGCAGATTTTTTTCCCAATTGACGGCAAAAATATTGCGAAAGACAGACATTAATCAATTGTGCCATGACATTGTCCAAGTCCTATGCAAGTTTGAGATGATATTCCCTCCAGTTTTCTTTACAAGTATGATCCACGTGATGGTTCACTTGCTAGAAGAGGCATTGCTTGCTGGTCCTGTCAACTATCGATGGATGTATCCAATAGAAATGTATATAATCCTCATCATTTGTTTATACATCCTTATCCCACGCTTGCTAATTTGTATTGTTTCATTTTATTTTGGCAGGCTTCTCGGAGAGCTGAAAAAAACTGTACGCAACAGGGCGAAGCCCGAAGGATCAATTATAGAGCCTTGGGTTCAATATGAGTCACTTACTTTGTATGAAATGTATTTAAAAGAAGTGGACATGACTTTCAATCGTCCTCAGTGCAATAATGACAGAGGTCTGAGAAATGAGAAACTTTCTATTTTTTCCCAAAGCGCTCGTCCCTTTAGAGATCCTGTACGAGGAGAGTCGTTTTCCAGAAATGACATGGAGGTAGCGCATTGGTTCGTACTGAACAATTGTGATGAGATAATGGCATACTTAGATGAGCATGAAGATATGATGAAACGAGAACAACCATCACATTTGTATGCCAAGAAACATCGTGAATTGTTTCCACAATGGTTTTTGGATTTTGTAAGTTATAAGTGTTTTGTATTTGACATATATATTGTATTATTTAATGTTCTCAAACTAACATGTTAATGTTTTTGTATAATATTAGGTGAATAAGTTAAAACCATCGAATTCCCCCTCTTACAGTGAAGAGTTATATAACTTGGCGTTCGGCCCGATTCGCACTAAATTGTTCTTAGGTTGCCATGTTAGCAATGTCAAGTTTTTGGGGACTGCACGAGATGACAAATTGTGTACGCAAAACAGCGGTGTCCATGTCCCAGGTGGAGGCAAAAGTACGGACATTGATTTCTATGGCAAACTCACAACTATCGTGCAATTGCTTTACAAAAACCGATACCAAGTGATCATGTTTAAGTGTCGATGGTTTGATACAAACCCAAATAGGCAGGGAAATGTTAAAATCGACCATGGCTTACTATCAGTGAACATGAACAGAACTTTGTATGATGATGACCGTTACATTTTGGCAAACATGGCAAAACAGATTGTGTATCTAGATGACCCTAAAGCCGGGAGCGGTTGGAAAGTTGTTCAACAGATGGATCAGAGGAACATGTATGCTATACCAGAACTAGACCCAATTGACAACAACGTCGACAACTTCACTGACCAACGTTAAGAATCTTCCATGGAAAATGATGCAAAAACACTTATCATTTGAAGCTCATCATCTTCTTCATTCTCATACTTTTGGAATAACATTAAATTTATGGAATTTCAATTTTTTTTTAGGTCATACTTTTCCATTCTCATTCTTTCGATATCATTTGAAGGCCTAAACTGTGTTGCGCAACATGACTTTGCTCGACGCCAGAACAAACTACGTTGCACAACTTATGGCGTTTGGGTTTACGCCTGTCGTTGCGCAAGTTGGTGAAAATTTTGGCGTTTGGGTTTGAGGGTTTAGGGATTGCGCGACGCTATTGGGGTCTTACGTCGCGCAAGGTAATGAAATTTTGGCGGAATTATTACCTTGCGCGACGGTTTATGTTTGTCGTCGCGCAAGTTGGCGAAAATTTTGGAGGAAAACTTACCTTGCGCGACGAGGATTGGCTTTTTTGTCGCGCGAGGTCATATTGCGCTACGGTTAATGTTCTTCGTCACGCAAGTTTGATTAAAATTTCTGAAAAAACTTCGAACCTCACACCCGTCACTTTCTCCCCTCACTTCCTCTCTCTCCGACAGCAAAATCCTGCCGTCAACCACCTCAGCTCAACCCATGCCACCGCCGCAAGGACCGGGCCGCCACCACCTTCGAAGCCCAGCCCTGTCTCTACCGTCATCGTCGCGTCTGTCGCCGATTTTCACAGATTTTCAACACCGTCAATTCTCTCTCCTCCGGCCACCACAACCGACACCTGAGGTATGGTTTCTCTACTATTTTTCGTGCTTTAGTTGATGGTTGGGTAGGATTTGATTAATTGTTAGTTTTGGTATCTCGAATTTTAACCCTAACTTTGTCCGGTTTTGGAATTTCAATTCCGGCCCCTTCCGGCCATTTTTTGGGGTAGGTCCAAGAACAAAAGTACCTCCAATTGATGTTCTTTACCTAGGGAAGGAAGCTTGGCCCTTAATTTTGAAAATTTTGCAGCAATCATTATCGCTTTGGGGACCCACGTGTTGCCTGCGCTTGTGGCGGCACGTGGGGTACTGTAGCAGATGGGCATTGTGTCCTAATACGATCCCCTAGTTGTCACGAGCACGTAGGTGTGCTCGGATTTCAATTCGGTTACTATTTAAGTATGGAACGAATTTCGCCTATTGTGCGATTTCCGGGTTCGATATGTTCGGACCGTTGGATCGAACTCAAACTCACGTATGTTGTATCTTGTATTTGTAGGATCGTATAGGATTCGATGGATCTTGGATCGGAGTCCTGGATACTCCGAAATCGTGAACCTAGGGCAAGATATGCTTTAATTCATTAGTTTCAATTCGGAATGAAATTGTATCTGCTTAGTAAATTGGATTCATTTATATGTTTATTAATGAAATTGTGCATATGTCAAACCTAATTAGAAGTCGTAAGGTGATTTTGACTGCACAGAGTTTGTCTCCCCCGGCTCAGCCGTCATCAGCTGCCACTACTCCAGCACTGATGGACCACTTGCTAGTTGGTCCCGGGGGGTCCCATGCGCCGGCATCATCAACGTCATCAATGGTGCAACCTGTTAGCGCTAGGCGTCGTCATCACCCCTCCAGCACCACCAAGACCACATCAACAGACGCTACTGGTGCGTTGTGGTCTCAGCCAGGTAAAGATTTCCTTCAACTCCAGTTGTTTTGGACCAATATTTTATAGTTGAATTTTTTATTTATAAGACTTTAATTTTATATTTCTTTGCAGCCAAGAAGAACACCCGGGGGCTGTGTCGGCAATTAAAGACGGCCAAGGTCACCTAGATGACCAACAGTCGTATCAACATCGGATATGACGAGCGGCATCGGGTTGTACCGATGGCGGAATTACATAGATCATTGGCCACAACATTGGTCACGTCGTTCGGACCCATTGTCGGATGCAATGGAAGTCTTGGAAGGTCATGCCTGACAAGATCAAGACGGAGGTGTGCGAATAGTTGTCAGTGTGTATCCTACCTTTTAATTGTTTTCCTTCAAACTTTATATATTTCTATTACTGCTTGTATCTAATTAATTTATTGCAGACCAACTACAATTTAGAGGACCTCGACGAGTCGTTGGCATACGTCAACAGACTCTTTGCTGAGAGGTACAAGCAGTGGAAGAGCGACTTGCACCATAATTTTCAGGCATTTGATGATCCGCAGGCCACTCTTCAGGAGGGTTGCCCGAATGAGCTTGAGGGGGGGGAGGATAGTTAGGTGTGGCTCTACGCTCATTTTCAGGCGCCCGATTTTGTGGTATTTTTTTATATTAAGTTCAAAATTATTACATGTTTCTTACTAATGTTTATGTAATTTTTTATATTTCATTTCAATTTTAACTAATACGTTTATTTTTTGTATAACAGAATAAGGCCAAAGTAAATAAGGGCAATAGGAACAAGAAGACTATTGTCCACCATTCAGGTTACAGGCCCCTTCTCATATAAGATGGACGCACAACGGCGGGTAATAATAAAATTATTTATGTTCAATTTTTAATGTCATTAATATTAATTTGTCTTTTTCGTACTAACATTTTCTTCTCTTGTTCAATTCAGGGGGGGTCCAAATTCCCAGAGATCGACGTCTTTGGCGACTTTTATGTTCGACCTGGGAATGAGTTGGTCGAGTCCCTTCATGTAAGTATTCATTTAATTTTAATTTTAAGTATTATTATATGAATGTTTTAATTAATATTTTATGTTATGTTAAACAGACGACGATGGTGGAGAGGAGCCAGTTGGTTCTTCAAGAGTCCGCCTCCCAACTTTCTCCTGATACTCCGCTCGAGTCTGTGGATCCTCCACAGGATGCTGGGTTTCAGATCTTAACTAAGACGTTGGATCAGAATCTCAGGAGGAGGCCAGGGACATATTGTCGAGGGATGGGGAATGCCCGGTGGAGGGAACCTAGACCCCGCTCATCAAAGGTGATTGCTTTGACAGCAAAGGTGGCCGAGCTTCAGGGTCAGATGTCTATGCTTCTAGAGTCCCTCGCGCGGTCCGGCATTCCAATCTCACATTTTGATCCCTCGTCGACCTCCGAGCCTGTCCAACCCAAGCATGGCTACCAGACCTCTACTCCTGTGGAAAATGTCCAAACCTCCGAGCCGCATCTACCTAACGACCAAGTAGATTTTGGAACATTGTTTGATTAGTTTTTTACTTTCATAATTATATTTTAAACATTTCTCTTGTAGTATACATTTATATTATTTTATATAATTTTTTTTCTCTTCATTACATTTTTTTTTATTGCAATTTTATTTTATTACCAAAAAAAAACCAAATTTATTTTTTTACAAAATAAAAAAACGTAAAACTAAATTTTAAATAAATATATTTTATTCTTGCGCAACGAAGACTTTCGTCTTGCGAAAAAGACATGCGCGACGACGACAATTTCGTTGCACAACAAGAATCGTTGCTCAAATATTGGAGACACGAATTGCGCAATCGCGCAAATATTTGCGACACAAACTGCGCGACAAATACAAATTGTCGTGCAAAGGTGTCTAAGACGAACAATTGTGTCGTCCCTAATCCTTTTGTGCAACGAAGGTTAATCGTCGCTTAGTTTTGCGCGACTATTGAAAAAACTTGGTCGCGCAAAATCTTTCTTCATGCTCTTTGTGCGACGAATTTTTTGTCACGCTGAAATTTTTGCTACTAAAAATAACTTTGCATGACGAAATGCTCTTCGTCGCGCAAATGGTAAATGTAGTAGTGCCCGTGAGAAATTTTACTCAAACACATGGGTGCCTAGAGGTTTCGAATCTGACACCCCTGAACTTAGGCCAAACATACTTTTCCACTACGGTATGACCCTAGTGGCAGTTCATCTTGGTGTTTGGTAGGTAATCTTCTACGATATTAAAAGTAACTACTATTAAAATGAAAGTATATGAATAAATGATGAGGTAAATTACTTGACTATACTTCGTATTGCCAAGAAGGAGATGACCCTATATGCTTATAGCAGAACAAAAGTTATGAAAGTAATTTCAGTCACAAAGGAGTCTAAAGCGGTGAAGGAATCGAATTTTATTTTTTGGGTCAAAGAGGGAAGGGTTTGGACTCTAATCCTGCATGAGAGAGTACTGTTGGCAACCAACCGCGGAAGCCACAAGCTCCTGCGAATTAAGGTATTGTTTAACTCTCTATCCATTTCTTAGTAAAAATACGTTCCATATATCTATCTCAAATAGGAATTGTTAAGTGTGTTTGAAGTTTTTCCATTTGACGATTTTATTGTGTTTTTTTTGGAGGACTTGTTGATTTTATAATAGCTCTTAAGTCAACGAACTAATTTGACAAAGACATGCTTGGAAAACCAGACATTATATTGGAATGAGGTTCAAATGTGAAAACAAGGAAATTTGTGTGTAGTACTAGTTAAATTTACTAACATCTCAAGGACGATGTGGTTTCGGAACAGTAGAAAAAACAACATGAAGTCCAGATTAGGCAAATCATGGGAAAGGCTCCAAATGAAAAGCAGTGCAAAAACAGGAAGTATTTTCTGAACTCTTTTTTTATTTATATGAAACTACAACTTATGGGTGGGCATCGAGACTGGAAAACTGGAACACCGAGGATGGAAAAAAAAAAAAAAAAAAAAAAAAAAAAAAAAAAAAAAAAAAAAAAAAACAAAAAAAAAACAACAACACCAAAACCAGACCGAATTGGTTTTGATGCCCATTTCACACCTTACAAAATCGGATATGATCAGACTAGACAACTTGTGTATTTTTTTATAAAAAAAATTATTTAAGCCAAATATTAAATTTAATCCCATAACTAATATTTTCTCAAACCTAACTTCAAAGCACCTCTCTTTTTTAGCATGCGGACCTCAATATTTCTTCAGTTTTCTCCTCTTATATATGCTGCCAAATCAAGCCACTACACTGCTATATAAAAATATCCAGTCGGTGTTGTAGAAGTATACATCTTCAAATCATTTTTTACAATGAAACACAGCTGCAAACATTGGAATCCGCACACTAAACAATCCGGATGTCTAGACATATATATATATATATATAAATTCGTCCAAAATCAAAAAAACTAACAACTGCATTGGAATCGGTTTAAACTAAACTAATTGATTTCTTAAATTTGTTTTCACCAAAATCAGACTGAACCGCACCGGTTAAATAGTATCAATTTCGATTCCAATATGAGATGGAAACCAAACCAAACCGGACCACACCCACTTACAACCCATATCAAAGTAAGTATAAGCTATAACACAAAACAAAAACCAGAACTTTGGAATCTTTAGCTATTTCAATTTAGAGGCTTATGCTGATGGATGACTACATGATATATTTGTGGATTAGTGACCACAAATTTCTGGGCTCTCGACTAAAAAATGTACAAGCTTTCAATGTAATTACCTATCAATCAGAATTTGGGTTTTATGGTGCCTGCAAGCATGAACATAATTTGGGTAGGATCCTGTAAACTATCAATCAATAGGAATATTTATAATTTCAAGTAGTTAATATCTTCGTTCACAATTTGACAATATAACATGTCAAACTATCTGACAAAATGAAAGTTACACGTATATATTTTGTCCTTGAATCTTCTGGGACAATAAAAACTCTTAATATATTTAAGAAAAATCAAATTTAGCTTCATGATCAACTTCTAAAAATAGGTATTTTATGTAGAAGTAAAAAATATACATCTATTTTGTACAAGTAAACAAAATCCCTAATTACATGGAATTTAAATACAATTAGGAAATAAACTTTCCTATTCTAAGTATACGTGCTAACACTCCCCCGTAAGTTGGTGCATAGATATTGCTAATGTCCAACTTGATAGTGCTAAAACATTGGTAAGGATGTCCGCTAATTGATCTTCGGTTTTCACAAAAGGCATGGTAAACAAATTAGCTTCTAATTTCTCTTCAATTAAATGTCAATCCACCTCCACATGTGTATTCTCGTCATGTTAAACTGGATTATAGGAAATGTCAATAGCAACTTGATTGGCATAAAATAATTGGATAACCGAGAAGGCAAACCCTCCTCTCTAAACTCCAACCGTCAGTTTGCCTCCAGAAATTCCTTTTTCCCTTTTTTGAACTCTCTCTCCCATTTTGGACCTTTTTTCCTTTGTAACCAGCTGTGCTAAACCCTAATGTTCACTTTTAAATATGCCATCTAATGGGCCAGCCTTAACCCTAGCGCTAGAACCCTAGCTAGCCTCTTAAAACGTATAGGAAGGTTAGCTTGCTCACACTAACCTGCTTAGGCTTTCGTAAATTAAAGTATCTTGGGCCTACAATTTTAGAATAAGATTAGGTAAGCTGAAACGACCTGACCCAATTTCCACTTTGGAATGCGGGTCGAGACCTGTTTAAAACTGACACCTGGTAACCGTGGGTCGTAAAAGACCAAAATGCCCTGAAAAAAAAACAGTAACACAAACTCTGGGGGCCTAACTCGTGGCTGCGCCTGACAACTGTAGGCTGCCTATGTACCCTTACTGAGGGATCAAGCCACACGTAGTTCTTCACTCTGTTCTTGACCTGCAACTGGTTCGTTATTTTGTAACTGGTTTAATTATCCGTAAAACATACTCTAGGGCTGACATTTCTGGAGTATCCGGGACTCCGTTTTACGATCCGTCAAATACTATACGATCCTGGAAATACCTAGATCAACATACTTGAAAATGACTATGATCCAACGGTTCAAACGTACCGAACCCGGAAATCGCATAATAGGCGAGATCCGTTCGAGGTTCAAACATTATCCGAATTAAGATCTGCGAAATCCTACGCGCTCGTGAGGACTAGGAGATTATTCTAGGACTGACTGTGGTCCCCACCCTGCTGCCCATGCGCCGCCACACGCACTGGCAGCGCGTGGTGCCTAAAGCGATAACGCTTCGCCGGAAAATCTCAACATCTCGGCTCAAGACTCCTATCCTAGGTAAAACACCCTATTTAGAACCACTTTTGTTCTTGGACCTACCCCAAAAAGTGGCCGGAAGTGGCTGAAACCGTGATCTCAAAACCGGCCGAACCCTAGGTTCGAAATTAACCCTCTCACGCTAGAAATTGCTCAAATCCTACTCAACCATCAGCTAGATCATGAAAAATAGCTAGAAATTCATACCTCACACGACCGGATTGGTGGCCGGAGGAGGGAGAAACCGCTGGCCAAAGTTCTCTAAAAAACCGGTCGGAAACCATGGTTTTTCCGACGGTTCGAGGCGGCAGGCGGCGGGAAGATGACCGGGCTAGGTCGGCGGAGTGACGCCGGTGGTTCTGGGTCCGGTCCGGTGGGTCGGGGTGGTCTGTGGCGGTGGCTGGGAGGAGAGGGCGGATCGGACTGAAACAGGGGGGGAGATCGCGACGAGAGAGAGAGAGAAGCTGAGGGTTTTTAAAAAAATCCTGATTTCCCAAAATTACCATTTTGCCCTTGAGCGTATTTTGACTGTATTTTCTTCGTTATAATTCCGATTCGAGCCTAATACATGTCTACGGACTCGTTTCGTCGTGCTCTACGCCATGGTATAACTGAAATCCCAAAATTTCTTCCCGGTCAAAAAGTCAACTTTTAAACTAATAAAATATTTTAGGGGTATAAGTGTCTTTTACCAGAATAAATTAATAATTAAATATTAATTAAGGACTGGGTTGTTACATAAGCCATTATGCTCGACTCTATTCACAAACATACCATAATATAACATAAATTATAAGGAAAAATCTTAATTAAACACGTCAGGGCCTACAAGTATAGTGTGCTAGAAACCATGGGCATCACAGTGTTGAAAACACGAAGAACAAAATGACATGCGGGAAAATGCACCAACTATAAACGCAAAGACTCGGAATCCATACACAGTGATTTGTCTTATACAACACACAAATACACCCCTGTCTGCATACGTGCATTACTAGCGCCCATGGAATGCACATTAACTACTTCTGTGCCATTAGTGTAAGTTGATAGATGTCTTCAGTTACAGCCTTTGAATCTTTGAAAATCCCTGGCAGTCCCTTCCCTGTTAATCCAACACAATAAACACCTTTCTCGCCCTTCCAGTGGTTTGGGTACTTCCCTTTAGGCTTTCCATCATCTGTAAGAAGGAACTTGTAGTCCTGCATCCACAATTAAATAATTAATTTCTATATATATATATATATATATATATACACACATATCATACCAAATTAGTGAACAATTACTCAATATATTAAATCTTTGCTCTCGGTTTAATATTCAATAAAAAAATATAAAATTACCTTCAACCATTTATGTGCTACGCTTTTGTAACCAGTTGCTAACACAATAGCATCAAAACACCGTCGTTTACCATCTTTGAATTCCACAGTCTTCTGGTTTATACTCGCTACATCTGGAAAAACCTGTATCAAAACAAATATTACGAAGAAATTCTGTTAAGTATATATCTTTTAATTAAAGATATAAAATATGTTACAATATTCACCTGAATCTTTTTGGAGCGAATTTTCTCGATGGTTCCACGATCAATTACTGGAGTCTTTCCAGTAAGTGCTTTAAAGAGAAATGGCCCTTCAACTGGGCGATGAATGCCATAGCTGGACAAATCACTGTAGCTCAACTTGGCAAGCAGTGACACAAACTTGTCCACTATTTTCAGTGGGAGGTAATTCGACAGAAGCATGCCAATGCCAACCATTTCTTTGCTCAGCACATGAATCTGCTCAATAATAAAACCGGCATGTTATTTAAAAAAATATATATTTAAATATGTAATACTTTTGAGAATTACATTTATAAGGGCCTTAATTAACTAGTTTCTTTTATTTTATGTTTTTCCTTTTGTACAAATGTTATTCAGAACAATAACCAATCATTATATGAGGAACTTTAGCCAACATGGTCTAGTACAATGAAAAAGAGCCTTGATTTATAGATTAGTGGTCACAAATTTGAACCCCCGTAATACCTTAGTAATGTGTGTGCGTGTGTGTGAGAAACCTTCATCTCTTTGTAGTTTAGACTATATGCCTGTATTTATAAATAAATAAAAAATTAAGAAACCTTAAAAATGATAAAATAAATTTGCTTGGACTAATCCTAACAAATTTATATGCTAGAGAAGGAACAGGACATACCACCCTTCCTTTTGGTTTTAATTTTGGTAAAATCAAGGAGATAAGTGCTAGTGGAAAGAAAACGAGACATACAATTTTTTTTATGTGAAAACAAAATGAATAATTAATATGGAATAAAGATCAAAGACAAAAATATTTCTTATCTTCTCAAAAAATAAATAAATAAACATTATCAAGCATATTGTTTATTATTCTTTCTTCCGGCCTCTCTGAATCATTTTAGTTATTTCACCACAGATTCTCTCCAGATCTTTAATTATTTAAAAGAAAAAAAACCACAAAAAGTTAACCTAATAAAGAAATTTAACATCAAAGAGGTGAAACGCTTAAACTTGACAGCTGTCGTGCCAAGTACCTCATGCAAGCATTCAAAACGAGAGAGAGAGAGAGAGAGAGAGAGAGAGAGAGGAGAGAGAGAGGAGAGAGAGAGAGAGAGAGCCGTTCCAGCTTCATATATACCAGAGAACAATAAAATATTAGGTTACCTCAACGCCCGCTGCATGCAAGATAGAAAAGAAGAAGACAAACACATTATATGCACCCTATAGCTTAATTAGCCAACTTATTTTCTATATGTCCGGAAAGAAGTGAGAAATTAATTGCTAAACTGAAATGGTATGTTGCTAGAAGAGAGGTGATGTGTACTCTTACTTGGCTTCTAACAACAATGGACGTATGTGCTCCATTGTCTGCAAGATCGTTGCTGATTTCCATCCCAGAATTGCCACAGCCAATTACCAAAACCTTTTCATCTTTAAAAACGGCCCCGTTTTTATAGTCACTGGAATGAACCACCTTTCCTGGGAAGGTCTCCATCCCAGGCAGGTCGCTGGGGAGAAAAGGCTGGCTATTTTCTCCAGTTGCAACCACCAAGAAATCCGATGCGATCTCATACACCGTCCCGGAAGCGGTGTCTTTCACTGTCACCCTCCATTTGCCTTCCTCTTCATCGTAAACAGCCTCCTCCACGTCACTGCAGTAGCGAGGGTTCACGTTGAACCTGGCCACGTACTCGTCCAGGTAACGAATGAAGTCGTCTTTCGACATGAAAATGGAGGTTCGGAAGGGATGGGACATCATCGGCAAACTGCAGAAGCTCTTTGCCAAGTGAAGATTCAGACGGTCGTAGGACCGGTTCTTCCAGAGGGACCCACAACAGTCCTCCTTCTCAAGCACAAGATTTGAAACTGACACAGAATTGAGCAAGGCGGAGGTAGCAATGCCAGAAGGACCAGCTCCTACAATCACCACCGACACGCTAATATTATTATGATTACTATTATTATTATTGTTATTATTCTCATCCTCCATGATCAGAATCACCTCCTCCGCCATTTGATTATCTCTTAGTTCTCCTCCCCACTATACTGAGACTCACTCAACTGAATATGAACCAGCTGAGCTGATATATTTATACACAATATAAATAATTAATTAATTAATTGAGAGCAGTAGACTGGTTTCTGGAGATGAACAAAACCCACCGTTACGTGTTCTACAACCGTCCGATTGTTGATGTCAGGTGTGGTTTTTAACGCTTGCCATGACGAAATCTTCATTGGCGCTTTCACTGTAAAACGAGGGTTTGCTGACAACTCAGTCTGGATATTAATTTACAAGGGTTTCACTACATACGCCCACCCATACATGCATCTTGACAGATAATCCATCCTTCCATAGAGATGTGGAGTTTCTTTCTGGATTTCTTTCCTCATTTCTGTTTTCATTCGAACTATATGAACACTTCTGGAGACATCGAATTATGATGCTTCGCTGGATCGACATCTTAATTTCAATCTTCTCCTCGATCGACATCTTAATTTCAAGTTTCTTATATTAATTTTGTACTAGCTAGCTCTATATGTACTTGCAAACAACCATATATTATGTGGAGGTATGATTTTGAACTAGTTAGAGTTTTTTCTAATATTTAAATATTACATTTTACATTTAAGTTAATTATTTTTAACCATATTAGATATTAAAGATTTTTCCCTAAGTTCTTATTAGAAGTCATTTCACAAATGGGTAAATTTATCTTTAAAATTTTGAAGATAAGGTGGGTGGAGAAATAGGACAGAGTAGCAGTCCTTTTTAATTAGGTCTGAATCATTAGGTAAATCATTCTAGCTACATAAAATCATCTAGGTATATAGAAAAATAGGTATATTAAGCATGTGGTAATTAAACAAAAGGTAGGTTAACCATCTTATTAGGTATATTAACCATTCGGTAAATGAGGGGGGTTTTTTTTTTTTTTTTTTTTTTTTTTTTTTTTTTTTTTTTTAAGTCAAGAAACAAAAGCATTACAAAGAAGATCATCGAGAGATCTTAGCACCATATATAAATCAGGGATATTTGTAGAAATGTGACCTGAACTTACACCTTAATTTCAATTTGTCACTTTAAAAAAAAAAAGAAAAAAAAAAAAGAGAAATGTCACCTGAATTTTTTAGAATCTATAATTTGTTGTATGACTTTAACATCATCCAATTTTTCATCCATGATTAAGGATATTTTAATCTTTTCATTTTTAAGGGTGGTTTAAAAATGGAAAAATCATTATACAAAATTGTATATATATTTTAAAATAAACCATTAAAAATCAAGATTCTTTCCTACCATACATTAAAAAATTGAAAATTGCATTTTTTTTCCATCCCCCTGTCGTTTCTCTCTATTCTCCCTTCCTCCCCAACCACAACTCCCCTCTCCTCTGTTTTTTTTCTCCCCCAAGACCTGAGCACCCCATCCCCACCTGCAACCCACCCCCAGATTGAAACTAAGGTATAAGTTTAGGTGATATTTCTATAAATATCCCTATAAATCACAATAACATATGTAAATCATTGGAAAATTTCCACTAACTGGCTTTGTCCTTTAAGTAAATTATGATATGGCTTTGATTATAAAAAATAAAACAAACAATAACTACGGGAATATATATATATATATATTTTGGGGGGTCAAAAAACCACCAAAAAATTAGATCCTTGATTGATACCAGTAAAATTAATAGAAAAGTATTTATTTGTACAAATCCCTAAAAAACTCGTAAGCAAGTCATCAATAAAATAATTAATTAACTACTCAATTGACTAATATGGCCGCAAAATTACATTCAACATACGACAAGACATGATTTTCAATACTAGTTTTAAATTGCAATGAAGGTTCTGGAATACGGTCACGACAACATACATGTTTTTCAATGTTTTCTATTTTATTTTTCTGCGGGAAAGGATACTTGGATGTCTGGTCACGACACACAATAGTATTCCGAGCCTTTACACATTTACAATGTCTGGTCACAACAAAACGCTTTTTTTTAATTTTTAACAATTTTTTTCTCATGGAAGGAAACCGGAATGTATGGTCACAACAACATACATGGTTCTCGATTTCTTTTCTCTTTTTAGCCACGAAGGTTACTCATGAATGTCTGCTCACGTATACTTAATTCTTGTTTTGTGCATATGTCAAAGAAGGAAATTACAAAAAAAATTACGTCAGGTAAAATGTATTTTGCCACTTAAATTCAAACAGCACACAATGATCTGAATTGACTCCAATATCCACATACATAATGGGAGAAGCCCCTTTAGTTACTGATAATTCCATAAATTTATACATTTATGTACTCTTCATACTTAGTTTTTGTAGAAGAATTGAATTTAAAAAGGACCTATTACTTTATTTTCTCAATTTTCAGCTTTCCAGAGCAAGTAATTGGTTTTCAACGAAAATACGACTTTTTGGTGGAGTTTTTGACAAGACCAGTTGGAGGTGAAAGCTAAGATCTTGAAGATGATTGTGGAATTTTTCTGGAATTTTCGGAGCAGCCAATGAGAGCAGTCTTTGAAGTTAAGTTAGCATAAGTTGCAATCCTGTCAAAACTTTGCTGTTGTGGAAGAATGATTATTTGAAGACTTTTATGATTTTTCTGATTTTTCCTCAATGTCTGCGATATATGGTTGGAAAGATAAGACAAGGACCTACAATTGACATATTTTTCTCGAATTTGCGGAGGAGGAAAAACCTCAAACGTGTGTGCAAAGTAACTAATGTGTTATCATAGTCAAAGTAGGAGAGAGTCAGTCCACCCATTCCTTTTTTTTTTTTTTTTTATTTTTTTTTTTTTTGTTTTTTTTTTTTTGTTTTTTTTGGAGGCTTTAAAAGCCCAGATAAGGTAGGAATAGACGTGTGGTGTTTTAATTAAGGATGAGAAACAACTCCTTTGGAGTTACGCAAAGACTTGGAGAGATTGGAGATGCTGGAAGAGTACTACAATTGGCTAAGTTTTATTTTTTCTTCCTTATGTTTTTGCATATGCCGAATCCTATGATTATGTATAACTAATTTTCTGTTGTTAGGGCATGATGCAGCCCTGGTATGATAATCTAGTACTTATTTTACATATCTATTGATTGCCGTTTGATGTTGGTTTCTTAATCACTGCTCTTAATAACTTGGTTGATTATCTTGATGCTTGATCACCATGTAGAATTTTAATTGAGTTAATCATATGCAAATTAGAGTAAATACCATACTTAATTTGAGGCTTGCTTCTTGTGATTAGGATTTGTAATTCGTCTAGGGTAAATACCATACTCCGAGGGTTTACATGCTTGTTGGCGGTTTTCACTTATCTTAATGAGTTTCTATGTGTTCATATTTGACCTAAATACCATGGGTGAATTGCATGTAGGAATATATGAGTTAGCCTAAATACCATAGGTAATTCATGAAAAAGGAAAACTAAGCAACGGCATCAAATGGTTAGTTAATAGGTAGGTGAATAAGAGGCTAGATCCGATTACTAGTGGTGAATTCATTGTCCTAGTGCTTTTGTCGATTGGAATTTCTCATCTTTGTGTTTCGTGACTTTCTACTTGTTTTGTTTTTTCATTTCATTGTTAATTAAATCATCATTTCAAAAACCCAAAGATGAGTTTCTATGTGTTCATATTTGACCTAAATACCATGGACGAATTGCATGTAAGAATATACGAGTTAGCCTAAATACCATAGGTAACTCATGAAAAAGGAAAACTAAGCAACGACATCAAATGGTTAGTTAATAGGTAGGTGAATAAGAGGCTAGATCCGATTACTAGTGATGAATTCATTGTCCTAGTGCTTTTATCAATTGGAATTTCTCATCTTTGTGTTTCATGACTTTCTACTTGTTTTGTTTTTTAATTTCATTGTTAATTAAATCATCATTTCAAAAACCTTTTTTGTGTTTACGTGTGTATGCTACATGTTTAATTTCTTGTTTATATAATTAGAGTAGTTAAAGTATTTTGTGAAGTAAATTAGGTTAGACTAATTGGAAGTCGAACTCAATCTTCATGGGAATGACCTCGTATTTGCCATACTATGTGCACTTGCGAGTATAATTTGTGTTTAGACTAATCTTTATAATCTCCATTTTGCAGGTTGTCTAAAATTCACAATAAGTTTTTGGCGTTGTTGCCGGGGACTATCGTCGTCAACTACGATTTAGTTCAATCTTAACTTAGCTTTTCAATTTTCTTTTTGTTTTTTTGTATATTATATATATATATATTATAATTACTTTCTGTTTTCTTAGTTTTATTTTATTTTTATTTTTAAAAAATTTACTGGAAAATTTTAGAGTATTGGAATTGATTTGTGTTTCTTGTTTGTCTTGTTGATTAAGTTCGGCTCAGTGTATGACTTGTAGACACTCTTAAGGTCAAGACCTCATGTAGTTTGATCCTGAGATTGAGAAAACAGTTAGGAAACGAAAAGACAAATTCACTCACTCACTATAACATCAAGAAGACGGAGGTTCCATTGAAAATATAAACGAGAAGAGGACAAGAACGTTGTAGGGGGTTTTTTTGTTCCAGCAGCCTGACGAATGGGCTTGGGCTGCTGTAAGAAGACGACGAACAAAATCCCCCAAATACCTGAGTTCAAAACCAAGCTCCCAAAAGAGCTTTTAGAAAATCTAATGAGATTTTAAAAGAACACTCTTAGGTTCACTTTATTAACACCCAAATAAGCATGATAAATCCACTAATGGCTTAGCCTGAGGAGCCTGTGGCATGGGAGCTAAGCTTTCACAAGTTTAGCAATTTGAGAGAGAGAGAGAGAGAGAGGCGTGAGTTCCCTATAGAGAACAAGAGCCCAAAGTGAACAGGGGAATATTAGCACGACTTCTATCCTAAGGGGGAGAAGAAGAACAAACGAAAGAGGGGATTGGGTGTCTTGAGTGAATTCTCAGATGCTTGACAAAGCTTGGTCATGCTATCAATGGTTGGGTTTTTCTGGGTAGCAAAAGCCCTCTTTTATAGGTGTCAAGAACCCTAATTTTGTCTGGTCTTCCTCTTCCTTTTCCTTTGGCAGCTCCCTACTTAGTCCTATTTTGGTGAAATTATCTTATCAAGGCATATGGGTAAGGAACCCTTTGTGGTTCCAACGATTTTGACACAGCTGGACCTCCCCACAAGGGTGAGGCGCCACTTTGCTTTTTCTCAACGTTTTCAAAACAGAGCTTGTAATGGGGAAGGAGATGGGTGGAGCCTTTTGTCCGATAAGTATTTGCCCTTTACCCATGAATTTCTGCTGGTTCTTGCTTTGGCCCCTTGTCTGACTTGTTTGGAGTCTCATCAAAGGTGGAGCACGATGACAGCTTTTCTACAAGCTGCTGGGCTGGGCTTGTGTGTAATGTTGGGTTGTTGGCCTATTATCTCTAGTGGATTTTCGCCAAACTGCTAGAAAGGGCTTTTGCTAATTTCTTTGGGGCACTCTATTGATGTGGGTTGGGCTAAGTATTTTGGTAGGTTACTTGGTGTCTTCCTAGAGCATGGGGTAATTTTCTCTTCTCTCTCATGCTAACCCATGTTCTTGGGTTCTAGGAATGGGCTTGAGTTTTAAAGCCCCCAAGTGGCTTAAAAACTTGTGTTCCTTGAACCCTCAATGGGCCCTGTGATTGCTTGTTTCTTTCCATACCACAACCTTCTCAGTAAGCCCCGGTTAATTTTGTGGCTTGGGCCCACTTAAGCTCGTGGCATAGTTTGGTGTTAGAATAATGGCTCTTCTTATTGCATGATATCCATGCTCGTGCTTGGGGTTTTATTATGCCGTGATGGGCTATAATTGGGCCAAGTAACACCGAATGAGCATGTGAGTGTGATTTTGTAATGTCGGCATGCTCTTGGCCCCTTCTGCACGTGCTTGCTTGGCATGATTCGTGGCTTGTAGCTTGTGTTGGTGGCTCCTACAAATTCTCTTTTGTCCCGATTGAGCCTATTTTGCATTCAATCACTTGTGTTGGGCCAAAGATTAATTTGGGTTTAGCCCCTTGGATTTTTGGGCCTCAACATTAGCCCCCTTGATTATTGGGGCCATGAGCAGCTTTGAGATGGGTCAAATAATCAAACCCGGCCCAAAAGTAAAATCAAATCCATGCTGCTGATATGACCTTCTCGTTTCTCGCGTGTGTGCTGCCATGATTATTTTCCAGCGATCTCTTGTATTCCCCAGGTACTCTTCCATCAAATCTGTTTTATTTTATTTTTTCTTTCTTTTTCCTTTTCATTCTCTAACCTCTTTCCTCTATGCGTGCAAGCCCAAAACCGGTTGCCCCTTTTCGATTTTCACTGGTTCCTTCTCACACACAAGTCTGGAGAACCCTTTGAAAATGAGAAATCACAGGGAGGTCTCATCCATAACCGCTGGTTGGTTGTGTTCAGAGAAACCACTCGCACATACTGGGAAGGGCCACTGTTCTCCTTTAAAATCCCTCATATTTCTCCATCTTCTCCTCCAATTCATCGAAGACCAAGCTAAAGCTACCTTGTGAAGCGTGAAATAATTTTGAAGATAAAATCGCAAGACAGTTCCTTCTTCTCCTGATTTCGGCAAGCTGCTGGAAAACACCATCGAGAACAGTGGTAAGCATCGTTCCCTTATTTCTTCTCCTGTTTACTTCATCTTGTTACCTCTGACATATGCATCTATGCATACACATACATACATACACATATATGTACATATGGGGGCCCTTTTTATATTCTGAGAATTCTGCATGGACAGAATACTTTCTCAATCTGGGTTTTGTCTAATTCCTCGAGCCCTAAGCTTGAATTTCGAGCATGGACCACTGATTTGGGATTTTAAGCATGCTTGCAGTGATAATTTGCCTTGGTTAGACATGAAACCCCCAAATGGTATTGAAGCGTGGTAGAGAGGACAAGAGCATGAATTATGCAGACCAGGCACTCCACGGCCTTCTTCGAATAATTTACTTCTGTAGCTTGGCTCTCTTTCTTTTGTTTTTTTTTCTGCATCAAACGGCCTCTTCCCTTCCTATAGGAAAAACTTGCGTGATGGTGTTGAATCGTTTTTTTTAATTATTTATAATCATTTATGTTCCTGGCATGTGCATGTGTTCAGTATTCATGCGAGTGCTGGAACTTTCATGTTTTGTTCCCCTTTTCCTCTTTTGCAGGTGTCCATGACTTAGTAGGCTTACCATGGCATCCACTGACCTTCCACTGATCATGCTAGACCACCTCTACTCCATGGACAGTAATCTTAAAGTGGGAGGGCCGCTCTTGTTGCTGGAAGATGCCCGTGAGAACCCTGTTGTTGGTGATGAGCCATCCCCTGAAACCGCTCCTGTAATTGAACCCGCCTCCATATCCAGATGCTGCATTGAGAAAGGCCTCTTTCCAGCCGTTCCCCTATTCTTCCAATACCCTTGTAGCATCAGTAAAGGTTGGTCAGAATGGGTCAACCATGAGCTGCGGGATCCAGCCACATGCAACCTCCTGCGCAGAGCACAAGTCCTAGATGTCATCTTCCTTTCCAAACTGTGGGATGTCCATATCAAAGCGAAGATGCTTCGTCACATGGTCCGGAGGTGGAGCGCTGCTACTCACACCTTTGTTTGTTCATGGGGGGAATTTACTCCTACCCTTGAAGACATGGCGAATATCTCTCGCCTTCCAATTTGTGGCGGCCGGAGTCCCTTTGATGTTGCTCTCACTCCGGCAGAGAGGGACAAGCTGGCAGTTTTACGGAGGGGTGCCCCTACCTCTCCCAACACCTCACTTCGGTTCAGTAACTGGATACAACATTTTGGTGATACAACAGACAGGGGCCCTGCCGGTTGGCCGCGTTTATAACTCTGTGGCTTGGGCGGTTCGTGCTCTGCGACTTTTCTCAAGACTGCCTGCACGAGCGTGTATTTCCCTTGGCTTTGGCCATAGCCCGAGGCGACACCATCCCCTTAGCCCCCATGTTCCTGGGACATGTATACCATCCACTTGATCTAACTTAGCTTCTGGAAAATAATGCATCAGGAACCATGGGCGTGGAGACCCTTATGAATTCTGAATTCTTGCAGGTGTTCTTGTGGGAGCGTCTCAAAGGGTTGGATGTGCATTCACTCCCCCATTCGCACGCTATGAAGTTGGTTGACTGGGGCAATGGTTATTTCATGCCAGACAATCTCCCATTAGTTTGCAGGCGGTTCAAGAGGATGCAGCAGAAAGGCCAGAATTTCTTAAAGCTGCTGGATAACATCGAGAATTTTGTCTTCCGTCCCTACGGCACCTCAGCAGAGACCTTCACTTTTGTGCCCTTCTATACTGACATCAGTGATACTGCTGAGGTTCCAGCAGCCATATCGCAGAGTGGCCAGTTCCGAAAGTATGCTTTGTTGAACATTGCTCCCATCCCATTACCTATCCTTGGAGACAACCGTCCAGAGGTTTCCGTGACCTACTCTCCACATCGAGTCAGGCGGCAGTTCGGGCTTGACCAAGGGGTACCCAGTAGTCCCAACCATGGTGACCCCTTTGCACTACATAGGGTCTTCTGGAGCAATGACCACATACCAGCCAGTTGCAGGCTCATCGTTTTAGCAAGCAAGACGAGGGTTGGTGGCTTCTCTAGAGGCTACCAAGCTTACTGGAACCACTGCCTCGCTTCCTTCCGTGAGTTCCAATCCTTTCCCGGGGACAGATTGCCTCCTACAACAGCCCGCCTTACAGGTGTGGTTCGGAAGAGAAGGCCATCCCTCTAAGCCAAAAGTGCAATTTGCCCTTTACTTCCAAGTCCGGTGATGTCGTCGGAGAATTTCCTAAGACAAGTTCAAAGCCAAGGACGCAGAGTCCCCATAGCTCAGGAAAAACTATGACACCAGCGTTCGACAACCGGAAGCGGGAAGCGAAGCAAAGTGTAGGGAAGGAGTCGAGTACCGGTAAACCTAGGAGGTTCATCCTAAAGGTAGTACCAAGTGGCCCCCCTCGAACTAACGAAGCAACTCCCCCTGAACGTTCACAGCCTTCGAAGCCTGTTGTATCTGAGAGCCCGAGTCATACTGGCAAGGTGCTGGAAACTTCACCTCTTCGCTGTAAGTGTCCTCCACTTCTGATACTTCTCCGTGCCTTCTTTACTTGTTATGCATGTATGATATATAGGTATATACTTATTTATTATATATATATATCTTTTTGTTTTTTTATATAGGGAAAATGGGTACAACCCCAAAGAGAAAGAGAAGTGACACACCCCCAGTATCTCCTCAGGTGACCCCTAAATGTCATAGCATGCGCATTCTACATGCAAGATTTACTGGAACACGCACCAGTAACGTTGAAGCCTCTGGAACCCCAACTGTGGTGACAATTGACAACGATAGTAATGATGGCGACACCACCGAATCCGAGGCTAATGTTCCAGAGCAAGAGAACGTTCATGACATCGGTGACATACGTGAAGATTCTGACAGGGACTACAATGATGATTGCAATGAGGATGCATTTGCTTATTCCAGTGACTATCCAGGAGGACAAGGTGGTTCAGATGCTTTCCTTGGGTCCGTTGGTAGCAGTACGTGCCATTTTAGCGCTGAGCCGGTAACTGACGCATTTTAAATTCTATCATCCTTTCCTTCTTCACACCATAATCTATTCACTCAACGCATGCTCATCTTGCAGGTTACTGACATTGCTGAGGGCTCAAGCCTTGCTGTAGCCATTGCTGACCCTGCCCGGAGTCCTCCTGAGGTATCCGTGCCGATAATATTTCATTTACCTTCTTCTCCTACTCCTTTGCTGGCGGGATGCAGTTTGTGAGGCTATGACTCTGGGCTTTCGAGCAGAGTCTCTTCTGAACCTGGTGAAGGATTTGGCACGTGCTGTATTTGGGGCACGGGCTGTTCATAACATGAAGTCAAATCCCAGCCCTGATGAAATAAGGGCAGCGGCAGAGGCTTTGGTCTTCAAGCAGCGTGAGCTGGAAAACCAGCGTAGGGAATTGCGTGGCCTTCTTTCTGCCCAAGGTGTCTCTCCTGACAGTGCTGACTGCGTGATAGAAGCAGTGACAAGATCCTCTCATAGGGCCTCCTCTGTTCTTTTCTAGCCATCCTTGATGGTACTTTGAGGTTCGTGACTTCTTGTCCCTCCTTCGTTGTACACATGTTCAATGTCACCCTGATTTCTCCTGACATTCTTCTTTGTTCTGTTTTGCAGGTCGCATTTTGCTTGGTGTAGGATTGACTAGCTTGACACATTCTAGGGTTCCGTTCGAGATTGAAGCACACATTACTTCTTAGCTTGTATAACTTGATTTGACTTATGTTGTAACACTTGTACTGTGGCAGCTTGGCATTGTAGTGCCGTTGTGTTCTAGCTGCCAGAACCTATGTCCCCTCTTTTTTTTTTTGCCAGAAACATATTGTAACTTTTGTTTAACATGTATAAAATGCCTGGTTGGTGGAATCCTTTGCTTGAGCTTTTTCTATAGATTGGGTATCCTTTTGAAATATGGTGGTTGTTGCCAAAATTTTGTTAGGATGGCCTTTTGACACTCTGCCTATTTTCTTTGAAGGTTCTTGGACCTTATGAGCATGCTAGCTTCCTTTTGCGAGTGTTTAGCCTGGCGTGTTTCTTTTCATTTTGCTAAAGCGTGAAATCTGCTACTGACCTAGGATCCCATTCAAATGGCTTTGCTTGGCATGTCTTTCGCTAAGTAATATTTTCTTCTATATTTATTATTTTGTTTTGAAATACCTGCCGTATATATAATTGCAAACGTATGCTCAAAAAGGAATTCAGGATACGAAAAAGGGCAAACTTCCAGAGACAATTTTCTTTTCAAAATACTCCATTTTCATTTCAAATCCCATGTTACCATGACGGTACATTTTTACAAAAGCTTTTCAAAACAAAAGCGAGCATATATAAGGAGAAAATATTTTTTTTTAAACAAAAGGAAATGCGATAACATGAAAATAAGATATTATGCCCACTCAGCAGTAGTAGGGCTTGAGCCATTTTTCATTGATGGGATCCGTTAGCATGCCTTACTTGACAGAGATCAAGCGATAATAACCGCTGCTGTGTACTTCCTTGACTGCGAATGGACCCTCCCATTGTGGAGCAAACTTGGAAGGTCCCGACACTTGCCTTCTCACATGTTCAACGACTTTTAGCACGAGATCTCCTTGCTTAAAAGCTTGAGGCTTGACTGTTCTGTTATATGCTTGGGCAACAGTCTTATGGTAGAGTGCCATCCTTCTTTCTGCTTCCATCCTTCTTTCATCAACTGCTTCGAGATCTAGCAAGCGCCAATCTGAGCATGTCTCTGCATCCCATTCAAGATCATTGACAGCCGCTATTCTGGCTGTTGGAATGGTGATTTCCACAGGTGAAATAGCCTCATACCCGTACACAAGTGAGTAAGGTGAAAAACCTGTAGCACTCCTTGGTGAGGTGCGGTAAGCCCACAAAGCATCCGGCAGGTGAATGCTCGTTTTATTGGTAGCTTCTGCTTGTCCGTTTCCTTGCGGGTAATAAGGTGTAGAGCGACGATGCTTGATACCGTAACCACTAAGTGTTGAGCTCACATGCTTGTTAACAAAAGGCGTGCCATTGTCAATAACCATTTTGTACGGGATTCCAAACCTGCACACAATGTATTCTCGAATGAAATTTGAGACAGCGGCTCCTGTGGCCTTCCGAAGAGGAATTGCCTCAACCCACTTTGTGAAATATTCCGTAGCGGTAAGAATCCATATGTAATAATCAGAAGGGGGATGGATTGTTCCAATTAAATCAAGCCCCTAAGTATGGAAAGGCCACAGAGTGCGCATGTCTTGCAGCAATGTAGGAGGTTTGTGACTTAGATTAGCATGGATTTGGCATGTGTGGCATTTCTTAACAAAGTCATGTGCATCCCTCTTCATGGTAGGCCAGTAATATCCAACGCTTAGTAAAGTTTCTTCATTCCTTGGTGCTCTCCGCACTCTCCAGCATGTATTTCTTGCATGGCTTGACGTGCCTCTGATTCTCCCAAGCATTTTAGCGGCTCACCATTAAACCCTTTCCGGTAGAGAGTTGACCCATCAACGAAATACCTCTTTACGGTCTTTTTGAGCTTGTAGGCAGGCTTGGAGTTGGTCGGCAGAGTTCCTCCAACAAAGAATGCCAAGTATGGAGCCCTCCAATCTTCTGCAAATGAAATAGTAAACGACTCCTCCGTGGAGCGTATCGTAGAACATGTGGGACAATTGGATTGTAGTTCGGCTGCTTGCTTCTTCATCTCTGGCCAATAATAACCTTTGCGTTGCAAGCGTCGATACAGGCTGATTACTGGTTCCAAGCTGCAAGTGGCATCATGTACCTCTTGCAACCTCCCTCTTACTTTCGTCACCCCAACGCACCGGGTCATAACACCTCCTGAAAGACGTCTGTAGAGTTCCCCAAAGATAATCACATAATCTTTCAAGTCTTTAATGCTGCTCTCTTCACCTAATTTTTTCTTCAGTGGCTTTCTCCAATCATCTTCTTCCAGCAGGTCCTCCTGGGCCATTGCTTCGATCACTGGTGTGCTTCTCCTTATCATGGTGATGTTGGGCTACTCTTGTACAAATGAGAGCTTTGATCCCAATGTGGCCAAAGTATCTATTGGTGACTCCTGGAACTTGCTTGAAAGAATTAATGAGCCTTTCAGCAGTTGTCCGATATGGTGCCAAGGTTGCTTCCTTTATAGCAAAGCTTCCTTGCAATTGGCTTAGTACTAGGTTCGAATCGCCGATGATCTTCACCCTTTCTGCACCCATTTCTCTTGCTGTGGACAATCCCATAATAAAAGCTTCGTACTCTGCCACATTGTTCGTGCATGGAAAGTCTAGCTTGAATGAGAGAGCCGTAGCTTGCCCATCGAGATTAATGAGCACCACACCTACCCCTCCACCTTTTGATGTGGAAGACCCATCAAAGTAGAGGGTCCATGGCTCCTCCTCTGTAACAGTAGCAACCATTTCCGGCAGCTCTCCCAGGACTTCCTCGGCAAGAGTTGATTCCTCTACTTCGGGAAATAAAGCTAGCATGTCAATTACGGCTTGTCCCTTGATGGCCTTAGGAGTTGCGCATGTGATATCGAATTCAGATTGCTGTAACAACCAACGTGCGAGACGACCAGATAACACCAGCCTCGTGAGTAGATATCTTATGAGGTCGGATCTTACTATGAGCTGTAGCTTGTGAGTAAGGAAGTAGTGTCGCAAGTGTTGTGCAGCATAGACAAGAGCAAGGCATAAGAGTTCCATTTTTGGGTACCTTGTTTCAGCTCCTCTTAGTTGTCAGCTTACATAATAAATGGTCATCTTGGGCAAGCAACGCTCCGACTGCAGCATTCGTTGCAGCCAAGTAAAGCTTGAGTGGAAGCCCCAGAATAGGTGCCCTCATCGTGGGTAGCTTAGTGATTAGTTGTTGCACCCGTCGGTAAGCTTCTTGGCATTCCTGGCTCCATATATATGGCTTCCCTTTTTTTAGTAGAGGAGTGAAAACACTCACCATGGCAGCAAGGCCTGGAATAAAACGCCGAATGTATGACAACCTTCCCATAAAACTCTTCAACTCCTTTGGATTCTTAGGTGGTGCAAAAGAATATATGGCTTTGGTTTTCTCAGAATCCACATCTATACCACGTTGGTGTACCTGAAAGCCCAGAAACTTGCCGGGTGAGACTCCGAATGCACATTTCTTTGGGTTCATCTTTAACCCGTACAGCCGGCACCTTTCCAGCACTCGCCTCAGAACTCCTTGATGACTTCCTCTAGTTTTGGATTTTACTACAAGGTCATCCACGTAGTCTTCCACCTCTTTTCCCATCATATCATGAAACACCACCATCATGGCCTGTTGGTAGGTAGCACCGGCGTTCTTGAGACCGAATGGCATGACCGTGTAGTAGAAATTTCCGTAGGGCGTTCAAAAGGCTTTTTTCTCAGCATCCTTGGGAGACATCTTGATTTGATTATAGCCACTAAATCCATCCATGAAGGACAGCATGCCTTGACCCGAGGTTGAATCGATCAAAATATCCATGTTGGGCAGCGGGAACTCATCTTTTGGGCAGGCTCAATTGAGATCACGGTAGTCTGTGCATATTCTCATTACCCCAGTTTTCTTCTTCACGGGCACGATATTTGCTAGCCATGTCGGGTGTTTGATTAGCTTGACAAATCCTGCAGCTAACAGTTTTTCAATTTCCACCTTGATTTGCCTCTCAATTTCAGGACGAAAATTCCTTCTTGGCTGTACAACAAGTTTTGTACCAAGCTCAATATTCAGCATATGACTTACCAAATTTGGATGAAGGCCAGGCATCTCTTCGTAGCTCCAAGCAAATACATCTTGAAATTCCTTCAACAAAGACACCAAAGCTCCCTTCTCTTCCCCCGTTAAATGAACACTGCCAGAGATGGGTCTTGGGACAGAGGGGGTCATTACTCAAATCAATTGTTTCCAATTGCTTAGCTACTGCCGTTGAGCCATCTTGCATGTGCTTGGGTGCTGTCATTGGTTCTTGGAAAGCACAAGGCAGGGGTGCCTTGTCATCTGGACTCTTACGGCCGTCTACTTGCATAGCTTCTCCTCCATACTCGGGGCTTTCTCGTAGGATACGGTCAAGCCCCCAATCCCGTCATAAGCGGTATACAGTGCGCCCATCTGGCAGCGTCACCTTTGAGCATTGAGGATGATCGTAGGCATGGTTGTTGACCTCCGAGTGTCTCTTTCTTTCTCGATCAACGATGGTTATGAGCTCCTTGTTGCTCAGATCACGAATTTCGGTCCACGATGGCAGGTAAGTCCCGAAATCCTTAGATGGGTTGCTTCCGACGCCTGTGCATTCAGTGTAGAACTCTGTCTCGGAGTAGTGAGCTTCGTTTTGGTTGAACGGTGCTTGGTTCCCAGGTATACGAAGTGGCCTTAGCCCAATCCTCCCTTTTACACATTGATGGTAAGTAGAGACCACAAGTTTATGCTTGTTGAGCCATGGCCTTCCCAGCAAAGCGTGATAAGCCACATCTACGTCCACCACATAGAACTTGGTAAGTGACCGGATTGGCCCTACCTTCAAATTTACTTGCATGTATCCAACTGTAACTTCACTTTGATTCCCAAAACCGCTAATGCTCGTCTGGGACTGCACGATCTTGGATAGTGGAATACTAGCTGCTGTAAGTACAAACAAAGGCAAAATGTTGACAGAAGAGCCCGTGTCTACCAAAGCCCTCCGTATAAACACATCATTGACCTGCCCCTCCAGGTAGAGTGGCCTTCTATGATCCGGGTATGGAACTTTCATGTCTTCATCTGTGAAAACAATAACATTGTCATTTTCCAAGAATGACCTTTGAGGTTGAGCAGTGAAGCAATGGGGGTTGGATTCTGCAGAAATATTCATGAGGGCTACAGCAGCTGCTTCCCTCGCTTGAGGCCCGAAACCAAGTTGGTCAAAGAGCGACTTAACTCTTGGATTCCTCTGGAGGACTTGTGAAGCTGTGGGTCCTTGCTTCAAGCCTATATATCGCTCCATTACATTCGCCTCAGCTTCTGTAAGAGTGTGAAATGTCACAGTAGCCGTTTCCTGCTGTCGGGACGAGGCTCCCTGGCATTGCTCTTCCGGCATGTCCAACATGAACACTCCATTGTCTGCACAGCCATCCCATCCATCAGCGAGTGGCCATGGCATGTCGTAGCTTGATGGTTTCGAGTATTTGCACCAGTAAGCTTTATCCATGTTTCTACAAGGCTCCCAAATAGCCTCTGGTGGCTTCGGATCATCCTTCCATGGGTGGCACAATTCGTCATCATCGAGCAAATCATCTGAACATGTAACAACAGCAGCTGTCTCTTTCCCCCTTCGTTTTGGCAAAGGGTCTTCATCAATAGTTTGCTTCCTAGAGGGAAGCTCAAGAACTCCCTCATGTATTTTGCGATGTAAGATCCTCCTTAAACTTTGACAAGCGGTGGTCGGATGTCCTACAAACTGGTGGTAGCGGCAATATCTGGGATCACTCTTTTCTTCCCTAGTGGGAACCTTGTAGGGCCTGAGGGGTTTGATTGCGCTGTCAGCAATCATCGTGTCGAGGATTACATGAAACTCTTCATCTTTGCAAGGTAATGGCGGGTATGTCTCCCTATCCTTTTGTTTGCGTGCACTGTAGTCATTAGATGGCTTATCATCTGTGGCTAACGTCTGATGTGATTCCTTCTTCTTACTCCTCCAACTTCTTTGTCCAGCCGGTTTGACAGACATGCTCGTCTTTCTTACTGCTTCCAGCAGCCGGGAAAATTGATTGATGCCAATATTTTCCAAGTACACTCTATAGTCTGCTACAATGTTGCTGATGCAAATCTCAACAAGTGCCTCTTCATCCTTTTCGTCATAGCAATCGAGAGCCAAGTCCCGGAGCCTTCTCACAAAGTCCATGGGATCCTCTCCTTGCTTTTGGCGAGTGTTGTTGAGCTGCATGGTGGTGACCCTCTCCTCGTGCTGAAAATATTTTTACAAAACCTACTTGCCAAATCGTCCCATGAACGCATAGAGCCTGGTGCCAATGTGGTGTACCATGTATAAGCCCGATCAGTGAGGCTCTTTGAGAATTCATGAAGTCGAAGATTATAATCACCGGCGTGTGGCCCCAAAGCATCAAGGAATCGGTTGAATGTTCCTTTGGGCTTCCTTTCCTCCCATCGAAAAGAACAAAGGTTGGCGTTTCGTAACCTCTGGGATAGGGCTGCTGGAGTAAGCTTGCTGGGTATGGTGGTTGAGGAATGTACTTCCAATCCTCCTGGCTTCGACTAAGCTCCTTCTCCAGCATGGCAACGACATCCTCCTAGGTGACAAAAGACGGTCCCTTTTGTTCAGACCCCTTTCCAGCAGCGGCAGATTCTTCTTGCGGATGTCTGTCATCTTCGCTTGGCTTGGAGGCAACATTTTTTAATTCTTTGACAGTGTCTGTTATCTCCCTCTGGGTTTCCCCCATAACCTGCATAGCTGTGATTGGATCAGTAAGGGTGAAAGCTCCCTCACTTGCATGTTCTTGTCCTCTAGATGAGGCATTTTGCCTTGATTCGGAATCACCACGGTCGGGTCCATCTCGGGAGGCCATGGTATTGCTCTTGGTTTTCTTCCTTGGAGGCATCAGTAAAATGGCAGCTTGTTCCCCAGCAGAGTCGCCAATTTATGTAGGGTTTTTTTTGTTCCAGCAGCCTAACGAATGGGCTTGGGCTGCTGTAAGAAGACGACAAACAAAATCCCCCAAATGCCTGAGTTCAAAACCAAGCTCCCAAAAGAGTTTTTAGAAAATCTGATGAGATTTTAAAAGAACACTCTTAGGTTCACTTTACTAACACCCAAATAAGCATGATAAATCCACTAATGGCTTAGCCTGAGGAGCCTGTGGCATGAGAGCTAAGCTTTCACAAGTTTAGCAATTTGAGAGAGAGAGAGAGAGAGAGAGAGAGAGAGAGAGAGAGAGAGAGAGGCGTGAGTTCCCTATAGAGAACAAGAGCCCAAAGTGAACAGGGGAATATTAGCACGACTTCTATCCTAAGGGGGAGAAGAAGAACGAACGAAAGAGGGGATTGGGTGTCTTGAGTGAATTCTCAGATGCTTGACAAAGCTTGGTCAGGCTATCAATGGTTGGGTTTTTCTGGGTAGCAAAAGCCCTCTTTTATAGGTGTCAAGAACCCTAATTATTTCTGGTCTTCCTCTTCCTTTTCCTTTGGCAGCTCCCTACTTAGTCCTATTTTGGTGAAATTATCTTATCAAGGCATATGGGTAAGGAACCCTTTGTGGTTCCAACGATTTTGACGCAGTTGGACCTCCCCACAAGGGTGAGGCGCCACTTTGCTTTTTCACAACGTTTTCAAAACAGAGCTTGTAATGGGGAAGGATATGGGTGGAGCCTTTTGTCCGATGGGTATTTGCCCTTTACCCATGAATTTCTGCTGGTTCTTGCTTTGGCCCCTTGTCTGACTTGTTTGGAGTCTCATCAAAGGTGGAGCACGATGACAGCTTTTCTACAAGCTGCTGGGCTGGGCTTGTGTGTAATGTTGGGTTGCTGGCCTATTATCTCTAGTGGATTTTCGCCAAACTTCTGGAATGGGCTTTTGCTAATTTCTTTAGGGCACTCTATAGATGTCGGTTGGGCTAAGTATTTTGGTAGGTTACTTGGTGTCTTCCTAGAGCATGGGGTCATTTTCTCTTCTCTCTCATGCTAACCCATGTGCTTGGGTTCTAAGAATGGGATTGAGTTTTAAAGCCCCCAAGTGGCTTAAAAACTTGCGTCCCTTGAACCCTCAATGGGCCCTGTGATTGCTTGTTTCCTTCCATACCACAACCTTCTCAGTAAGCCCCGGTTAATTTTGTGGCTTGGGCCCACTTAAGCTCGTGGCATAGTTTGGTGTTAGAATAGTGGCTCTTCTTATTGCATGATATCCATGCTCGTGCTTGGGGTTTTATTATGCCGTGATGGGCTATAATTGGGCCAAGTAACACCGAATGAGCATGTGAGTGTGATTTTGTAATGTCGGCATGCTCTTGGCCCCTTCTGCACGTGCTTGCGTGGCATGATTCTTGGCTTGTAGCTTGTGTTGGCGGCTCCTACAAATTCTCTTTTGTACCAATTGAGCCTATTTTGCATTCAATCACCTGTGTTGGGCCAAAGATTAATTTGGGTTTAGCCCCTTGGATTTTTGGGCCTCAACATTAGCCCCCTTGATTATTGGGGCCATGAGCAGCTTTGAGATGGGTCAAATAATCAAACCCGGCCCAAAAGCAAAATCAAATCCATGCTGCTGATATGACCTTCTCGTTTCCCGCGTGTGTGCTGCCATGATTATTTTCCAACGGTCTCTTGTATTCCCCAGGTATGCTTCCATCAAATCTGTTTTATTTCATTTTTTCTTTCTTTTTCCTTTTCATTCTCTAACCTCTTTCCTCTGTGCGTGCGAGCCCAAAACCGGTTGCCCCTTTTCGATTTTCGTTGGTTCCTTCTCACACACAGGTCTGGAGAACCCTTTGAAAACGAGAAATCACAAGGAGGTCTCATCCATAACCGCTAGTTGGTTGTGTTCAGAGAAACCGCTCGCACCTGCTCGAGCTCTGAAGGAGTACTCCATCCCAACTCTTTCCGACACCCTATCATGTATTGTAGTACTAGAAGTCGAAGCAAATTCATTTGAACTCAAGTAAAAAATGATTCACTTGTTACCATCTTTCTATGGCAAGCCGAATGAAGATCCTAACATGCATATTTTGGGAATTTTTTGACATTTGTGGCACCATCAAGATCCAAAATGTCTATGATGAAGTGGTTAATTAGGCTGAAATTGTTCATGTTTCAATTAAAGGATAGAGCCAAAGCTTGGCTTCACTCACTGCTAGCTGAATCCATTAAGTCATGGGAGGGCTAAGCACAAAAATTTCTCCATAAATTCTTCCCTACATAGAAAACGAATTAACTTGGAAGAGATATCATGTATTTTACTTAAGGAGAGCAAGAGCCATTCTATGAAGCTTGGGAGAGATTTAGAGAGTTGCTGCAAAAATGCCCTCATCCTGGCATTATTGATTGGATGCAGATGCACTTCTTTTATGGACTTACGACTGGAAACAAACAAATCGTTGACTCTGCATGTGGAGGTGTTGTTCACCCGTTTTGCGTTTACTCCTGTGGTGGAAGGGCAAAGTTCCCCACTGCCTTGTGAACCATTGACTGGTCAACAAGTCAGCTTTCTTTGGTGTGCGAGCGTGCCACTGCTAGCAATGAAGATTCTAGCAGACTTATTCTAGAATAGATAACTTGCGCCCCAAGTTACTGATTTCCATAAACAAGCGATTGTGAATTTGGGTGAGGAATATCTCCCAAGTAAGTTCTTTTCTTGCCTCAGACTAGTGAGGACTTTAACAATTTATCTCAGTATAAAGAGGTTGATCTTGCCAGAATGGTTGATGGAATTTAAGCTGTCTTAGGCAGAACTGCCTTTTACAAAACTATAAACATAAATATCCAAGCTAGAAAGATGAAAGGACAGCTGGAACTCTATTTCTACCTGGATAGGAGGTTCTGATCCGGGCTGGACTGGAAATATCTGGGCTGGACAGTTAACAACTTCAGCTGCTAAGCTTCAGCTGTAGATCGATACCAAAGGTTAATTTTGGCAGAGCTTTAATACACTTCAAGCTTTTGTGAGGCTTCTGAGTGGGCAAATCTGTGGCTTCTTCAGTCTGTAAGGGCAGAAGTGGCTGTTCTCGAGGACTTCAGTGGGCTAGAGACTGCACTGTAAAATTTGTTGAGGTTTTCATGTTTGGGAAAAGCTCAAGCTTTACCTGCCTTGGTTTTTTGTTGAACCAAATTTGTAACGAGAGAAATCTTGTTTTGAATGACTTATTTTCTAAGTCTGAACCTTGGGAATTCTAATCTAAAGTTGGTTTTCACTTGGAATTCAAGTGAGCTTCTGGTTGATTTTGAGTTGTTTATTTGATTGATGACTTGAGTGTTGGATTGATTGTCCTTTGCCCTGTTCACTCCTTGTATTTATAAGAGATGTTATCTGGAGTAGGGTAATTCTTTTAAATAATGGGTGGCAATTTTCTTTAAAAATATCTTTCATTTTTAATTGTAAAGAAAAGGGGTTTTGATCAATTTCTGGTAGATAAACTCTCAATAGTCAGTTCTTAAGATCACTTCCCTATATTTTTCAAACTGTGATGGTTAGTTTGATCTTCCATTTGAACAACTCCCTATCCTCCTGCTTATCTCCTTTTGAGAACATGGTCTGCTTATCTCTTGGGAGAATCACCCTCTTTGGAGAAAAAATATTATTTCCAAATATGTAAAAAGGGATCTGATCTTCTGATGGCAGAGATTCAGAGAAGTCTTCTCCTAGCCGTTTGCTTTTGTGAATCCCAGTTGAAAATATTTACTTTTCTAAGTCATAAACATCACGTGGGTCTGTTCCTGTTTTGGTTTTCTTTCTTTTAATAATGGCAAACCCAAATTCGAGTTGAACCATGAACTGATTCCTTTCTTTTCTCTATTTCTCCGAGGCCCAAGTTTTGCGTTCTTAGATACCTCCTGAGCTGGGCTTCTTTTAGATGTGGGCCCTTGATTATAATTTGGGTCCTGAACTGCCTGGTTTTGTTTTTGTCTCATCCTTCTGGGCCTCCAATGCTGGACTGAGTGTGTTTTAGCCCAATTTCAGGGAATGCAGGTGGCTGTCCAAAAATTGTCATGGGCTTTTGTTTTCCTTGGGCTCTGTGTCAAATTAGGCCCAAACAGGTGCATTGATGGAGAAGACACCTCAAGAAGCGTTTGATCAATTGATTTGCTTGCCAATAATAATCAACATTGGGGAAATGAGCAGACAAAGGAGGCAGAAGTTCATGAAATCGACACCAACATTGCGGTTGCTGCTCAAATTTCAAGCCTTGAGAAAAAACTTAAAACTCTTATGTGTGTTTTTATTCCACCTTCCCCACAGCAAGTTTGCACAATTTAATCTAACCCTACTCAACTAATGGAACTTTGTTCATCTACTACGCAAGGTTCTAAGCAAGTTCTCCAAGTTAATTCTTTTCAACGACCTCAGAATGATCCATATTCGAACACCTATAATCTGGGGTGACATAACCACCCAAATTTTTCATGGAGCAACGAGCAACAACAAGCTAGTTCTAGCCATCCCTTCCAGTAGCAAATGCAGCCTTCAAGTGAGCCTCAGAACCAGCGTTGGAGGACTTAATTGCTTAGTTTGTACAGATTTCTAACAAAATCATAATACTATGCAAGCGTCCATCATTAAGTTAGAAACTCAAGTAGGCTAGCTCACAACTATTGTGCATGAGATGGCGCAAGGCACATTCCCAAGCCAACTCGAAATTAATCCTCGAAATGTTGAGCACGTCAAGTCCATTAGAACTATGATAGATGAGAAGAAGTCACGACAAGTGCTGGAAAAAAAAGAGAAGAAACTAAAGGACAACTTCTAGCACCTACTCAAGGCAAACTAGGTGATTCCGAAAAAACCGCTAATGATGATCAAATCGTCCCAATGAAAGAAGGGATTTATGTTCCCCCACTTCCATTTCCAGCAGCCCAACCAGTCCATAAACAAAAGAAATATCAAATCCAAAAGGTTCATATCAATATTCCATTGCTAATCGCCGTCAAACAATTTTCTTCTTATGCAAAATTTTTGAAGGATGCATGTACAAACAAGAGAAAATTCGTATTGGATGAGAAAGTGTTGTTAACTGAAGAGTGTAGCACGGTGTTGCTCAATAAATTTCTTCCAAAACTAAAGGACCCAAAGAGTTTTACAATTCCTTGTATTGTTGGTGATGTGCAATTTGATAAAACAATTTTAGATTTAGGCTCAAGCATTAACTTTATGTCTTTGTCTATTTTGCAGCGATTCGGTATTGGAGAGCTCAAGACTACTACCGTTTCTCTTCGAATTACAGATAGATGAATCACATATCCTAAAGGAATCATTGAAGACGTGTTAATCAGAGTGAAGCAATTTGTGTTGCCGGCTGATTTCTTTGTTCTTGACATGGAGAAAGACCATGACATCCCACTCTTGCTAGGTCGACCCTTGCTACTTCTGGTACATTGATTAATGTACAATAAGGAACTTTAAGTTTGAGAGTTCAAGGCGAATCCATTGAGTTTAAGGTGTTGAAAGCCAAATGGCTCCATACATGAAACACATGCTATTCCCTTGGACCAACCAAATTTTATCAAATAGTTTTCCAAGATGAGTCGCCCCTTGTGGCATCTCCTTGCCAAGGATCACACCAAGACATTGCATGACAAGGCTATTGTTCGCAAGGAGTTTGGACAATAGCCCAAGCACTACATAGAAGAAGTAGGCATTCTTTGCTACTTCGGCACCACCATAGACATTCGAAATGTCTAGCTCATGAATATAAAGAAACGCTTCTTGGGAGGCACCTAAGGATTCTCAACTTTTGTTTTTGCTTTTGTTTTTAGTTTATGGGTGATTTCTCGTACATTTTCATGTTTTTATTTTTGTTAAGTTTTGCGTCATCAAACAAAGGATTTTGTGTTGTAAAGAAAAAATTTCGCATTTTTCTAGCCCTAAGATGTTTGCAACATGTTTCAAATGTGTTACATAAGTTTTGTTTTTTTTGTTTTTTTTGTTTTTGTCGTTGGTTGAGTTTAAATCCCAGAAAATAGCAACATAGCTTAGTACGTTCTTATTTTGGTCAAAATCAAAATTTTTGCGTAATGTCTTTTGTGTTGTTTTTAAGGTCAATTTGTAACCACCAACAGGTTTAGAATGGTTATTATGATTATTTGAACTAGGTTTGGGGGTCTCAGGTGGCCTACATTATGTTTTAGGATGATTTTAAGCTCAAAAAAGGACCTAAAACCCCAAAAAAACACAGTTGTTGTTTTGCCCCAAAATTTGAAGATTTTTCGTCTCCAAAGGTTTTTAGCAACGACTGTTCATCAAGAATTTTCATGGCTAAAAGGTTTCTGCGACAGTGTTCTTCAGATTTTTCGTCACTAAGAGTCAAATTTCCAGATCAAATTCAGACCAGATGTCATCACAATCAGAGGCATCTAGGTGTTATTCCGGGTCCAATGACATTCCAAGAAACAAGTTGTGGGTGTTTGAGTTCGTTGCGTTGTCTATCATCTCACTTCAACATATTCTACATTTTGCTCATCCATACACCTACACAAACCCGAGAAGTTCTCACACCCTCTCTCTCTTTAATTGATTTTGCAAGCCTTAGTGTTCTTTGTTTTAAACAATTGAAGACAATATGTTTGTTTTAAGTTGTGGGTGATTGAGTTCTTTGGTTTTTTAGTGTATGCAGCAGTCTTCTTACTTTGTTTCAAATTTTGTTCTTGCCTGCTTTTTTTGATTTTTTTTTTTGGCCCGCATTGCATTCTTTGTTTTTTGGTTCTGAATTCAACCATATAAAGAACATGAACTTTGGCCAAGTATTTTGTGAGATACATGTAATTGTTTGCACCTAGGTCAAAAGTGCAGTTTTGTTTATTGGTTTTCAATTCCTTTCAACTTTTAGTTTTTATTTTTTTGTTTGTTTTCATTTTCGTTTTTTTCTTTCTCTTAGAAAAATAAAAAGAATCAGAAAAATGTCATAAAACCCGAAAATATTTTCTTTTACTTGAGTCTTGTGGTAGTCATTTCCCAATTCTATGATGAGATTGAATTTTATTGACAATTAACTTTCAAGAAGTTTCAAGCATGAAACTAATTCTTCACATTATTTTGTGTTAGCCTTATTTTTGTGATTAGACTTGGGAAATCCTTATGCACATAGCCATATTAAGATGAGTTTCGATTGGAGATTTTACATGATTTAAATGGCTAAATAAGAGCTAGTGTAGACTTATATAACCCTCATTATGTAAATTTTTGAGCCTGTGCCTTCCTTTCTTGAGTGTTATATGATATTCTATAAATTTCTTGTCTACGTCATTGTGATCTCATTATTCTTTGTTTTGGTACTTGAGGATGTTTAAATTGTTTGCTATAACTAATTTCATTATCTATTTGAGGCATACTTCGTGAACCACATGGATTCTAGGAAGTAAAATAGGCCTTGTTTCTTCCGTTTGAGCCTTTATAGCCAACCTGTATCACTTTTATGCCTAGTTAACCCCTCGTGCGTTTGATATAAGCCTTTTTCATTCTTTATCCAATTCTCCTCACCTTCATCTTTCATATGTTTATCCTACACCCTTCTAAGGAGTTTTGAAGAGTATTTTCATTGTTAAGGGAGAATTGCACAAATTGTTCAATCATGTGGAAAGTAAAGGATACTGTTTAAAAAAAAGAAAAAAGAAGAAGCTCATTTTGAAGTCTTTTCAGCTCGAGTTATTAAGCCTTATGAGTGTTTTACATTTAATGCCTTAAAGCTATCTAGCTTGGGAGTCATTGGCCTAACACTCACTACATGGGTTGATTTGGAGTTAAAAAAGAAAATTGTGAAAAAAAAGAAAAGAAAAATAAAATTCAAGACAATATCAAGATGAAGTTATGTGCTAAAGTGCAAGATGTTATAATTGCATGGAAAGCTCTACTTAGTCCTTAGACTTCGTTTGTTCATCCATATCTTTTTCTAGTCTCACCCATCACCCTAAGCCCCATTACAACCTTAATGAAAGTCCTACTTGATCCAAGGAGAAGTGTGGTTCCTCATGTGGAGAATAGGAGTGGAAGGACTATGGTCGGATGGTTTAAAAGGTTTTCAAGTATGCGATATCTTTCTATGAGATCTTTTATTCATGTCTTGTACTTCTATTTCAATTATGTGAGTACATCCTACTACTTTGATTCCTCTCACATATTTATGAGTGACAATAACTAGTCAAATTTTGAGTGCTTTTATTGGAGTGAACATCCTTGATGAGATTTGAAGCTGAAGCTTGTTCTTATTTGGTTATTTAACTTGTGTAAAGCTTAAGTTGTGGGTTTTATTGATGTTGGCTATTTCACACACTACACTCCAAATTGTTCAATTAAATTTTGGTTAACCCTTCAATAAAGTCTTGAGTTATCGTTGCTTATTTCTTGGAAGTTAGCTAATGGGTGGTGATTATCTCTGAGATCAATATTGGGAAGTTAGTCGATCGCTTGTTTGTGTTGAGTCTTTGTTCTTTTGTTTTCATTTTTCATTTCGTTTTGCTAGAGGACTAGCAAAATCTAAGTTGTTGGTATTCGATAAGTCCATAAATTTACACATTTATGTACTCTTTATACTTAGTTTTTGTAGGAGAATTGGATTTAAAAAGGACTTATTACTTTATTTTCTCAATTTTCAGCTTTCCAGAGTAAGTAATTGATTTTTAACATAAATATGAATTTTTGGTGGAGTTTTTGTACAAGACCAGTTAGAGATGAAAGCTAAGATCTTGAAGATGATTGTGGAATTTTCTAGAATTTTTAGAGTAGCCAATGAGAGAAGTCTTTGAAGTTAAGTCAGCATAAGGTTTAATCTCGTCAAAACTGTACTGCTGTGGAAGAATGATTATTTGAAGACATTTCTGATTTTTCTCCGGGCGTGCGATATATGACTAGAAAGATAAGACAAAGATCTACAATTTACATATTTTTTTCAGGACTTTCTTGGAGGAGGAACGACCTCAAACGTGCATGCAAAGTAACTGACGTGTTATCCCAGTCAAAGTCGGAAGATGAGTCAATTACTTACCCATTTTAGATTTATGTCTTAATATGTTTTTCTTTATTTTTGGGTGGCTTGAGAAGCCCAGCTAGAGTAGGAATAGACATGTGGTGTTTTATTTAAGGATGAGAAACAACTCCCTCGGAGTTACGCAAAGACTTGGAAAGATTGGAGAGGCTAGAAGAGTACCACAATTGGCCAAGTTTTATTTTTTTCTTCCTTATGTTTTTGCTTATGTTGAACTCTATGATTATGTATAACTAATTTTATGTTGCTAGGGCATGATGTAGCCCTAGTATGATAATCTAGTTTTCTTATTTTACGTATCTATTGATTGTCGTTTGATTTTGGTTGATTATCTTGATGCTTGATCACCATCTAGACTTTTAATTGAGTTAATCAGATGCAAATTAGAGTAAATACCATACTTAATTTGAGGCTTGCTTCTTGTGATTAGGATTTGTAATTCGCCTAGGGTAAGTACTATACTCCTAGGGTTTACATGCTTGTTGGAGGTTTTCACTGATCTTAATGAGTTTCTATTTATTCATATTTGACCTAAATACTATAGGCGAATTGCATGTAGGAATATACGAGTTAGCCTAAATACCATAGGTAATTCATGAAAAAGGAAAACTAAGCAGTGATATCAAATGGTTAGTTAAAAGATAGGTGAATAAGGGGAGTAGGTCAAATATGAATACATAGAAACTCATTACTTTGCTATTCTTCCAGCGGATGCGTGTTTTGTGTTGACGTTTTCGGCAACTCTGAAAATGGATGAAGATGATTTGCCCATGTTGAATAGAGATTGTATGAACTTGGCAGGAGATCTTGGAGTGTGGGAGCTAAAGACCCACAAATTTAGCAAATGAGAATTAATGCATGTGCTTGGCTTGGTGTTGGATATGCTTGATTTTGGGTGTTGAGAACTTGTTGTCTGAAGCTCTAGCTATGGTGGTTTAAGAGTTTCAAGAGAAGGAGAATGGAAGGAAAAGCTTGAGTTTTGAAGGCTATGGTGATTATAGCTTGGCAGAGTATGAGAAGGAAATGCTTGGAGTTTGTTGAGGCCCAAAAAATCCATGGTTGGGCCCGAATAAATTCCTGACCCAAAAACGGCACATTATTGAGAAAAGGCCCAACTTGGAGCACACAAAGATCCACCATGCACGAGTCACACTCCACGTGCCATGCCAAATAAATAATCCTTCATGCTAAGAATCGAGATTAAGATTATTGAATGCGTTAGCTCTACAAATCCATGCTAATTATCCCATCAATCATCATAATTAAAAAAACATACCATGTCCAGCGGGAAATCATTATTGCGCACCCAACCACGCTACAAGCCTAAGTGGGCCCAAGCAACTCAAACCAGGGCTTGCTTGAGTGGGTTGTGGTATGGATGGTAACAAGTTGTCATGAGGCCCATTGATGGACCGAGAAATGGAGGTTCTGGATTGCTTGGGAGCCTCGTAACTCAAGCCCATTTCTTAGGCTCAAACATGTGGGTAAGCATAAAGGAGAAAATAGCCCATTAGCCTAACCAAAATTAGCCCAACACCTCAACAAAATAGGCCAACACTTGGTGAGGTTGGCCCATTTATTTGATAAGCCAACCCATTAACCTAGAAGGCCTGTATAACTAAAATAAGGACCTGCAAAACCATCAGCACCTGGCTGAGAAACAAAAGCCATGAGAGGAGCAAATATGTTCACGTACGCAAAGTTGCTGGGAAGCTTTAGCACATGATGGAGGAACAAATTTCGAGCAAGAGATTCAAAGGACCAGGGGTTTTATCACACAGGCTGCCAGGAAGAGGAGCATCTTTCGAACCAGCATGTATACCCATTTCTTTCCTTTATCAGATCTGGCCATGAAAGAAGGGAGGAAAGAAAGAGAAAAGGGGATGGCTGAGAATATGAGTTTTTCACTAAAGTGGCTGTGGGAAGAGCATTAAGCTCCCAAAAATCCCTGATTTTGTGCAAATGAGCAAAGTAGATTTTACCAAAATAGGATGATTGAAGGGGTGAGGGGAGAAAGGAAGGGAAAGACTTGGCCAAATTGGATAGAAGCCATTAGGGTTTCTTGGAAAATAGTGGTTTCCAGCGCTATAAATAAGGCCTCTTCTACCCAATAAACATCAACCACATCCAAAGAGAAAGCTTCCTTTCTCACCTGCGAAACCTAGAAAATTCTTGCTCTATTAATCTTTTTCCCCCATTTTTCCTCTTCTGGCAGACTGACAGAGCCCTCTGTCAAGATGCTGGAAAAACACTTAAGCCACTCATTCCTCTCTTTCCCTTATTCTCAACCAAACCTTTCTGCAAAACCCTTTCTCTCATACCTTAATACCCCATCTTTCCTCGAGGAACACTTAATTTTCTCTTCAGTGCTAAACTCATGACAACTTTGCTCACATGCTACAAGTCTCTCATGCTAAGCTAAGATTCTACCTGTAAGCACTAAGAATTTATCTGTAAGCAGCCATCATTTTCGTTGGTGAAGGTAACCAATGTGTTTCCTAAGGCTTTACTAGCCTTTCGAAACATTTTGGGGTCTGATCTTTGAACTTAGACACAGGGGGTAATTTCATCCACTTTGCTTTTTACGGCACCCCAGCTCATTTGTAGCTGCCAGAAGAAAAAGGTCCCTACATAAATTGGCGAATTCACTAGGGATTAGGCCATTATCTTCACTGATGCCTCCAAAAAAGAATACCATAAGCAACAACATGACTTCCCAAGACGGGCCAAACCATGGTGATTCGAAATCAAGGCAAAATGTCTCATATAGAGAAGAAGAACGTGCAAATGAGGGAGCTTTCACCCTCACAGACCTTGTTGTAGTCATCCATTCTATGGGAGAGACTCAGAGGGAAATGGCAAAAATGATCAAGGAGCTAAAAAGCTCAGTTGCTAAGCCAAGCAAAGAAAACGAGAAACTTCCACAAGAGGAGTCTGCTGCTGCCGAAAACGGGTCTGAACAAAAGGGACCATCTTTTGTTACCCAAGAAGACGTCATTGCTATGCTAGAAAAATAACTAAGTCGGAGCCAGAAGGATTGGAAGTACCTTCCTCAACCGCCGTATCCATCAAGCTTACTCCAGCAGCCATATCCTAAAGGCTACGAAGCACCAAGCTTTGTCCTCTTCGACGGAAGGAAAGGAAGCCCGAAGGAGCATGTCAACCGTTTCATTGATGCCTTGGGACCACATGCTGGTGATTATAATTTTCGGCTTCGAGAATTTTCGAAAAGCCTTACCGATCGTGCTTACACATGGTATATGACGTTGACACCAGGCTCTGTTTTCTCTTGGGAAGATTTGGCAAGCAGGTTCTATAAGAAGTATTTCCAGCATGAAGATAGAGTTACCACCACTCAACTTAACAACACTCACCAAAAACATGGCGAGGAGCCCGTGGAATTTGTGCGCAGGTTCCAGGACCTAGCGTTGGATTGGTACGATGAGAAAGATGAGGAGACACTTGTCGAAATTTGCATCAGTAATATTGTGGCAGATTATAGAGTTTATTTAGAGAATATTGGCATCAGTCAATTTTCTCGGCTGCTGGAAGTAGTGAGGAAGACGAGCATGTCCGTCAAGCCAACGGGATAGAGGACTTGGAGGAGCGAGAAGAAGGAGATGCACCAAGTGTTAGCTATAGATGACAAGCCATCCAATGACTACAACTCACGCAAACGAAAGGATAGGGAGACATACCCGCCACTACCATGCAAAGATGAAGAATTCATGCCATCCTTGACATGATGATTGCTGACAGCGCAATCAAGCCCCTCAGACCCTACAAAATTCCTACCAGAGAGGAGAAAATTGATCCCAGATACTGCTGTTATCATCAATTTGTAGGGCATCCAACCACTGCTTGTCAGAGCTTAAGGAGGATTTTACATGCTAAAATATATGAAGGAGTCCTTGAGCTTCCCTCTAGGAAGCAAATCATTGATGAAGACCCCTTGCCAAAATGAAGAGGAAAAGAGGTAGCCACTGTCATTACATGTTCCGATGATTTGCTCGATGATGATGAATTGTGCCACCCATGGAAGAATGACCCAAAGCCGCCGGAAGCTATTTGGGAATTTTATGGAAACATGGAGAAGGAACCTTCAAGTTACAACACACTGTGGCCACTCGTTGATAGATAGGGTGATGATTCAGGCAATGAAGTTTTCATTTTAGACATGCCGGAAGAATGCTACACGGGGGCTTCATCGGGACAGCCGGAAACAGCCGCTATAACGTTTCATAATCTTACATAGGCTAAAGTGAGCGTGATGGAATGTTACTTAAGTCTGAAACAGGGGCCCACAACTTCACAGGTCCTCCAAAGAAACTTGAAGTTCAAGTCACTTTTTGACCAACTTGGCTTTGGACCTCAAGCAAGAAAAGCAGCTGATGTAGCTCTCATGAACATCTCTGCAGAGTCTAATTCTCATTGCTTCACTGCTCAACCACCAAGGTCATTCTTGGAAAATGACAATGCTATTGTCTTCACAGACAAAGACATAGAAGTTCCATATCCGGATCATAGAAGGCCACTTTACTTGGAAGGACAAATCAACGATGTGTTTATAAGAGGAGCTTTGGTAGACACGGGTTCCTCTGCCAACATATTGCCTTTGTCTGTGCTTACAGCAGCTGGTATTCCATTATCCAAAATTGTGCAATCTCAAACAAGCATCAGCGGTTTTGGGAATAAGAGTGAAGTCACAGTCAGGCACATGCAAGTAAACTTGAAGGTGGGACCAATCCGGCCACTTACTAAGTTATATGTAATAGACGTAGATGTGGCTTACCATGCTTTACTTAGAAGGCCATGACTCAACAAGCATAAACTTGTGGTCTCTACTTACCATCAATGTGTGAAGGGAAGGATTGGGATAAGGCCACTTCGCATACCAGGAAATCAAGCACCGTTCAACAAAAACGAAGCTCACTACTCCAAGGCAGAATTTTACACCGAGTACACAGGTGTTGGAAGCAGCCCATCCAAGGATTTCGGGACCTACCTACCTTCATGAACTGAAATTCGTGATCTAAGCAACGAAGAACTCATAACCATTGTTGATTGAGAAAGAAAGAGACACTCGGAGGTCAACAACCATGATTACGATCATCCCCAATGCTTGAAAGTGATGCTGCCAGACGGACGCACTGTGTACCGCTTGTGACGGGATTGAGGGCTCAATCGTGTTCTACTGGAAAACCACGAGTATGGAGGAGAAGGGATGCAAGCTTTGTGCCTTCGGCATCGACTTTGCCTTCAGCACTCTCATGCCTAGCCACATTGCCTTGCAACACGCAAGCTTTCTATTGCCTTCGGCATCCCTTCGCCTTCGGCACCCCCGTGCCTAGTCACATTGCCTTCCAACATGCAAGCTTTGTGTCGCCTTCGGCATCCCTTCGCCTTCAGCACCCCCGTCCCTAGGCACATCGCCCTGCGACATGCAAGCTTTGTGCCTTCGGCATCCCATTTGCCTTTGGCACCCCAGTGCCTAGCCACATTTCCTTGCAACATGCAAGCTTTGTGTCACATTCGGCATCCCTTCGCCTTCGGCACCCCGTGCCTAGCCACATTGCCTTGCAACATGCAAGCTTTCATGTCGCCTTCGGCATCCCTTCTCCTTCGGCACCCCCGTGTCTTGCAACATGCAAGCTTCGTGTCACCTTCGGCATCCCTTCTCCTTCGGCACCCCCGTACCTAGGCACACTGCCCTACAACATGCAAGCTTTGCGTCTTCGGCATCCCTGACACCCCCTTGCCTAACCACATTGCCTTGAAACATGCAACCTTTGTGTCGCCTTCGACATCCCTTCACCTTCGGCACCCCTGTGACTAGGCACATCGCCCTGCGATAGGCAAGCTTTATGCCTTCGGCATCCCTTTTACCTTTGGCACCCCTGTGCCTAGTCACATTGCCTTGCAACATGCAAGCCCCTGTGCCTAGCCACATCACCCTGCAACATGCAAGCTTTGTGCTTTCAACATCCCCTTTGCCTTCGGCACCCCCGTGCCTAGCCACATTGCCTTGCAACATACAAGCTTTGTGTCGCCTTCTGCACCCCCGTGCCTAGGCACATCGCCCTGCGACATGCAAGCTTTGTGCCTTCAGCAATCCCGTGCCTAACCACATTGCCTTGCAAAATGCAAGCCTTGTGTCTCCTTCGGCACCCCCGTGCCTAGCCACATTGCCTTGCAACACGCAAGCTTTGTGTCGCCTTCGGCATCCCTTCGCCTTCGACACCCCTTTGCCTAGGCACATCGCCCTGCGACATGCAAGCTTTGTGCCTTCAACATCCCATTTGCCTTCGGCACCCTCGTGCCTAGCCACATTACCTTGCAACATGCAAGCTTTGTGTCGCCTTCGGCACCCATATGCCTAGGCACATCACCTTGAGACATGCAAGTTTAATACCTTTAGCACCCTCATGCCTAGGCACATCGCCTTGCGACATGAAAGTCTTATGCCTTCAGCACCTACGTTCCCTTTAGCACCTTCTCTGCGACATGCAAGTCTTGTACCTTCGTTGTACTATGATGCCCTTAGACACCCTTGCATAACAAAATGGGGACTTGCAAACCACTTGGCTTTTTGTTGCAAGTTCCCTTCCTCGAATGTCCTTCTTACCCGGGAACTTGGGGGACTATGAGTAGTGCACTATACAGTTTAGAAGACAACTATGGTGTTGCTCGGCCAATGCATTTAAAATTACAAGTCCCTAATCAAGAAGTACCTTCTTACTCGTGTACTTGGGGGATTACTATTGGTACCGTAACTGACCAAGCAACTAGCTATGCTAGATCATCCATGTGCCATACTTTGAGAGGTCATCACCTTAGCCAAAGAAGCATTACCTTAAGTCACAACTCTAAGAAAAGCAAGAGGAGTCCCACATCTAAAAACTACAAGAAGTGAAGACTCCCCCTCACCTATAAGAGGAGACCACTCTCCACTTAGGAGGGGATCCCTGGGCTGGGCTTTATCTTTAATCATGGGCTTCCCCCTTCTTATCTTTATATTTGGGTCCAACCCTATGTACAAATGTAATCATACATTATTATAATGAGAACATACTTCTCTGTGGACGTAGTCTATTAATTAAGGGTGAAACATGTATATCTCGTCTTCTCTATATTTATCGTTTGCTATAATCTTCACACACATGCTAAAGGTCCTCACCTTTACCCATCATCCACCATTCCACCTCTATCTAAGTTGACCCTCCCAAAAAGAGCATCAACATAGCTAGTTCTATATGTACTTCAAAAACAACCATATTTTGTAAAGGTATATGTAATTTTGAAGCTCTGCATATATGTGCTCGAGGTTGAGAGCGTTTATCCCACATTAAAAATTTAAGGGACTTAGCGTGAGTTTATAAGGAGTTGGGCTACTCCCCCCATTGCCAATTAGTTTTGGGGTGGAACCTCAACTTCCTTCACTTGCAAGCAACCATATGTGTCCAGTATCTTCTCCTAAAAGAGTTGATCCTCGATTGATACCGATAAATTAATAGAAAACTATTTATTTGTACATATTACAAAAAAAAGTAGTTAGTTAATTGTTAAGTTGTGTGGAGGTTTTTTTTTTTTTTTTTTTTTTTTTTTTTTTTTTTTTTTTTTTTTGTGAGCTGCAGATGGGGCTTATTGGACTGTTGTGAGGTCCTGAAGTTGAATATGTGCTACAGATTTTGATATACAGTGGGTACTAGAATGATTTTGCTGTGTTGGAAGTGCTTTTCCTAAAGTTGAATATGTGTTGCATGTAGTGGAATAGTGTTGGAGAAGATGCTAGAGGTGGTCTGTGGTGAAGAAGAGCTACGTACAATCTTGGCATGAGAGCTTGTTTCAATGAATCAATATGAAGATTGGCTTGAGAGGTTCATGGTGTGGGAGCTAAGTCTCCATATAAGTTTAGCAAGAGAGAGTGCTTCTACATGCAGCTTCAATTAGAACAGGCTGCTGGAGGTGAGATGCAGGTTTTTTTTGGGGTCTTGGGATGATTTTATGAGTGATGTTCAAAGCTTGGAGTGGTGTTATGAAAGAAGAGGAGCATGATTGAGGGGTTAAGGCTTGGGTTTTGTGTGTTTACGGCAGGTAGAGGATAAGATTGCCTCCTCTGCCATTCTCTGCTTCTTCTAGGTGCCTTACAAATGGATGAAGGGTCTATTTATATGCAAAGCCTTAGCTCTGTTTATGCATCCGTGAGTGTATAGTGCACAATAGTTGGTTTCTCCGTGAGTGTGCTGTAATTGATAGTGTGTACAGTAGTGAATAGTAATGGGTACATGACCGTACAATGATGATTGTGTGCACAGTAATGAACAGTAATGGGTAGTTGTGGTTTAAGCTGGATGAAGTGGGAGTTCTCTCTGCTTACCCGTGTAATTAGGCTCAAGAAAGTAGGCATAAGTTTTGGTATTCCCAAGTAGCCCCAGAACTTCCATTGTTTGATCCTTCAATGAGCCTTATGGACACTTGTAGAATCCACACCATAACCCGCTCAGTAAACCTAGGCATATGTGTGGCTTGAGTCCACTTAAGCTTGCCAGTGGTTTAGGAATGGAAACTGAATTATTTGTTTGGCATTGCATGTACACTATTTCTATATTTATTTAATGAATTAATTCCCTAAATATAATTTGGATTAGCATGGCAACTATTGTATATTATATTGGGCTTTAAATGTCCTTGGATTTCTCGTAACTTTTTGGTCCTTAACATTATCAAGTTCGCCGCCAAAATCTTTAAGCAACCAAATATTTTCGTCGCCTAACATAATTTAGTTGGTCATCTATGAAGGATTCCCTCTAAAACACCAAATGTTGGCGCGTACTTAAAAGGGATTAGGCAACCAAAACTATTTGTTCATCGCCTATAGACTCTGGCGACTAATGGATTTCGTCGCTAAAATCTGCATACTTCACCTTTTTTTCTTTTTTTTTAAATTTTGTCACAGGAAGAAGTTTTCTTACAAACAATAAATAAACATATTTTAATAATTTCAGGAAACAATCGATTTAGGTAAACTAAACCAATAGAAATGACATAAAAGTTTTTCACATTCAAAGGTACATGAGCATAGTAGTCATTTAAATACACATAAAAGGTAGTACGCTATATCCAAAAAAAATAAGCATAAATAAATAAAGAACTCTCCACATTATTATTGCCCTTTGTAACCCCAAGTTTTGCATTCATTATTTCTCCACGTGAAGACTAGAGACCAAGCCTGTGGGATAGGGGGGTCGGGATCTGATCTCTTGGAAGTTCTAATCTCTAACAATTGTTGCTTCACCTCAAACTCATCCATCATCTTCCTCTATAAAAGAAACAGAATAAAGCAACAACAATGTGTACACATATATAAATATGTATATACATAGTACCACAAAAGAAAAATTGGTATAATGTGGTACATCTTTGATCTGTTCCATTGGAACCATCACTTCTTTTATCGCTATATATGCAGATGAGCAGAAGTACAAACAAGCCCAATTTAAAATTTCCAAATTATATACATATACCATCAAGAAAAGACGGATTTAAACTCAAAGCAGACTAATTTCCTTATAATAATGGAGTTCATATCAGTTAATGCACTTTAACTTAAACTGAAGAAAGAAAACTTACTCTTGCATATCTTTGGCCCTGCTCTTAGTGATCTCAGACTTATTATTTTTGGGAGGAAAAGGGTTATCTGGGAGGCAAAAAACATGAAAGTTATAACCATAAGAATAGAAAGAGCAGTGAAAGTTTTGGTGCCTAATCATAAATAAGTAGACTTAAATCATATTCCTTTTGCCAGTCCGATATAGCAATTCATATTCCTTTCCATTGATGGTACTACAATATGCATCTCCTGTGCCATCATCATTGACTAGCAACTCTAAGCATACAGAAAATTAGGGGATAAAACAAACAAGAAGTACATCAAAAAAAGAAAAAGAGAAAGAAAAACTCACTACAGAATTCTGCTGCAAAAGGTAGCCCTCTGGTCTTAAAATCATGGATGCATTACTAGCTAATGTAACTAGTAATTTCAACCTTCTACATATTGCCAACCTAAAAATGTGAGAACTACTTGAACAAGATTAAAATTGACAAACAAAAACATAACAACCTGTTAAACAGCTGTAAGTGACCCCGTTGTATGATCAAATTATTTCTCTCTGTTCAAAAAGACAATAAAAATAAGATAAGATCTCTTCTCTCTCCAACAAAAAGAAATGGATCTATATGGGAATGTTTATGCACGGTCTAAACCAAGAAAACTAATTTTAGAAAATACAAACATAGCAAATCACTTAATTTTGAGATAGCCCAAATATTTTGGTCGCATAATTTTAGATTTCGTGGGTAACCAAAATTGAAAAGGGGCCGACCAAAATTGCATTTGGTCTCGAATTCATTGAACAACGTCGGAATATTTTGGTCACCCTTTGAAAAGATTTTGTCCTCGATCATTGGTTGAAGTCTTAATCCATGCCTGAATCTCACAAAACTTTTGGCGATGAAATTACAAAATGTCCTCTCTGATAACTCTATTGGGCGACAAAAGTTGCGTTGGTCACCAAAAATTTGGTCGTATAAAAGGTTTTTTCTTGTAGTGTAACCATAGTCTAAAATATCGACGAAATATCGAAGATATTATCGTTTTTTTAAGTCACGAATATTTCAAAACGTATCTATAGACATATCGTATAAATATCGACAATATCGGTGATAATTTCGCTCACACTTCATCAATATTTTCTTAAAATATCGAAAATATCGATATGATGGAAAAAATGAAGAAAAAAAAACACAAAGCACACGCAAAGGGGATTCAAACCCTTGCCATTTCACTCCTCCAATGCCTGAACCACCATGTTGCTTATGTTTTGTGATAATATGCTAAAATATGTATACTTTTATTGTTTTGTTTTGAATAGTTTTTGTAAAAATTAGATTTATACATGAGAATGTGAGTCTTTGACCTTTCCCTTTTGGGATGGAATTGAGCGGCTCATGGAAAGAATCTGAGACCCAATCTTCAAATGATTTTGCTTATGGACAACATCAACCAATATCGAATCCATATGGGTGGCATGTTAACAATTACATGCAAAACTATTTTTGGGATTTATCATTTGATGACTACTCTTCACAATACACTTACTCTACAGATAGAGATGATAATGATAGTTAAAAATTTGAACCTCATAGGAACTCTATGTGGTACTAAATCACTCATGTATCTTACCATGCAATGTATAAAGTGTAAAATATTATAGTAAATCATTATATATAAATGATTATGGTGTGTTTAATCTTCTTTCATTAATTACTACATATTTTCTACACTCATAGTGTTTGTCAGCTTGTTGTATAATCAACTTAAATCAGCTAAACCCATCATGCAATGCATTTCCTTCCAATTTTTTTTGTGATAAACTAATAGATAATTGACTAAATAAACATCTTCCAAAGTTTCAATAAAAATTTCCAAGTTTTTCTTACAATTTCCGTGGTTTTTATTCAATTTTTATCGATATCGATAATATCCCGATATTTCCATTGAAATTTCCGTGTTTTTGGACTACCGATATTTCCGATACCATTGATATTTAAGACCTTGAGTGTAACTAATCGTACTACATGGACTGGAACTCTTTCCAATTCCTACAAAGACATAGTCTTGGTCTTTACTTGTTTTCTTCTAGCTTACGAAGTCCTGCAAGGAATTAGCAATATGTATTGATGATCCAGTGTAAATCCGCTAGGAATTAGAAGGAACAATGACATTACTAGACTCAAAGCAAACTAGGACATAGAATTTTGGTTTTACATTTAGTTTTCTTTTCTCTATCCAACGCTTGTATCTGGTGCAATCTCTCTTAAGATGACCTGTCTATCCCAAAAGTAACGCTTAAAAACAATAATTTTATTCACATTCAAAGTGTTAGACCCTTTAGGAGGAGGATAAGGCTTTGATTTTTCTTATTAGTAGTATAGTATGACGATATTTTGGCTTAGAATGATGTTTAGGAGCATGGGCGGTTAGTTGCAAATGTTGACTTTTCTTTCTCCTTCTTAATCCTAGCTTCTTCTTGGACCCAAACTGATATCAGGTCATTGAGATCCCATCTGTCTTTCTATGCATTATAAATCACCATGAGTTCAGCTTACTAAGAAGGAAGTGAATTCAATCCAAGGTGAACTAAGAAAGGGTCAGAAATGGGAATTTCCAAGACTTGAGTTCTTGGCTACTTTAATCATACTCAGAAGATACACCCTCATATCCTATATCTCATCATATCTCATAGTTGCCAGCTTGCTCATCAAATTTCCCAGTTTCAGCCTTTTGTAATTCTTTGAACTTTTTATTCACAGCCTCCAAGTACTCCTTGGAATTTTCATATTCTGGAATTCCACCACAGACAGCTTCTATCATAGATTTCTTCATGATCAGCTGACAGATCATGTTAGACTTCTCCATTTCTCAAACTTCAACTTTTTTTTAGCAGTAGTGATATATGATATGATAATGCTGGAAGCATAGTAGTTCATGTTGTTGCACTTGTGAAGGAAACAAAATGCATATTTGATATTCTGTCCACAAATATCACACATGTGCATAAAGAGAGTTAGGGATAAAGATTAAACATTTTACATAATTCCATGTTTTCAGTTGTGAATCCCCCTCTGCTATCAATTGCATTGAACCATTGACTGGTAGAAATTTTAAGAAGTGGAAACGAGATTTAGAGATAGCTTTAGGTCTTCTCGATCATGATTAGGCTCTAAGGGAAGAGAAACTCTAGGGGTTACCAATCCCCTATAGCAATCAATTGGATCTATATTGATTCCAACATCACCACGAGGTTACCAATCCTCTATGGGCAATCAATTGGGTCCATGCCAATCTCAACATCACCCAGGGGATGGTTTATTGGAGGGAATTGATGTTACATATCAAGACAAGTCGAAAAATGATGATTTTCTTGACATCAAAAGCATGTTGGAATATTTTTTCGAGTTGTTGCTCGCACCCGAAACTCCATCGTCGAAGAAAAAAGATGGTGAAATCACTCATGTTAAGTTTGTATATATTGTGGTCAATGGATGAATGTTGTGACTCGCATTCATGACAAAAGATTCTTTCGCGGTAGCTTGAAGAAGAAAAAAGAAATTATATGATGGGCAAGAAAGGTTTGAAGATTATTAACTTCGGTGGTTTATTGGAGGGGATGGATGTTACATATCAAGATAAGTTGAAAAATGATGATTTTCTTGACATCAAAAGCATGTTGGGACATTTGTTCGAGTCGTTGCTCGCATCCGAAACTCCATCGTATAAGAAAAAGATGGTGAAATCATGTATGTTAAGTTTGTATATATAGTAATCAATTGATTAATGTTGTGACTCGCGTTCATGACAAAAAATTCTTTCACGGTAGCTTCTAGAAGAAAAAAAAATTATGTGATGGGCGAGAAGGGTTTGAAGATTATTAACTTCGGTGGTTTATTAGAGGGAATAGATGTTACATATCAAGAGAAGTCAAAAAATGATGATTTTCTTGACATCAAAAGCATGTTGGGACATTTGTTCGAGTCGTTGCTTGCACCCAAAACTCTATTGTCAAAGAAAAAACAATGAATTTTGACCTTAAGAAAGAATGGATCGAGGAGGGTACGGGTTTTTTTTTTTTTTTTTTTTTTTTTTTTTTTATATTTCATATTTTGGAAGTGAGTTTACTTTTTTTTATTTTTTATGGATGCATGAATGTTTTGTCATAACTAACCTTATTAGTATTGTGCTATATGATTGATTTTGGAAGATGGATGATTTTTTTCCTTCATGTTTTCAGTTATTCGAAGTTTGTTTCCAAATTGATTGGTCATCCATTCTTGAAGAGTCCAAAGCATAGGTTGGAGTGAATTGCAAGCAGAAGGTGTGTTTCTACTTCCTCGGTTTCTTTTCTCTTAATCAGAAGAAACCATTTATCATTTATCTGTGTTGTTGAAATCCAATAGGGAAAGAGGAACACTAACAGCTCTAGTTGTTTGTCATCCATCACCCTCTTATAATCATACAATAGACTAAAGGGACTATATTACTTTCACAAATACAAAGTCGACTTCTTCTTCACAAAAGTGGCAAGATAACCACATCCATGCTTTCCGGCAAGTACATCTTCATTCATATCATCTTGTACTTCTTGTGCTTCTTGATGCTATACCGTGTGTCGGATAAAGAGGGCAAGGAAGCTTCTTGCTTTACTCAATGGCAGATCTTGTAAAATCGATGATTGCAAGGATATTCAACTATTTCTTCAAAATGATCATTGTAGAGCTTAACATGACAGTGGATGCGATTCACGCCATTCTTTACAAATGTTCTTCTAAGAGTAAATATGAAATCATAGACTCAATCACTACTATGTGATTATGGAGGGCATGTTGAACAAATTGCAAGTTGAAGATGTACTTCTACTTCCTCAGTTTCTTCTTTCTTAATCAGAAGAAGTTATCATTCATCTATGTTGTTGAAATCCAATGAGGAAAGAGAAACACTAACAACTCTAGTTGTTTGTCAACCATCACCCTCTCATCATCATACAATAAAGTAAAAGGGATATCATGTTTAAACTCCTCTTTTACATATTCACACAAAATCTTTGAAACCAATTCAGTAGTTCCCTAATCCTAAAAATGATGATTTTCTTGACATCAAAAGCATGTTGGGACATTTGTTCGAGTTGTTGCTCGCACTCGAAACTCCATCGTCGAAGAAAAAGATGGTGAAATCATGGATGTTAAGTTTGTATATATTGTGGTCAATTGATGAATGTTGTGACTCGCATTCATGACAAAAGATTCTTTCACGATAGCTGAAGAAGAAAAAAAAATTATGTGATATGTTACATATCAAGATAAGTCGAAAAATGATGATTTTCTTGACATCAAAAGCATGTTAAGACATTTGTTCGAGTCGTTGCTCGCACCCAAAACAACATTGTCGAAGAAAAAGATGGTGAAATCATGCATGTTAAGTTTGTATATATTATAGTCAATTGATTAATGTTGTAACTCGCGTTCATGGAAAAAAATTCTTTCACTATGGCTTGAAGAAGAAGAAAAATTATGTAATGGGTCAGAAGGGTTTGAAGATTATTAACTTCGGTGGTTCATTGGAGGGAATAGATGTTACATATCAAGACAAATTAAAAAATGATGATTTTATGGACATCAAAAGCATGTTAGGATATTTGTTCAAGTCATTGTTAGCAACCAAAACTCCATCGTCGAAGAAAAAGCAAGAGATTTTGACCCTAGGAAAGAATGGATTGAGGCTTATAGGTTTCTTAAGTTTTTTTTACTATATTCATATTTGGAAGTGAGTTCACTTTTTTGTTTTGATGGATGAATGAATTTTTTGTTATGACTAACCTTATTATTATTATTATGTTATATATTTGATTTTGAAAGATAGATGATATTTTTTTCTTCATGTTTTCTGTTATGCGAAGTTTGTTTCCAAATTACTTGGTCATCTATCCTTGAAGACTCTAGAGCATCAGTTGGAGTGGATTGACAGTGTCAATAAAGATAGGAAAGATCTTTTTACTAAAAGACTTTTTGGATAGCTTTGATGCATGTTTATTTTATTGCATTTGCTTCTTGGAAAAGTAGTGGATTTGAACGTTTTATGAAGGAAATTGCAGAGTATCCTTATACATCTTGCTTTGATGATGCTGCTAGTCTACTGCGATACCTGTGGAACTTGAATCATCACTTTAGGGATGTCAAAACATGTTCATCTCCTATAGTTGATGAGGTTGATCATGCAATTTGAAGACGTTTTGATAAGCTCCTCGAAGTTCTTTACTTGCATTGGAGTTGTACGCGTTGATCAACAATTCTAAAAATGTTTTGTGCGCATACACTTTAAATTTATTTTATGCAGTTTAATACAAGAACTATGTAACACAAAAAGAAATTGTAGGAATGGTTTTAATATGTGAGTTCAACAACTATGTCACCTTGTTATTACTATGGCTTCTTGTCATACTAGTATCATAAATTATTTATTAGTGTATGTTATGTGCTTCTAGCAAAAATCCAACAACTATAGGTCTAATATAAAAATTAAGGAATTATGGTATTTAGAAGAAAATAATAACCATAGAGTTGCTCTTCCCAAGCTTGTAATTTCATTCTCTTAATGCCTTGTATTTATAGACAAAATGGAGTACAACTATTTACCACACTTAACAAATATAATATAAGGTAAATTACAATCACATCATTGTGGGTAAAAATATTATAGTAGGAACTGTGGGAAAAAGATATATGATGGGTATCCATAATAATTAGATTGATTTATAACACTCCCCCTTAGATGTTCACCATGCATGGAATATGCCTCGTTAAAAGCCTTGTGAGTAAAACTCAACGGGACAAAACCTGGACAAATAGAAAAATAGTACATATCCATGTGCAACATATGATTTCGTGTTATGTATCATATAACACTGACGAGTGTATGACATTGCCTCATTAAAACCTTGCTAGGAAAAACCCCGTGGGATAAAAACCTCGACGAAGGAAAGATTGATGGAAATCTTTATTGATGACACTCTTCCCCTAATGCAGGCAAAAGATCTTTGAGTTTACTCATCCCAATATTGTAAACCATCTTTTTGAATGTTGTAATTGGCAATGCTTTAGTGAACAAATCTGAAAAATTGTTGCTTGATTGTATTTGTTGAATATATATGTCACCACTTTGTTGAAGCTCATGTGTGTGCAAGAATTTTAGGGGGGTGTATTGAATTAGGATTTTAATAGATTTTTTTTAAGCTTAAAAGTCTAGTGGTATTCAATTATGATTTTTAAGTAATCAATAAAAATCTGATGGTATTCAATTAGGATTTTAAAATCATCAATGCAAGTCTGATGGTATTCAATTAGGACTTTTAAAAGATTAAAAAAAGTACGGTGGTATTCAAAAACTTACCGATTTTGAAGTATTTCATTAAACGATGTAATCTGTGAGACTTTTCAGTGGGTGATATAAATACCAAACCCATAAAAAAAATCACACCATTTTACATCTGATTCTCACGCTGGACAAAAGATGAACAGACTTGAGAAGTAACAACAGCAACGGAGAAAAGGTTCTCATCTTTTCTCTTCACATGCTTGCCATTATCTTTTTTGTCTATATTTGCATTATTTGTGTTGCTGATGTGGTACATCCGTGTATATCTGTGTTGCTTTTTGTTTCTGTAAAGATTGATAGGAATGATTTGATAGGAATGATACCAAACCCCATTATTATATGCGTTGCTGTTGTTGTGTTGCTTTGCTTTGGTTTGTTGTGTTACTTTGTTTTTGGTTTGTTGTGAACAGACTTGATAGGAATGATTTTACTTATTTATATTTATTATTTCATAAAATAATATTTTATTACTTTTGTAAAAATTGGAGAAA